GGGGGGGGGGGGGGGGGGGGGGGGGGGGGGGGGGGGGGGGCGGGGGAGGTGCTGATGAGGGCACGGCCGCGGACGGTTTTCTCGAGCCTGGGGGAGGCGGCGGTGGTTTCTTGCCGATCGGCGGGGGCGGACCTTTCTTCGGGAAACTCGGTGCGCTGTTCGGTGCTGGTCGACCGGGCACAGGCGGAGCAGCGGCAGCGGGGGGCTTTGGGGCGGATCGTGGGGGGGTTCCTGAGTCTGATAGATACGAAGCGTCTCGGTCGGCTGTGAGAGAACAAAGGTTGGTTAGATACGCAACTGCCACAGCGAACCCCAGAGAAGCAGCGTCTTACCTCCTGTAGAAACACCTCCACCCGTCTTCCGTAGCTTGGGCATGCCAGCAGAGAACAAACCAGCCAATTGCTGCGGTGCATCACTGCTAGACTCAACCGCCGACTTCCCTCCGCCCTGATCACTATTACTCCGTGCCCGGAGCCCCGGGACAGGGGGCGCTAGGCCGCCTGGGGCTTTCGGCAGACCCGGGATCGGAGGCGCGCCGAGTGCAGACGGTCCAGGTCCGCCACCACCTCCCGACGAGGATTTGCCGACTTGAGGTGCCGAGCGGTCATTGGTGACGGTCTTTTTTAACGCCCTGCCTTTGTGGATGTCTGCGAGTAGCGCGCCCTCGGGGGGTGTTAGTAGATATTCGTAGATATTCGTTTCGTGCAAAGCGAGATAAGGAACGGGAGAAAGAAAACGGGACAACGCACTCGGCCTGGAGTAGCAGCCGCTGAAGGTGGAGGAGGGGGTGGAGGCGGAGGAGGTCCGCCGAACCCAGGAGGAGGAGGCGGCGGCGGCGGTGGAGGAGGAGGCATCGCGGTATGAATCCGTAGGTGTTATCGAGACGATGGGAAGGATCTTCGAGGGCTTGTTGTTGAAGTCCCGGCGCTGAACGCTCGGTCGGAGCTTGAGGTGCTGCGTTCTCAAAGGAAAAGAACTGAGAGATATAGCGTCACTCTTCGTGGGATCGTCACCGTTAGCCGTAAAAGCGGTGTGCGACTGTCGAAGTCGGGATGAGGTCGGGCAACAAAGAGAAGCGAACAACCCCTGGCCCGTGTGTGGTGTTGAAGATTGACAGTCCAGGCGGGAGTTGCCTTGCGCGCGTGCGTCACTCCTGGCTGGGCTCGCTAGGCGCTGTGCAGAAGTGGGGCAACCTCGCAGTCTCCGTACAAGGCAGATTTCAATGCTACTACGGCTTTTGGCGAGCACTGTCCAGAAACAACTGAGGCCCATAAATTACCCATACTGGGCGCCAACGGACAATAAATTGCTTGCTTGCGATTTTGGGTCGGAAAGAGAATTGACAACAGCAGAACGATGTTCGTATCAATACCTCGCAATTTTTGGTCACATTGTGTAGACTAAGTACATGTATGCATGATAAAGGTAGCCGTCGACGCAATTAAAGGTTTGAGCCTGAATAAGCTCCAGTACGATTCCGTACAGGTGCCGATCCATGCGTATGGATTTTCTGTAGCAACCACAGCCCCTGGAGCGTTTCCAGACAGTGCTGGATAAACAACCGTACGGAGTGCTATGTATGTACTCCCTCCCCGTTGAGTCAACACAAGGTGACACACCTCAGGGAAAACTATAAAACAGTAGCAGCTTGAGCTCTTCTTATTTTACTACCCTTCACTACAATCCTCCTACCGCTTCCTATCAACTGGAATTTTTCCTGATTTTGTTCTGCGTCCTACGAGAAAATGGCCTCCAAAAGCTCCCTCAAAAGGGACTCGCGACTGGGTGGGTGGAGATCTGCTTCTACGCAACCACATCTTGTTATTTCTAGTGCCTTAGCTTAATAACAACCTTGTCTTCCCCTCTTGTAAAGAGCCCGTCCGCTAACCATCTCAAACAGCCAAACAATCAGCACCATCCTAGAACGCCACGGCGGCGTCCCCCTCGACACTCCCGTATTCGAGCTCCGCAGCATCCTCTCGGAGAAATACGGCGAGGACTCCAAGCTGATCTACGACCTCGCCGACCAAAGTGGCGAGGCCTGTTCTCTACGCTACGACCTCACCGTGCCCTTTGCCCGCTGGCTGTCCATGCGCACCAATGTCCAGCATATCAAGCGCTACCAGATCGCCAAGGTCTACCGGCGGGACCAACCTGCCATCTCACGGGGGCGGATGAGGGAGTTTTATCAGTGTGATTTTGATATTGCGGGGGTTTATGACACGATGATTCCGGATGCGGAGATTTTGTGTATTATCGCGGAGGTGTTTGAGGCGTTTGAGATTGGGGTTGTTGTCAAGATCAACCACCGGAAGATTCTGGATGGGGTGTTTGAGATCGCCGGAGTGCCGGCTGATAAGATACGCGCTACTAGCTCGGCGGTGGATAAGTTGGACAAGGCGCCGTGGGACGAGGTCAGGAAGGAGATGTTGGAGAAGGGGCTTTCGGAAGAGGTCGCGGACCGTGTTGGGTGGCTACGTGCAGCTGAACGGGAGTATGAAGGAGATGTTGGAGGACCTTGCATCTGACCCCAATCTCGCTGCAAGTAGCGCTCTACAAGAAGGCCTCGCTGAGATGAAGCTGCTCGCGTCGTACCTCGAGGCCATGGGCGTTATCGACCAGGTCTCCTTCGACCTGTCTCTTGCCAGGGGACTCGACTACTACACAGGCTTGATCTACGAAGTGGTCGTCGACGACGACAACGCCAGCGCACCTACCCAAGTCGTCGGTGTCGGCAGCATTGCCGCGGGCGGTCGTTACGACGATTTAGTAGGCATGTACGGCCGGCGCCCCTTACCCTGCGTCGGCATATCCTTCGGCGTGGACCGTGTCTTCACCATCCTCGACGCGCGACGGCAAAAGAAGAACGACAACTCTGATCTCACCGGCCAGGTACAAGTCTACATCATGGCGTTCGGCGGGAAAGAGTTTGATGGACTCTTATTAGAGCGCATGCGTGTGGCTCGCCAGCTATGGGCTGCTGGGATTCGAGCTGAATTCGCTGCCAAGGTCAAGCCGAAGCCGCTCCAGCAGTTCAATGCACCCGAGGGCGTACCCGTTGCGGTAATGCTTGGTCAGGAGGAGCTGGAGGCTGGACAGGTGCGGGTGAAGCAGCTCCATGTTGGGGATAAGAATGATAAGGGACAGTTAGTGGCGAGGGAGCAGCTGGTGGAGGAAGTACGGAGGGTCTTGGCCTTGGGTGAGCCCGACTCTACATGACTCTGCGCGAAGCCACTGTGAGTGCGAAATCCGTTCCTGCAGTTACACCGCCGGCCCTGTAGGGATTAAAACCTGGTCGGGCCTCTTGCATGGAGGAGCCATATATTGCGTACCCTATTCTCAAGAAGCGAGAGGAGTTAGTTGGGTTCTGGATTTCTCGGTAGGAAATGGAGTTGCGATGTTGATTCACTTTCCGTTTTGGGTAATCAGCAAGCACCACGTATGAAGTGAGCTGATTGTGCGTTCCAATTGCTCCCATTGTTGCGGATACGTACATCCACTAGGTATAAGAGGAGCTAAACACCGAGACAAGTGACAACGTACTATGTAAGCAGTAGCGGGGTTACATGGTGGGGGCATAGAGGGGGGAATCCATCCGACCCCGCGATGTTTTTCGGGTATACATAGCATTTGAGCAGCCGGAAGTGGGGTTGGATCCGAGGCGCAGACGTCTTAGACATCCGATCACCCCCTCTAAAGGAATGAAGCCCAACTAGGTAGCCGTACATGTATACGCAGACGCATTAGCGTATCTCGGAATTGGAAATCAGCTCGGGCGCTACGCTCGTGTTCTTATCTGGTCCGAGTCCCTTGAATTTAGAAACGATCGTTGTTTTGGGGGGATTTAAGTTCAATACCTTCCCCCTTTTTATTCATGAGCAGAGTAGCATCTCGTTCTTGGAGTCGTTTATTACGGAACAACAACCCCATCCCCCGTCCTCGTGTATTGTCTCAGCAATATTCATCCCCTTTCCACCTCCCGCAGCTTCATCGTCCAGTATCCGCCATGGCTGCAACCACCAAGATGGACCGGTCCAACCGCATCAAACAGGTCTTTACAGAAGGACAGCGTCCTGCTTTTGGGTTCTGGCAATTATTTCCTGGGACAAACGTCTCTAGGGCACTTGCGGGGTCAGGCATTGACTGGGTGATGGTGGACTGCGAGCATGGGAATATTGATGGTATGAACCTTGGATCCAATTTGGACTTCACTGGAATGACTCGCTAATTGTGTTTTATAGATGCTGCGATGCAGTGAGTTTAACCCATTGCATTTTCCTTACTTGGCAGCCTGTGAGCATACGGCTAACTCTGACCTAGTGAAGCGGTCCCCGTCATTGCTGCGTCCGGCGCCTCCCCGATCGTCCGGTTGCCGGGTATTGAGTCATGGATGGTCAAGCGTGAGCGTTCCGTTAATCCGATGTTGTTACCACCAATCAGGGGTTGACTGAGTTTCGCGTTCTAGGTGCCTTAGATACTGGAGCTCACGGGGTATGATCAAATCCCCTCTCTCAATGTTTGGCGAGACTGAATTCTCTAACAAGCCCGCAGATCTTAATCCCCCTCATCCGGACAGTAGACGAAGTCAAGAGCGTAGTAGCCGCGGCCAAGTTCCCCCCCGAAGGGCAGCGGGGTTTCGGTTCCCCCTTCGCCGCGCAGGGCTTCGAGGCCGGGGTCAGCTCGGTAGACTACCTGCAGCAGGCCAACGGCAACCTCCTGACGATGGTGCAGATCGAGACGCAGGAGGCACTGGACGCGGTGGAAGAGATTGCGCCGCTGGTGGACGTCTTGTTTGTGGGGCCCTTTGATCTAGGGAACAACATTGGCCACCCGATCCTGGGCAAGATGGACCCGGAGCTGGAGGAGGCTATCGCGAGGATCTTGAAGGCGACTGTGGCTGCGGGTAAGAAGTGTGGGATTTTTTGTGATACCGGGGAGCAGGCGAAGCGGTATGCGGAGATGGGCTTTCATATGATTAATGTTGCGGTGGACTACACGGCTCTGCGTGCTACGCTGGCGAAGTCGCTTGCTGTCGCCCGTGGGTGAGCGGCCTGGAGGGGTAGTTGCAGCCAGCCGAAGGGTTGGTAGTCGATAATCCAGGACCTTGTCGTCATTTCTCGACCGAGTCCATCTTTGCCATGACTTCCTCGACGGTGAAGCGGTGCATCAACTTGACGGCCTTGGAGGACAGACTTGGGATTTCATCCGGCGAACTAGCCTTGGCGATGTGAATCTAGACAGAGGTGAATAGAGAAACTTTTGGTGAAAAGTTTGTAAAACTCACCACCGGGACATCAAAGTCATACAAATCCCGCCAACCCTGGGACTCCGGCTTGACAATATCAACCTCTTTAAAGGCAAACGGCCGTTTGTCCCAGACATCGGAAAGAACAGATCTAGCTTGTGTGCATAGACCGCAACCCTGGCGGCTGAAGAAGGTAATCCGACAGGACTGAAGGAGTCTGGACGTCGGGCGCATGACCATTTGCAGTGCTGATAGAATCGAATTACACTAGAATGGACATCAATCAGATGGAAGAAATTGACGATTCCCGGAAATCTTTCCCGATTCCTCAATGCACTAAACGATGCCAGATTCAGGCTAGTACACGTTGGGCTAGCGTCTCGGGAGGCATGGCAAACCCCTGTCCAAGGCGCTGAGCTTCCCCGCCCCCACCATCAAACAGCTGTGTTTTCCAGCGAGGAAGCTTCCATTGATTTCCGAGACGACTTCCACGAGCCGATCCTCCATCCTCCGTTCTTTGTTTGCCTGTTCTGCCCATCCGAGCTGCATCCCTTACAGCTAATTACTCGAGATCTATCTTGACACATATCCGTCACAACTTTCCCAACTCTACGGTCTTCCCACTCCTTTTCTCAACAGCACTGTAACCAATAACCCAACGACAAACTCCAATCAGGCAGACCAAACCAATCCCAAGCGAACATGGCGCAGAAATGTGTCCATCAAGGTTGCGGCAAGGAGTACACTGACCCGGAGGAGGTCTGCCGCTACCACCCTGGCCCGCCGATTTTCCACGAGGGACAGAAAGGTACGTCTGCGTGCCTGTGCCTGTGCATGTCGACACATGTTGTATCCACAAGCCCGGTTACCCAGAACCTGGGAGCGTGGAATGAGCGTGACAGCCCACCGCATTCTCTTTCTCCATAACCCTCATGATGACCATCTACACTACCTACCACCCCGTATAGCACCACCAGGCTAACCGCATCAGGATGGAAATGCTGCAAACCGCGAGTCCTCACCTTCGAAGAATTCATGACCATCCCCCCCTGCACCGAAGGCAAGCACAGCACCACCGACCTCCCGCCCAAGATCGAAAAGAAAGAAGCCGCCGATCCCGCTCTCCTCGCCGCCGCTGGGACCTCTACTAACCTCCCACCCGCCCCCCCTCGCGCCCCCGTCGCTACGGCCCCGCAGCATGTCCCCACTCCGCCGCCACCAGCCCCGGAGTCGGACGACGACGACGACTCCGTGGAGATCCCCGACGGCCGAATGTGTCGGCGCAAGGCGTGCGGGGTGAGTTATAAGAAGGGGGCTGGGAAGCGGGAGGGGGAGAAATGTGTGCATCACCCGGGCGCGCCGATATTTCATGAGGGGAGTAAGGGGTATAGTTGTTGTAAGAGGAGGGTGTTGGAGTTTGATCAGTTTATGAAGATTGAGGGATGTACGACGAAGGAGAGACATTTGTTTGTGGGGAGTGGGAAGAAGGATGGTGCTGGCGGGGGGTCGGCGGATGCTGGTGGTGGTGGTGAGGAGTTGCTGGAGACGGTCAGGTGAGTTTCTCCTCTCCTCCCCTTGTTCCTGTCATTGTGGTTTTTCGCGGCCAAGGACCAGCCAAGACTGCTTGGCTGTGCTGTCCTGTGCTTTGGAAGACAAAAACCGAGGATGCCGACGGCTGAGACATGCGCTTAACTTGACTTGACCGCCGTCCTCATCCGACCCCGAGAAGCTGCTGGACAACTTGCTCACATGGAGAAAACACAGGCACGACTTCTACCAAACACCCTCGGCAGTCATCGCCTCGTTCTTCCTCAAGAAAATCAACAAAGACGCCGCCAAAGTAGAGTTCCAAGAACAGACACTGGTCCTCGACCTGCCCACGACGGACGCGCCCGTCCCCAAGCGCTACAAGGCGTCCGTGCCGCTCTACGGCCTGGTCGACCCCGCCAAGTCGACCTTCAAGATCCTAGGCACCAAGCTGGAGGTGTCACTGGCCAAGGCTGACGGCAACTCTTGGCCGGTTCTCCGCAGTGATGACCGCTTGACGGGTGAAATCCTGCAGATTGGCCGAGCCGGAAGGGCCTGATGGACGGAGGAAAAAAAGGGAAGTGGAAAGTGAAAGAGGAAAGTGGGGGGAGTGGAAAGGGAACAAAAGAGGAAAAATCGAGGGATGATTGATTGGATGGGGGGGCGAATCTTGACGGGACGATTTTGACGTCCTTCCTCTCTCTCTCTTCGTTCGCGCGTCTTTAACTACACTAGCTCTCCCGTGATGTTCCGTTGTTTTCGACCGGCCAAGCCCCCTCCCGCAAGCCAAGGAGCGGCTCGGTGAAGATCTGTGAAGCTTTCATCTCGGCGGCGGAGGGAACCCAGCAAAAATACCAAGAACCTCCGCCTCACTCCATCCGCGGGAGACAATGAAGATCTGATAACGGTGGTGGGGGCAAGATGGGATATCTGCTCTGTCACGCAAAGGTTCACACACACACAGACAAGAAAACGCCAAGGTCCAAATAAGGCCGAAAAGTAAATTAGGGAAACCCGCCGGGAAGGGAAGTTCAAGAAGAAGTGGGAAATGCGGACGGTCCGACACCCCGTACCAAGATATTGGGCAGCAGCCAGGCCAAGCCAGGCCAGGCCTCCCATTGCCGAGATGCACCTCCCATAAGCTTAAATGATGGTTTCTGCGTTTCGACTGGCGCGTACCGTACCCTTTTTTTCCCCCTTGGGGGGTTCTTCACTTTTCTTGCCGGCCCGCCTTGGGTGCCGTTCATGGAATTCAGCCTTTACTGTGTACACTAGTGTCGGGAAGGGAGATGGGGTTTCGGACAACCCAAGAACGGGTTCTCCGTAGACCGGGGAGGGGGTTGTTGTTGTTGGTTCGTCTCAACCTCCCTGGTCTGTCTCAAAATTGAAGGCTATTTTGCTTGGCTTTCTCCCGCTCTTTTCCGTCTTGGTTTTCTTGTCCTGTTCCGCGTTGTACTGTGGTATGGATTGTATTCCGTGAATGGAAAAGATCTCGTTTTGGTTGTTCATGTTACTCATTTGTCTGACACTCAAGAATTGTTTGCGTATCGCGGAACGGCGGTTTGTTGTCGTCGTTTCCTCCGAACACCCCCCCCCCCCCCCCCCCCCCCCCCCCCCCCCGTCCTCCGTACCCCGGTTCCTACGTCACCCGGTGAGACTGCCGAGCCCAGGCCGTCGGGTCCTTCGTTCAACACGCTAATCAGTGTCGGTGACTTGCTCGGAAGAGTGAGCGTTGGGCTGGGACGGGCAAAGGACTTTCGTTTCGAAACAAGCCCGAAGTGATCAGCGGTTTGTCGTTTCTGTGATGGTTCTTTTCTCTTTCCTTTCCACGTGAGAATGGTCTGATTTTTTTAAGGTGTAGGATGTCTTGTGTCGTTCCCGAGACCTAGCTGTCGCAATACTCCGAACGAGAAACGATAGGCTCAACGTGTCTGGGGAAAGTGAATTAGACAAGCCATAGCTAGCAGAGCGACGAAACGACCGTTGAGCGAGTTCCCCATCTCGAAGCCAACCACGTTTGTCCCGAAGCAGCTGCACACTCACGGCAGATGCCACCCTCAAGGTTCATTCATGCACACACCAGCCGTCTGGTCGAGGTCGCCCGGGTCTGGGCGGGATGTAACCCAAGAAAATTCCAAGAGCCTCCAAGAGCCTCCAAGCCACACAACCTGACGTTTGTTTTTTTTCGGTCTGTTATCGCCAGCGAATCGGAAGCCGTCTTTTCGCTGTGTGTTGACCACACCCCTTGACCACCGCTCTTGACATTTGGGTATTGAAAAGAAGAGAAACGAAACGAAACGGGGTCGGGGATGGGCGAGATGAGATGGGATGAGATGCTGGGCGAAAGATCTGATCTCACCTGACTTGGCATGGGAAAGGACCCTTTTTGTCTTCCCTAGCTTCCCACTTGGCGGGTTTGCCGAGACACAGGGAGCAAAAATAACAAAACGAAACAAAACAGACAAAACGAAAAAAAAAAACGACATGCCCTCATCTATTCCAGGCCTCGCTGTTTGCACGGTTGTTTCTCCGTAACTATGCCTACCTCCTCCGGCACCGCCGTTGAGACTCGGAGAGAGAAGACAGACAGCCAATGAGTAACCCCTGCCAGCCATGCAGTGTCCCTTATCCGAGCCCATGCATGTCTTAGTTGGAATCAAACTTCTTGTTGTCAGTAACGATAAGGTTACTGAGCTGATTTGGCCTGGCATATGCATCACGACAGAGAGGGAAGAAGTGTAAGTGATGGACATGTAGTCATGGTGGTGATAGTGATAGTGATTGGGAGAGAGATGCTGCTTAGAAATGGACCGGAGAGTTTGGGCCGAGGCTGTGCTGGTTGGTAATGGACGGGTTAACTACGAGTCAAAGAGGGGGTTGATTATCAAGATGGGAGCTGAAGTTACCATGGAGGTCGAGGCTGAAGTTGGGGGTTGACGTGAGGTGGGAACGGGTTGAGACAAGCAGTTTCGACCAAGTCTGCTGTACTGTACCACATGAATTGTCATCTTTTCTCAGCCAAGCCCTAGAAAGAAACAACAAAAATAGCGAGACTGACATAGATAGAGCAAAAGCTGTTGTCATGTTGTGCTGCCTAGGACTTGGCGAGACAAAAGTCTTAGCGTGACGCAAAAAGTCTGGGTAAGCGAGGGGGTGTCGTTATATCCACAGCCCTGCTCTCCGGTCCTCCCTCGTTTACCCAAAGAGATTCCACGACCAAGCCCACATGGTTGGGATCCTGCAGTCCTGAAGCTCTGCAGGAGAAGAGGCTGTTGTCGAACGTGACATTGAGTGTAACAATGTACGACAGACAGACATGTATTACGAGAGCCGTGAGGTGCAATAGCTGATGGCCGGGCTGGTCTGGAACACCACGGAAGGATAGAAACTGTTGATGGTAGCATTTAATTTGTAGGTTATGGCGAAAAGGAACTCTAAGTAAATGCAACGCTATCCGCCCGTTTATTGTCTAGCCGCCGCCCACGCCTGGATGATCCCCTCGGCCACCAATGCATGAGAAAAAGGAAAGAAAAAAAACTAGAAACCTGATAGACAACATTGTAAAACATGACCCCCCTCTGGTATATCATCATCATATCACCGCCACATCACGAATCCCAAATACCCCGAACCTAGAAAGAACCCAGATTGAAAACAGATATGTAGAAACCCGCTTTAAACCCCCAACCCCCCAAACCTCAATACCCGCCACGTCAAAGAGTAATCTCCTTCTCCGTCCCAAACGCCGTCGGCGGCGGCGTCGCTATCCTGACCACAGGCGACCGTGACAAACCCCCCGATGTACCACCCGGCGCACCTGTAGCTGGCGCACTCGTACCAGCCGCAGCCGCAGCCGCAGCAGCCTTACCGGGAGAAATCATCGTCGTCCCACTCGACCTCACCCTCGGCCGACTGAAGTAATCCCCATTGCTCCCATTACTCCCGTTCCCACTCCCACCATTCGCCGCGCCGCCATCCTGAACAAAAGCAGACGCCATCGGGCGTTTGAAAGCAATAACAACATGTCCATCCCCCCGGCTGACAATAACACTGTGCTCGGGATCGAAGTTACTTGTGTTGACAGCATCGGCATCGGTGAACTTGAGAATGGGCGCACCGTCGGGAGTGAAACCGACGAATTTGGCGGCGATTTCCGGGTCGTCGCGTTCGCTTTCGTCTGCGCGGAGGGTGAGTCTAGATGTATTTCATTAGTATTATTATTTTTTGAGGAGCAAGGGGTATAGGATAAGAAGGGGGAAAGGGAAAAAAACATACTCCCTACTCATGGGTAGATCCTGGCCCGTCGTCACATCCAGCCGGGCATTGGAACTGCTGGCCGAGCCGAATGCCCCCCTGCCCTTTCGGCCGCGGCTCATGGACCGGACGTGCTTGACTCGCCTGTGCACGGCGCCGTGGACGGCGTGGCCTATGCCTGCTACTACTAGGACGGGAGTGCCGAGGGCGAGGGCCCATGGTCTGTGACGGGAGTTAGAAAATAACACAACACAATACGTCTTGATAGGAGAACTCACGGATTCTTGCTCCCACGCAAGCTGTTGAACATAGCCAACATAATCCCCATAATAGCAATGACGGAGCCGACCTGCATCATGGTCCAGGTGGACCAGTACAGCGGCATGAGGTCCTCGCCGTCACAGAACTGCAGGGCCATGAGGGCGAATACCTCCATGACGACGGCCACGACGGAGACTACGGCGTAGATGCTGCAGATGAGCATGCATTTCTTCATTTTGTTTTGGTGGGCGCGTGAGCCGGGCTCGAGGCCGAGTTTTTGGATTTTGTCGAGGTCGCTATGCAGAGTGTGGGTGTCAGTTTCATGTTTACAAAAGGAGGGGGGGGGGGAGATGTGAAGGGGAGGACGAACCCGCTGTATTTCCATGATGCGAGAAAGAGCATAAAGATGACTAGGCCAAAGAGGAACCAGTAAATAAAGTCAAACGACCGGCGGTCGAGGTGGGAAGCGAAGCGGGCGTAGTGGGCACATCGCTCCGGGTCGATGTCGTTGAACCCGCTGGCCATAACTCGGCTGGGATAGGATAGGATGATGAAGGACGACGAGACGACGAATGATGAATATGTTGGAGTTGGAAACGGTAACAACGACGACGATAACAGCAGTGATAATAGTGTTTCTACAACTGATTACTCGAACAAGGGCATGTAACTGTGTTGTGTAGTGTAGTGTAGGAGTCGATCTCAGTAGCGTCGAGACCTTGTCTTGAAGCACCCGGAACAGGGGGGATGGGGCCCTTCAAGAGGTTTATATCATTCATGGCTGCCGAGCAATAACTACCCCGTCAAGGGACGATGGGTCACGGCCCATGGTGCTTGACCAGACTGCCGGATGACAAGACCAAGACACAAGCATCGGAAAGTGGATGAACCGCCCGCCATCTGGGCAGCTGCATATCGAACGCGTCCTCTCTCTCTCTTTTTCCCACCTCCTACCCCCAGTCAGTCAACCCAACCCCCAGTAACCCCCCGGTAAGGTATCTGGCATGGAGTGTAAAAGCCCAGACTGCCCAGGCTGCACCCAGCCGCGCCCCATCTCCCCGGGTTGCAGTGCCGGAAGTTAAAGTTTGCTGACAACAGCGAGGAGGTGAGATGGATCATGGATGGGGAGTTGGGCACGATGCCGGACAGGGGTTTACCCTGGTACGCCAACACCTCTGTTGTCGGGGGTGTGGATAGCCTTGTGTTTCGTGGCGATATGGACTGAATCGAGAAAGTCTGGGCGTGTAACAAAAAACAAGTTCATCCAAATCCAAAAAGCAGAGCTTCCATTTTGGGCATGGGAAAAAAAGAGGCCAAAAAAGGGAAGAAAAAGACGGAGACGGAAGCAGAGACGGAAGATAGCGAGGGACACGGTAATCTCTACGGACGAAAAAAAAGTATGGACAAACAGTCTCGAGATCCCCCAGTCCCCCCAATCCGCCGCCCAGTCCCGATCCCCAGTCTTGCCATCTCGGCGGCGGTTTGGCATGCACAGCGTAGATTGAGGTTTTCGCTCCACAACGTCTTGGCAGACACGGCGGGCTGCGGGCTGCGGCACAACGCCAAACAAGCCCCACGGCCGATCGCTCGCGGCGGCGGTAAGTCCAGAACTAGCCGGGTTGATGAAAGCCAAGACTGTCGCCCGGATCCGAACGGGTGGCGATCCGTCGTGGGCGTCCTGTCCTGTCCAGTTCCCGCAAGGGCCTTTGTTGTCGTTGTTGAGTGGGTTGCAAACCGTCGAAGTCTGCCAAGCCCGTTGGTTTCGTGTGTCCTACCCCGTACGGAGAACACACACAACACAGCACAGCCCTTGGTGTGGCCAGGCCCATCCATCTTCCCCCCCTCCTGTTGTCGCCGTCCTCGGACCACACCATAACCGTTATCTCTCCCATCATCGTCATCATCATCATCCTCGTCATCACTCAACCTAACCAACCCCGAGCCATCTCCGTTGTTTCGCTGCGGTTTCCCCCTTCCCCGAGTCATAAATGGAGTCATAAATGTCTCCAAACAGCTGCCGCAGCCTACGTTTCCACACCTCCTCCTTAGTTCATGCCCGGCATGAGACTGACAGCGTCCAAAATCATGTACCGGGTCAGCGCATACTCCCGCAGCCACTGGAACTCAGGTCCTTCCTCCTCTCCGTAGCGGGCCTCGTCCGAGAAACCAAACGAGCATGCCACCTTATCCATCGCGGCCCGTTCGTCCTCGTAGAGCCACCGGTGGTGCAGCGGCGTGCCGATGGCCCAGCTCAACCGCTTCACGTGGTCGTTCGCCGTCGTGTGCGCTACCATCCCGATGGTCGCCGTGAACCCCACATAGCAGAGCACGCCGACGAAGGCCACGCCCGTGGCTACCTTGGGCTCCATAGAGTATTGCAGCTGCGCTAGCTGGGTCGCGCCAATGTACAGGACCACGGGTATACCGGTGACCAAAGCTGTGGGGAGAAGCGCCCGCCGGAGCAGCTGGGCCCGTACGTAGGCCTTGGTAGCGTATGCGCTCTGCACGATGCCTACTGCGGCCGCGAAGTCCTTGGCCGCGATGGCAGCGTCCAGGGCCTCGTCGGCGACGGTGAGGTCCACCGCCGCAGCCGCCCGGTTTGGGTTGGGCTCGACATATTGGATGGCGCCTGATACCATCTTGGGCGTGGGCTTCGTCGCGTACAGCTTGAGAATTTGCGGAAGGCTCTTCGGCCGGAGCAGACGGCCCTGGATGCGGACGTACTCGGCGAGCACGGCGGGCGTGATGACCACTGTCGGCTGCGTGATGATTTTGTAGGCTGCGTCGGATACCTTGTCGACTGCGTCCTGGGCCCGCTGAGCGGCCTGATTTTGCTGCCCTAATAGTTCCGCAGCAGCCTCACCATCTGTGGCGCTGCTGGCCTTCTCCTTTGCGTCCTTCACGGCCGGCCGCACGTCAATCTCGGAGATTCCCCGCAGTGCTGCGAGAGTGGCTGCTTCGGACGGGATGCCTTCGGGGCCTAAAAAGGTCCTGAGAACACGCCCCACAGAGGCCGCGGCTGTGGCGGCATCCACTCCGGGATGATGATTAGCTGCAGTTGCCGCTTCTGGTCTCCCGAACCGGGGCCGTCCGGATTCTGACCCAGGGTCCTCATTTTGTTCCGGTTGTTGTTGTGGCTTCCGGGGTCGGAAGTTTGGCCGCGAGGTCGCAAAGCACCGGGATGCAGCCGACAAGGCCAAGGCCGCTCTGTTGGTTTCCGACGTGTGCCGGGCCGGGCGTGATCCGAGTGAGGGGCGACCGGTCTGCCGTATCCATTGCCGTCCGGAAATCAGCTCACAGGCCTGGCAGATCTGTGGCCCCGATAATACTTGGCGCGGCCGACGAAGCATTGCGAAGGATATGTGAAGGGGTTGAATAGAGATAAGAAAAAAGAAACAAAAGGAGAAAGAAAGAAGGCCCAAAGAGGAAAAGCTAGAGGCACTCTTCCTCTTACGAAAAAAAAGGTGAGAACAAAAGTCAAGTTGAGGGCCCCGCAGCTCAGCCAAGGCGGGGTGGGGGTAAATAGTAGCAGACGACAATCAGAGTCTGATCCGAAGTGCTTATATGACAACAATTGAGAATGCCGCTAACGTGCTGGATGAGCGCAATCAAGAAATCGCAGGGGCAAAGTCGTGATGATGTTGAAAAAGAGCTTTGAGCTCACAGGTGGTGATGCAGATCCTTGCATGTGCATGGCCTGATGCAACCCCAATTGAGCAGAACCCCCACCTTCTATTCAATTAAGCAGCGTATCCACCCTGAAATGCAATAATACGGGAAATTTCGTTTAGTTTAGAGCAGAAACCCAAGCTCCAAGCTCCCAATGTTACCATCGAAGCACGATTTACAGACTAGCCAACATCGCCAGCACAACCCACCCTCCAAACCGCCAGCGACCGGCCCAACGACTCCGGACGGCTCTGCCGTACCTCACCACCGACCCTTCTCTCCGGCATAGCATCCTACCGACATCGACCGCTCCTTTCCGTTACCTTTTTCCGCCAGCCGCAAACACCACTCTTGGGGCTGGTCTAGAGCTGGGACCCCCCGCTGCCGGCCGTCGCAATGTCGTTAAACAGCTATACCGATAGTGAGGAACTTTCTGGATCATACATGAACCTCCTATCAAAGCGGGAAAGAACGCTAACAACCTGATCCTAATTTACAGAGAAGGTGTGCATCATCACCACCGACGGCCGCACTCTTGTCGGGACACTCGCAGCACACGACTACACCACAAACCTGGTACTTAATTAACCTCCCCCTGTCCCCACTCCCAGTTGGCTAAACAATCTACCCCTCCAGGTCCTTCACAATACAGTCGAGCGAGTAATCCGGGACCCAGACGAGGGCGAGCCTTCCGCCGAAGTACCGCTGGGCTTGTACATTGTCCGCGGGGAGAATGTATGCCTAGTGGGGCTGGTAGACGAGGCGCTTGATGCGAGTATCAACTGGACGGAAGTAAAAGGGGCGGCGATTGGGACGACGAAACATTGAGAAGTGGGTTGTTCTTTTTTGATGTGATGTGGGCATAAGGGGACGCGAGGGGGGACGTTGTGTTGTCTGTTTGAGTGGGTGGGTGTTGGATTGTGTGGTGGGTTGGCTGCGGGTGACTGCTACGATCCGGTGTTTTGGGATTGACGCAAACGGGATAGACGGGTCTTCTGGTGGTGGTGGTGGTATTTTGGAGGGTTTACAAGGGATTGGGCTTCCTTGTCCCCCTCTATCATGTGTACGGCGTTTGGTCTTTTTACGCGGAGGAACCTCTCATGGGTATGCCTCATTTCATGATTTCGGCTTTTCTGTTCCCCAAGATCTAGTTATTTGCTGACATTGGGGGGAAAAGTTGGTCCCTCTACACTTAAAAACGGTCTAAGATACCCAGAATGCATCATCGATCAAAATGACGGGTTCTCTCTCCCCGGTACCTACGCAGGATGTTCCGTTCTGTTCATCCTCCTTCCTCCGGTTAATCATGCGAAAATCTGGTCGAGAAGGACACCAGCAAACTTATCCCAGCCAGGCGACTCAACCATTCGGTTGATCCTGTTACCCTTGCGCACGCTCAACCACCCCAGGTGGTCGCCAGGCACTTCGTCCAACGTGACCGCATCGATAGGGTCCTCCGGGTGCGTTTGGACGGTGGTGTCCTGGTCGGTAGGCTTCGCCCGCTGGCGCCGGTCAACGATGTGCATGCCCTGAGACCACTGGCCAGTCGTCTCGATGCGGATGTCCTCAGGCTTAGGCACCGGCTTCCACCCCGGGTGGTCGTGTGTCATCATGTACCAGATGGTCAGGGGGTCGTGCAGCGAGAGGCCGGCGTCGTGGCCGTCGCCGAGGATCGAGTCGATCTTGTTGAACGTGCCGTTCACGAAGGTGTCGGTCCATTGCGCGAGCGGGCTACCGGCTTCCTTGAGGGGCTGGATCTTGGCGTTGAACCCTTGCTTCTTGAGCTCGTGGGAGGTGGTGATGTCGAGCGGGAAGAGGGTTAGCTTTAGCTGGCGCGACAGCTTTGCGGGATAGGGGGGCAGGTCGGGTTTGCCTGGGATGTTGGGCGGCATGGTGAACGAAGGGGTGAGCGAAGTGAGAGCGTAGACACGGGCGGCGGCGAACGCATCGGCAAGGCAGTTGAACTCGGCACAGGGGGTGACATTGCCCTCGACTCCGACCGCGCCTCCCATGACCACAAGTTCCTTGACACGGAGGAACGTTTCCGGGTCCTCGGACGCGGCCAGCGCAATGTTAGTAAGGGGCCCGACCGCGACGATGGTGACGGTGTTCTCAGGCTCCTCTTTCAGGATGCGGAGGATCTCCAGATGAGACGGTATCTTGCTCGGGGTAAAATATCTTGAGAAGGAGGGCGGCTCGGCGGAAGAGCCAGTCGCCTCGCTGGGGAGACTCTCAAATAGCGTCTTCCATGTATCGGCTGGGGACAGATGGGGGTGCTGTGTCTCGTTAGAAAGCAGTCTCGCAACACAGCGTTGAGTGAGAGTCTCACCGCATCATGGACACCATGCAGCCCATCAGAACCATCTAATGCTATTAGTGTTTCTCGCCTATCAAAGGAATTCGTCTCAGCAACTTACGGAAGTAGTCGGCCACGAGCTCTTCGACCAAAAGCGGGTGTTCAGGGCCAACCGCTACGATCGGCTTATAGGCATTCAACGCGCCATAAACGGGCTTGCCGACAGACTCGCGCCACGCCATTTCCTTCTCCAGAACATGGAACAGGGCCACGACATTGCGGAGACAACTGCAGGTTGCCGTCCATGTTAGCTGTCGGCATGCGTTGCACCCGCGCATTGTGTTTGCGGGTAAGAGACAGGATAAGAGACAAAGCGGGCCCAGCCGTTCAAAGTCGGTCACACGACACACACCTTTGCAGCGGCACGTTGCCGTATGTGACGGAGATCATGGCAACCTCGAGGTCCTCAGGTGAGGCGCTGAGGGCCAGCAACAGGGCCATGATATCGTCGACGCCTAAAATTGGACGACATTAGTAGGTGCATTTTGAAAAACGTGGACTCGGGGACAAACCTGGGTCGGTATCGATGATAATGCGGTTCTTGGGCGCCATGGTTGAGGTAGAGTGCGGGGCACGATAAAAGGGGGTTATGTCTCGATGAATCAAAGGCCAAGTGACTTCAGACAATCAACACGACACAGTTGTAGTGTTACCGATTTTCAGAAGACTATGATTCCATTCGGATTCTCCAATCCTTAAACTCCTGATTTCGTCTCTCGAGTTGATGCTCGATTCTGACTTGAGACGAGATAGAAAGCCCCAGCCAATCCTGTGACTCGAGGGAGTCCCACATTCCACACACCCCGCCGCTCTCCGACGCCCAGTGAATGAACGTTATTATGGAGACTGAGAACCCACACTCCCACATTGGCCCAAGGCCGTCGATAACCCGATACGCTCCTGTTTGGGGGCTCAGTGGACCTTGTCTTCATTAGATGGGCTTCCCCCGGCCCAGCATTCCAATTTCTCGGGACGGAGAACGTTGGCCACAGCAGTGTTTGCATGCCTCTGTCGGGTCGCTCGGGATTCGGCACCTGGCGGGAGCAGAATTACGAGCCTTGTACGACTCGTTAGCTTCATATTGGATGTAACATCACAACGTCGAGGTCTTGGTAACAGGGTTCTTCAGGCTTACACAATGACTCTTCTTTGGGAGTTTTGTTGACTGACTTGTCTACGTGTAAGCGTGTAAGTCACGCCAATGGTCTGAGTCGAACCAATCAACTGACTCAAAAAAAGATTTTTTGTCCGCTTTCTTTTTTTCTGTTTCAGTGTCTTTGCCATTGCACCATAGACATGATGAGTTACACCAAGTCACGTGTAGTCTGACCGCCAAGGTCCACTTCACTTGACGCGCCTGGAACATGCCCCTGTCACGGCAACTTTTTTTGTTAGATTAGCTGGGGCTAACGAATAGGACCGACCCAAAAAAGGAACCGACCTTCTGAACACCTTTCACCTGCAAGCACCTCTGGGGCTCTTCGCGGTTCGTCTTTGAGCAATCCATCACATTACACAAGCCCCTTTTCTCTCTCTCCTGTTCCCCTTCGCCTGTAGCCGATCTCTGCAGCCAGCAACACCTGCCGTGCGATCTTCAATCCTCGTTTGATCCCCCAATTCACACAAACACCGCGAAGAGAAAGTGGAACATCACCAGCCCGCCCACGGACAACACATCAAAAGCTCGGAGCATCGTCACCTAGCCCCAACTTTGTTGGCGCTTTCAGAGTTAATAATTTAGGAGGGCCCTCATCCGCTCCTCCTTGCACTTGACATTACGGTTGTCATTGTCTTTTGGTTTCCCAACCAAGCGACCGACTTGCCGATAACCCGACCGAGCGCATCTATCACATTACCGTCATCGGCGGTTCTGTCGCGTTCCTCGGCCACGAACATCGGTCGTGAACCCACAAACCTTCAAACTTTAATTTTTACCGTTTCCCCCCAATTCATCATGGGTGTCTCGCTATCTACCCTAGTCGGCTGGACCGTCGTCATCGCCGCTGTCTATGCGGTTGCTTTCGGCATCCCAGGGCAAAAGAAGGCACCCGCTGCAGTCCGCGGTGGTGCCACCCAGCGCCAGCGTCTGGAAGACAAGCCAAACACGCACAACCGCAAAGAGCCAAAAGAGAAGGCCAAGCGGCAGAGGGGGGACGCATACAGCAAAGATACTGAGGACACAAACAAGACAACACAAGTGAAGGCACGGACTACGAAGCCTTCCGCGCCAGTCCGCCCAGCAGTCGACGACAGCTCGGACGACGGTGCCGATAACCGCGAGTTTGCCCGCCAATTGGCCAACATCAAGCAAGGCACTACCCTCAATGCCCCGAAGAAGTCCGATGAGAAGCGCCAAAAGTCGGTGAAGCAGTCCCGCGCCCAGGTCATCGATGATAAGGTCAACGAGATCAAGGTCTCGGCCCCGTCATCCACCGCCGGCGTGGATGCCGACGACGACGAATCCGAGTCGGCCTCCCCCGAGATCAAGGCCACCGATGCGAGCGGCGTTAGCGACATGCTCGAGCCCAAGGCCTCCGGGCCATCGGTCCTTCGCTTGACCGACACGGACAAGGCTAAGACCAAGAAGGAGAAGAAGGCGAAGGAGCCCGAGAAGACCGAGACCAAGAAGCAGCGCCAGAACCGCCAAAAGGCCGAGGCGGCAAAGGCCCTCCGCGAGGAGACGGAGAAGGCGAGAAAGGTAGACATGGAGAACCAGAGACGCCAGGCTCGTATCGCCGAGGGCCGGCCTGCTCAGGACGGCTCCGCGTTCACTGCCCAAGCCGTGCAGTCCTCCGCATGGAGCGGCAACGGTGCCAACGGCACCTCTGCGCCCAGCAACGCCACCAACGGCAGCTTCCTCCCGGTGCAGCCTCTCGACACCTTTGAGACCGGCAGCTACACGGACGTGTCCCTCCCAGCCAAGAACGAGGCCCCTGCCCCCGTCAAGGCCGCTCCAGCCACCAAGAGCAACCCGGCTGACAGCTGGATCGCCACGCTTCCTTCCGAGGAGGAGCAAATGGAGCTGCTCCGTGACGAGGAGGCCTGGAACACAGTGTCGACCAAGAAGACCAACAAGAAGAAGAAGGGGGCCGCCGCCGCTGCCGCAAACGAGACCGCCACCGACTCAGAGTCCGCTGCCGTGCAGCCAAAGCCTGCCGCGAAGACTTCGACCCCGGCTCCGGCTACCAGCAACGGCACCACCGCCGCTGCCCCCGCTAAGAAGCCGACCAAGATTGTTTCCCAGCAGTCGGCCTTTGCCGCCCTGAGCACTAATGAGCCTGAGGGCGAGGAGGAGAACGAGTGGGACGTCTAAACAAACGCCAGTCACGACTCTCACAGACCCGCAGGAGAGAACTCGGCTCTTCATCGAACCCTACTCCACGTTTGCCTAGCTTAGCTAAAGAGGGAGAGTCGGTCTATGATACTTTCTCCTTCCTCCTCTCTTGATCACACTCCACGACCAACCATTCAATCAATAAATGAATCAATCAACCGGGCTTTTCTTTCTGTTCGATGGGAAATCTGGAGGCAAGGAGTTTGCGCGTGTATGATGTACATTACCCAACCGCGAAGTGCCTCGGGAAAGTCGAGCCTTTTTATTTCGCTTTTCCTCCTCTAAAGACTTTTAACTTTTCCTACCCGGTTTCCATGTTTCCATGTTTTTATGTTATGTTATCTTTGTCGTCGATTTTCGTCGGCCTTCGCCCCTGCCCTCCGAGTGGTCGTCATGCTTGCGGAGTAATTTTTTTCTTTATGACCGGGAACGAAGAGTGAGAAGGAAGTGACGGGAAAGATGGAGAAGCCGTTCGCGAGGTGAGGAGAAGCTGTCCTGTTGTCGATTGAGCGTGCGAATCCAAGCAGAGAGGGAGAGAGAGAGGGAGAGAAAGAAAAGAGACTGAAAGGAGAAAAAGAAGAGATAGACAGCAAGGGGTTGAGGTGTTGAGGGGATCTCGCTTAGCTGGCCTGGCTACACTGTCATCTTGCATGTTAGTTCCGCCTCCAACAGAGACAGAGAATTTGCTCAAGCACCTTGCCCTGCGACAAAACAAGTTGAAGAATATTGAGGCTTTCTTGCCACGATACCTTTACCAGCCCTTTACCTGACCGTGACCGTGACCCCCACCAACGGGATTCTTGGCTTTCGTGTCTGTGTGTCTAACGTCCCATCTGTTCATCTGATCTGTCCGGTATTCAATAAGAAGCCCTGGTAAGCCCACGAGGGCCGATGTATGGAAGGAATGAGAGGATTCCGCTACCCGCCTTTGATAGTGTACTGACTGGTGCGGTGGGGGGTGGGGGAATTGAGGTGTTGCCGAAGACGGACGTCCGTGGTCTCGGGTCGACGTAACCGTGGGTTTTTGATGTTTCGTGCGCTTGTTCATGCGGTGTCTTTTCGATGTTACTCTGGTACGAAGCAGATCTAACGTCTTCATGTTCTACCGCATGTTCGGCGAGCAATCAATAACATGATGCTGTTCAACGTTGGCCACACACACAAAAGGTAAATAAAGAGAAAGTATGCACGATCCAGCGGGAGGCTTTTTTCCGCTCTCCCTTGTTGGTGTCTTTTCCCCGGGAAGGTTGACGGAGTGAATTCCGGGCTTGTCGAATAAATCCCGCTCGGCATATTACTGGTGGTTTTGCACAGCCTACGATTGTCCACAGCTTTCACGGCAGCAATGCATCATTCCGTGTGCATATGCATGCATGTGCTGTGCCCAAAAGAGGAACCCTTCTCGAAGGACCGCAGGCCTGCGCGCTGCGCAAAGCTGTTCCTGGATCGGACAAGCCGCTTGGCGAGGTCAGGTGGTCGTTGAGTTGGGGTTTTCGATCTGAGGTGTTTTCTCGGCTTGCATTGAGCCTCTTAAAAGGGGGGCTCAATGGCTAGGCGCGGGGCGATCTTGTTCCAGGCCAGCCAGTCGGTCCCGAGAGCAGGCCGCACATGGACCGAGCAGCGCCATCGTCGGGCATTGGTTGAAACCAACAATGCCGATCTGGGTGGTCGATGGGAATCAAGAAGTCACATTGAAGAGGTCTTATGATGATTGGGAAGAGGTCCACGAGGTGGTCTCAACTGTGTTGGGGAGATTGCCATCCAATGGATGAACCACCAGGTTCTGTATCAGATGGAGGTTCGTCTTTCTTTCCCGGCCGATGTCCGGGTCGGTGGGTTTTCTTATCCACGTGCCGTCGATGGAGTTCAATCATTCAACATTGCGCGGCTTTGGCTTGCGGGAGGGTTGCACACCCGCGCGGCACGGCAGGGTGAGGAGGTTTGATGGATAGACGGATGCCTGCATGAGGGAAATTCGGTTGCAGTGTCGCAGGAAGAATGTGCTTCTTCATCCTTTCCCCTTTGCTTCCTGCGTTATCAATGAAGGGAAAGGATCGCTGCGGACAAGCCGCTGAAGTTCCACTCTCTGTTGTTGAAGATAAGATGGGCGCTGTAATCGTATGGTATTTACGCTCAATGACACACTCGGGCAAGATGAAAGCTGGGCACACGGCACCTCGCTTCGAATGAGAAATCTGGAAAAAAGGGGTTGACACTTACCCCGCGCTTCCCTACCACTGCCAACTGCAGGCCAAATTGTGCCAACCAGGACATCGGGCCTGCAGTTGCATCGCTGCTGGGTCCAGGGAGGGTTTGCGGCTCGTTTGGCGAGGTTGTCATTCCCAGAGAGGCAATTAGTCGGGGACTTTGGTGTTGTGCAGTGCTGGGTGCACAGTGTTCTGAATGTGTTATTGACGCAAGGGCGGGTAAGTCAGGTACGTGAGTCGTCAGCAGACATGATTCTGGTATACGTTAACGTTACCCTGATGATCAAACAAGCGCGCGTGGACTTGCCTCTCCTCTTTGCGTCTGATGAAATGCAGTGGGAAAGACGGAATATTTCACTTCTTAGGCGGGCTTCAGGGACCCACCTAACCGTGGGGCTGCGCAAATCAGACCAGGAGGCACGGCCACATAACCCTGACCCCTGCACTCGCGCCCGTTGCCCCACGCGAGTGGTGCGCTTTGCTCACTGTTTTAGCGCTCCCCAGTGGTCTTTCCCTCGAGGCCCCCCTGTTCTAGCCCATCAAATGCCCCTGGATTGAGACGAGGCGCCTCCATGACTTTGTGTATCGAAATTACACGGCCAAATTTCCCTCTTCCCCGCGGGTTGCATTCGAAGGGCCCAGCAGCGCGCATGGGTATCGTTTGATTGACATCTGGTTGAATTCCCCAGTTCCTGCCTGCACACTGCGGTGTTTCAACCTTTTGAACAAAAGCCGTCCTTCGTTCTTTTCGCCTTTTCTGGTTCTCTGGGCACGCGACTGGCATCTCATTTTCATTGTCGTCTGGTTTTCTTGTTCTCTCTCTTCCTTGTTTCGCTGGATTGAATCATCAACCGATTTCAACAGGTCTCGGTCAACTCGGATGTTGGGACTTCCCCGTCAATTCCGTCCCGTCGTTCTCACACCCACCGTGACCCTCAGTTTCAAGTTCAATCTTGGACTCAATTGCACATCGCAACACATTTGAAGAGACGTTACCTACTTACTGAGGGGTAACAGGACTTTGGGTTCTGAGTTTCTTGTGACATATTTCGCCGGCCGAAAAGAGTGCCGAGCACCGTCATCATTCGCTTCGCACGCTCGAGCCCCCCTTGAAACGGAACCGCACAGTCCGCCAGGGCTTTCAACCCCCCGACGGTTACGACCGAGATCCGCCCGCACCTATAAGTCGGCAGCGGGCCTGTTACGACCATTACTGCAGTGGTGTCTATCTGAACTACCACCCCTCCTTTCATTCCAACGATCCACCACCTACGGATGAGAGGGAAGAGGAGGATCGGATAGGATAGGACAGGATAGGATTACGGACGGACTGGAGGGCCATTATCGGACGAATCTACCTGGACCCCGTGCCATTCCCCGAATTCGGAACACATTCAGGAACGCACTGATTGTTCGGCTGAGGGATGCTGCTGGGTAGGGAGTCTGCACCATGTCATACCTAGCCGCCGCTCAATCGGCTCTTTTCTACGTCCTCGCATGCACGCCATGTAACCAGCTGCACACCGAACGCAAGACGCGTCGGCAGGCGAAGAGGGAGAGGCGGGTGAAGGAGCGCATCGTGTTGGAGCAACCACACTTATACCGACACCCCGACCCCTTTCACACGAACCCATATTGGGAGGAGGAGATTCGGATGGGCCCGAGTTTGCCCAAGAAACGAAAGGGCAGCGATGGCCTCAGCAAAACACTCAGCCAGCGCCGACTAACCGCAGTGAGCCAGGACGGCCGCCCGAGTATTGGCGCAGGGAGTAGTGTTGTGGTCAGCATGTTGGACATGAACTCGATCGCTAGTCCGCGACCGTCGACTAGCCCGGCCAATGTTACCCACCTAGGGAGTACTCCAACCGTGGTGCCAGAAGAGGACATGTTGAGCCCAACCCTCAGCAAGACCGTTTCTGTATCAACTAGCGCGGACTGGAATTTCAAGCGGTATCAGAGGGAAGACGAAGAGTTATGGGGCCACGAGCCGTCGTGGTCGGGGCACAAACTGATGGACGCGATCAAGCAGGCGGGGTCTTCAGCCGGGCGGTACATGGAGTCGAAGTTGGGACTAGAGAAACAGGTGACGGAGGAAGACCGACACAACTTCTACTACGCGCCGCGAAACCCGCCCGTCAACGAGTACCACCCGCCCGTCGTCAGCAGCAAACCAGCGCACAAGGATGCGCTCCGCTGGATGCTTCAACCACCACCCCCAGCTAAAGTCATGGAGGGCAAAGTGCCCGTCACGAGAAGCGCGAGCATGATGAGCGGGGCGTCAAGGAGGACAGTATCGACCCGGAACAACGATTCGCTAGGCAGATTAGTGGGAGAGCGCGCGGTTGAGGCGAGGATCCGGCGTGGGGAAACGCCACTGAACGACGAGCTGCGGTCAAATCCGTCGTTGCGCAAGACGCGGTCCCACATCTCAGTCGTGGCCCGCGCCCGGAGCGAGCGGCGCGCAGCGAGAGCTAGCAGCCCTTCTACGGACTCAGAGGACGAGGAGCTAGAAGAGTCGAGCCGCAGGTGGCGGCATCAGCAACAGCAACAACAACGACTCAGCACCGCCCACCGCCGACAACAACCCGATGCCGCAGACTCTGACACCGAGGACGAGGGCGTGTACGTGTCGTCGACCAGGATCCCCGAATTGACGAACAGCACATCGCTGTCATTGACGAGCCATGCCGCACAAAGGCCCCGGCTACCTACCATTCTCAGCTCGGGACACGATAATGTGGGTTCCTCGGGGGCTGATAATGACGAGCCATCGACGACAACGGCACACGCGTTACGCGAAATCACGAATCCCCCGAGTTCACAGACCCTTATGACGAAGCCGCCAGCGCTAGCGCCAAAGGCGCAACCGGTATCTGTCGAGACGAGGACGGCTGCTCCCGCGTGAGGTTGTCCAACAGACACGTGAACGACCACGAACGACCACGCACACACACACACACAAACTCTGTCTTTTTTCTTGTCTTCTCTTGAGAGGTTCCACGCAACTCTCTGAGTCTCCTTTTTCTTTCTTTTTCTTTCTTCGCAGCATGGTCTGGCGCGAGCATGTATCTGATATATGGGACTTTGCATTCTCGGCATTCTCGGTAGGTTGGGACATTTGGGTTCGCCGGACTGGGCTCGGACTCTCTGGCTGGGAAGCAAACGGCGTTTTCGGATGAGGGAAATATCCTCAAAAGGGGGGGAGCTTGTTTTTATTTTCCTCTTGTTCCTCTGGTCTCGCACGCTCTCTAAAGCATAGCATATTTTCTTTTTTCTATTCTGGGGTTTCTTTCTGTTGTTGTAAGGCAAGATAAGCTTGTCTTGTTTTGTTTCTGTTCTGACTATCATTCCCTGTTCGCGTTCGCGTGGAACGGGATATTGTTGAGGTTGCTGTACAACCGTGAGGTATGGCGTGTTCCACCACACGAAAAGCATCAATGAAGGATCAAATTGTTTTAATTGCTTCAGTTCAAGGTGTTTATATGTGAAGCTTGACTATCTGCCTAAAACCCACCTACTCTTCCTATCAAGACACAAGACAACATAACATAGTATTCCCATTCCATCCTCACAAATGCAGTCCCCCCTCCTCACCCCCATCCTCTTCCTCCCCTCCCAACCCCCTCATCTGCAGCTCAATCCGCCTCCTCAACTCCTCATCCGTCAACGACCCCCCGCTTTGCGTCTGTGTCTGCAGCCCCCCTCCCAACCCAGAATCATTATCCATCTGAACCACCCCATCCCGAATCACACCCGTCTGAAACGTCCCATCACTCCAGGCCGAGTGTGTCGTATCACCATTCGTTGTCGGGTGGTCCCCGTTTACCTGACCGTTCACCTGCGCTGTCCCTTCTCCTGCACTCTGTCCCTCCGTGGTCTTAGCGGCATCTGCGTCCTGCTCCTCCTGGCTCTGGAATTCAGTCCAGCTCAGCCCACGACGACCTTCAACCTCGGCCCGAACGAGCCGGATGCGCTCCTGCATGCGCTCAATGACCTGCTCGTTTTCGCGGATGGCTTCGAGGCAGTCTTGGTCGGGTTCGAATGCCGGTGTCTGTGTTTGAGTTGCTGTTTCTGAGGTGGACTGTGTTTGTGATTGCGAGGTCTGTTGGGATTGGGGTTGTGGTTGTGAGGACGATGTGGAGGCGGTGCCTTCGGCAAAGGGACGCAGCTGCTCGTTGGAGTAGTCGAGGTGGGCGATGCTGTTGCGTAGCTCGAGGACTTTGAGGTGGAGGGTGGAGACGGGGAGCTCTTCCAGGGCGGCGGCGAAACGGGAGGGGGATATCGGGAGGGTGTCGGCGGACATTGTTGGGTGTGTCTGTTTGTTTGTCTCTTACGTTGGGAGGTCTGAGAAAGAGGTCGAGGGTGTTGGGATGCTCGGTTGGTGATTTACACAGTTTTGTGGTGGGCGGTTGAGGGTTGTGGGAAGAGTCGATGGATTTTCGAGGAGTGATGGTAAAACTGGCGATGGTGAATTTATGACTTCTGGAGTTCTGGTTGTTGGTTCGAAGACCAGATTCAAAAACAAAAATGCAGTTGGTCACTACGCAAGCTGTAGAGCTGCCTACAAAGTGGGATGCAGCTCCCCGCAGGTAGGCCGACAGGGATTGTCGACAGCTCCCCCGCTGTGGGGCAAAACCTTCACCAGCCAATGACGCTGCTTCCCGGGCGGCCGAAATCAAATGCTTCAAAACTTCGAGGAAATGCTCGATTTTCTCCCGAGAGCACGATCTCCCCCAAACGACCCCACGGCTTTCTCGACTCCGACGGCGCGAACTCCTAAACACTTTCCCAATACCCGGTGGATGGTCCCATAATAGGAAGGGCGCAACGGCTGGCGCCAGATCCGCGACAATGAATGGCTGCGCCCTGGGGATCAATGCCTTGCGAACCGGCGTCCAGGCAGTCGCACAGCGCTTTGCATCGCCGTGTTCCCAGATCTACCGGCCAGCGGCTGTCGGGATTTCAAACCGCTCCTACTCGTCATCACGATCATGGCCCTCCCAACGACACAGCCCATTGCCACAACGAGGGATAGGAGGAGAAAGGCACACGGGAAACACAACCGCGGGACCAGCATTACTCCAACGGGCCCGCCCAATACTGCCACAATGGCTCGGCATCCGCACCCTAATCGGTGACCCGGCCACAATCACACACTACGTTGACCTACCACCAAACTACACCGACGAAGGGGGGCTACCATTCGCGAAAAAGGATCTCACAGCGCCCGAGGTGGTCGCCATCTTCGGCCCGAGCATGAGCACAAGCGCAGGCAATGCCCTCCTACGAATCCTCCACGGCCGGCGCGTGGCCGGCACCCTGGATGACCCAATGTTGCGGGTGAACACGATGATGTTCTCCAAAAAGACCCAGGAGACTGCGCTGGCCTATCTCCGGAAGCACATCCCTGTCGACGAGGTCGTGAACGCGGGGCTGCGGGCCGAGGACGAGCTTGCGGCGCTGGAGAACGGCGGCGAGCTTGTTGCTACTACAGACAACAAGACGAAAGAGGATGGAAAAGAGGTCGGGGCCGCGGGGTACGCAAGCAAGTTCAAAATCTACAAGGAGGCGCCGGAAGACGACGGGACTTCCACGGCGAAGAAGCCGAGCGTGTACGGATACGGCGCGCTGGATGCGCTCCGGGCGCGCAACAAGGCGAAATGGGACGCGCGGATGAAGTACATTGAGGAGGAGCGCAAGAAGATGGCCGAGGAGGAAGCTAACCGGTACGGGGGCGAGCAAAAGGCCGGACCACTGCAAGTCGTCAACGGCGAGCGGCCGACACGGGCGCTCAGTCCCGCGATGCAGGAGTACATGCGGCGGGCGACATCAGACATCAAGGAGATCCCCACCATGACGGCGACGCAGCGCATCGTCCCCTCGCTGCTGTTCGTCCTCGGCATCCTCGGTCTGTGCTTTGCCTACTCGGCGGTCTACACCCCAGCTAAGCGGGAGAATCGGCTCTTCCCAGACATCCCCCCGGCCGCGGCCACAGTCGGGCTGATAGTCCTAGCCAATCTGGCTGGTTGGGTACTATGGAAGATCCCGCCGCTTTGGAAGCACATGAACGCCTTCTTTATCATCGTCCCGGGCCTGCCGCGGCCGGTATCCCTACTAGGCGCGATGTTCTCACACCAGCGCGGCGGCCATCTCTTCCAGAACATGCTAGTGCTCTGGTTCATGGGGGTGCGATACCACGACGACGTAGGACGGGGCGACTTCCTCGCGACCTACTTCGCCTCGGGTGCCCTCGGTGGGCTGGCAACGCTGGTCGTCGCGACGGTGACGGGCCGGCTGGGGATGTCGTCGCTGGGGGCGTCGGGCGCGACGTACGGGATTGCGGCGGCGTATCTGTGGCTGCACCGGTTTGATACGTTCCGGATTTTGGGTTTGCCGCCGCCGCCGGAGGAAGGGTTTGTGTCCGGGTTGGTGCTGTTGGCGCTGGTGGTGGCGCATAACTTGGGCGGGTTCTTTACGTCGTCGTTCCTCAAGGTGGATATCACGTCGCATTTGGTGGGGATTCTGGCAGGCGTGGCGGCGGCGTCGCTAGTGCAGATGAAGAAGGAGGCCGGGCTGCCGGCGGGAGCGGAGAGGCGGTCGCGGAGTATTGATGTTGGGCCGGTGGTGGTGTATAAGAAGGCTCCGGAATGATTCTGGTGTGGCATGCCTGCATGTCTCGCTCTACCATGTAACACCATCTCGATACACATTTCTCGATACATATTATAGACTCTACAGCACTCCGGTCATAGTGTAGATTCTTACTGCCATCACCAACACTCACGATCCCCCATCAATCCAAAAAGGGGCATTTTGTTTACTTTCAACCCACGCACAGCAACCAAGCAGCAACCAACCAACCATTCAGCATCCCATCCATCGCATCGTGCCGACTAACCCGTCTTGGCATCGAATCATTGCTTGAGAAATCGCACAATCACATTGGCCAATGGCCCCGGGACATCCCCACTATTTCCCTCTTTTCTCCTAATCAGGCAAGGCAGGCCCCATACATGCAAGGAGGGCTTGGGACTGACGCAACTGGTGCTCCACCCGACTTTGCCGACAAACCGTTTTGGTTCTTTTTTTTTTCTTTTCGTTCTGCTCTGCTGCTGGTTCGTTCGGGCAGTCGGCCGGTCGGCTGGTCGGAGGTTTGGGCCAGTGAGAAGTGCTCGATCTTTTTGGGGGGGACCATTCAGGCGCGCAGGGATGAGGCCTCCAGCTGGGGTAGGAAAGTTGGAAATCGCTTTCGCGAGTCAATCTTGCAGAGGCATGGGGATCGTTGGGAGGTGCACTTACAGAATTTGCAAGAGGGGAGCCGAGGAATCTCTTTTTTTGAGATGTTGGTTGGGTTCTGTCTGCTCTTTGTTGATGACCGTTGGTGTGTGACTTGACGCCATTGTTCCTCAGTTTTTGTTTGTACCACACACCCAGTAGCTGTCAGGCGGTGGTGGTCTTGACATGACATGACATCCCAGTGTGTGTGTGTCTGTCTCAGCCGACTCACATGATCGGAGCATCCAACACGGTTGCTCGGCGGTTGGGTACGTAACGTTGACGGTCTTGTTGGGTATTTAAGTACAAAGGACGTATTTAATTATCTGTGAGAGGCCGCCTATATCAAGATTTCCACTCTAGCTGAACATTTCAGGAGTTGAATCCCTACCATCACACGAAGCGACTGCTTCATCAAACCCGCTGATTCAAGACCCCTCGGATCTCGACACCCCAGCAACAGCGCAACGTCGATCTTGGCGCTTGCCAACTTTCGTTGCTCTGGTTCCACGGCGCGGTGATCGGGACGAACGAACAACCTTGGCCGAGCGGAATTGAAATCTTCCAGCTCCCTCTCTCTCTCTCTTTTTCCCGATCGATCTGTTCCCTTTGCGCGGTGACAGAGAGATTGCGATTGAAGAAGCCCGTGTGTCTGTCTATCTGTCTGTCGAGCTGCGCCGCCTGCATTGCTGACGGGAGATTGCTGCGCGTCATCGCCTAACTTAAGCTCTTCGCACCAGCTACTCTTTATTTTTTATTTCTTTTGGAAACTCACCGTTTGCATACTTTCTGTCGGTATCAATTGGCTCGGCATCTATTCTGAAGAGCCTCTTCAATTGTTACCCAGAGCCTTGCTGGACTCAACCCGCGACAACCAACCAACCCACAAGTTAGGTACTTGCGCGCGCGCGCGCAAACAAACCACCAACCATGTCCTCCCACCAACAACACCAACAACACCCCGACAGCGGCCACCACGACCCAACAACACCCATCCCCCCCAACCCCGCCGTCTCTCCCAACCCGCACTCCTCCTCCTCCCGCTGGCGCCACGCCGAGTCCTCCGCCTACGCGCGCCACGAGCGCAAAGCTGGCGCTGGCCAGGCCGGCGCCTACGGCTATGCCCCCGGCGGTGCGGTTGCGCGTGAAGCCGACCCGCACAGTCCCGGTGTGGGCGCGCTGACGGATTTCTTGAATAAATCCCGGATTGACCCCGGTGAGGTGCCTGAGGATGAAGACTTTAGCAACAGGCCGATTACGCCGCGGTATAAGCCTGTGGTGGCCGGCGCGTCGGAGGCGAGGGCTGCGAGGGGCGAGGAGGGTCCGGGGGAATACCAGCAGCAGGAATATCAGCAGGAGTACCAGCAGCAGCAGGTCCAGACGGACGGCAAGGAGATTGTGTGCGGCCCGCTGCTCAACTACCGGCGCATGGAAGGCGGCACGCACTGGATCGGCAGCGCGCTGGTGGTTACCGCAGGCGGGGGACGGACGCAGCCTGTTGTCCCCGTTGTGGCGTTGCGCCGGGCTGGGGGTCAAACGAAGGGTTCTGTGGTTGAGGGTGTTTGTTTGTATTCCGACGCGCGTAATACCTTTTGGCGGTTTGATTTGGTTGCTGAGATGGATCAGGTTGAGACGCAGTGGGAGTATGAGCTGCCTGGGTTGCGGTTCCGCAGTGAGACGAAGCCCCGCGTGAATACCTTTTTTGTGCCGGCAAGGCATGAGTCGATGCGGATTATGTTTCACTCGTGTAATGGGTTCAGTGTGGGCACGGATGAGGCCGCGTGGAGCGGGCCGGCGCTGTGGAATGATGTGATGCGGAAGCATCAGGAGGTGCCGTTCCATGTTATGTATGTGCCTCCCTGGTAAAGAAGAGAGGATGATAGAGAAGAAAGGAGGAGGAAGGGGGGCTAACGGAGAGACAGGATCGGCGGCGGCGACCAGATCTACAACGACGGCATCCGCGTGTCGGGCCCGCTGCAGAAGTGGTCCAACATCGGGAACCCCAAGACGCGAAAGGACCATCCGTTCCCCGAGAGCCTGCGCCAGGAGTGCGACGACTACTACCTCAAGAACTATATTAGGTGGTACTCGACCGAGCCGTTTGCGGGGGCCAATGGCCAGATTCCCCAGCTCAACATCTGGGACGACCACGATGTGTGTTCTTTTTCTCCTTATTTATTGTCTTTTTTCTTTATTGCCTAGTAATTAACTTGGTAGATCATCGACGGCTTCGGCTCGTACGTCAACGAGTTCATGAAGTGCGACGTGTTCCGCGGCATCGGCGGCACCGCGCACAAGTACTACATGCTGTTCCAGCACCACCTGCCGCCGCCGCCCTCGACCTACACGTCAGACGCCGCCATCAACCACACCGAGAACGCGCAGGGCCAGGCCGTCGACCCGAACCAGACCATGGATGTCTTTGTGCACCCGGAGATTCGCGAGCCGAATTATATTTACGGGCCCAAGCCAGGGGTGCGTTCCCCTTTTTTCTCCTTTTTTACTATTTTTTCAGTAATTTAGAATAAGACTAACGAAACCAGCCATATGTCGCGGAACACTCGCACAACATGTTTGCCCAACTCGGCGCTAGAATCGCCTTCTTGGGTATTGACGCACGTACCGAGGTATGTTCCCTCCTTAACCCCTAGCCCCTGACTCTGAGACTAACAAGAACAGCGCACGAGACACCAGGTCAACTACGCCGAGACCTACGAGGCCATCTTCTCCCGGCTCAAGCAGGAACTCGCCGCGGCCGCCAGCGCTGGCCGTCCGTTCCGGCATCTGATTCTGTTGTTGGGTATTCCCATCGCGTATCCTGTAAGTGTCCCTTTCTTGGTCACTAATCAACTTCCATGAGACCCATGAGACTAACACTCCCAGCGCCTTACATGGCTGGAAAACATCTTCGCCAGCCCCCTAATGGGCCCGGTCAAGTTCCTCAACCGACGCATCGGCTTCGGTGGCAGCTTCTTCAACAGCTTCGACGGCAGCGTCGACCTGCTCGACGACCTCGACGACCACTACACCGCCCGCACGCACAAGAAAGAACGCAACTGGCTGATCCACAAACTCCAAGGCATCTGCGCCGAGTTCTCACTGCGCATCACCATTCTCGGCGGCGACGTGCACCTGGCCGCGTTCGGCCGCTTCTACTCCAACCCGCACCTAAACATCCCCATCGAGGAAGACTACCGCTACATCGTCAATGTGGTCTCCTCCGCCATCGTCAACAAACCGCCCCCCGCCGCCGTCGCCAACCTCCTCGCCCGCCGCAACAGAATCCACCACCTCGACCACAACACCCACGAGACCTTGCTCAAGCTCTTCGATCGCGACCCGGGCGACACCCAAAAGACAGCCGACCACAACAAGGTCACCATGCCCTCCCGCAATTTTGCCATGATCACCGAGAACTCCCCTTACAACCAGCCCCAGCCTTCCCACCATACCAACGGCGACACCAACGGAACCGGCCCCAACGGCACAACACCAAAAAAACAAGACCCCCGCCTCCCCCTCTCCGCAGGCGAAACCAACTGCGGCACCACGCACAAAGCCGCCTCCTTCCCCGCCCAACACGGCCGCGGCTCCGACGGTAGCTTAGACGTATGCATCTGGGTCGAGCAGGACCAGCACGACGCCACGGGTCGTACACAGGGGTATGGCTTGACCGTGCCTGCGTTGGTGTATGGGGGTTCGAGACCGGTTAGTGTCGGGGCTTTGCCGCCGCCTAGGGCGTTGGGGAGTGCCGGGGGGGAGACGGGTACTAGCGTTAGGACGAGCGTGGGGAGTGAGTAAAGATTTAGTGATGGGTGGGTGTAAAGGGGGAGACTTTTGGGATGTGTTTGATGGATTTATTTAGTGTGTTTTTTTTTCTTTTGGTTTATCGAGGTATCAGAAGAGTAATTTGGATGAGGTATGTTTGGATATAATGAGAGGATATCAGCCATGTATGTAGCGCGGGATAGACCCGTGCTCAATGCTCAGTGGAGGTTATCGATGAAAGTGTGCATTTTAGTTTTGTAAATACCCTGAAAATTCCAAGACTGTATTTTGAACCAGTTACTCCTACTATCCTATACTAGTTCCCTTCTTTCTCTCGTCACTGATGCTCTTGTCACTGGTACTGGAGACGCCTGTCTGTTTTGCTGATGTGTATCGACAGCAACGGTCCGACGCCAGTAACGCCCCCGAGACAGTGCTGCTAGGAGGGATCGCAGGGAGGATGCGGTTCTTGGACAACACCACCGATCTCTCTCGCGATCGAGGCATATGGTGAGAAACTACATAGTAAACTGCCTTGCTCTCCAATACCGCCAAGTGTGTACCGGCTGGTGTAAGTCGTCTGCCCTCAGGGGTGTCACGTGCCCAGACATGGATCAGGTCACATGCTAGAACCAACCAAACGAAAAGAACAACCCGCAAAAGCTGAAGTAACGGAATTTGAGAGCTAAAAAAGTCCCTCGTACGATAAACTTTCTTTTGAAATGTAAAACTGCAGTTTTCCGCCTCTCCCATGTCTACCACCACCGTCAAACGCCTTGACCCTTGGAAACACACTTGGCCGCCCTCGTCTTGACGTCTCGGGTTTAGGGGTCAGAGCAACCATGCCCGTGTTCCGGAATCGACTATTTCCCGACTCACGACCCCCGTCCCGGATTGCCACCAGTTACCGCCCATACCTTTTCTAACAATAACATGTGAGAAAACAAACATTACAATCGATAAGTATACCCTCGTGTGTCCCGTATCCATCTCGGCAAGTGATGAGCCTTTGCCTCCTTTCTAGATGTGCTCCCCATATCACCGGCGGGTTGGCTTTCAACAAGGCCGGGGCCCGGAACGCCAATGCCTGTGTGATTCGAGACGAAGCATTTTGCCGGCCTGTCGTGGTCATGGGGTTGTGTATGTTGATGCGTTTGGTGGGCAGCCCGGCAAGCTGGAGAAGGCTATTATATCGGCCTCATATCCGAAGCTTCCAAAAGCCCATGTCCATGAATGCCGTGGCTGGGCATGCCTTGGGGCCGGATACGAATGATATAACCGGCTTTGACCGATGATTATGATCGCCAGAAGCATCTGCAGTCGACTTGACTCCGCGACCCCGATCGATGACATCTTCCAACTCCAGAAACGAAGCGAAACGCCATCAGATAAATGGTAAACGATGCTCTCACGGGCCGGCTTTCACCCGCTCAACAGATCCCGCACACTCATCCCCCGCGGCGCCGTCGTCGTGCTGCTGCTCGTCCGCCTATCCATCTGGTTCAGCATCAGCAACGCCGTGGTCGCCTCCTGGTCCAAATCCCGCAGCGGCGGCAGCGCTGGGCTGGTCAGGGCCGATCCGTACGCGGAGTGCGCACGCTGCGAGACGTCCGGGTATCCGCCACTGCCAGCCTGCGGCCCGAAGAAGGGTGAGGTGGTGGTGGACGTGGTGTACCCGTGCAGGCGGTAGTCCGACGAGATGGACGAGTACGAGTTGTGCCGACCGGGGTCTTGGGGTCGCAGAGCTGGAGACACGGACGGCTGCTGGGATCGGCTGGCGATGGGAGTGAAACTCGGTGATGGCGCACTAGAGGAGCTAGTCATCTCCACGTCGGGCGAACCTGCGTCAGGGTTGGCACCGTAGCCCTGGTTGTAGGTGTCTCCGAGGGTTGGGGATGGCAAGCCCGAATGGATGGCCGGCCTGGGCTGGGGGTCGAGCTGTGCTTCTGACCCGCACTGGGCCTTCAGCTTGGACACGCAGTCTTCCAAATACCGCACATATTCAATGGATGCCTAGACACGCCAGTTAGCCAAGACGGTCAGGTAAGCCAAGATCCCGTCACACTAACCTGCAGAATAGCCAGCTTGTGCATCTCTCCGGTGCACGCTGGTATCAACCCCTTGAGGACGGCAAACTCTTCATTCATCTTGGACCTCCTGCGACGCTCAATCAGGCTGTGAGCCGTTTTCCTGGCAATCTTTCTCCCAGCCGCGCTGGTTGCCGACGGTTGTTTCCTTTTCGTCCCAGCCGCTGCGGCCGTGGAATTCGCTCCCGCGCTACTCTTAGGCGCGGCCGTCTTGGAGCTCGCGGTCGGTGTCTCGGCGGGGGGTTCCTCTCGGGGCTTCATCTGGATGATCTTGCGGGAACGAGTCGGCGGGGGCGGCAGGGCGAACTGGTCCTTGGGCGGGTTGGCCGCTGACGATCGCCGGCGCGACTTGACGGTTTCGCTGGCCTGCGTGGGGTACAGCGTTGAGGCCGACGTTGGGAGGGCGCTGCGCCCTGCCTCGTTTGTGACGGCCGGTGGCGGCAGCTCAAAGGCTAGCTGGAGGGAGGCCATCTTGGAGCCATCCTGGCCTTTGATGTCTGTGGAAGACCCCGGCGTCGGGGGAAACGTCGCGCGAGGCATCGTGGTCCGTGGAAATGGATGTGGATTTGGATCTCGGGTACCGGCTGACCACCGACTGAAACGAATGGACTGAGCCGCAGGTTCTCAGGACGGGGAGAGCTTGGTTCTGAGGAATGGCGCGTGCCCAGCTTTTGACGGGAACAGCAGCCCGCGCAGTCCGGGGGTCAATGAGATGAAACAAGAATCAAGAGGCGCCACTCAAGCTATGTGAATTGGACACTTTTTGACAGCCAAACTTTGTCAAACAACGTCGAGCAAAAGAGATGAAAAGCGTTTGGGACGGAAGACAGTGGTAAGAGAACGTCGGGTGTTGAGAGGGAAGAAGTCGGGAAAACGAGGGGAGCATGGCATGACACTTGACAGAACAGACATCCAGATCCGAGAATCAAACAGGAAAGCAGCACAAGACTCCCTCCCTCTCTCCCCCCACCCCGGTCCACGCCCCGCGAAGAGTTGAGACATGGCGCTCCAGGCTTTCAGACCACGCACCCACGCGCCTCAGCCTGAGGTCACAGCCGATGAGAAAGGCCCAGCAAAAAAAAGATGGAACGGGAAGGGGAAGGGGGAGGGGGGAAGGAAGCTCGGAGATCGGTCGCGTGCTCAGCTCCCTTGTTGAAGGCACGAGGTGCAATTCAGCACGCTGATTGGCTGGTGGGTTCAATGCGCCCGACAGGGTGGATTTTAACTACAGGAAATAAGCTCCCCAAAGCCCTTATCCCCGATAGAGATAGTACTATTTTATGTAGCCTCCGCTTACACATGCTTCCGCCCCCGTGCCCTGGTCGAGCTTTCCCTTCCGACGAAAGAAAGTCGCCCGCGGGAAGCACCCAGCAAAGATCAAAGCTTCGCTCTCCTGTCGTCCAACGGCCTCGAGGCGCGGCGGCACGCCCCCCTTTGCGCGGCGGGCTCGCTCTGCCGATCAGCCCACGCGACGCCCTGTCCAATGCTTTGAACACGCGCCGGCCTTGGGCCCCGAGTTTCCGGTGTGATTTTTTGGGGGGAGCAAGTTCGAGGGCTTCGTACTTCCTCTTTTGTCAGGTGAATTAGGAGCGATCCATGGGCTGGGGGGAAAAGTGCTCGCGTGCCAATGGCGGGTGTTGGGATTGTGGACGTCAACGTTGGATTTCCAAGGTTGGGGCATAACGTTCCTGCGTACTAACGTTACGTACGACATAGCTGCAATGAACTTCTCACAAAAAATTGACACTGCGGAAGCTTCATATGTTGCTCATTTTAATAGGCATCAATTCCACCTTCGAGGAGGTATACGGATAGTTATCGAACTATCTTCAACACAAATGCTCCTTTCTCACCGACTCGCTCATCCCTCGTGACCTCCCCCTTACTTTGGTGTTTACCCACTTCCCCATCGTTCATCATCTCTCAGCCCCCCACTCCTCTACCTCTCCACCCTAGTATAAGCCAAGCACCCAACCCCATCAACTTCATCAACTTGTCTCACAACATCCCGGCCATCATTTCAGCCTCTCATCTCGCCCATGCAGCCCTTCGACTCGGTAAGAAAAATACCTCTCACTTACACCTCATTACTAGGATACTCCACCTTCGTCGTAGCCGCAAACTCCTCCTTGATACTGCGCATACTCACAAACCGGCCCAAGATAGCAATGCTCCCAGCCTTATCGTTGGTCCCGCTCGCCCGGCTACCGCCAAACGGCTGCTGCCCGACCACGGCACCCGTACTCTTGCAGTTGACGTAGAAGTTGCCCGCCGCGTTGCGCAGCCGGTCCTCGGCGAACCGCACCGCCGCCCGGTCTGTCGCGAACACAGACCCCGTCAGCCCGTACTCGCTCGCTGTGTCGACTAGCTCGCATGCCTGCGCGAACGCGCCCACGGGGTCGGAACTGTCGTCGTAGACGTAGGCTGTGAGAATGGGGCCGAAGAGCTCGGTGGAGAAGAGCTTGTGGGATGGGGTCTTGGCTTGGTAGATGGTTGGCTGCACGAAGTAGCCATGGGACCTGTCGTAGGTTCCGCCGGTGAGGAGTTCGAGGTCCTTGTCGTTCATAGCGTCGTCGATGACGCCCGCGAGTTTTTGGAACGAACCCTCGTGGATGACGGGGCCGAGAAAGTTCTTGTGGTTCCACGGCTGGCCGACCGACAGCTTCTCCGTCTCCTCGACGACGCGGGCCTTGAACTGCGGCCACAGCGATGCCGGCACGTACACGCGCGAGGTCGCGCTGCACTTTTGCCCCTGGTACTCAAACGCCCCGCGCACCGTCTGGATCGCCGCGTTCTCCACGTCCGCCGACGCGTGTAGGAGGTGGAAGTTCTTCCCGCCCGTCTCGCCCACGATGCGCGGGTACGACTGGTACCGGCCCTCCGCCACGCCGGCGCCGATCTGCCCGTACAGCTTGCGGAACACCGCCGTGCTGCCCGTGTAGTGCAGCGCGGCAAACTTCTTGTGCGCCAGCACCTCCTTGGTCACCTCCTCGGGCGGGCCGGGCACGAACTGCACCACGTTGCGCGGCAAGCCGGCCTCGAGCAGGATGTTGTACAGCAGCCAGTTGCTGGCGATGGCGTAGTCGCTGGGCTTCCAGACCACCACGTTGCCCAGCAACGCGGGGAGGCCCGGCAGGTTGCCGGCGATGGCCGTGAAGTTGAACGGGCTGATGGCGTACACGAAGCCCTCGAGCGGTCGGTACTCCACCCTGTTCCACACGCCGGGGGAGTTGTGCGCAGGCTGCTGCGCGTACAACTCTTCTGCGTATTGCACATTGAAGCGCAGGAAATCGCACAGCTCGGCTGCCGCGTCGATCTCGGCCTGCCACGCGTTCTTGCCCTGTCCCAGCATCGTCGCCGCCATGATGTCGTAACGGTACTTGGTGCTGATCAAGTCGGCCGCCTTGAGGAAGATGGCCGCCCGGTCGGCGAACGGCAGGGACTCCCAGTCGGCCTTGGCCGCTAGTGCCGAGTCGATGGCTGTCCGCACGTCTTGGGGCGAGGCTTGGGAGTAGGTTGCCACGGTGGTTTTGTGGTCGGCTGGGTTGACCTGTTTTCCGGTGGAGGAGGTCTTGATCTGTTCGTCGGGTCAGGCGGTTAGCTTGGGCCAGGGCCGAGGTAGGTTGGACACCATCGTAGATTCAGAAAGGCATTCATACCTCCTTCCCACCAATGACGAGTGGCACTTCCAACGCGCCCTTCTTTTGTAAGCTTTCGATGGCCGCCGTTAGGCCAGCCCGCTGTGGTGAGTCCTTCGCATAGTGTTGCTGCCAAAGAATAACCGTTAGCAAGCATGCCTGCATCGTTACACCTTTCAACAGCTAGTAAGCACTCACGTTAGGCTCGTTGGCCACCTTGGGAATCTTGAACGCCGCAATAGTCGACATCCTCGTAGTACTAGGGAGCTTGGGTGTATGTTGCAACCTGGGTTTGCTAGCTGAGAAAGCTGCTCGTGTGATGCCAGAAGGCAGAGACGACGACAACACTCGAAGTTGGCGGGACGCCATGATTATGAGATATCTTGCTTTCCCTTCGGCTTTGCCTCTCCAACCGAACCAAAATACGTCTGAAAACACACACACACACACAACACACAGTGTACTCAAAAAATGAGGGGTCAAGACGAAAAGGGACGAACACCGGTTGGAATCGGCAAGCAAGAAACCCCAAGTTCAAGGAACCAAAGACGTAATGTGGTCAGGTTCCCTCCCAAATCGACCTTAGATCATGCGTGTGTAACCGCGCCTCCGACGTCGTCTTGCGTGGGGTCTTGGTCGAGAACCACCTATCCAGAGAGAGACCTCAATACCTTCGGCCCTCCTTCACCCGGGCCGCCCGCGTGCCTTTGATGCCCAGCTTGCCCAGCCAGCGAACCAAGCACGACTCGAACAAACGCCGTTGGGTCGCTTTCCTGCGGCTTTGCAATGCGCAATGGGGCCTCGCCTGGCCGTTGGCGTCATGAGGGGCAGTGGGGACAAGCCCCATTGGCCAATGGTAGCGCTTGCCGGGTGCCAAGATGTGGGTTGGGCGGAGCCCCCGGCATTCTTATCGGAGCCGGTCAGTGGGGTTTTATCAGTGCCTCGTGCTGCGGGCCGAAGCCGGGGGGGCCGGGGGTCCGGGGGCTTGATGGGCCGAGCTTTTTGGAGGGGGTTCGGCCGGCATAGAGATGGTCACGCGGTCTTTTTGTTACCGGAGCCAGCGGACACCAACCTCGGAAGTTTTGATTGTTGATTTTTGATAGAAAACTGCGATCTCGGAGGATGGTTTGTTCTGGGTGCAGAAGTCTTATATGAGAGCCCTAACAACACGCATCGATGGGGTAACCTTGTCTGTCGAGTGTTTGGTTGCGCTGTGTAAGTGGTTACAGGGGAGTCGAATATCAAGCATGTATGCGAGAAACACGAGAAGAAATCGTCAACGTTGGCTTCAGATCAACTTGTGGTAGAGAACACATTTGACGCCAGGAATACGAGAGGTTATTACACCGCATATTGCTGAGAATGTTTAGGTGTGTTGAATATATTGCATAGGTACCCTTGTGTTGTTGTGGTTTCTTGCCATGGTCCATGTGTAACCGCGATCGTGATCCAGATGAACGTTACTCATGGGCGTTTGTTTTGGATCTGCAGTATAGGTGATACAATCACTCAATGTAATAGACGAGGCCGAAAAACTAGCCAAGTCAAGCCATCCGCTCGGGGATATAAACAGGGCTTTTGCCTTGCCCTCCGGTTGCCCGAACTCAACCACAGTGATGGACGGGATGTTCCGTATGCTGTACCCTCCATTATTGTCTCATACCATTGTCCTTACAACCTATGTCCTAGGTGTTAGTCAAGAATATATTACTCCGAGGGTCCTTGTGATGGTCGCACCACCAAGCCTTATGTTCCAGGCTTGCAGCCCATCTATTGTTTCTGAGATCATTTTGGGCCTTTTGGGTTGCTATGCTCAAGTTTCGGGTTAATTCTCCGTGACAGCTTCCTCGAACGGGATGTAAAATACGAGACTGAGAACCAGTTATGCGTTGTTAGCTGGTTCCCGAGATTATGCCTTGCCCCAGTTTCATCTTCCTGACAACGACAAACGGAGTTGTTCTCAGTCCTTTCCAAAAGGACAGTAACCCCCATCCATCCGACGACAGCCCCCCCTCTAACTTCATATGTCACAACAAGCGGGCCAAATCCCCTCTCCTCCCGGAGGCGTAGCCATTGTGCCACAGTCCAAGCCCTGTCTCTCTCTCTCGAAAACAAAACTCCACAACCCCCAAAATATCAGACCACTTACTCCCCAACCCAACCCAACCCACTGCCACGTTCCATGCAAAGAGACCGAAAGGGGAAGAGCCCGCAAGAGAGAGGCGATCTCAAAACTCCGATGGTGCGTAACACCAAATTGGGACTCGGGCAGGCGTATGTACAACAAGACACACATAAATAAATAAAAGCCTCGCCTAAACCGCTTGAACCGCTGACGCCGCTCACTCCTGCGCCCTGGCCCTGCAGTCGGTTGCTGTGTGGTGAGTTGAGGTAGGGTGTGGTGTGTAACGAAAATACAGACATGCATGCATCACGCAACACAAGAACGTGAAACTTGGCTTGTGAAGCAGAAACATGCTGCATTCTAACCTTAGCTAGCACACACGACGCTTATCTGAGATGGGGCTCTGGCAAAACCTCGATAACAAAACAAGGCGGATCGGGCTTGGGCTTGTATTGTACCACCCACCCCTCGAATACTAAACCCGAAGGGGTGCTTTCGTGCTACAGGTTTGGTGGGTGTGTAGGTATGTCTGCAATATGTATGTAGGTGGATTATTCAGAACGATTTTCTACTTTGGCGCTGCGGCCCAGGGGCGCGGGTCGGGAAGAGAGAGGGCAGAGCCCGAGAAGGCTGGCGGCTACAGGGTGCGGTCTCTCAAGAAACAAGGCAAGAATACCAGGAACTAACAGACGACAACGACGAGCCTCGTCAGTGGCCTCATCCACACCCCTCAGACGCGCAGGTTAAGCCAAGGGTTGTTGGACGTTGATGATCACGGAGACATCATGATATTCAACCGACAAATCCCAGTCAGCAAAACCAAAAACATGGGCTGTTTGGTGCCACGCATTAACTTCCTCACCAGCCTTTTCCGAGAATAACCCTCCCCCCTCGTTCCTCGTGCGTTCCAGCACTAAAGGTGCTTCATCGCCCGAGGCAAGCCAGCGGCACAGGCGCGGGCTTTGCTCACTCGCCCACTTGTATGCGTCGTCACAGCCGGCCCGCTTAGCCAGTAGGTATGAAGCCACACACCGTAGGTTAGGGGCGACATCAGTGAGCCCCGGCCGTGGTTGTACTAGGACGGCGACATGATACTACGACTATCAGCTGAGATGGAGCAGGTTCGGTGCCTCAAAACCGCGCCCGATACCGCTGCTCGGGAACATGACGTTTTTGTCCATCCTCTTGACTCGGCCCCGGGGTGGCTCGATGCAAAGGGCCACAGTCATGCAGCGCTGGGCCGGTCATGTGAGAGTGGACTGTGAGCGGGAATGGTCGTAGGATTGGGGTACTGTTACTTCCCGCTGTTAGCGGTACCTTGTGTGTGGTATATGTACATAAGCTGAGTTCGTTCCCGAAGTGTTTGCTGAGACTAGAAGTTAGGACATTGGGTTGCACACTAAGTTACCCCGTTGTTTGGCCGCAGAGAACACAGTCAAGCTCGAGAGGCCATATTTACGGCAGCAACGTCTCATCTGTCGACCCGAGTCCCAAGTACAATGCTCAGTCAGGAACAGATTGTTGATTCACCGATGGATCCGCGGTAGTGCCTGAAGGTGGTCAGCAAACGCGACGCTGTGAGAGCCTTCTTCACCCCGCTGATTGGTCCAGGGGAAAGCAAAAATTCCATGAATCTGGCTCAGGGCAATTGCCGGTTGTCTGGAACTTCGCATGAACTAGCCTCGTTGGAGATCGCAGGGCGGACTTTGGAGGTCGGGCCCGAGCAAAGCTTTCCCGTCTCGAGCAAACGAGCAATTCGGTGATGATAATCGGACAGGGCGATCGAGATCGTGAGCGTTCACCGCGATCTGACCTCTGGTGACATACCGGCCCGACTCTTGATGACGATGCAAAAGCCACGAAATGTCCACCAGCCCAGTTCAGCCTTGTGGCCTTCCATTCTTGGTCGTAGTCATTGTTGTCGTCGACCGATGCCCCTGGCGGCCCATTCCCGAGACCGTAACGTCCCATCGGTGTTCGAAGTTTGGGGGACGCCAGTTTCCTTTTTTGGCCGTATAAGACAGGACACTTGGGCGGGCGAGCCATCCATCTTTCCTTTTAAGTTTCAGCTCTTCCTTCGCCAGTAGCGAATCAGGTCTGAGAAACGGTCCCCAATGCACGTTCCTGGACTCGGCACGATGGCCCAACCTCCGCCTAGCGAGCCAGTAATGGGACAGAGGTGCCTGGGAGCCTGAGAGCCCGAAAAAGATGCTCGGAGTCCATGCATGAGGCAAGCCCTATCCGAGGCTGAAGGTCCAGATATTTTGCATCCGGTGCCGTTGATTGGTTTGGGAGGCAGGTTTTTCGAACCGTACATTCCGGGCCACGTCGACGTCGGAATCTCATGTAGCCCTGCGGGGTGACCCCCCATCTTCTTTCGGAGGGTTCGGACCATAGAAGTGGGAAAGAACCCGTTTTAATGTGTGTGGTTACTGGTTCGTGAGTCGACCAGCACCGTTGAACTCAGGGGTTCGGAAGTAAGGGAGAACACTTGATGATAGGATAACGGTCCGGAAAGGCGACCAGTAACAATCCCTTGCGTCGGATCTCAAGCCCATCATCGCCTGCGTGAACTCAGTGTTTGTGCAAACCTCGTAAGTCACTTTCGACTTTCGAAAAAGAGTTGCGGAGGTTCCCATTGCTGTGCCGTGTCGGGTAGTATGCTTGAGGGGGTCCTGCAAGCCATCCTACCCAACAGCGCTTCTGTGATCCGCATCGGTATCGGCTGTGCTTTTCATAGTGGTTACAGCAAGCGGGGCGGGGTTGAGTGAGACGTGCCGATGGTGTCGCATAATTTCGCTCAAAACAAAACGATGAGTTTTCGGTGACTTCATGCCGACGACCGCAGAGAACCCCGCCATTTCACAGCCCTCAAGCGGGACGACACCAGCGCGATAGGCGAGGGCAATGCAGCTCTGAGGCGGGACGGTTGTTTGAATGGACAGCCGAGATAAACTTTCCCGCATTGCGCTGGTCGGTTGTGCGTTTGTACGAATGGCGTTAACTTACGTGACGACTGAGCGCTTCTGGAGGCGGGAGATTCGGTGATCAACTGCAATCTGCATGCCAACTGCCCAACTCGCGGCGTCTCGTGCCGCCTGGGCGGTTAGAAACGCCCGGGAAAGGGCGCTGCTAAGCGCAGGGCGCCTTGAGGATGAGGGCTTGCAGATTGCAGATTTACCTGCTTTGGTATGCCGCAGCAGCGCACGGTGTGTTTTCTAAATTGGCAGGCGGGACGGTCCAATGGCTAATGGAGGTCCTGTTATTGCAACATTGTGGTCGCAGCAGTGGAAGTCATGAGATTGCATAGTCTGTGGGCGCCGTATCATCGGATTAAACTAACTCTCCCCCACCTCAGCCGGGCGGCATAGTGTGTAGACGAGGACCTCGACGATGCCTTGATGGAGGGTATGTTTTGGCTTGGTTTCGACTGTTGCCGTTCCAGTGTCCTTGCTTTGCCTGCTCAGACCGTTCGAACGAATGAATAGGAAAGGATTGGCCGACGCTTCGGGCGGGATGCAGAAGTCGGGGATCGTAAGGGCAAACGCAAACACAAACGACCCAGCGAAGGGTGGCCGAGTTTTGGCGAGCATCTCGTCTTGAGTCGAGAAATTATGCGGGTGGTTCCTGGCAGGTTGGCAGGGTCTTGGTGCGGGGGCGTCCAGGTCTGCGCCCGTTCTGGAAAAGCGATCCCACTGCTTGGCACTGCACAGACCACGGGGTCAATGCTTTCCCCGGTAATTACGGAAATTTCCAGGGACAGTTTCTCGGTTCCCCTCTTTGGGGTTTCAGGAACAGGAAACAAAATTCCACCACACATCTCCACAATCGGGCGGAGTTTTTTTTGTTGCTGTCGAACAGACTTGTGAGAGGGCGGGGGTCAATGAGAAAGGCCGACGAAGCCTCACCGCTTCTCGAACACAGGGGCCTTGACCGAAGAAAAAAAAACTTCAGACACGACACCACGGGAGAAATCATAATTCCTGCGGGTCTTGTCGCAGACTTGCCGACCTGCGGACTTTTTATCCGGCAGCGGGGCGATGGCGAACGCCCAAGACTTCGAAGTTCCTTCCACTTTCCAACGGGCGAACCTAGGAACTTGAGTTCGAATCCATCGAGTTTCCTCGAGCACGGGATCCGGAAACGGACCGCTGTTTGTGCTCTGTTAAAGGGCGGATGAGAGTCGAAATGAGACACAACTGCCATCGAAACAGTGCCCCCCTTGCCTCCGAAGTTGCCGAGCAGCTTTTTGTCGTGAGTGACTACGCGAAGTTACTTTCGGGCTTTCAATGGTGACCATCTGCGGTGGGCCAATTCCTCATTCTCACTCACCTTTGCGTGTGGGGGGCACGAAGAAGACCGGAAGAAGGTACCCCTCCTTCGGCTTCCATGCCCGTTTCTGTGCACGACGAGGGCCACTCTCAGCAATCCACCAGTCCATGTGTTGGCCATGTGTGTGGGATGTTCCATTCTCCCCTCTCGTCTCCATCGCAAGCTTCCGCAGGGCCCGCCGGATTACGTGGGCAGGGCAGAATTCGTATCGTGGCGAGTGGCTCGCTATGGCCAAAAAAAGCGGCACACCAAGTGCCTGGATAACTTACTTTGCTATAAAAGTGAAAAAAGACTAAAAAGAATAAACCATAAAAGCGAAAGAAGACAAAAAGAATAAATCCAGAAAGTGAAAAAAGACAAAAAAGAGTATATCAATCAATAAGATTTGATTGAATGTTAATGGATTAGACTTGGGCTATTTGTTTTGGTGTGTCGCTTTTTTTGGCCATAACGAGCGTGGTAACATCCACTCACTGAGAGAGGAACTGAGGACCTGGCAAGCCTGGGCGTTCACATCTTGAGATTACGAGTATTTTCCGTTACAGAACTAACAGGGGGTTTCGGGCGAGCAACCTTTCCCCTGTCGGTTCCTGGCCTGCGAGAACGGCCCCCCGATCGCCGAGACCGTTGACTTGACTGGAAAGAGCTCCCCTGTTTGGCTGGCCGGGCCTCCAGCGCACCCACCACCCATCTGCAAGCACTTCCGCCACGCACGCCAATCCCGAGCGATAAGACCAAGGTTTCTCAAAACAGCTGCGTTTCAGAAAACCTGCGCGGCAGCCCCCCCGCCAGGGGATCTGCTCACCACAGCAGCAGTCAATGGCCGTTCATCTGACAATGTTTTCGCTCGTCACAACGGCCGGGGTTTGTCGTCGGTTGACCCGTGGGAAGAGGCCGTCTGTTGGTTACGGCCACTGCCAGCGCACCATCTCGTCGCACCGCCATCATCAGCCCATCAGCGAGCCTACCTGCACGCCTTTTGTGCCTATGCAGGTCGTTTCACTAGCGTGCGTTGTCGTTTGCAGAACTGACACCACCGACGCCGCCGCCATGGCGCCGAAAGTGGCACCCAGCCTCCTCTGTTCGAACTGGCCCAATGGCCCAATGGACCCCCCCTCTCGATCGACTCGTGGACTGGCCGTTCCTGACCGAACACAGCAAAGCCTGGCTTGGGCTGGCGGCCATGGTGTGCGGCCATGCTTCCATGATGGGGGGGAGGGGCCACGGCGGGGGTATTGCGTTCTCGACGGGGTGAAGTGGTACTGGGAGGTCAGGTACCCTCGTACCTTAACAACTTGGCTGCTTGGCGACCTCTCACAACCACACCCACCCTAACCCACCGCCCATTGCAACCTCCATGGAGTCCGGCCGGATGTGGAGAAGGGCTCGAGCACCCCGGGGTACGAAGGTATATCTGCCGACCTGCCCGGCTCTTTTGCTTCGAAGGATATTTTCAAGCTGGCTCGGCAGGGCACACGCGCTTTCTCACCATTCCGTGTGGTGACCCCCCCCTTCCCCCCAATATACTCCTAGTAGTAGTGTGTCGTCGTTGTCGGCGGTGGCCCCTCTTGTTTACTGGGTCGTTTTGGGAACACAGATACACTACATAGACGTGGGAGCTTGCACTCTTCGTCTCCTTCTTTGTCCCCTGTTCCAGCTCTTCGTGTTCACCCACCCCTCGATTTCGCCCCCAGGCCGCCGTGCCTGGACCGATCGATGCTTGTTCAGCTTAATGGGCTGTTCGGTCTGCTAGTCTGAGTTGGCTAGCTTAATACTGTTTGTTCTCCCCGCATATCTCAGTGCCCGTGTTGTCAATTCTTTCCCTTCCTGTGTCACGGCCATGGCCGGAGCTCCGAATCAAGCTTCAAAAGGTCGATATGAGCCGCCAATTGGGCCGAGACAGTGGAGGGGACCACCATCATGGCTATTTCCGGCTGTTTCAGTGACGACAGCAGCACTAACAAACTCGACGCTAGGAGCAACTAGTCTGCCGGCGCCTACCTCGGCCAGGACCACGGACTCACCCACCGAGCTACCCGGCACAGCCGCTAGCACGACACCGCAGACGATTGGGTTGTACACGGCTTCCCCCGATGTTGGCAACTCGGTAACTCCAGTACGGTAGACCGGCAGTCGTCCCGCACAAGCCTCACGACCAGTACTATGCCCACCGACACTACCACCACGACCGGAAGCTCCCCGACGACTGGTATCTCCGAGTCCTCCGACAATGGCGACTCCGGGATCGGGAGCAACAGGACCTTCATCATCGCCCTCAGCACCGTCCTCTCGGTAGTGGGACTGGTTTTGATTGCAGGGACTATCTTCCTCTTTTGGAGGAAACGGCAACGGGGTTTTCTCTCTAGGGGCGTATCCCCCATCGACGACGATGAAATCGAACGATGGAAGTCGCCTCGTGACGAGAAGACGAGATACCATGCCGGGGACACCGACCTCGAGGGCGACGCCATTTTCCACAAAGAGACGGGCGTCCCGTCATCACACTCCAAACAGCTATCTAACGGCTCCGTGAAGAAGCCCCCGAGCGTGATCGTCTACAACAACCTCAACAACATCAACCGAGGCTACGAAACCCAAGGCACCCGCCACTCCACCGACGCCGATTCCCGCCGTTCCTTCGTCCAAAACCACCCGGCCTTCACCTCCCCCTCTGCTGCCCCATCCCGCAAAACCAGCTTCGACAACATCAACATCAGCAACACCAAAGGCCTCCCCCAACTCCCCATCCAAGCCCGCGCCCCCAACGCCCGCGCCGGTCTCACCGACGAGTCCGTCCCAGGCGACGAGCCCTTCCTCTACAGCCCCAAACGCACCCCCTCCCGCCTCTCCAAACTCCCGTCCAACTCCGCCCTCAACACCCGTCGCGGCCACCACGCCCGCGCCCGCAGTTCCCGCAGCAGCGCCCGCAGTTTCGGGGATTACTACTACCCCGGTGCGAGCACAGGCGGTGCCGGGTCCAGCCGGGCCGGGTCCGACTTGGAGTTGGCCGCCGCCGGGTCGGCCGTGGTGCTGCCGAGGCATTCGCACGACCAGATCCGGCGGAGTAGCCGGAATTCTGGGAATGCTGGCGGCGGTGGTCCACGGCGGAGCAGTCACTCTAGGGTGTACTCGTCTTCTTCCATTCCACCGAGATTGTCGATTGGCGACGAGGTGATGTTTGGGGGGCTTTCGCCTGCACGGCCGAGGTTCCCTGGCGAGGGGGAGATTGGAAGGGCGATTGGCTGAGCGTTGAGGCTGAAGCTAACTACCTAGCTTCGGCTCTCATCAAACGGCCGATTCCTTCTTCTCTCGCTCGCGTTTTTTTTGTTGGCATGCTTGCTTTTTTACCCCTGATTATATATTTTCGACCAAGCAAGCGGGAGTGACTTGACTTAGCGCGGCGGTTCCATGCTTGTTTCCGAAGCGGGAATCGGAACCGGTGACGCTCTGTTTTGCTTTTCTTGCTGCAACGCAACAATTCATCGATCGGGCCGCTCAACTAGCGCCTGCAATCGTCCCTTTGCTTTTTTTTCTATTTATTTCGTTTGTTCACTCTCACCCACCTACTTATCACGAAAACCTTCCATTCATATATATACGACCTACAAACGGAGCTAGCTCGAAGTGCGAGCGAGCAACCGTTTCGTTGAGGAACGAAGTTTGAGTGGTTTTTCTTGTTGTTTTCAGGGGTATACCGGGTATGCAAGGAAGTGACGGACGGGCCCAGGGGCCGCAGATGGACAATGTTGTCTCATGATTTGACGTTGACGAACGATGATGGATATACCCCCGAGTTGCGCGCACTTGAGGAAGAGGAAGGACAGAGAATATCTTGAGCCTTTTGTTCTCAGAGTTGGCCTAGAAGGCCCTGAGTTTTTTTGACTTGGACAGAGTTTTGCGGCTTTTATCCCGTTGAGAGAAGCCTACCGAGTGGCTTATCCAAACTGGCAGCGTGCGACAGAGTCTGATACGATAGCTATATACATAACCTTTTGAAGCTGCAGAATGATAACTGTTCAAAGTATCGCAACATATGGAAACTCAAGTCTTCGTTTTCCGTGACCTGCGTGCTGTTGAAGACCCTCCTCACGCTAACTATTTCTAACAAACGATGCAGAACACTTGCATCTCGTGTACAAATCCGGAAGGGAAAACTTGAAAACAAAGAAAAGTCACCACGTTCCATTCTGTGTGACGAGACATTTTAGCTTGCAGACGGATATCGGGTCGTTCCCTCAAATGGGAGTCTTTCCGGCCTTAAAACCCGAAACGGTTGAGAGGTTCCGGGGCCCTGAGCGGGGTGTGTGCAGCTTCCATGCCTGCTTGCATTCTGTGGTTAGATCTCGAAGTGGGAAAGGAAAGACACTACGATTTGCCAACGGCGTTCATTTTCCACGTTGGGAATCTGCGAAATGACGCTGGAGGCGGGGGGTAATGTCCGGCGAGAGGGAGAAGAGTGTGAGAGTCTGGAGGCCATCTTCGGCAAAGATGGAGTGCCAAAAATAGGGAGGGGTTGGGAGGGACTAGTGTAGGGAGCGAGGGTTGTCACCGGCACTTGTTTGCAGATCACTTCACCCCCTCTTTGACTTACACACTTGGCTGGATAAGTAACCCTAACCCTAATCTATCTTGCCCGTTTCCCAGACCCTCGACGGAAATTGGCAAGATGTTCGTATTATTTCAAGGAAACGAGGTTGCGACTTCGAAATCCAAAGCTGTATTCGTAATCCAAAAGCATGGGCTATCTTCCCGTAGTTATAGGATAATTAGAGTGGGAAAAAGACGTTAACCACTTGTGAACTTTCACAGGTCAATTTACAGAGTCGGGTTAAGCGTGGAAGCTCAGACCCCAGGCCATTAACGCGTCGATTCGTAGCGCGACGCGCCACAATTTTGTCGATTTTCTCCACTACGCCAACTGGTCACTGCCCGAGAGTCGCAAACAACGACTTTCTAATCTGTAGCGCGGCGCAATCGGCAATTCCAACCCGAATTCACAACGGAGAAACAATTGAAGGTTGATCAAGCAAACCTACGCCACAGACCACTTGCAAGCCTTTGAGGGAGACCACGCGACAGCACCACCCAACAACGCGATCGAGCTCCGAGCCTCCCAGCCATGCCTGCACGTAAGAGTGACGCCCGCAAGAGCGATGTCTCGGTAGCAAGATTTGTGCCAGTTGGAGGCGACACCGTCATGGCCACCGACACACCATCTACAGAACCAGCAGCCACACCAGCCGGCGCGGCTGAGTCGGTAGCACCCGGCTCTGCTCCACCACAACTCGGCGACAAGAAGGACAAGGATAAAGAGAAGGAAAAGGAGAAGGAGAAAGAAAGGGACACATTGACTATCGAGGTGCGCATGCCGGATACCCCGGGATCAATGAGGAAAGGCGGGGAGGGAGAGGGAACAATTATTGACAAGAGACCGGGCCACAGGACCTCACACTACCGAAATCGATCATCACCCGCCTCGCGAAGGGGATGCTACCGCCGAATACACAGATACAAGCGAACGCGATCCTCGCCCTGACGAAGAGTGCGACAGTGTTTATTAGCCACCTGGCTGACGCGTATGTTCTGCCCCCCCTCACTCCTTGGCTTTCGATGCCCCTTTTGATTTTGGTCAGGGTCTGACTTGTGGATTGGATGGATGGATGATTAGTGCGAACGAGTTCACGACAGGGGCGAACAGAAAGACTATTACTCCCCACGACGTCTTCAATGCGATTGACGAGATTGAATATGGCTTTATGCGCGAGAAACTGGAAGCCGAGTTTGCGAGTATGCACACCTACCCTTTTCCCTTCTCCACCAGAAGCAGCCGTCCCTAAGTCACAACTAAAACTAACCACTACCTTGAACCCCCCCCTAAAACAGAATTCAACGAAGTCCAAACCTCCAAACGCTCCACCTACCGCAAAAAGGTAGCCGCAGCCAAGAAAGCCGCCAGCCAACCTAGCAGCAGCTCCGGCGTTGCAGCCGACGTTTCCATGATCAGCACCGCTTCAACCACCGCTGGCGGCGGCGACGAAGCCGGTGGTACTGGGTCATCTGGTCAGGCGCGCGCAGCAAAGAAAGCAAGACTGGACCCTTCAGCATCATCGGCTGCCGCGGGTGGTGGGGGGGACGATTCACGGATGGATGTGGACGAGGAGGTCTCGGATGCGGAGACTGTGCCTGAGGAGCAGGAGGAAGGTGGGGATGAGGATGAGGACGAGGAGGATGATGAAGAAGAAGAGGAGGATGAGGAGGAGGATGATGAGGAGGGAGGAGGAGAGGATGGGGATGAGTTGGAAGAGCGGGAGGCGAGGGAGGACGAGGATGAGGCGCTGGATGACGACAGTGATTGAGAGGGCAACCGCGACGCGAAGCTACGCGCGTGGGCTGTGTATGTCTTTCTTGTTATCAGGAGGGCTCGGCAGTTTGGACATGTGGGCGGAGTCGAAGTACTACTGTATGTACATACCTACCACTACCAAGTAACGAGATGCCCAACATCCGTTGGTCGGCCGGTTCTACCACGATCGACCGGCTTTACCGCAGGCATGCATGCGTGCCTATCTGCACGTTACATAGGATGGACATATCGCGACAACTCAGGACAGGAATGATAATAACCTAATCTTCTGAGCATCGCCCACACACCCCGCGCCGTGCCCCGATAAGTTACTGCACCGTTACATTTCACTACAACGCCCGCCCCAGTGAGCGGGTGATGTCGTGCTCTGGGTGATCATCGGGTTCGTATTCTCAGACACGAACTACGACCAAAGACCACATAAGAGAGAGACAAGAACAGGCGATAAACAAAACGGTATGTATCATCCGGTTCAAAATCACGGGGATATGCCGGGCGTTTCTGCTGCAAGTGCTTCTCTAATTACCTTGCTACGATAACGCAACCATAGTTTTCTTGTCCGGTCAGGTCAGGTCAGGTCAGGCTTCTCTTTGGGCACGGCAGTGAGCAGTGAGGTTACATTGTCCAAGAGCATTTACATCGATCGAAAGGGACCGGCCCGCATTTGGTCGGGCATCCGATGACCTCTCTCAACTCCCTAAAAAGAGAGTCAAATGACTCCTTTTTGCATATTAACCTTACGCACTTGGTCGCATCAGACAGGGATATGGCCTTTTCTGAAATCTGCCCTTCATCACAAGGGAGCCCTCACTCCTACCTAGCCCGGTTATTAGTTACATGTAGGAGAAGGGAGAAAGTCCGATCCAACTCGGTTTTCTGAGATCGGGGCTATCGCGTCGTACAAAAAGATAATGAGGAAAAAAAGAGAGGCGCGTTTATTTTCTGATGTTACTCCGCTGGCTGGTTTCACAACGGGCCGTCGACCACGACCACACCGTTGAGGCTGTGAACGGATCCCCCACATCCCTTCCATCACATGTTCCGTTTTTGTTTGCCCTCGCCGGTCTCTTTGTTCCTAGTGTACGAATAGAGGGATGAGAAAAAGGAGACAAACAATCCATGCTTCGCGTAACCCACTCCGTTCGTAGCCACCAAAGGGATGAAAGAGGGGGGGGAAATTCCCTTCGGTTGAATGAGTCCCACTGGATATGTCCTGGTAGGTAGGTAACCAGGTAAGTTCAAGGTTTGACACACACCCAAGCTACCGGCCCGGTCGGCCGGTCAGTCAGTCGGTCGTTCTCTCAACCACTCATTCCCTTACTCTGCTCGATTCGCGCGGAGTTGACGCCGCCACCGGTCGTTGTGGCTTTGTCAGATCTGAGACAAACAGGCAACGCAGCAGCCAGTCAGAAGGGAAATCTGCGTATATTATCCAATTGCGCATGGCTAGCGCAGCGCGTCTGTCTCTAGTTGCTGCTCAGCCGGGATTTAACGTTACCATTGCACTGCGTCTCAGTTGGAAGGGGGAGCATGTGAATAATCGAAAGGACGCATCGCATCGGTTAGGTTTCCTTCCGAGGATTTGATCACCCGCGAAAGAAAACAAGGGCAAAAAAGGGGGAAGGTGGCAATAGTTGTTGGCGTCAGTTCAGGCTGGAATATGCGAAGCTGATCGAGGGGGCTAAGACGGCCATCAAACCAGGTCGTCGCCCCCAACAGGGTTTGAGTTAAGCGAATCCAGCAGGAAGGGTAGCCCGGGTGGTGGATGAGAAACGGGTTGTAAACAAGTCTAAACTAAGCAAAAACCGGACTTCGGCTTCGCCATCAGTTGTCGTTCAACTAACATGCACAATAGGTAGGTAGCAAGCTTTCAACAATAGAGGAACAAGCACGAGTTTCAAAAAGTTGATTTGTGTCCAAAAGAATAACAAAAAGTAGGTGTTATGGTAAAACAGGCAGCACTGAAGAGAAGAAAGGGTTTCAATCCAAAAATACGAACAATGTTCACAGCCGGCCAAGTTACACGTAAAAATGTTGCAGCGCAACGCAAGAATCCCACAGTATGTGCCTCCCATGTTCCCTCAGCATCAGCCAGCCGACACCAAAACATTGCAGTATGGGAAAGCCGACAACAAAAATGATGCGCCCAGAGAGCTCGTAGGAAAGGAGATAAGGGGTGTGCGATGTTAGACAGAAAACGCTGAAAGTGTGAGACTGGGTGTTGTGTGCAGGAAAAAAAGAACGGAAATCCTCCCCCTAGTTAAAAACTCCCGAACCTGCCCCCCTCTGACATGAGCCCCGTGTTCGTCGTGGCCGCATAACATCGAAAATCGCAGAAGATAGCCCTGCAAGGGGCGATGCGCGTTTGTTCATTAGCCAGAGCGTTCGTAAACAGTATCCGCATCGTCGTGAGTATCATCGAGAGTCGAATCGAGTCGGGTCGGGCTGGCAGAGGACGGAGACGCCGAACGGGCGGGCGAAGTAACCAAGCCAGAAAGAGAAAGGAAATAAAGTAATAAGCGGAAAAGTAGCAGAAAAGGAGGAAAAAACAAAATAGCGAGGTATCACAGAGAAAAACAGAATGTGTGAAGTAATGCCCTCCCCAGACTCCTCTATCCCCCGGAACTGGTGGTATCTTTCCTTGCCGAGCCCGGATGCTGCAAGCCGATCACACCACTTACGTCCCCATACCGAGAGCAATTTGCCTTCCCATCAGTAACACATGATGCCCAACCCAACCCAGAGAGAAGGAAATAGAAAAGCTGGAGGTTGATGGAGATTGCTGCCTTGCAAAGAAGATCCACCACAGGATAACGTCTTGAAATATCGCAGAAACTCGTGGTATTCCAAAATTGAGGAGCCCACATTGGGCATGGGCGGCGGACCATCCAAGCCTCGGGGGTTCACGCCGTCGGTCCGTTGGCCTGCTGCCCCCTCAGGGCGAGTCCACCGCCGGTGTGGGACGGAAAGCTCACTGGGGTTGATTAGCCCACCATTGCTGCGGAGCCTGCGGCTGCGACCAGCCCTGCGTGACGGCCGGCGCCTGGGGGCTGGATTGCATGTATTGTCGCGGTGTTTGGTCGGCCGAATACATCCCCGGGGTCGCGCCGGCACCATAGCCCTGACCCATGCCCGGCATACCCGAGTAAGGCATGCTGCCCTGTTGGACGGGGCCCGAGCCGCTGGAGTGCCGCATCTGCGGAGCGGGGGGTTGCTGGGGATGAGGCGACGGCTGAGACTGGGTCGTATAGGCCGAGTAACCGTGCTGGGGGGTCTGCGGCGTCGGCGGCCACATCTGGCCTTGCGAGTAGCTGTAGTTTTGCGTCGCCTGCGGTAGCGTTGCCGAGGTGCCTGGAGACGAATAGGTCGGCCTCGATGTGCCCTGGGTTGAGTCATGGGTCATACCTCTCAGTGTGCTCTGGCCAACCGGATTCTGCGCGTGGAGCGGCTGGGAGTAGGGAGCGGCGCTCATCATCATGGGGCTCTGATTCGGAACCAGCCCGGGCTGCTGCAGGGTGCTCGTGGTCGCGTGGGTCGCGGGCCCAGCACGGCTGGTCGGCACTGGAGCATCGGTCGAGCTGATGGGTTGACTAAGTGTCGTCGGCGGGGGCTGCTCATGCGGCCTCCGCCAGATCGTCTGCATGTAGTCATTTCGCAAGTCGCGTTGCTGGTTAACAGAGCGGTTGAACTCGGCCGCATGGTGGGCTTGGGCATGGAGCTCGGAGATGGGGGAAGGCTGGATCCGGTCCTGGTAAGGTGGCCCGGTGATTTCCTGCCGCGGACCAGTCTTGAGGATGGTCGAATAGTCCCGGCTCCGCGTATCGTTGTACTCTGGTCCTAGTGTTATTACAGGCATTCTGGTCGAGTTTCCCGGTGGTCCGCCAAGCATACCTGGTTGAACGAGTTGAGGCTGTGGAGCGCCACCAAATTGACCAGCATTGGTGCTGTACACGATTTCGCCGTGCGGTGCCCCAAGAATCGCGGTACTGTGGTTCGCCTCGGCTTCGCGAGCCTTGGAAGCACCCGGCCGTTTCTCGCCTGCCGGATCGGCCTCGGTGAACCCCTGCTTCCGCGCCTTCGTCTCCCAGTAGTCATCGCGAACCCGCCTCCCGTTCACAATGACACGGCTCCCGAACTGCCGGAACATGCTCCTAGCGGTCACGATGGCGATCTGGCGCGACCGGTAGGAGAAGGGCAGGATCTCCTGGTTTACCAAATCATCCTTCTCGACCTGGCTGGCGATGATTTTGTAGAGAGACCTGTTCTTGTTGAACAGCAAATAGGAATCCCGGTACCCCAGAACGCGCGCGCATTCGGTGGCGAGCATAAACAGCTTGTCTCCGCGGTTCGGCACAAGGAACGTACGGCAGCGGTATTCACGGTTTCCTGTGAGCTGGCCATTCGCCATCACCTTCTTCTCGCCAGCCTCGTCGATTTCCCGCGGGAGGTACTCATCTCCACCAGGCCCCAGTTGGTCGGTTGTATGGTCGCGCACTGTCGGGAGTGCCTTCAGTGTCGACTTGGTCGGGGTAGCCTTGGGAGGCGAGGCCTGAGTAGGTGCGTATGTCGGCGTCTGAGCAGGTAGCGGCGCGCTATGGTTCTGCGGCGTCTGCGGCGGAAGTGACTGCGGGGTGTTCGCTACGGGGGGGAGAGGTGCCGGGACGGCACTCTCGGGGGCACCCCCGGATGTCCTGGACTTCATCGGTCTTCCTCGTTTCCTCGGCTTGTCACTACCTAAATGCGAGTAAAAACGGGGTCAGTGTGTGATGGCGGGTTATACACAAGCGTGCACTGGGGGGGTTGCACGGTGAGAGGGGGCAAGATGGGGTGCGACGTAGGTACGGCCGAAGGTCGATGGCTGGGGACTCTTGGTACACCTAGTCATGGACGAACGAAAATCGGGGAAAAAAGGACGACCCTCGACGTACCGTCACCTCCCGTTGAACCAGGCGGTCCTAAGTCCCCGAAATCGTCGGGGGAACGGTTTCGCTTCACGCCTCTTGCGGCGGGCTCGATTAGGTCTGCGCCGTACGGCCTGTCAGCATTGTGCGCAAGGTAGTGGTGGTGGGGCGGAAAGCCGAGAGCGACGGAGTGGCGCGGCCCATCGCGAGAAGGTTGCGACGAAAGAGGAATTGCACCGCATCGAGGAGGAGCAAACGCCGGCTTCAACGACAAAGAGCAATGCCTAAACAGAGATCAAGTCTCAAGCTAGGTAGCGCAGACTACCTGCCTACTCGAGGCGACGCGAAAGAAAAAGGGAAACGAGAAACAGAGCACCGAGGATCGTGAATCGTGGACCAGAAATCCTGTGGAGGTGTCGCGCGGCATGCCACGGGCGCGGCGCTTGTGCGCCTGCACCAGCAAACCGCCTAGCTGGGCGCTCCAAGCAGAAAAGAATCAGCGACTGGATGACGCACCTGTGTTAAGCGCGGCGGGATTGATTGTTGCACTATCGGCGCCGTTGGGCTGTGCAGTGTACATCAGTGCCGTCGACGTCGACCACGCCGATGGGTCTGCGAAACGACGTGTCTTGATATAGTTGGGCTGGGCTGGTCTGGGGGGGGGGGCGATGGAGGAGGGGCGACACGGGCAGCCAAAAAGCAAGGCCGCTGCGTCAGTCAGAGAGGAGCCGCTCAAAGTGGCCGCTGTCCCTGGCTCCCTGGTTCTGGGAATGCACGGAGCACGGGTGCTGCTTGCTGGGTGGTGCAGACAAGGGACTGCTCGTGCATGTGCTGTGGTTGGCGCAAATCCCACAGGCTGCTGCTCCAGATAATCGGGTTGTCGAATGAAAGGGAAAAAAAAAGTCGACGTTATAAAAAGAGGGTTTCTAGGACCAGAGAACAGGCAAGCGGCTCGGCTGGGCACTGCGTGCTTTTCCCTCTTGATTTGTCGCCTCCTCCTTCCATCATCCATCTCCCCCTCCATGCTTCCTGCCTGCTGAACTTTGGAAAACCACTTTCACATCGGCTTTGCACCTGCCACGGCCGGCGTGTGCTGAGAGAGTGGGCTCCCAGGTGCTCCTGCCAGGCTGCTTGCGCGGACTGGTCGGCTGCAGGCCATGTGCGGGACCGGGGGTTAATAAGGCTAGGCCTGTTTTGGACTAGACTTGGCGGCTTTCCCATAAACGGCAAGGCAGAGCGGGGTACAACTATCCTGATCTGTTAACGCCCGGCGCGTCGGTATCGTTTAAAACACGAGATGCGGCAGCACCAATCCGGACAGCAAAACGCCCCCTCATCCCTCGGGGGCCGTCAGCGTTGAGCCGACTGGGCTGTGGCCCCGAAGACTGATGAGCCCCGTTTAGACAGCTGCGCACAAGACCCAAAGGATCCGGAGATCTATGGGCTAGACTGACCAAGCCGGTGTAGCCTGAGCGAGAGATGGCCGGGAATGTACCCCCTTGCGGGCAGCTTGCGAGAGTCATCGGTGATCGACTTGTTGGTAAACTCTAACATGTCCGCCATGTTTCCGTTGTCAAGATGTCAAGATGCGGCGCGTGCTGCTAGCGGCCTTTGCTTCGGACAACCATGTGGACCCTAGTCCGCGGAATCCTGCAAAGAGGGGTTGCGGTGGAAGGGGCGGGATGGCGCTGGGAACCTGGGCTTCCCGTTTTCATGACGGGGCCAGGGGTGAACTTGGTTTGGGACGGTAGGAGCACGGGTCAGAAACTCCCGTTTTGGACAAACGAAGACACGCTCGGCGCAGTACCTCTATCAGTTTTACAGAGCGATCTGCTTACTCGTTACAGGCAGTGTTGAGCTTCCTAGAACCATTTGTTTCAACGGGAGGACAAGCACAAGTGGAAGCGCATGAAAACGTTCCTTTCATCTTTAGACCAGGCCTCAAGAGGCGATAACGCACCTTATGAACATTGATGTTGATAAAGTCGCGCCAACTGAAGACAGGGGTCCAGTTCTCCATACCAGGGTTTGCGCATGGCCGATGGAGCCTGCTCAGGTGGCCCAGGATGTCTGGGTCTGTGCCGAGGTACCCCCGCGTCAGACAAAACTTCGTTACGTGCCATGGGACTGGAACTGGCGAGAGTCGTCCACTAACGTAGTTTTGGCCTCGCGCGACAAACAAAAATAGAGAAGGGTGAAAAAAAGCGAGGGATATGACTAGTGTAACTTGCGTGGTTAATCCCAGAACGCATTCGCGATCAACTACTATGTCTTTGGTTGTACGTTTTGGTGACCTCGTGGGGTCGAACCTCTCGAGACCTAAATCCGGGCAAGCCCACTCGAAGGACGGGCTTACAACAGTGAGAAATCACCTGAACCATCAGGTGCATATCCAAAGCTCTCATCTGACAAGAGAGTCTCAGGTCAGAATTTCTCCAGACTCGTTCAAGCTCAGGCAGCGGCTCGCTCTCCGCAACGTTTCTTTCACACGCAGGCGTTCGGGAGAAACCGAATAGCACACACCCAACCCCGCAGCGGCTGCAGAGGCAAGCATGCTGTCCGTCTGCACGACGGGACAAGACGATGGCAGAAGCGAGCGAGGCCGAAAGGTACGCAGGTTTAACGTAGCCTTGGGCGTTTTCCCAAGAGACCGATTCGAGATAAAAACATCTCGGGTAATCACCGGACGGCTCTCATCGAAACGAAGCCGAATATTCCATATTTCCCTCAACCTGAATCGCCTTGAGTCACCAATGCGAACCTGACCGCACAATCTTGGGTCCAAGTTGCGGGGAGCAGGAGCTGTCTGCGCCTCTTGCTCTTGGCTTGCCCAATCAACTTGTCAGATGGCAGGAGCACCCCACGACCGGCGAGGAATTTTCCGACAGGAGATGGAAGCTCTGCGGTTTTTCTGAGAAATACACACGATCTCAAAGTTGCTGATTCTCCACTCAGATCCAGCCCCGCTGACCGTTTCCTCTCGGTTTTGTGGGTGAGAACGACACAAAACCACTCTCCCGACTCGGCCAGACCACCCGTGCTTCTCTTGTTGCACAACAGTCCAACCTGCATAAGGTCAGCATGCCTGAAGGCCCGACAGGCCTATCTCAGAAACTCCAAGATGGGTTGAGTCAAGAGTCCGAGGACCTGAAGCGCGTCTCGTACAGATGGATCACATGAAAACCACGGCGCCCACCACGAAAGCGACTGGTATGCCTAACATCCGTACGAGTACGAAGTACATAGTTATACGTAGTACTAGGTTGCTATGCAAAGCGGTCCGCCGCCATCTGCTTTCCCTCTCACAAACGGATGGGAAAAGGCCGGACGGTTTCGCCGCACTGGGGTTCAAATGGGTTCAACTCGGAGACCTGCCGACAGAAGCTTTCATCAATGAAGCTCGATTCCGGCTCGCCATCTGCGCCGCATCGGTTCGTCAGCTGCCAATATTGTCTCGGCCGCCCGGGTTTGATTGGCCGGCTGCTCGGCGATCCGGAACGAGGATGACGCCACAGCTGAAACCGTGCAAAGGGCCTTCAACTTTCGGCTTTGCGGACACCGCGGGTCAGCGGGAGACGCGGTCCACGAGGGGAGACGATGACCCGGCTCACCCGAAGGGAGAGGGCATCGTCATGAGCGAGCGGGTCCCATGGTTTGGTTCTCGGCGCTGGACGCCAGCAGGCTCCTCTCGTGAAGACCACCGGGTGATTCGGCGAGCGGGCCGCTCACCGGGACCGACTTACACGAGGGAAGTCGCGTTTTCTCGAACACCTCAGAAACGAGGACGCGGAAAAGACAACGCGACTGGGAACAGCCACAAAAGGTGTTGCGAAATGAGGCGGAGCGCGAATTCGACCTGGCACGCGTCTTGGCATGCAAAAGAGTCCATCTCGCTTTCCTCGCCGTTCTCGCCATGATAGCCAACCCCGCATTTTGCAGTTGCCGAGCTCCTCACTCGCAGAGGACATCATCCATGATCCAGAGGAAGTCATCTCTCACGGTTCTTTGACGAGCTCGATCAAGAAAAGAAGAAGCAGAAACCAGAACACAATCTTCTCAAACGCAACGTCGCGCCCATGTGACGCGAAAATCGCACGCTTAGCGCGCGTTGGCACTCTGAGAGCTCCCAGAATCTGGGAATCTGGGGAGAAGAACATATGAGATGGTGAGCAAGATGGTGTGCCCGGCGGCATGCAGCAGGGGGCGGAATGGTCTCCAGAGCTTGGCCTTGGGTGGGAGGGGTGACAGGTGGGGCGCAAGACACACCACCGAACCAGGGTTGAAGCGAGGGCCAAGTGGGAACCGGCGCTTGAATTTGTAGCTCATGATTGGCCAGAGAACGTGCAGATGCGCTGACACACGGGCCATCTTCATGCAAATCACACCCCCCTAGTTCATTTCGCTCCAACCACGCCTCCCCTCTTCCACCCCGTCGGACCGCGGGGGGGTCGGAGAGAATGGTGAACGAACAGTTTTGGAATCTCTGCCAAAGCCTCCGTTTTCCCCCACAGCCTCTCCATTGACCGTTTACCAATGACGTTTTACAGAAGGTGATTGGTCAGACACCCGCAGCATCCCGCTCCTCCAGCCCGTTTTTAGAGAAGTCCATTAAGAAAAAGCCTCGAAGTGCCAGATCCAGAGCGACGGGGCCATCACACACGCCTTCACGGCCTCGCGCATCCACACAGAGGGCGTTCCGTCTTGGAACTCACAGGTCTTCCCGCTGCTAGTGAACACTAGCTGCGAGTTCCATGCCGAGAGCGCAGAGGAGTGGGCCATTCCGCACCAGATAACGTGGGTTCCATCGCCTCTGCGATCTCTGTTTGGTGCGGTCGCTGGAACGAGGGCCGCCATCTTCGACCCCACCTCTTCGCTTCCATTGCAGCTGTCATTCACAGCACCTGGCCGGCGGCGGCCCCTTCCCGCTCATGCAGGTGAGATGTGGAGGCTGCCCCGCCTACCAAGCCCGCCCAACTTGTGCATTCTTTCCTGGCATCCATGGGAATCGAAGCTTGCCCGGCCCTGTAACGCAGTCCCCTGTGCTCCCCACCGCGCACACCACCCTCCTCCCAGACTCATGTCAGTCATCCGTCCCTCGACACCATCTCACGACTGAAAATGGCCCACACGCGTGCTCATCTGCCGGGCTGTTTCTTCTCCGGACCAAGCACAGACAGTACCGAAAGCCTCTCGAATCTCCCATGGAAGGGAAACGGCACACACACCCAGACCACCCCTTCATGGAAAACGCCTGTCGGTCGGTCGATGATGGGCCATGGCCAGGTTCACGGATCTGCGCTCCCACACCCGCCTCTTCCCGGACCACACCCATCTTTCCCATGAGATAGCCCCATGTGCGGTGCTTTTTGTTCTTTGACTGAAACCCTCCTTCCCGGGACCTAACGGCCCTGGGCACAGGAATCCACGAATCAATACCAGGTTTCCAGGAAACTTCGAGGAAAAATGGGGGGTGTCAAGAAAAGAAGAGCGACACGGACCGTCGCGGTGCAACGCCAGACGTGGACGGGGCCGATGTCCGTCTGACTTCCATCTTGCTCACTGCCCCTCGGACATACACTCATTCTTGGTCATATTATCCAAAAAGCTTGACAATCTCGAGACCTATTCGAGTCCTTGATTGGGTCTTCGCAGAAAACAAGACCAACTGCACAAGCTAGAGAACCCGCCGATGCATCTTGTCTGCACATTGCTGCAGGCCTCCGTCTCAGGCACCAAGCCGAGCCGGGAAATCGGCCGACTGCACGACGTCCAAAAGTCCGCAGCATGCAGCCTGACATCGCGCGAATTATCTTTCCAATCTGACCCAGTTGGGTCGATGACGCAGGACTCGCTTCCACAAGAAGTCGCTATCTCTTTTCTTTTTCATTTTTTTTTTTTTTGGCTGTGCCAACTTCTTGATATCGGCTCCTACTCGTACGATCCCGGCGGCTCCCATGTCAGTCAATCACTGTTCGCTTTTTGAGAGACAAACCGCGGAATGCTGCCGTTTTTTGATAGCCCGACTCTTTCCAAGACGAGTCAAGTCCCCGGATCACGTTTTCTCTCCCAAGCATCATCCCGCTGGGCGATTTTACCCTAAAATCTGGTCTTATTACTATTTTTAAGATTCGTAGATTAAAAACGGGGTGATACCACACCGTCTGTCTGCACATGCTTTTAGATACCCCCCTCCCCTACACTTACAGGTCCAACAAAGCCGACAGACGGTCACCATCACCGTCGACCGACCGACCTCCTGTGTCTGACCCCACCCGCTTCTATCCCCCGATCCGAGATCTGATTGCAGAAGCGAGCCACAGGATGGCAATCTGGCAAAATCGACCGGATGAAGAGCCAGTGGAGATCATATGATGCAGAATGCAGAATGCAGTATGCACGCAGGTTTCTCTGAGCAACTCCATTCCAGCTGAAGCTCGACACTTTGTGGTAGTATTGTATGCAAAGTTACACTTGGTTGGCGCTCTTACATACGAAGTAACTCCATAGCACACCACTGGCCAGACGTGTGGAGTGAGATGCAATCGAGCCGACATAAACTGGACATACAGACAACCTGCTTGTTCAAAAAAGCGTGGGGGTCATTTTTTCCGAACCTCACATCAACCCCTTCTGCTTGGCTATCTGACTAACTGATTACCTCTCGACGCTTGTGGGAAGTGAAGGGGGTTCGGATTGTCGTGTGAAAAGATGTATTTCGCCGGCGGCGGATAAGACGGTTGAAGAGCACGTGAAGCCTAACGGGGAGGTGCTTACTGTTGGGCAGTTTTGATGATCGATCATGGGGCTCTAAAGCTTGTGTTTTAAGTTTGCGGTGATCCGTGAACCGCTGTTGGTTTCAGGAGGGAATTTGTTGGTTCATGCAAGCTTTGTTTGAGGTTTGGGACGTAAGTCTGGGTAAACAACCAAACGCTAGGAAACTGAAAGTTGGTGAAAGTTGGTAGGTGATCTACGAATACAGTGGGCGCTTGGACCTGATATAACTAACGTTACCACGTCGCCAAACTTGCGATCTTATTTTCGGTCGGATTTACAAATTGGAATTTGCGCATGGCAATACCTATATGAGGGCCCCCAGGTAACCCTTTCAGTGCCAAATAAAGCGTTTAAAGGTGGAAACCTTTTAGGGATGAGAGGCCTAAACCCAATATCACCTGGAGTTTCCGGACAGTTGCCGCTAATACCGCCGTGGTCCTAACTTACTGCCTTATCGATAAGAAAACTTAGGCTGTCTTAGCGCTATGCAAACAATGATTCGCTGGGCATCCGACATCCGCGTTTTCTTCGGCTTGGTCATCACAAACCGACCTCGAGAACGAAAAAAATAAAACTCCCAGACACTGAAAGCGCCCAAGCGCCAAACTGCGTACCGATATCACCCCATCACCGTTCCCTTTCCTCCTAGAATCTGTTTGCAGGGAATAGTCACACCCAGGGTTACGAAATGGCGAGCCTCAAAAGATCGCTCGACTCGGACCCGTTAGCGGCCAACATCTCGAGCAAGGTGTACGTGAGGTCGACAAAAAGCGGCAAGGTCCAGAAGATTGTGCGTGAGGTTTACCTCCGCCAAGACATCCCATGCTCGTCCAAACTCTGCAGGCGCTGCCTCAATACCTCGCCTAGAGATGCCGCCGGCCAGCGTAAGGCTATCTTTCTTTACCTTACATTACCTTGTTCTCCCTGTCGTTGGGGATGACGATGGTATCAAGATGGAAATTATGAACAAAATCAACATCTAATATTTCCGCAGCACGCCCCTTTGTCCTCTCCGAGGCGCCCGCTGGCACCAGCGTGTTCCAGCAAGGCCACTATCTAGTCCCGGACACAAACGCCTTCTTAACTGCCATGGACCTGTTCGAGCAAGACTCGGCCTTTTACGACGTCATTGTCCTCCAGATCGTTCTCGAGGAACTCCGCAATCGCTCGCTGCCGCTCTACAATCGCCTCATCAGCCTGACCAAGAGCGAAGAGAAGCGCTTCTATGTCTTCTTCAACGAGTTCCGGCTGGAGACGCACGTCACGCGCCAGGACGGCGAATCCGTCAATGACCGCAACGACCGCGCCGTGCGGAAGGCCGTGGCTTGGTATGGTGAGCATTTGGCCGGGACGGGGGCGCCCAAGGTGCCTGCTGTGGTGATGCTTACCAACGATCGGGATAATCTTCGCAAGGCGAAGGCGGAGAAGATCCCTGCGTGTTCGCTGGCGCAGTATGTTAACCAGCTTAAGGACGCCGAAGCGCTATTGGATATGATTCCGGATACCGAGGACCAGGAGACGATTATTAAGGATAAGCGCCCTGGTGACCCGTTGTACCCGGAGTACTTTACCATCTCGAAGTTGATGACGGGTGTGAAGAACGGGCTGCTTCACCAGGGGATATTTAACGTTTCCCTGTATAACTATCTGGAAGGCTCGATCAGGGTACCGGCGTTCCCGAAGCCACTGATTATCTTGGGCAGGGAAAACATCAACCGCTCCATTGATGGTGATCTCGTGGTTGTCGAAGTGCTGCCTAAGGACCAGTGGAAGGAACCGTCGACGCAGGTGATTGAAGAGGATGCGGTAACGAAGAATGAGAACCCAGACGCCGAGGAGACGGGGGATATCGTCTCGGAGAAGGAGCGCAAGACTCTACAAGAGGAAGTGAAGCGGACCCAGAACAAGACGACGGAGGGGCATGCCCAACCTACGGCAAAGGTGGTGGGTGTGGTGAAGCGGAATTGGCGTCAATATGTCGGTCACATCGACCAGTCGTCCGTTAGCCAGTCGTCCCAACAAGGCCGGAAACAAGACACGGTCTTTGTCATTCCTATGGACAAGAAGATCCCCAAGATCCGTCTGCGCACCCGGCAAGTGGCTGAGCTCGTGGGGAAGCGGATCCTCATCACCATCGACACATGGGACCGCAGCTCCCGGCACCCGACGGGCCACTTTGTTCGGTCCTTGGGCGAGCTGGAAACTAAGGCTGCCGAGACTGAGGCGTTGCTATTGGAGTACGACGTCCAGTACCGTCCGTTCCCCAAGACGGTTCTTGATTGTCTCCCGAAAGAGGGCCACGACTGGAAGGTGCCGGGGAGTGTCGATGACCCGGGCTGGCGTGACAGAGAAGACCTCCGGGGGTTGTTGATCTGCAGTATCGACCCGATCGGGTGCCAGGATATCGACGATGCCCTCCATTCCCGCCCCCTACCAAACGGGAACATCGAAGTCGGCGTGCACATCGCGGACGTGTCGCATTTCGTCAAGCCCAACAACGCGATGGACACCGAGGCCAGCATCCGCGGCACGACGGTGTACATGGTCGACAAGCGCATCGACATGCTCCCGATGCTACTGGGCACGGATCTATGCTCGCTGAAACCCTACGTCGAGCGCTACGCCTTCTCGGTGCTCTGGGAGTTGTCCCCGGAGGCCGACATCGTCAACGTGCGGTTCACCAAGTCTGTCATCAAGTCCCGCGAGGCGTTCAGCTACGAAGAAGCCCAGCTCCGAGTCGACGACCACTCGCAGCAGGACGAACTCACCACCAGCATCCGCACCCTCCTCGCGCTGTCCCGCAAACTAAAACAAAAACGCCTCGACGCCGGCGCCCTCAGCCTCTCCTCCCCCGAAGTCAAAGTCCAAATGGAATCCGAAACCTCGGACCCAATCGACGTCAAAACCAAAGAACTCCTCGACACCATGTCCCTAGTCGAAGAATTCATGCTCCTCGCCAACGTCAGCGTAGCCCGCAAAATCTACGACGCCTTCCCACAAACCGCCATCCTCCGCCGCCACGGCGCACCCCCCAAAACCAACTTCGACGAGCTCGCCAACCAACTCCGCGTCAAACGCAACCTCGACCTCAGTGTCGAATCCTCCCGGGCCTTAGCCGACAGCCTCGACGCCTGTGTCGACCCCTCCGAACCCTTTTTCAACACCCTCGTCCGCATCATGGCCACCCGCTGCATGATGGCCGCCGAATACTTCTGCGCCGGCACCCAGGCCTACCCGGAATTCCGCCACTACGGCCTCGCTTCCGAAATCTACACCCATTTCACCTCCCCGATCCGCCGGTACGCCGACCTGATGGCCCACCGGCAACTAGCCGCCGCCATCGGGTACGAAGGCCTCCACCCGGCCGTCCGCAGCCGTGGTCGGCTCGAGGCCGTGTGCAAGAACATCAACGTGCGGCACCGCAACGCGCAGCTGGCCGGGCGGGCGAGTATTGCGTACTACGTCGGCCAGGCGCTGAAGGGACGCAGCGAGGCGGCGGTGGAAGACGGGTTTGTGCTCAAGATATTTAGTAACGGGTTTGTGGTGCTGGTGCCGCGGTTCGGGATTGAAGGGTTGATTAGGCTGAGGGATCTGGCGGAGCCGGAACCGGCGGCGGAGTTTGATGCGGAGACGTATACGTTGAAGACGCGTGGGAGTCGGGAGGTGACGGTGGAGTTGTTTGGGAAGGTGAGGGTTAATGTTATGGATCAGAAGGATGAGGTGACGGGGAAGAGGGGGGTTAAGATGGAGCTTGTTAGTGTGTACTGACGTTAGCCGTCTGTACTCTATCTTGGGGTATCATGTGTCGTATCTACCACGATACGAAGCACTAAACTTGAATGGATTGACGTAGTTGTGCACTGAAATGGGAATGATAACGAATATCTTGCTGGTCGGAAACGACCTCATCGCATTACCATATCATACCAACCAGCACATGCCCTATCTACATAAAGCATCCCCTTTTCGACACCAAAACGCCAATGTAGAACGAGTACCGAACCATCACTGAAAAAAAGCCTAGCAAGGTATACATCCATCTCATTGCATCTCGACCTCATTCCCCTCCCCACTCCCCTCATCATCCCCCCACAACCCCTCCAACTTAAACTCCTCCGCCCACTGCGTCACAATAACCTTCCGATCCGCCATCACCTCCTCCCCAGCCACCTCCCCGCCCGCAACCCCCACCACCGGCACCACCGGCGCCTCGGTCCACCCTTGAATCCTCCCATCCCGCCAATCCGTCACAACCGTCATAGCAGCCGAGTACACATTCGGCACACCACCGCGGCCGAGCCGGCCCCGCTTGCGCGCGACTTGGATCAGGAAATCGGTCGTTGCGTCGCCGCTGTCGGGGCTGGTGAGTAAGGGGGGGAGGTCGTAGACTTGGGTCATGCGGGTCATGAGATCGGGGGTGGTGGAGAGCCGTTTGAGGAGGAGGGTGACGGCGGGGACGGGGTCGTCGATTTGTTTCGGGGGGATGGCGTTGAGGAGGACGAGGTGGGCGTGCGCTTCGGTGGGGTTTTTGGGGATGAAAATGGATGAGGAGGAGGAAGAAGAAGAATCGGGGTTGGTGGACGGGAAGACGATGCCCGGGGAGTCGAGCAAGGTGAGGCGGTTGTCGATTTTGACGGAGCGGATGGAGGTGGTGACGCCGGCTTCGGCGCCGGCTGGGCAGGCGGTGCGTTGGTTGCGGCCGTTGCCGCTGCCGCCGAGGCGGGCGAGGAGGGCGTTGATCACGCTGGACTTGCCGACGTTGGGGTAGCCAATGACGCCGACGGAGATGGCGCGCTTGAGGTTGCGCGCGGCGGCGAAGGATTTGAGCGCGCGGAAGAGCGCCGAGCTGGTGCTCTGCACCGTGATGTCGCGGTGGTTGAAGGTGTGGGCGTTGGCCGCCGGATTGGACGCGCGCAGCGGGAGCGTGGGGAAGAAGCGGCGGAGGTGGGCCAGCCAGCCGCGGAGTACGGGGGGCGGGATCAGGTCGACCTTGTTGAGGATCAGGATGAGCCGTTTCCCACCGCCGGCTGCGGCTAGAACGGCCCGCTCGACATCGCGCGAGCGCGTGCCTTCGGGGTCCCGGGCGTCTAGTACGTAGAGCACCACGTCGGCTTGCTCGACGACCTGCTTGAAGACCTTGTCATAGGCCTTGCGCGAGGACGCGCCGCCTTGGACCTCGATGACCCCGGCCTCCTCGTCATCGTCGCCGCTATCGTCCTCGTCATCATCCATCTCATCACCGCTTTGCAGCTCCTTGTCGTACTTCTCGGCCGCCTTCTTGGCGCTGGCGATGAGGGCAGCGAGCGGGTTCGACTCGTCAATGTCGCTATCGTCCTCGTCCATTGCGTCGTCGACATCCTCTCCCTCAAAATCCTCGGCCATCCCATCATTCTCCATGTCCGCATCGACACCCCCGTTCGCCGTCTCAGCCTCAGCAGTCCTGGCCGCCTTGGCCGCCTCGCGACGGCGCTGCTGTTCTTCTTTTTTCCGAATGCGCTCCTCCTCGATTTGGTGCAGGAGCTTCTCCTTGTAGGGGAACAGGTTTGGAATTCCGGGGTCCTTCTTCAGCTTGCTTCGCCATTCTGGGTTCTTCTTGGCGAGCTTTCTCGCCTTGCGCTGCTTGGAGGCCGACGCTTTTTCGATCTTGTGCCGCAGCCGGACTGGCGTCCGCTTGGACTTGGGCTCTGGGGGGTGTTAATAGGAGTTACAAAACAAATATCCTAAGCTAAAATTTCCCTCAATTGACTTACTCTTAGGTTTGGTTATTGATCCGGCCATTTTGGAGAGAACGTGCAGGCAAATTCTCTTGTCTGTGCTAGGAACGGATGTGCTGCGAATCTACCAAGCAAAAAAATTACTGAGCAGCGGCCCCGGAAAAGTTTGTGCCGCGACTCACCGCTTCGATAACAGCGGCTTATCAGTGCCAGTGCCCCACACTGCCCCTCCTCCACCTCACTGGATCCCGCCTGGCATTGTGGCATTTCAACCACTGAATTGGGCCAGCAGCTCCACGGGCCTCTCGGCTTCGCACTTCGACTAGAACGGGCCGATTGCTGAACTGACGCCTTCCCATCACTAGCTTTACGAGTTTGTGTGGAGTCTGTAGCGCGGGTTAGGGTCTGATATGGCACAGCGGCGAGCGGAGTTTCTTCTTGCGGACGTTCCGACAGGGGAACACGCCGCTGGATCCCGAGTTCGGGCGAGATGGGTATGAGAACATCAGACCGCTGCATTCAGAGGATGAGTTTTGAAACATCTCACGGATATTTTAGATCTTGACTTTTTGTTTTCTCCCTTTGTATTTTGAAGTTATAAAACAATCTGACTAGACAATACGGCGCTGCGAGGCCTAATTTCATCTCATCAAGACCCAACTCTATATCTCCCAAGCCCAATTAGAGCCTTCCTCATACTCAACTCAACCAAGTAGCACCAACACCATAACGGCCCTAAACTCCAAAAACAAGATGGGTAGCACAGAGCCGACAGCGCCGTCTTACTCGGCGCCACCAGAGACCGTCACCTTTGACGCCCTCTTGTTCGACATGGACGGCACTATCATCGACTCGACCAACGCCGTTATCAAGCACTGGGAGACGTGAGTTACAACGCTTGAGACCGCGGGATGTGCTATGACTGATTTAAACCAAATAGCATTGGCAAGGAGATTGGTGTTGACCCTGAAGTTATCCTCCAGTTAGTTCTACCACCTCGTCTCGCTCACGCGTATTAGCTAGTATCCAATTCTAACCGGGGTGAATTCAGGACTTCCCACGGGCGGAGAACCATAGATACCCTCAAAGTCTTTGCCCCTGAGAAAGCAACCTGGGAATGTATGTGGACTACCCTAGTTTCGTCTCGTCTCTTATAGCGGGGACACACGAGACTCACAGCCAGTTCAAACAGATACCAGACATCTCGAGGGTCTTCTGCCCAAGCTCCACGGCGCCGATGCAACCGAGATTCCCGGCGCACGCCCGCTGCTCGAAGGGTTAATTGCCCAGGCCGCGCCTTGGACCATCGTCACGTCGGGCAGTGAGCCACTAGTGACCGGCGTACGTACTCACTCACTTCCCCATGATAAAAATATCTACCGGGGAACACAACTAAACTAACAAACCATGTTTGTTTAACACCCAGTGGCTCGACGTCCTCAAACTCCCTCTCCCCGCCCACATCGTCACAGCCGAGTCCGTATCCAACGGCAAGCCAGACCCAGCCTGCTACCTCCTCGGCCGGGAACGCCTCCTCGGCAGTGACAACAGCATCAGCAGTAGCGAGGAAGGAAACCAAAAACAAGTCCTAGTCCTCGAGGACAGCCCCGCGGGCATCCGCGCGGGTAAGGATGCCGGCTGCAAGGTGCTGGCCGTAGTCACCAGCCACACGGTCGAGCAGGTCTTGGCTGCCGGGCCCGACTGGGTGGTGCGGGATTTGGACTCGGTGAAGTTGGTAAGGGCGGATGGGGCCGGGGCGACGTTGGAGATTCGGGATGCGTTGGTGAGGGAGTAGTGAGGTACTGCATGAAGAAGTGAGGTTAGAAAAGGGTCGGGGGGGTGAAAGCAGATGCTCGAGGAACGGAAGAGGGATTATCCCAGGATCATGGGGATGAAGGTAGTGGTTCCTCGGAAAGAGAAAATAGAGAGTGGTGTGTGTAGTATGTGCGAGGCGCTGTTTCGGATCCCGCCGGGTATCGCAAGACTACGTGTGTGTAAGTGCATAATCGACGAGACGGAGTTGCTTCTTCTTGTCTTTGCCGATTCCGCACATACCCCCCTCAATACACTAGATAACGGCAGTTAGCAGCCGCCTCCCAGAGCTGACCCGCAACCCTGTAGATGTACTGTGTAGATGTGAGCACAAGATACAAGATGGTGGGCGGGATGGTCTTACTCTCACGGCCGTTGGCCTCGGGGGAGGGGGGGCTGAGGCTACTGTTGTCTCTGTCTGTCTGTTCCGTCTGTCTGTTCTGCGCCGCCCCCGCAAAAGCCCAATCGCGACTACAACTCGCAACGGCTCAAAGTTCCCTTGTGAGGTATTTTCGTCCGAGTTGTGTGACCCGCGGCGCCTTGCTCTTCGCCTCTGGAGGAACCCACCATGCCCATCCGCCTATCCGCCCACCCACTCACCCGCCTTGGGATCCTTCCGCTTCCCGAGGAGAGACAGTGTGGGTAGTCCGGGTCCAGTCGCCTCAAACAGCAGAGTCCCCTCAGTGTCTCGGTCTCGTGATCCCATCCTCCATTCCTCTCACTGCTTTACTGCCTTCCTGCCTCACTGCCTCACTGCCTCACTGCCTTCAGCCCCGACCCTCAGACCACACCCCCACGGCAGTCCTGCTGTCTTGGATGGATGTACATACACACGTCCGTACCGGCATACATACAGACAGACATACATCGCTCTGATACACGCCACACGGCAGCCCAGTCCACACTCCCACACTCCCACACTCCCACACTCCCACATCCCGTCACTCACTCACTCACACGCTGACATACCTTCCTTCGCCCACACACACACTCCCGTCCACAATTACACTGTACAGAGAGAGAGAGAGAGAGTGTGTGTGTGTATCTGCCAGCCGTGTCTTCAGCTGGCCATCTAGTGTAAAAACAGCCCCAAAGTTCCCGCCCATCTCCACCCTTCTCATACCCCCCCTTCCTTCTTAGCGAACTCTTAACAGGAGACTCTTAGCGAGAAACACTGCCGGGCGGGGGCGGCAGCAAGGCCAGCCGGGACTTTGTTCTCGGTTCTCTTTTCGCTTTTCTGCTTTCTTCTGCTTGCCGTCCTTGCTGCCCGCTAGCCTACCCTAGTTACATTAAAGGGGGGGCAAGGGGCCCGGACAGTCGGTTGGAGTGGGGGAAGAGGCTTGAAGCTGGGCTTGGGGCTGTATGCAGTCCCATCTGTCTGTCCATCTGTCGTCGTCAAGAACGGTGTGTGTGTATGTGCGCGCGCGCGTGGGCGGACGGGGAAGACCGGACTGGACGTAAGAGGCGCGCGCGGGGGTGCCAACGGCAAGTTGCAACACATGGCAGAGTCGTCCCGCGTGCAACGGCTGCGTTCTTGGTTCGGTGCTTTTTCCTTCCTTGGTATTCTTGCCTGCCTGCCTTTGATGCATGCGTCGTGGCCCCCCGCCCTCTCTCTCTACTGTGTACATATCTCACTCAACTCTCAGTGCTCACTCAACTGAGTCCATCTCACTGCATCTCTGCATCGCTACATCGGGACATGTCCCTCTCACTTTTGTCTGCAACAGAGAGGCACAGGGCGGAGCGGAACGGCGAGTCAGTCCTACTACTACTATGTACACTGCTCTGACTGGCCGGGAGTGGGTAGGGGTTTGTCCTTTTTGAAGAGGCACGGGCACGTGGGCGGATACGGATGCAACGGGAGAGGGAAAAAAAAGAAAGGTTCGAAGAAGGAACGGATTGATCTCTCCTTTTTTTTTCTCGTGGCTCTCGGTGACCTTGCTCTCGGGAGTCAGCCAGCTGGCGCTGACCCCTTTCTGGGTGTTCTGAGGATAGAGCGCGGGCGCAATTGAGCAATATCCCGTTCTGGTTGTCCGCTAATATCATTCCGTCGGCCACTGCGTTTCTCGTCGTCCTCGGTGTCTTCGTGGGAGTGGCGGTAAATGGGCGGCTGGCTCGAACGTCGAAGTTCAGCCCCTTCTTCTCCCAGGACGAAGTACCTTTCCGGGCTTTCCCTCTTGGCCCCCCATGTTTCCCCGCACAAGCACAGCCCACTCGATCGTCCTGTGGGAAAATCTGGGCTGGTTCTAGAACCGAGGCTTGTTTGCTTGCTCGTTTGCTTGCTCGTTTGCTTGTTTGGTTTGGTTCTCGACCTCTTGTTTTCTTTTGTTTCCCTTTTTTGCTTTTCTTTTTTTCCCCTTGATAACTACTTTTGGGCCCGGGAATAGCCGCTGGGCTGCAAGATATCCGAAACAGCGGAGAAACTTGCGTCAAGACCTTGTGTAGAAGAGATAATCAAAGTGCCGCCCGGAAATTGGTTTTCTCGCAACAACATTCACCTCCCGGCGAGACTGTGGGGAGGAAGAAAGACGGGAGGAAGAAGGAGGGTGGGAACAAGACGACACGGCAATCTTTCCCGGTTGCTTGTGTCCCTCGTGTCGGACTGCCGATGTTGGCGTGAAAAAAAAAACGAGGGTGACAAGGATTGGACTTCGTGGGAAAGAGGGGAGGGGAGAAAAGCTCAGGTGAGGCTGGAGCTGGGGCCTTCACCATGGAACACTTGCAGTCTGCAGATGAGGCGGGCTGGGCCGGCGGGTTTAGACGACCATACCCCAAAGGGGAAATGGTTTTAGCCAAACTTGTACCCTCTCGCTGGCCATGAAGATTACTACTCTTCGTACACTTGTAGTAGTTAGCCTGTGGTCCGGTTTCGCACGTCGTTTGTCCCATCATGATCTTATCGGCTTGTCTTTGTCCACTACCGGGAAACGCGGGAGCGGCGAAAACCATCCGGCCCGTCTCTCGCTGACTTCAGGCAGTCAGAACGAATTTATGATTACTTCGCATGCCACCACCCTATTCTCCGAGCAACTTCGGGGCTTCGTAATCGCCTTGGACAACAGATAGACGGCCAGGCAGGTCGGGTGCTGCAGCGGCGCGGAAGCGAGCACACAAGAACCACGACACCCGGTCTCTCCCAATCCTGCGGCTTACGGGAAGAGGGGAAGGGAGACGGGGGGATGAAGGCGAGAGATACAGAGACAAAAGCAGGTTCGTGTGCCCCGTAACACCTCGTAGCTTGCAGTAGCAATTCTTTCCTCGACTAATATCCCCCCCCGCGGCACATCGCATCGGAGAAACCGCACCGGGGAGATTTGGACTCGGCCGGGTGCAGCGCGGCTCCGGCGATCCGAGACGCACGCTGCGAGATTTGGCCCCAATTCCCGCTCAAGTCAGGTCCCGTACAACTTGGCCCACGGGAACTACACAGTGTACTCGCCATGGTAATGGGAATCTGTGGACCGGACCCGGGAGAAGACAACTGGGCCGGGACGAAGAAGCGCCCTCCGTGACGTACTTGTATGTCTGAGAACTCACGGGCGCGTGCAGCAGAAAACCCCCCATCCTAACCCCTACAAATTGGTCGGCGACTTGCACGACACCAGTGCCAGTCTGTTCCTGCAGATCGCAGACTTGGAACGGGGTGTGTGGCGGGAAAGGGAGGACAGGCTGCTGCAGCCACAGCAGACGTTCATACGTTCATCAAGGCGTCGTGACACCATGTCCTCCGCTTCTTCTTGCGCCTCGCTGCACGACCTCGCCAACGTCCCGATAACGCCGATCTACAACACCGCGTGCTCGCGCACCGCACTCTGAAGGGGATTCACACCCGCCTCCCGCGTCACTCCCTCATGAGGGACATTGGGTTGTCCCAAGTGCAATTGGAGGACAGCAGGACGCAACTTGACCGCCCTCCGGTCTCTGGGCGCGAGAGGGAGAATGGGTAGATGTCCATGTTCCTTCCCGTCGCCTATCATTTTATCGTTGCATCCAACAAGGAGCAAAACGGAAAAGAAACCACGCTCGAGGCGAGATTAGCGCGCCGTGGGCGGTCGTCACAGCCACTGTCGACTACAGCTGGATATGAGTCAGGAGTTGAAACGGCCCGGCCATCGTCTTTGAAAGTAATACAGCGCGGCTTTGCGGCGTCGGCGTAGAACAAAGGGTGGAAAGAGAAAGGAAGAACTAAGACCAGAAGCCCTTTCGAAGAAGTAATTTTCGTTGTCCGTGAGATTGCCACGAAGGGGTAGAACCAATCCCCGCTGGCGTGGCTTTGGCTTGCTGTGATGGTGCGCTTCTTAGCCACCGATGAGGCTTAAATCCGAGCAATTGAGGTGAAATGAATATATATTGCTCCCCCACGTCATGATCCACGCCCTCCTGCCGGCTCCCATTCCGGTGTCCTTCGATTGGCGTGCCTGTGCTCAACCACGAGGATTTTGTCCGCAGAGGGATTTGGCATCGGGGCCGGAGCAAAAACGCTACTTTGAAGCAAAGGAGCGCTCCCGGGCCACTTGTGGACATGCCGCTTTTCCGTTCCACGACTCCGCGGGATGCCCTCGTGGTTGTGCGAGAAAAGAACAAAAAAAAGGGGGGTCGTTGGACTCGCCCAGGATGCCAGGATGCCCACCGCTCAGAGACGGGTCTGTGCGGATCCGCTGCAGGGATGTGTGTCATGCCACTGGTCAGGTCTTCTCGGTCCCTGGTCAGAAAACATGGGATGAACAGAAGTACCTCGAGGTACCTTTCCATTTCCCAATCGCAAGCGGATCCACGGCACACAGTCTGCAGGCCTGGACGTCTGGTCGACAGGGGCCTGGGCGAGGCTCTCTTGCTCTCTCCCCGTCAACACGTGGCCATCGCGTCCAGAAATGGTATCGAAACTTCACCCCACTGGGTCCCTTCCCCCGCTTCTCGCTGAAGAACAACGGTTTCCCTCCCTCTCTCTTGCTCCTCCTGCTACACTATGCAGCAGGCGATTGACTGACATGTTGTGTTGATGAGACCTCTGAAGTGCGCCCTCATCCGCTCTGATAGGTATTTGCGCGCCAGCTATCGCTCAGGTCGTTGTTGTGAAGTGGGATGTCGAGGGTTTGTCAAGGGACCACATCACAGGAAGAGAAAATTCCCACCGCCAGCCACTCCGACAGCGAACACATCCCCAAGCTGGCCGCGCTAGGTCGGTCGGTCAAGACTACACTAGCTCCCGGCTCACACCATGCATCGTCGCTTCATGCCGGCGGCGCCTCCGCGGGTCGAGAGACGGTTGATCCTGCATCCGCCCACCATCCGCGGTGCGGGGTGAGTGCTCTGTTCGGGACGGCAAAACTTGCCTCTCATCTGTCAACAGAAGGGCTATGAATGCTCCCTCGCCTTTCCGGTGTTCTGGTTGTCGAGAAATCCCCGGTCCGTCGTTTGGTTTCTTGGCAGTCGCCCTGAGAGGGGCTGATGAACTCCGTACGCCATCCAATTGGCGTGTCGTTCTGTTTCTCCGGGTTCTTGTGGGGATCGGAACAGGGTTTGTTGAGTCTTGACACAGCAAAAGGGTTCATTTTGAGTGAGAGTCGAGAGAACTGCCCAGTTGCTAATTTAGTCACCATGATCACAGTGACCCGCCAACTTTCAGTTTCTTTCGCGCGTGATTGGGAATTGTAAAGAGTGTATGAGTTCAAGCAACCCGGCCTTGCCCCCAGTACATGAACGGTTTGTTGTCTCCGTCTGCGGATCGGAAGTGGCGTTGTCCTGTTCTCCGTAGCACCGGCTGTGAAACTGCCAAGTGCAATGCAAAATCATTTGCCGGCATTCGTGGCCCAAGCCTGATGTATTGTGAAAAGTAGCGATAAGTAGTGTACGGTAAACTTTTCCGTTCACCAGCGTCAACACCGATGGTTTCGAGGAAATCAGGCTCAAAGGTTTGATGGATCGACACGATCGGCGGGTGCTGCTGCGATCGGCGACGGGATCCCGCGTGCGTGGTTGACCCACCTGGCCAGGGCGAACCCAGATCTTCAACCCTGAGGGCCAAAGAGAAAGCGAAAGCGGCGGGGCGTCATCAATTCCGCAAGGAGGGTTTTCCACCTTTTTGCGCCCGCATTTTGGCGTTCCAAACTCTGAACGAAGCCACAAGAACATTCTCGGTAGTCAGCCGAACCAGTGAGAAAAGTCTGACGGGCAAGGCGCTTGAGTCGGAGGCCGCATGTGATGGCAGGTGGTTCTCCAATCCAGATGCAAGTTCCTCACGCTGGACGGTGCCTCACAAAGTGGGAGCCACACCCGAGCAGGCCAAGAACCTGTCTGACGCCCGTCCACCGCGCCTAGGCTGGGCTGCTCTGGCATCGGAGGTGTTGCATGCAGGTTGAGTGTTACAGCGGACTCAGCAGCTGTTGCATGCTGCAACTCGCGGCGAACTTGTGTCACCGCTCCACGGTACGTCGCGCTTTGGCGTTGTGCTGACCCTGTCGAATCTGTCTCCCAATCGTATCCGGGTTCCGGGTTCTCCGGAAGCGCATCACACCCCTGGAGATTTGGACAAGCAGGATCGTCCATAAATAGCAGCAAAGGCACGCGGGCGTTGTGTGACCGCGATGGGGTCTCGTCTCGTGATGTGATCTCCTTTTCCCAATTCCTCTTTGCAACAGGGGGTTTCTTCGAGTGTAGTGTTAAACAGCCATTATTACTCTCCTGTGTAGTTTTGGGCGAACGGCAATCCTCTACCACTTAGTATGTGGGTGTAGCGGTAACGTTTGCCGAGAAACACGAAAAACAAAAGAATTAATGCCTGAATCAATGACCCTCACTGCATCAGTTCGGGACTAACTTGTGTAAGTTCCTTTGAAAACTCAGCTGTCTTCTAGATGGTGAACTAGTCCTCGATCTGAGGGCCGGCGCTTTCGAGGCGACTCGTGTGTTTGATGGTGGAGGAGAACTTGTTGGGCGCAAACGGCCAGTGTGGCGGGGGCAAGCCGAATAAATTTCGCGAATCAGGTGTCCCGCTAAGCGAGACTGGCCGACGAGAAGGGATAATCAAGTCATGAGGCGCTTGGGAGCCTCAGTCGTAGCTCGCGACTTCACGATGTTTTCGTGGCCCAAGACCGCCGCACCTCGTTCCTACACCGTACACAGCACGTCCAATCGTTGTTGTTTTACCGGGGTGGACGAGAGATCGGCCTCTGTCAATTTTTGAGACTCGAGTGCGAATTTCCACCGTAGTGGGCCGGAGGGCAGGGCTTTGCAACTTGCGAAGAATTTGGGGAAGGAGCAACCCAAAAACTCAACGGCGGTCCAGCGAAATTCAGATCAACCCCATAAAATACAAGTGTTCTTTCCTCCCATAACTGACCATTCTTTGGACACGATAACTTGGGCTGGTGACCCAATAGCAGCACCCGCATTGTACAGGATAACTAGAGGTTTGCTCTGGACAAACGGCAGATGAAAATAAGCGACGGGTCCGATTGTTCTCAACTTCTCACCCAAGGGATGAACAGCGTTGTGGACCCGGTTGCACGCACATTTCCAGACGAACGGGCTCCCGCGATCCGCCGCTGCGCTACGTCGACGAAATTTCCCAGCGTGGGCAATCATCAATCTGCCAGGGACATGGCTGGCTTGTGGTCTTTGGGAAAGATCGCGCTAACTGTGCGGGCACAGTGGACAACGGATTGCGGGCGCCTTCAGATGAGCCCTGACTGGTTCCCAGTGGGCGAATCGGCAAGCCATGCGCCAAAAGTCTCCGGCTCATCCACAGCATCAACAACCGTTTTTTCGGCCGGCTCTTCGCCAGAGAGCTGTAGGCGAATCGAACGGGCCCGAGGCTCGCTAGGAGAAATGATAACAGAGCTTTTCTCTCCTCCCCACGGCCGTTTGGAGGTGGCGGGGGTGCCCTGCTCCAACTCGCCCCCCAGCATATCGGACGGGTCTGGGCCCGAGGCACGAGGCACCACGATGTCCCTCCGTAGATGCCCCCGGCACCGGAACGACTCCTCTTCTGTCGATATGCCCGACCCAACAACATCGCCCCGAAATTTGAGAACGATCTGAGCGGTTCTACTTGCCCCGTCTGCGTTGAATGAACCGCGGGTACCATCTTGGCCGTTGGTTTGCTGGCTGGTGAACCGTGGCAGGAGCTCATGGGACCAGCGCCGGCACCGCAGGTTAATGAGGCCGTTGTCTTGATAAGTTACCAAAGTAAATGTTTCGCTTCTTTTATCCTCGGGTCTCATTTTGCCTTCCCCCGCGTACTACACATAGGATGCCCAACTTATCCGACAAGAGAACACTTGTAACCGTGTAGGCAAAAGCGTCGTACTGAGTAATGCGCCCACAGGAAGTGACTTATCGTTCGCCCGCAGTGTTTATTAAAGCGCTTTCAAACTCAACACCAAAAAACTACCACAGTAAAAGGCCAACCCGCCGCCGTCTCGCGGCACGATAACCAGTCAACTCTCACTCCTAATCTTCGTCATGCGTGACAAAGCCCTGGCGCGCAAGGGACACGGCCCCGAGGAGCTGGATGCCCGAGCGACCGGGTCCACGTACACAGTTACACCTCAGCTGAGGGCGGTCTCCAGGCATCCGTGTGCATACTGTGTACTTAGGAGCTTCCTCCGCCCAGCCATCCAAACTCGACGCCGTACCTCGAAGTACCTTGAGCCCCCTGCTGATTCTCAACACCCCTGCCCTTGGCACCCAAGAACCCCTGTCAGGGATCGTTCAGTCCACCGCATCCCCAGAACACACACCATTCTGCCCGGCGACACGCCACGCCTGGGCAGGGCAAGCCCAGCGAGTTGTGCAGAGCCGGCTTCGAGCGTCGAGACCCCCCCTTGTTCTGCACAACAGCCCGCGCGCTGCTGCACCTCCACACCCACGCGTCGTTTCCTCCGACCAGTGCTCCGGCCTCCGCAGTTCCTCTCCCCTGTGCTGGCTTGAATGTCCCTGACATGCTAGGGAAGACAGCTCAGCAGCATGCTGTGTCGACGAGAGAACCCTTGATTGAGCTTTCTTGTGTTTCGCCCTCTGCCACCCTGCACCGTCAACACTCACCGGCGACTCCCAGCCCACCTGCAGTCCCGTTCGAACCACGCTCTCGTCTAGACTTTCGTTGTGCCCGCCCCCCGCCCACCTTCCCGGGACCGACCCTCTGTTAAATTGGTGAAACTCCCGGCAGCCTCGTTGCCCCATCCCTTTCCTGGCTTGGCCTTTCCGCTCTCGACCCGCACATTCTTTTGCCCTGACCATCCCCATCACTCATAATACATCGCTGGTGTCGAGCAGCTTGGCCGTCGATCTGTCACTCTCTTGGGCGCACATCAACCACACAACCCCCCTTCATCACCTATCCCCCGAGAAGTCCCGATACCCGCTCTGCAGCTGCTTACTCTGACGACTCACCGACCACCCTCTGCTCTTGTGACAACCGCCGCCATGGATATGGATTACATGGACCCTTTCCGCCGCCGCTATCCCAACGTCTCTATGCAACCTATTCCGCAGCCCTTTGCTGGGCATCAACAAATGCATCACCCACAAGGCGCGCAGTACCCGTACTGGAACCCATTGATGGCGTACTATCAACAACAGCATCGCACAGCCGCGTTGATGGGGCAGGCCGGCATGCATCTCACGAAGCCGGCGGAACCCAAACCAAGACTGGCAAAGGACGAAGTTGAACTGTTAGAACGGGAATTCGCAAAAAATCAGAAGCCAAGCAGCAGCACGAAACGGGAATTGGCCGAGCAGATGGGCGTGGAAGTACCGAGGATTAATGTATGCGGCGTTCTCAAGAATACTTGCATGGGTTAAGCCGGCATGCTAACGTGTTGTTGCAGAACTGGTTCCAAAACCGCCGGGCCAAGGAGAAGCAGATCAAGAAGACTGCTGAGTTTGAGGCTCAACAAGCTCGCGAACGAGCCGCTTCAGAAGCCAAATCGACCGGTAGCGACCGGGAACAGGGCGGGACCCGCGAGGCCTATGAAGATGAAGCTCAAAGTCCATCGAGTGTTGCGCCCACCGCCACATTAGAGACGAATGAAGACACCGCTTCCGACAACTACGCCATCCTCAAGTCTGAACCCGTGGACCCAGTCTCTTTGTCTATGGTGCCTACTGCACCGGTACGCCCAAGCCCGGCAAGTTCTGACAGCGATGGTTTCGTCCATCTTGACTACCGGCAGGCCGCCCACCACACGCAACCCTCATCGGGCCTCACTGCACAAGGAGATCTTTTTGATTTGTTAGGCGAGATTCAGGGGCATCACGATTTTCAACAACCAGCCGCACCCCCATTCCAACTGACCGATACCACTTTACCTAACAGCCTCCCGCACAACATCTTTGCTGGGATAAGTCCGCACAACAACCCAAGCGTTCCTGAAGCGGGCGATTTCGGCAAGTTTTCTGATGAAGACTACTTTACGACCCCATCTGCCCCGCGGTTTCCTTCCGAACTAGTCGTTGCGAGCGGCACACCAGATGCTGACAGCCCTCTTCTGAGGCACCAAGCCTCGGTTGAGAGCCTTGTGCATTCCGACATTGTGTCTCCCGGGTCGATACCCGACATGTCGCCATTGGCCTTGTCGAACCTTCGCTTCAAGTCTCCTCCGCCACCAGCCGATATCGCGAGCCGCAGGAAAAGCCGCCGCCCAGCACCCCTGGGCTTGTCCTCGCTCATGGGCGGCGCGGGACCCAAGACAGGCGTTGAAGTGCCCAGGCGAGCGGATACAGTGAGCCCAATGAGACGCATATCTTCCTCAACGGGGCTCAGCGGACGTGTTCAGAAGGCTTTCATCGGCCCAAACGGACCGCGATCGCCCTTTGCTATGGATCGCAACAAGGAGGCACTTCTCCACAGCCTTCACGAAACTCAACCTTCAACGATGCCACTCCTCAACAGTGGGATGCCCCAGATGACTGGTGAAGTCCTCTTCGCCCCAGGAACAGGAGACGGTGCCGTGGCTGTGCGCGCTCCAGATGAGGAACAGGGATTTCCGTTTGGGTCATTCGGGGCCATTGGCGGCATCCCGACGTTTAATCACACCGACCAGGCCATCAAATCCCCGCCCGAGACGCCCGGTTTGCAGATAGGGCTGCAAGAGAGCTATTTTCCGGGCTCGAACGACAACACGTGGACCTATACCCCACAGGATGGCGCGTTACCGACACCGAGTCTTTGCAGTCACGGCGGGTCCGAAATGGAGTTCTCGGCCGCTACTCAGCGCCCCGGATATGTGGCTAGTCAGCCCGCGACGCCCTCCTTCCCGCCTACCATGGGCCCCGCGTACAGCAGCTTCTTTGGAATGGGCTTGGGGCAAACGGATTATCAGTTTCCCGATGCTTACGCCGCCGAGTCCTCGAGCCGGTCGTCTCCAGTTGCGTTTCCGAGGTCAAAACAATTCCAGTTTGCTCAAAACGTCACTCCCCAGGACTTTAGCTCTACGGACAAACCCTGATGCTACACTATTCTGTTTAGCATTGTGGGCCTGGACCAATACAGCCTCCCGGGTTTGGGGGGGTTGTAGTGTACTAAGACCACTTCTCTTTTTTTATCCTGCGACAGTCCTCTTAAGTTGGTTTCGTCGATTGCCAAAAGCCGATCTCAGTTGCAGGCTCTGTTTGCATATCTCAGGCTATCTCACACCCCCCTGTACTCATGTTCATTTGGTGTTGTCCGGTTTGGCTGGCTTCTCGTATTTTTGCATATCTTTTAGCACCAAAACTGTTCACGACTTGGGAGAGGCAGCTTGCTGCAAGCTCATACGCGACGGATTTTATGAACAAACACACCAGCAACAACAACAATAACAACCAACTCATCGGTAATATAAACGCAAAGAAAAGAGTGTTTTCCTTCTTTGTATTATAACGATATACAAGCCCAGAGAGGCTCGGGACATGGCACTTTCATACCTCTCCAGTTCCCGCTTTTCTTATTTCGCTGTTATCTATCCCCAGCAGCTTTTATCTCATCTTGGGTCTTATTTTGTATCAGGCTTCAGTTATTTAGCATTAGGATAAGCTGGCGTAATGGCGGCCAGTTCGGTAACAGAAAGGGAAGAGGAGGATAGGGATGCAAAATATTTACCTGCCATCAGGGGTATCTTGAATATCTTGTTTGGACTTGCACAGAACGAGCAAGCTCTAGGTTGTTCGGTTACAGTTGTTTAACAACATGATATCTCTGCGGTTTACCGCTCAAAAACAACATCAAAGCATTCTCAAAAAGACAGACTTTCTTGCTAGCATCTCCCACGTGCCTACTAGTCTTAGGAAAAAACTAACGGAAGTCCCAGTCAAGTCGATGATCCTCGACAAACCCGGAGAACAACAACAACAACAACAACCAAGTCCAGCCATCCCCCCAAACCAGGGTATACCAGATAATAACATCATACCTATCAGGGAAATCGGGCGTTGTCGTCAGACAGACACACGAGCCAGATAATGAACAAGGGGTGGTGGTCTGTGTTCTGCATCGGTCTTGATCAAAAAGTGTAAGTGATCGGCGGGTAGGGTTACACTTCAACCCGCGGGCCGCCCCGCTTACCCGCTGTGCTTCCCGGTCACAACACGTTTCATCCCAACCTTGATTGTCCTATCGTATTTTGTCCTGTCTGCTGCTCATCTCCGGACGGGGAAAGAAAGATGAAAGGAGAAAAAGGAAGGAGATCGGGTCTTCAAACACCCTTGGTGTCTTGTCCGTGCTGCCGGCTTGTTTGCGCATGGAAAAATGCTGGCTTGGTTTAGGGAAGAAGGAAGGTACCTGCCTAGGAGAGATGGGGAGGAAGGATGTATTACAAAAACAAAACAAAACATTGCCTCCATAGGGTAGTGGGAAGGACTGACAAAGAACAAGAATAAAATGCAAGGCACCATCGTTAGAAGAACCCCCCCCGTTCATCAGCCGGTTTAGCACTGTGGTACCCGGGATGTTGTGTCGGTCTTGTCCATCGGCCGGGTAAAGTCATCAGCCGTGACTAGGTACAGTACAGTACAGTATAGTGCCCGGAAGATATAATGAAGATACGCTTGCACAGAGCGTTCGATAGACTTGTGTCGTCACTACAAATTCGTGTAAAACGGGAAAAAAGGGGACGGGCGAAATGATGAGCTTCGTAGCACCAGTCGGTTTTCACGGCGGGAGTTATGGGGCCGTTCCATGGCGACAGTAACACAGCAAGGATGGGTGGTGGTTTAACAGTGAACGGGACAAGTGTGACAATCTCTCGGTACCCAAGACAGAGCTTCAAACACGATTACGGTACATAGCTAAGTACTAGAAGAAGTAGGTAGGTAGGTGGGTAGATGAGCCGTATAGGTTATGAAACACCGAGAATAACGACCGTGATACAGTAGTGACAAGGTGAGGCCCCAAAAAGGAACAGTAAAAAAGATACATCTGTAGATATCCAGCTGCGCCGACGTAAGATCCGTGCCACGCCCCCCTTCCAACCTAAGCCGACCTAATATACTAACCTAAACCGAAAATCATCAAAACTCAATACCGTCCGCGGCGAAAGTTGCCCTCATCGACGATGTCATTGTGCTCGGGGTGTTCTGCATCGATCCACTGGTATCGCTGCCGGGCGTTGCAGGCTCGACGACCTGATTCCTAATCGTCATGATCCACTCGTGCTGCAGCAGCTCGACAGCTGTGGCGCGTTTCTTAGAGTCGCGCGCAAAGCAGCGCCCGAGGAAGTCGATGCCCTGCGGGCTGAGCTGGTCTGCCGAGGGCAGCTGCGGCGGGTTGCCCTGGGCGATGTTGTACATGATGGCCCATTCGTTGTCGAGATTGGCCCATGGCCGGCGTCCCGTTGCCATTTCAAGGACGACGCAGCCCAGGGACCAGACATCGACAGCGCCGAAGTGGCCCGGGTTTTCGCCCTTGATGACTTCAGGGGACATGTACATGGGCGTGCCCGTCATCGATTTGTTGGGCTTGGTGCTCGCCATATCTTGCACGAGCGTCCGGCCTTGCCGGGCAATGAGTTTGGCGGCGCCAAAGTCGACGTACTTGATGATGCCGTTGTGGTCGAGGAGGATGTCTAGAATATTCAGGTCAGCTTTGTTGTCCACATCTTGCCTACTATTGAGGGAAGCCCTTGCTGGTAGTACGGGGCACACGAAGATATGAAAAAGACTCACTCTCTGGTTTGATATCACGGTGAGCAATCTTCAGCTCATGCAAGTAGGCGAGACCTTCAAGCAGCTGAAGTGCATAAACCATGATAACCTGCTCATCCTCGATCCGACCATGTTCCAATAGATTGGCCAGCGAGCCGCCCGAACAAAACTCCATAAACATGTAAACGCGGTCGCGGTGAACCTCAATACCGTAGTATGACACAACATTGGGGTGGTCGACAGTCTCCAAAACACGCATCTCGTCCCGGATCTGGCCGGCGATGTTGGGAATCATCTTGGGATCTTGGAGGCGGATCTCCTTGACGGCCATCAGTTGACCGGTGTCGAGATTCATGGCCGCGTAGACATTGCCAAACGTGCCACCACCAACGAAGTGACCCTGCTGCCACCTCATCGTAAAATTGGTAGCTGTGGAGGAGAGCCAAGCCAGCGACCGGTCGACCTCGTTGGATATTTCCAACACCCGGCCCATGGCCGACCGCTCCAGGAGAATCTGCTTTCTTTGATCGTCGATTTTGGACAGCTCCTCAAGACGGTGCTCTTCTACATACTTGGCAGCGGTCCGATCATCCGCACCCTGGCCTTTGTTAAGGCGTTTGAGCTGGATCATCAGGGCTTCCATCCGCAGCTTCTCAGCCTGCGCGGCGACACTTGATCTGGCACCCATGATATCAAAATGCGAGATCAAGAGAGCCATGCAGCCTGCGACCTTGAGCCGCAGCTTCGCATACTCATCATCACCGAGGCCCAAGATATGCTTGCCCCTCGTCATGCCCATGGCAAACTCGAGTGCTTGGACCGCCCAACGGAATGTCTTGCGGTCGGACGAGTTGCAGTCATCGCAAATGAAGCTGACCCAGTCTAGCGCAAGCTTGGTGAGCTTCATGTTGTTCATGGTCCGCCTGTTGTTATCCATGTACAGCAGCGAGCGTTGACCAAACTCGGTGGCAAATATGAAGCAAGTTTGAATGAGCTCTTGGCAGTTAAGCCCTCTTGTTTGCCGACGGATGGTTTCGACACTGTCCATGAAGGCGTTCGAGAGTTTGAAAGCGACTTTCCGAATTTCCATGAGTCGGACGTTGACCTTTTGCAAATTTGACCGCTGCTCAACAATTAGGTCGATGTGCGTGTCGATGCTGTCGAGCAACGCCTTTCTCGCGTTGATCAGTCGTGCCTGGGAACCACCCGCGATGAGCCTCATGTGGTTGAGTTTAATATCCAGCGGTTCATCCCGCACCGATAAATGAAGTTTAGCTCCGAACCACGAGGGCGGGGTTTCCGCTCGGATGATGAGAAGATAGGGATCGGTCGGGTCTTCGACTCTGCTCTCATAGGAAAATGTGTTCATCAAGAGCTGAATGTCAGATTCGCGGTTGTGTAGCGAGGGGGAGGCGAGAATAATGACGTTCTGGTGCGCAGCCTTGTCTGTTTTGACTTGGAAATGACCTGACTCCACGAGGCGGTCGAAGAGGTCTTGCAACCTTTCGGGGCCGAAAGCCACCGTGAAGTCGCATGCATTTTCGTAGTTGTCGCTGAGCATCCTCGAGAATCTCTGCAACATGCGTTGCCGCACGCGAACGGAATCCAAGATCTGCTTGTATCGCTTGGTCATCTCTGCGACACTCTCCTTTGGCCGTCGCTGAAGCTCCTTCTCAAAAGTTTGGTTCAGCCGGCTGAGAGCTTTGTAGGTGAGAGAGCTAAACTGCTCGGCGACCTCGACGTCTCCGTGGCTCAGATGGCTCCCGATCTCATTACCAAAGCCCCATTCCTGGAACAGCAGTTCAGCTTCCTTGAATGTGTTCTTGTTGCCACTCAACTTCCAATTCAACATTTTGAAGTAGTACTTGAGAGCATCGAGAATGACGCGGTCAAAGTCGTCGTCAATGCATGGAGGCAAGTCCCATCCGGGTTCTGGTAATGAAATGGCCGTGTACGCGGACTTGATTTTAATGGCCAGCTTCAACAGCACTTGGAATTGAGAGATCATCTGGTCTTGCATCATGGGATTTTGCTGTGCCGATTCCTTCATCTTCTTAGCGTACGCAAGCCGGATTTTGATGATCTCCTCGATGAGACGAGAAGGAAAGCTGATTAACGTGAGCAGTTCCTCAATGTAAGGTGGCAGGTGACGTTTTTGAAATGCTTCGGCATTCACAATCAGGGTGTCCTTGGCCTTGGTGATAACCATCGAAATGTTGTCTAACATGCTCTTCTTCTTTTGGACGGAGTTGTCGTCGTCGGTCTCGTAGTGCAGCGATTTTAAGCCCTCTTCCTTCATCAGCCTGTCTAGGAAGGAAGATTCGTCGTTGAGGCGACCCGAGTTCTCCTGTGATCGTTGGAAATCTAGGTCGTCGTTGCCCACCCATTTCTTTAAAATAGACAACTCGGTGTTGATCATTTCATTCACATTGTGCCAGGAGATGATCGCGTCGCAAGTTTCTTGGTAGGCTTGGAAAGTGGGGGGTTTGAGGGCGGCGATCAGTCCGGTACTAGACGGATAGAGTCCCTCGATCTTTTCAATCTTCTCAACGGCATCGCGGACTTGCTCGATCGGAGGCTTCCCGGCCTCTTTCTCGCCGGCAATGGAGAAGTTGATAACCTCGCCAACGAGACGCTCCAGCGCACTCCGGGCCTCTTCCACCATCCTCCGCTGGACGGGCAGGTGTCTCCCACACACTCGGGCACGAATGCCTAACCAGAGCTCAGCCTTGTGGGCGTCATTACCAAATTCTTCGTCGGCAGAGCCGATAAGACGCTTTTTTTCTTGGCGCACCACGTCGCCGGTCAGGACAGCTTCTAGCATCCCATGCCACTCCAATCTCTCGCGACTACCAATATCTTTCAAGTCTTCCTCCGTAATTTGACTGCCCTCGTTGTTGACAAACATGATATGTGAGTCGTCGAACGTGTCAAATGGACCTTCTGACGAGGGAGTCTCGCCCTCGGAGTCTGAGTCGTATTGCTCGGCCGAGCCGTATGTGTCGAAGTAGTCATTGTTGTAATCCTGCTGACGTAACCTCCGCACATATTCTCGCTCTTGGGCGCGGAACGTCGACGTCCCAATCGGTCGCGGTCTCGCCGCATCTTTGATGTGTAATCCACCACTGCTGTTGAAAGAGGCTGTACCGGGTTGTGTAGGTCTCCGTTGAGCGTAGGGTTGGTAGGTATTGGAAGGGGTTCTCGCGGGCCCCGTAGGACGTTGTGGCCGTGGTGTTGACCCGTTCGGGTAGGATGTAGGCTCGCCAGCAGTGCGCTGACGGGAGCCGGCGCCGTTTGATATCGCGCCGGGTTGGTGTGGTTGCCCAACGGCGGCAGGATGGCCCGCCTCGACGTATCGACCAAGCGCCCCCAGCTCGTCCTGCTGATCACCGAGACGGGGGCTGAGATGCATGTCTCCGCCCGTCAAGGACGGAGGGTTCTCTTGATCTGGCATTCCTGTTGGAGGGCGGACACCATTCTTGTGCTTATCGGATCGGGCGTAACCATCGTCGTCAGGCGGCGAGAAGCGCACGGCACGCGGGGATGGTTCGCTCGCCATGCCTTAATCACGAGGTTCGCTGCTAGTCGGGCAATCCTAGCGCGGGGTCGATGGCGTTACAAGCACAGGCAAGTTTGATACAACGGGCGTCGACTAGGGGTCTGGGGTGTCGAGGAATTGTTGAGTGTTGAGAGTATTCGTTGGCTGGTTGTCAGGTCTTGGCCAGTGTTGGCCAGGCTCGAGTCGTCGTGGTGCGTCTATCGAAACGCTGCGAACAAATAAATCACCCACTGATCTGGAAAATCGAGCTACATTCATGGCTTGGTTCATGTAACTCGGCCATCGGCACTCGATAACCAGCTCGGAGACGGGGGTGGCGAGGATGCAATTGACGTTGATTGATCGAGTTTCGTCCGATATCGTCGTCAGGGGACTGGAGGGAGCAGAAAGAGTGGGAGAGCGAAAGCTAGTGGCGAAGAAGGTCTGCAATGGCGAGGTTCTGGGCGAGCTTGCTGGGGAGCTCCATGGTTCATGGGTGACGCTATGATGCTTCCGATTGGCTGATCCCGCTGTTATTATCCATGTGAGGTGGGTCTTCTCCTCACGTAGCAGGGAGTGGGGACCTGAGGGTGGCCCGTGCCGGATGGGCTGTTCCGCTCTGCTGCAAGCCACCTCGAACGAAATTACAGGGTACTGCAAGAGTTACTACCACGGAGGAATTGTTGATATCGCTCAAGCGCTCCAAGTGGGAGTTCAAAGGCCGCGTAGGGATATATTGGGAATGTGTCATGTATATGCCCATGTGTGTGGGCCGCTGAATACACTCGCCCTAGCCGATCTAGCCCGATCCACGGGACGAAAATAAAGCCGGGACATCGACGAGGAAGCAGAACTCGATCCGCTGCAACGGATCAAGCTGTCAACGTACCAATAAAGGCGGGATGGTGGAACACAACAAAGAAGCTTTTACCTGTCGTTTTGGATTGTGCGGATACTGGACATTCCATATTGTGCTAAAGTAGATGGGGCTAAGCAGCGAATTAAATCAGATGCGCTGGGCGCCTCGACCGAGAGTGACTGCCCCTTGGTGAGCTCTTGCCGGCAGCGAGATGCGCTGTTTCCTTATCTGTGATAAGCCTGATCGGCCGGGTATGGTGAAACTTTGGTGGGCGCTCTGGCCATGCAAGCCGCAAGAGTGGGGTATCGATTCAACGGTGAGTTCCAGTCCATCCATGTCGATCAAAGCTGGCCCATGCACGGTCGCGTTTGGCGACGCGTGACGCCAGTAAAGTGAGCTTGTCCTACGCGCTTGGCCATTAACGATTTTGAGGCTACTCAGAAACAGCCCACACCAGTCCTTGGCACCCTTCAACATTCTTGACATTCGACAATTGGCGAACACTTTGTTTTCCGTCATGTGTACGTGAAGACTGAGTGCTTTTTTCTCTCGATATGTCCTCTATTGTAGGACACAGTGCAACCGCAACGCGCCCAAGCAGCAGGCTCAGCAACAGGTTTGACAGCAAATTCGATGCCGGGCCGTCCAGCAGACCGTCAAGCCGGGCCTCCGTTCGGCCATCATCAGCAATCGGCGTTGCTCCGCCGGCCCGCGATGCAGAGTACGACAATTCTGAGGCACAGGCTGGTTCCGGCCCAAACAGTCCTGGGTCTGGAAAGCGCAAGCGGAACCTCCCCATTATGGCGGATGATGGACTTCTGAGAGGGACCATTATCCTCAAAGTATGGGTCCTCCTCGCCTCTTTTTGTACCCGCAGGGCTAGAGAATTGACTGACCGTCCACCAGCCGTACCCTTCGACTCTCATGGTCAAACCGCGGATCCTACACCCATTGATGCTTCTCCCCCGAGAGACACTCCCTTTGTCGGCTCTCGATCTCTCTCAGCCCTACGGAGACTTCCCTATCTGCCGACTTTTCGAATCCAAAATCAAGATTCTCGACCTCGAGGGCCGCTTAGGATCCAATGTTCTATTGGCTCGTTCAGAGACAAACCGCGTGGTGTATGCTCTTGAGTGGGAGAGCAACGGGCTATACGTGTTGTGCAAAGTGGGGTCTTGGGTGAACATTGAGGCGCTCAGTCAAAGTGCCACCGTTGTCTGTAGAGAACGTTTGAAGGGCGGTAAGACTGTCAAGAATGACAGTCGTGGTGAGAGCCCGCTGATTACTCCGTCAATGTACAATGAGAACAAGAGGAGGAGATTAGCTATCGAAGGGATCCAGTCTTTGGTTCGGAAGCGCTCGGTATCGGTTGTTGAGAAGGAGCTGCCAAGTCTGCCTGCAAGCGCGGAACCCGCCGAGGAGAGCCAGACTCCTCGACCAGAGGAGTCCCAACCGGCGGCCTTGCCGCTTGAGCACGCCGGAACACACACAAACTCGGGCCCATCTCCGTCCAGTAAACTCGACACTCCTATCCCGGCTGCCGGGCCTGCTAACGACTCTCTTACCCAACCGGATGCCGACGGGATCTTTCAAAATGTCAGGGCCCAGTACATGGAAGCACTGTATCATTCAAAGGTATTGCATTCCTTTTTTTGGTAATTGTAAGTGATGTGCTGACAGGAGTAGGGCTCGTTGGCGTACTTTGCGAAGGGGCCTCTTTCTCGGGCTAGAGCGGCCTTCCACATGGATTGGGATTCGAACCTTGACATGAACGACTTGATAGAGTTCATGAAAAGCCTCGTTATGACCACTGTAGTGATCGACAAGAAATACCGGGAGACGATTCCTGGGATCATTGCAACCACGAAACCACTCGGCCAGGACTCCGACGGCGCTTCAAAGACGAAGAAAAGAAAGACCAAAAAGCCAAAGTTGGGTAAAGATGGCTTGTACCCTGGGGAAATTGATCATATTCGGAGTTGGTGGGCCTCTAACCAGCCCACGTCTGGCGAAGACGAGCAGAAGAGTTTGACGGCGATCGAACACAAATATCACATCTCCTATTTGCGGAGGAGGGAAACACAACTCCAAATAATCTTGGTGCTCGAGATATTAGCGCTTGAACCCCTAGCGCAAGCGAAGGGTAGCGAGTGTCAACTTCCCGGAATGGAAATTCAAGCGCCTTCTCGAGAGGCGAGTCAAGAGCCGTCTGCCAAGAAGCGCAACAAACACAACCTCCCTGTGTTGCTTGATGTCCATGCCGATCGCCTCTGCATCTGGCAGTCTACGACGTTAGATGAGGTCAAGGCGGTAGCTGAATCGCAGCCGCTCACGGCTGGCCCAGAAGGAGAGCTTGAAAGGGCCAACTCAAACCCCCTGAGAGACTTCTGCGTCGACGTCATTGTGCCATTGTAGGTCATGTCAGATTCGCTTCGTTTCTCCCATCTGCTAATGAATACCCTCAGCTTTTCAGCTCGACTTCCAGGCCCATGCGACTCGCTCAGTCGCAAGCTAGGTGGCCCTGTTGCTCAGTCACCTCCAAAGTCCAGTGCAGCAAAACCTGCTTCAGCCGTGAAGCCGAAGCCTGGGGCTCCAATCAGACGACCAACGACGAAGCGGGACAAGGACAGGTCGCTGGAGCGCGCGCTCTCCGTTGAGCGGAGCCGACGCAGCGTCTCGCGGGGGCCGTCCGCAGCTATTGCGCTACTGCGCTCCGCTAGTCAGACAGTGATCCCAGGCATGAAGCGAGAAGCTAGTGACTCCTCAATCATGGGCTTGGTTCCAAGGGCGGATTCGGGCTCCGTCAAAGAACGGCCCTCCAATCTCTTCTCTCGAAGCGTGAGCTTAAGCAGTATCGATCTGAAAGCGCAGAAGAAGGCTCAAGTAGACGCTGAGCTAAAGGACGCCATATCGGCGCTCAAAAAGCCGAATAGGAGTCTGGCCGTCAAAGACATCGTCGAGGCCGCTGACAAGCGAGCTTCGGCAGGGCAACTCAAGAGTAAGTTCCCCCAAACTCATTGGCTTTTGTGAGATGCCTACTGACCAACCTGTATAGAATTGAAAAAGCCAAACCGTGCGGGCGCGGTTCAAGTGAAGGCTACGCCAGCCAACAACAGGTACAAAGACGTCCTAGCGGCAGAGAAGAAGCATGCGGAGCCCTCGCCGTTCTCCAATATGCCCCCCTCCAGCGCCTCTATGATTCCGGCCTCAACCCTCCCCCGCAAGTTCTCCAACAGGCTTTCCGCCGCTGCTGCCCCTGCAGATCGTGTCCACGCAACCCCTGCACGCCCAGCGGCTTCGTCCATTCCCGCCACGGACCTCCGGCTGATTCAAGAAACACCCGGCCCCAGCTTGCTCCCGTCATCTCCTATCATGGCCAGGAAAGGAGCACCGGCACCGGCACCACCTCTTTTCGCAGCCGCCCAGCCACGGTCAAATCGCCTCGCGGCTCCGATAGGCCGATTCACATCGGGAGACATACCCTCTTCCCCCGGTCTCGGCGCCCTCTTCGAAACGCCGCTGGCGCCGCGGTCAGGCAAGGACAGGTTGCCTATGGTGGACGATTCGCCGATTCGGCCGAGACTCCCACTCGGGGCGATGGGAGACGGAGGGAACAGGGCTGTGCGGGTCAAGACAAAGGGGACAACAGAGAAAGTTGTGGCTGCTTCTATTACTCAACCTATTGGGGGAAGTGATGGCGCTGAGAGCGCGACGGGCGCGGCAGAGAATAAGAGTGATACGACAACGACGACGACGAAGACGTCGGTGAACATTTACCAGCAGCTTGGCTGGGAGACGACGGACCTAGATGACATTGATGATTTGCTATGATGAGTGGATGGATAGAGAGCTTTGGCTGGGTAAACTTAAGCTTGGCAGGCGTTGGTTGGGGTTTCTCGTTCTTCTACGTTTGGCGTCTGGGAGTTAGACTGGGCACTTATGGTCTTGATCGGGAGCGCTCGGGGTTTGGCTCATGAGATACCTATTCGTAGTAGCATTATGGCATAGTTTAGAGGGCATGTTTGGAGCATTGCGAGCTAGGAAACCAAGTGGCTTAGATACAGAATCAGGAGGTATTTCTTTTCCGCGAAGGCTTAACGAATATAGCTGAGCAGAAAATAAAGGGATCTATTTTACGCTGTGGGGGGTATATGATGATATCCCAAACCGCGCTACGTATTATTTGTGATGGTATGTATGATTTCCAAGATCTCGTCTTCATCGTCTCCATCACTTCCATCTATTCGTCACTCGTCACCCTTCCCAGCGCCAACGACAACCAAAGGCAACTCGCGCACATCGGCATGCTCTTGATTCCCTAGATCCACCACCCTCACCGCGTCCAACCCCACAACCCCTTCCTTAAGCGCCAAAAACCGCAGTTCCACCAACGCACAAGCGTTCGGCGCCAGCGGGCCGACCCGCACGTCCGCTGACAAGCACACCACCTCGGCCCCATCCACCACACTGTTGCGCTGCATAGCGTGCACGACCGCCTCGTCCAGCACGGCGTCGGCGATCAACGGGTCGCGTTTCGAGGACCCGGCACCGGCCGTCGATGGCGGACGGATCACGCGCAGCTCGTTGCGGCGCCGTCGTGGGATGGGCACGAGCATCAGCTTGCGCGAGGCCGTTGCGGCCGCGTGGTGGGCTAGGACTGAGGCTGGAGCTGAGGGCGGCGGGGGCATGTCGGATTTGCTGCGGTTGACGACGAAGACGGTCCAGACGAATTCTTCGCCGACGACTACGGGGTGTTGGGGCCCTGTGAAGGTCATGGTGATGCCGAAGTCTGGGATGGTCGTCTCGAGTGGCCGGGCGGTGGCGGCTTCGAGGGTAGGGAGGGAGTCTGGGCGGATGACTGAGGGGGATACGAGTGGTTGTGAATCGACACCGCCGCTGATGGAGAGCTGGCTGGGTTTGTGGGAGCGCTTGATGGGCGAGGTTTTTGGCTGGCCGAAGCCCGGGTTGACGGGCGGGGTGAAGTCGATGGCGGTAGTCCAGGTCATGACGAGGCGGGGCGTGCAGGGATTTGGCTCGCCTTTGGGTCGGACGAGGACGAGGATCTCGATGGTGACTTCGAGATCACGGGCTAGGTTTTTGCGAACAATGTCGCGTTGCTGGGGCGCGAGCTTGTAGAGGAAAGTGAGGTGGTCGTGAGCAACGCAACTAAGGGGGAGGGCCATGCCATCTTGGGTATTGAGGTCGTCGACCGTGCCATCTGTGACGCCTAAGCTGATTTTGTCCAGAGCAGCCTCACAGTCGAAATAAGGGGTAAAATCAACCTCGAGTAACGCGACCATAGAAGCGCTCGGGGGTGTGGTGTTGGGCCGCGTGAAGCGGACTCGGGTGTGTAGAACCGGGTATATCCTCAGCTTCAGCGCCTGTAGCCCGCTTATGCGGTGAAGAGCATCCTTCGATTTCGTTAGAGGGGCCACCCTAGATACCCTCTGAGCCGACAACCGGGGCACAATCCCACCCAGTAGCGGGTCGGCCGCAAACGATTCGAGAAGGTTCATCCCAGACGGCGTCCCGCTCTCCATATAGCCGTATCCCGCGGTCCCAGATGGGCCGACATCTGCAGAGTTTATCCTGAGGCTTGCAACGGCAGAGAAGACCACTGAAGGCAACTGCAGCCGTATCCTGGGCCGTGCAAGAAAAACAGAGATTTTCCAGACCGCGTATGTATACCTTTGGACATCCTCTTCCTCGGGCTCTTCGGCCGCCACAATAAACACATCTTCGATATCTTCGAGCGAACTGTTGTAGATCAACTCGGAGGTAGGCGCCGCCCCGTCTCGGTCGGATATAGCGCCGTTCACGATGTGAGCATCGAGAGTCACAACGAGGCGGCGCAGGTGGGAACGTATTGTCTGGTCATCGGCGTATGGGGCGCGGAGAACGAAGTACACATCTACGGTCTCATCTGTAGTTCACGTATGAGCAATGGGTAAACGATAATTTCGGGGCAGTTTGCGAACCTCATACCAAAGAACAGCTGGTCGCGTTGCTCGACATTTGCGATGTTGCTCTCTACCGACCCTTCACTTTGTTGTAGGGCCTCTTTAGGGTTGAATTGAGTCGCGAAAGGTATGATGTACGTAAGGTATGACTGCTCAAGGAAGGCGGTTGCCCCCGGGTCCGTATCGCTGGCGCCGGCGCCGATGCTTTCTGGGTCTGGTAAAGCCATGAAGGGAGAAAGGTTGTGACGAGGTACCTCGGTCTCGGGAGGTACCTCGCTTGAGAGTTGTCGTCGCTGGGAATTCCGGCCTAATTCAAGCCGTCATAACAAAGGTCGCCGAGCAAGTTTCGATAATTGGTACTCTCGTCCCTTTTTTCCCCATCCGCTGACAGTCACGGTGGCGAGGCACCAATAAAACGAACCGTCGAGGCAAGCTTGGGAACGTTAGGAGGAGGTGACACCTGCTCCTTGTCGTTGTGCCTGCAGCTGGATGCATGCGACTTGCTCAGGACCCCTGCAAATGCGGTGGGGGCTCAGTGGACTTCAACGCGGCTCGTCGGTGGTCGGGGCTTGGCGGCCGCGTGCACGGATCGGATTGTGATCAGTGCGACGCCCTGCTTTCTGCAATTTCCTCAGGCTTCGCGCCTTGTCTGTCCGTCTGTTCTGCCTTTTCGTCGCACGTCGCAAACGAGAAGCGTGGAATACTGCGCATCCGAACACAACGGTCCAGTACCGGCCATCGCTATCCTCGACGTGTTTCCCAACCACAGCTTTCGATCTTAGGCCCTAAGGCTCCGAGCCGGCGTAACCAGCACGCAACATGAACGCACCCTTTGCACCACCGGGCGCTGCCTGGCAGGAACATCGTACTCCGGATAATCGCGTCTATTACTACAACCCTCTGACCAAGGTCACGCAATGGACGAAGCCTGAGGATCTCATGAGTCCTGCAGAGGTAGGAATAATTTTAGATCTGTGGTGGTTTACGGAGTATCCCGGGACATAGCTTATACTGACTCATGCAACAGCGAGCGCTCGCAAACCAGCCATGGAAGGAGTACACGGCCGAGGGCGGTCGTAAGTATTGGTACAATACTAAGACAGAGCAGAGCTCGTGGGAGATGCCTGACGTCTACAAACGGGCTCTGGCTGGCGGCGAGGCAACCCCCACAACCCCAGCGTGAGCAGATCTTTTGTTCTCCCCCTTTCCTACCCCTGCTCGTCAAAAGACATCTCGCTAACCTGCTCAGTCCCGTGGCAACGCCTCTTAGTGCCCACAGCAACAGTCATCATGGTAGTTTTGGGGGTGGCGACCACTACCGCGATCATCGTGAGCCTATTGGTGAGTCGCGCCAACTGACCTTCGGCAACAACGTCCAGGCCCAGGCCTTCGTGCCCGCGACAAACGACCCCGAATATGCCACCGCCGAAGAAGCCGAAGCCGCGTTCGTCAAGCTCCTCCGCCGCAGCGGGGTACAGCCCGACTGGACCTGGGAGCAAGCGATTCGAGCGACCGTCAAAGACCCGCAGTTCCGGGCCATCAAGGATCCGAGAGAGAGGAAGGCTGCTTTCGAGAAGTACTGCCATGACGTTGTCGTCCAAGACAAAGAGCGTGCAAAGGAGAGGCTGACAAAGCTGCGTACTGATTTCGCGACCATGCTGCGGAGCCATCCCGAAATCAAGCATTACACTCGCTGGAAGACAGCACGCCCCATGATCGAAGGGGAAACCATCTTCCGTTCTACCAACGACGAGAACGAGCGGCGCCAACTCTTTGAAGATTACGTCGTTGATCTCAAGAAGGCCCACAAGGAGCAGCAAGTCGCGATGCGCAAGAGCGCCATGGATGGTCTGATCGAGCTGCTGCCGACCTTGAACCTGGAGCCTTATACGCGCTGGGCCGAGGCCCAGGGCGCGATTCAGGGCACAGCTCCCTTCCAAAATGATGAGAAGTACAAATCCCTCACCAAATACGACGTCTTGACTGTTTTCCAGAACCACGTCAAGGCGTTGGAGCGCAGGTTCAACGACTCTTTGCAGGAAGACAAGAATAAGAAGCTTCGCCGTGAGCGCAAGGCCCGAGATAACTTTGTGGCCCTCCTTGCCGAGCTTCGGAGAGACGGCAAGATCAAGGCTGGGGCAAAATGGAGTAACATTCACCCCCTCATCGAGCACGAGGAACGTTATCAAGCTGTGGCTGGGCAGCCTGGTTCAACAGCCATGGAGATGTTCTGGGATGTTGTCGAGGAAGAGGAGCGTGCCCTGAGGACTACCCGGAATGATGTCCTCGATGCTATGGAGGTGAGCCTGACCTAGGTCGTTTTGTTCCTCTACTTAACGGTATACTAACTGCTACTAGGACAAACACTTTGACATCACTCCCAAGACGGCATTCCCAGAGTTTGAATTAATCCTCAAAGGTGACAAACGCACGGCTAACATTGAACGCGACATGATGGAGCTCCTTTTCGAGCGGGTGAGTTCTTCCCGTTATTAGCCCACTTGCGAAGACTTTGTTCACTAACTTCGTTGCCCGATAGCTTCAAAAGCGAGCTAAACGCTCTGACGAAGATAGGCAGTCCGATCGTCAGCAGCGGCGCGCCCTAGAAGACCTCCGTTCTCACATGAAACGGATGGATCCCCCTATTGGCTTGGACGACACTTACGAGCAGGTTCGGACCCGATTGGCTCACGTCCCCGCCTTCCAGGCTGTCAGCTCCGACGAAGCCCGACGAGGCGCCTTCGAAAAGCACGTCCGCCGCCTCAAGGAGAAGGACGACGAGGTGGATAAGGACCGCCAGCGACGCCGCGACCGGCCGGATGGCTATCGTGACAGAGGTGAGCGATCTCATCGCAGCAGTGCCCGTTCTGTAAGGAGCCGCAGCCCCACAGAGCACAATACGTATGAAGCCGAGCGCCGCCATGCGATCGCTGAGCGCGAGCGTAACTACCGCAAGACTAGCGCAGCCGACGTCCTCCTCGCGGACCGTCGGTCTCCCGCTGGCCGGTCCCCATCCATCCGCGACCGCGAGCGAGACCGCGAGCGCGAGAGGGACCGGGACCGTGAGCCTGATCGTGACCGGGAGCGTGACCGAGATCGCGAGCGCGACCGCGAGCGCGACCGTGATAGGCGCGATTACCGCGAGCGCGATCACCGAGACCGTGAGCGAGACCGTGATAGAGACCGTGAACGCGAACGCGAACGGGACCGTGACCACCGTGACCGCGATTACCGCGATTACGACCGCCGTCCCCGCGCAGAGGAGGCGAATCACTACGACCGCGAGCGTCGCACCCGCGAAGAGGACCGCGAACGCGTCTACCGGCGCCGCATTCTCGACCGTGACGTCGACGAGCTGCCCTACGGCGATGAGCGGCCTTCCTCGTCGTACTCGCGCACGCGGCCCCGCGGCCCCGATGACGAACCCGACCGCCGCGACGGCAATAGGCCTGCCGCCAAGCGCGTCAAGCTCGAGAACGGCAGTAACGGGGAGCGCAGCGTGAGTGGTGGGACGAACGACGGGCCCCCAAGCCGCGGCCAGCGGACCCCGCTCCAGACTAAGGAGAAGGAGAAAGTCCTGTCGCCGAGTGTTAGGGCCGGAAGCGAGGAGGGTGAGATTGAGGAGGATTAGAGCATCTTGCTTCGAGAAGCTGCTGCCCGCACAGTGATATTGGACCAACAAGCAAAAGGTCCATCCCAAGGTGAGGCAGCAGTCCTCAAATATGCACACTCCCACTACTCTGAAAAAGGATAACTTTTGAGCCGAGAGCACACCGAGAAGGTTAGGAAGAGAGAGGGCGCGGCTTCGGGCCGTTTGCCTTTGCCTGGGTATTGGACGAGGAACAGGGGGGTCTATCTAATGTGAGAGCGAGGTGTTGACACACGCCCGGCTCAAAAAAATGTACGTTGTCCGTTTCACAAGCTCTGTTTTAACTTAACCGCGCCAGGTCGTTCGTTAGTAAAATTGAAGAAAAGGGCCACATTGTAATTGGTTAAATATGCACGCTCCTCGGCCGTCTTGTACATAAGTCGCTGGGTGCAGTCATGTAGGAATATCAAAAATACGAATGAAAAGTTGATGAGTCGTTTTGACTCTTGCCTCGTGATATCAAAATGCCCATGATATATGTAAGGCACCTTCGATGGAAGCGCGGCAACAGACCAAGACATCATGTTTTCAAAGACATCAATCAACTGATATTGACTCCTGAGGCTGCTTCTCTCTAAGGACTCAAGTAGCTCGAGCGGTTATATACTCACCCCAACCCTTTGCGGACTCTATCCGCCAGGGCTTGGCGGCAGCCATCCAAACTTGTTCCGCTGTCCCTCAATCTACCGAGATACCCAGCTAGAATCCCCTCGCGCGACTTCCACTAATCCTTCTTCTACAAGCAACATCTGCACTGTGGGGAGGTTCTAGCTCGAAGAGGCCCTCCCTCCTCTCTCGATAGGACCAGACAACAGGGCGATCGACTGCCGCCACCAATGTTAGAAGATGTCCGGATCGTCGTCCTCCGACATGCCCGCCTCGTCTGATGCACCGTCCGGATTTCCCTGGGCGCCGCCGGGCCGACTTTTGCATCCGCCAACCTTTTGAACGCCTAGAACGCCAGAATCAGATGCATCGCCGCGAGAGGGGCGGCGGTTGTGTTTGTTGTGCTTGTTCTTGGGGATGCCCTTTTCAAGAGCTCTTCTCGACGTCCTCTAGGAAGAACTAGTAAGAGGGAAGAAGTGGTTGGTTAGTCCAAATTCAACATGTGCGTCAGAAGGGGAATATGCTTACGTAGTTGCCGTTGAGCTTCTGTTCCTGGTCAAGCTGGGAGTTCGCCTTGTTGATACGAGGACGGAAGTTGGTGGGATCCCGGCGGAAGGTGACGTCAAGGTTCTTCAAGAACGTGTTGCAGCCGGTGAGCAGAGACTCGGGCTTGTTGGCATGCGCATCAATGCCCGGCTGGCCATCGAAGACGATGACGCGGTCGGCGAGATAGGTAGCCATGATGAAATCGTGTTCGACGATGAAGGCCGTCTTCTTCGCGTGCATGATAAAGCGCTTGATCACACGGCTGGCAACGATACGTTGTTCGGAATCGAGGTCTGAGAGCAATGGATTAGTCTAGAACTTGTATGCAAGCAAGCACAAGATCCGGTGAAAAAAATGCTTACACGCAGACGGTTCGTCGATGAGGTAAATATCGGCAGGCATGCCGAGGGCCAAGACAATGGCAACCTGTCGAGTGTTAGCAAGAAGCTGAGCTCCATGATTTCCAAGGGTGTTGAAGCGTACTCTTTGCAATTCACCACCGGACAGGTTCTTGACTTCTTGATCAATGAAGTCGTCAAGCTTGAGAGGCTTGACAACATCGGTCTGGAACTGGGGAGACAAAAAGGCGGCCTTGATCTTCTTGAAGAACAGCTGCCGGACGGTACCCTCGAACTTGGGCGTGATGGTCTGCGGCTTCATGCTAATCTTCATTTCGGGAACCTTCTGGTTGCCATCGGGCTTGAGAGCACCAGCCAACATGCGGCAGAATGTGGTCTTGCGCAAAGTCAGTTATCGGCCTGCAGACACATGCATGACCCACAAAACTCACCTTTCCAGTCCCGTTCTCGCCCATCATGACGATGATCTCAGAGTCAGAAAAGGCGCCGGATTCGATGCTCAGCTTGAAATTACCCAGCGTCTTCTCCATGGCCGGGTAGCGGAAAGCTCGCGACTTCTCCGCAATGAATTCCTCGCCGCTTTCCGCAATGCGGAATGTCAAGCTTTCTTCGCGGAAGCGCAAGTTCTCGGTCGGAATATGGCCGTCCAGGAAAATGTTGATGCCTTCCCGAACAGAGTAGGGAAGCGTGACGACACCATAGACCGCGGGCTGGCCGTAAAGGACACACACGTAGTCCGAGAGATAGTCCAACACGGACAAATCGTGCTCGACGACGATGACATAGTCATTAGCCCGCAGGAGAGATCGAATGATGCGAGCAGCGCTCAACCTCTGCTTGACATCAAGATATGACGACGGCTCGTCGAACATATAGCTGGCAGGGGTTAATGACGATAAGCAAATGGGCGCGCTGTGATGACTTACACGTCGGCGTTTTGCACGCAAACGGTACCGATAGCAAATCGCTGCAGTTCACCACCAGAAAGCAACGTCACGTCACGGTCATAAATGTGGCGAAGCTCTTGTTGTCCGTTAGTTAATATGTTGGGGGCTAGGGGGTAGGGGGGTTATGCACCGAGGGTGTCAAGAACCTGATCCAAGTTATCCAAGGACAGGCGGCTCTCAATCAGAGTTTTGACGCTCTTGTCGGGGCCGCGGATGGCCCTGGGAATCTGGTCGACGTACTGCGGCTTGACAACCGCCTTCAAGTCATCTTCGAGCAGCTTGGTAAAGTAGTCTGGCAGAGTGTCAGTTAATCAAGGCATCGAGCCAATCCTACCAAGTAAACTTACTCTGGAGCTCCGAGCCACGGAAGTACTTGATGACATCCTCCCAATCAGGCGGGTTGTCAAACCTGCCGAGGTTAGGCTTGAGCTTGCCGCTCAAAATCTTCAGAGCAGTACTTTTGCCAATACCGTTGGTTCCCACCAAACCCAAGACGTTGCCAGGCCGCGGCATGGGAAGGCGGTGGAGCTTGAAGCTGTTGGCGGCATAACGGTGGGTAATTTGACTCTCGAGGTTCGTGGGCAAGTTGATGATAGTAATAGCGCCAAATGGGCAACGCTTCGGGCAGATACCACAACCAATGCATAGCTGTTCTGAGATGAAGGCGATGCGAGATTCAGGGGTCACCTTAGGTGAAGCTGTTAGCTCCTATATCTGCAAGATCGGAGATGATAACTCCAGGTCATACCTCGATCTACCAAGTCCATTGTTAGCCTGCGAACACTTTGTGAGCAAGAAGGGGAAGAGGGGGGGGGGGGGGGGGCAACATACACAAAGTTTGCCGGACCGCACGACGGGGCATGATTTCTTGCACTCTTGACGACATTTCTATTCCTATCAGCACCCTCTTCTGACCTAACGGGTTGGTCTTCCAGCTTTTCCGAACCTTCGGTTTGCACTATTTGTACACAAAATGTCAGCACTGGCCCGTTCTCGTGCGCAGTTCCAAGGGAAGGTCGCAAGGGAGGTCTGCGGGGCAGTCATACCTTGTCGCTACTGACGATAGCGACACTGTTCAAAATAAAAGTTAGGCATGGGAAGTCCTAACACCGCTTATCGAGAGCCCGCCACCACTTTGGCGTTCAAGGGCACGTACCGGGTAAGTTTGTCGGCCATGGCGTTGCTTGTTGGCGTCTTGTGGGGCACAGCTGTTTGAGTATCTCGGCGACGTTGGTTGTCGGAAATCCGGCGTGTGCGCAGGTGAGCAGCAACCAATTCTCTCTCTCACTCTCGAAAACCGCACGATCGGGCGTCGGCTAGGTGGGATGATGCGTGTCGCGAGAGGTGGTCAGACCTCGAAATCTGGTTGCCGGCAGGAGGGGCACTTGCAGCTGTGGATCAAAATCCTGTCCCGCAAAAATGCCACCAACTTTGGAGTTGCCGCTTGTGGAGAGAGGGGCAGGGCAAAAATGTCGAGGGGCCATAAAAAACACAAATGGGGAAAGGCGGCGGTATCTTGGCACCCGTCAGCCTGAAATACGCTGCTGCTGATAGGACAGCAGACTCAGGTGGATCGAGAAGCACGCGCGCCCGTGAAAGACGAAAGCATCCCATCAACGAGGCTGCGAAGTCTTTGTGTTCTACTTCGTACATATTACCTATTCCAGACCCAGCAGCTACTATGTACACTCGATACGTTATGTGAACGTTCTCAGGTGCCCGTTCTAAATACTCAACTTTCCCTTTGAACGGAAGATGCTTTAAGTTGCATTTTCCCTCTCTATCTTTGGGTCTTGGGCATATGCTGTGATCTTACTAGTTAGTAATTGTTGTTCCCAAGCAAAAAAAGAAAGAGGATCATTTGATTCCCGTCATGTCAAGAAACTTATTTTACCGTCCTGTCGCGTGCGCGTGTACCGCATGTGCCGTTCGCCGGGCCAGCAGAAACAAAACGGGGAAACCTATGAAAGAGGTCGCCGTCATTTTTTCTCAGGCGCCGTCGACTATGTTACTTCGGAATGATGCAAGAAAGTCGAGATCCCCGTGAAAGAAGCCCGTTGACATGGACCGTGGGGAACGAGACGCATATGACACGGGTTTTCTTCGTCATTTTGATCGTAACTATGAACCTTACGGGATCGATCTGGATTTGTTAGTGCGAACGAAGAGTTTATAAAGGACGCCGCCCACACCCCGAACTCGACCATCCCTGGATTCGCTACCAACACCGAGGTAGTTGCCCTGAGATACACCAAGGAATCGACACTGCAAAGAAATCGACAACCTTCAAGGACCGACAACCGTGTTCATTTTACACATGACCATACACACCGTAAGGCTTTCTTTCACTTGCAATCATTGCGGTTTAGCATTACCCTTTGAAGGGTTGCCCGTTATATTTACGAGTGTTTTTCCCCTTTCATTTCCTTCTTGGCTTATAACTCGTCATCCCTCGTCGTCGTTGAGCTTGGCAACAAGTCGTTCAAGCGAGTACGGCTTGGGAGAGTGCTTATTAGTTGCAGCTGCTGAAGGCCTTGCTCAAAGTGGAAGGCCAGCTGTCAGCCTCAGGGAACGGTCTGTTGGGCCAATCCACGCCTTTCAAGTGGGGCTTGCCAGGTTCAGCACAGGCCACCGGGGGTGCCTAGCTCCGATTCACCATTTTCCATTCTCTCTCCTCCGACCGACCACCACTGCGAAGTCGCTACACCATCATCACTAAACCACACTGGGGTCTCCAGCTCTTCACAACCCCACCCCATCCTTGATCAGAGCATACCTTGGACGAGCTGAGCCAAGAGTCTGCTGTCTTGAGGTGCTGTTGATAGCCTGTAAGTGCTGCACTTGCTGTTTCTGGCGCTTCCAACCACGACGTGACCCGCCGTGTCTCGTCCTTCGAATCCGACATCGATCCCGGTAGACATTCATCACGAGAGTTACCCTACTACCTCCTGGAGGCACTGTACACGCGAATTTTGACGGAAATCGATGCCCGCGTCGAAGCCGATGCCAGCCACGTAGTCCGTCCGGTGCTCGTGCTTACTGACGGCCGCAATTGCTTCCCGCCATCGCCCCCAGCCTCGTCGTCATCACTTACACGCGCCGAATGCGACAAGCATCATTGAAACGCGATTGTGCCATGTTTTTTGCTGCTATCTTTTGATTACGAGTCGCGGGAACAGGCCCTACCTGAAGCCTTTGCTTGCGACGCTCCAACTGTGAGAGATTTCTTACTGACATCGTCGCCCTTGTAGCAAGCGGCTCGCGCTCGGGACATCGTCATGTCAACATCCCCGGAACCCGGTCCGGTGAATGGACACGCTTCGCCTTCAACCGACGAACGTCATTCCTACATAGCGGATGACGCCCGAAGTGACAGCGACCTGTCCGAATCCCAACCGGCTCCGCTCGACGCCGCAACGCCGGAGTCCGACGATGCTGCCGGGTCACCGGATGATGACGGACCCGAGTTCGCTCCAAATGAACAGGAGGAGCTGTCCGAGTCTAGTGAACATGAAGCTATAGACGATGGGGACTTCGATGAAGCCGGCAGTCCAGCCTCTGCGCAAAGCAGCGGCGCTGCCGATCGAGTCCATTCGACCTCTGCCCGGGTCATTATCAAACGTAAAACGGCCCCGACAACCGAGGACGATTACATGCGGGAGAACCCGGAGCTCTATGGATTGAGGCGTAGTGTATGGCGCCCCCTCTCCCCGTCCCCTCGATTGCTTCCGTGCCTGTCAACTAACAAGCGCCCCGGAACAGTCGCGCCCTTCGCAACGTCGTAAAGTTGTAAGTAATGCCGTCGTAGGTCGAGCTCTATCCGTGTCCTAACAACTGCCAACCAATAGGTCGATTCGGAGGATGAGGCAGAGGAATCGGATTCCGATGCCACCCCAGCCCCCCGGAAAGCGGTGAACAAACGCCGCCGTTTTGAGCGCTCCTTGCCTGGTACGTGAAGGCTGCGCTTATAACACCCCCATCGTTTCGGCGTTGGCTAATGCTCCTCTGACATTCAAGTTTCCAAACGGGGTACCCCAGCCCGCCATACTTCGGCCGACGATTCCGATTCCGATACGTACGGCGGCGCGAAAGCTCGTAGCTTCAGGAAGAAGATGCGACGGCAACAGGAACTGCAACCGTCGTTGGCCCTAGCCGAGAAACGCTGGTCCAACCGCCGCGCCGCGCAAGTCTCGGCTGGTGCTTACCAAGAGAGCGAAGCAGAGGACGAGGAAGACGAGGACGCTACCCCTGGGTATTGGGTCGCGGGTGTCGAGGATAACTCGCCGTACATTGAGAAAATCCTCCGCCATCGTCCCAAAGAAGGCGTTGTACTCACACCCCAGGCTACACGCCACGACTTCGAGTATTACATCAAATGGCAGGGCAAGTCCCATCTTCACAACACTTGGGAGACGACCGATTCGGTCGGAGGCTTCCGTGGGTTCCGCCGTCTCGAGAACTACTACAAGAAGATGGTCGAATATGAGCTTGATCTGCAGTTTGGTGGCGATGATATTAGCCCCGAGCAGCGCGAGCAATGGCTACTCGACAGGGAACGGGAAGAGGACGCGTTAGAAGACTTCACCAAAGTCGAACGCGTGGTTGCCGTTCGCGAGGGTGACAACGGGTTGGAGTACTTGGTCAAGTGGAAAGGCCTACAGTATGACGACTGCACCTGGGAGGATGCTTCCATGATCAGCGACCATGCACAAGACAAGATTGATCAATTCCTGGACCGGTCGTCGCGTTCCTGGCAGTCGGATCGAAAGCAGACTAACTTCGACACCCGCTCGAGGATGACCAAAATGGAGCAACAGCCAACCTATATCAAGGGTGGTGAACTCCGTGAGTTCCAGCTGAAGGGCCTCAATTTCCTGGCGCTCAACTGGACGCGGGGCAACAACGTCATCCTGGCTGATGAGATGGGTCTCGGCAAGACAGTGCAGACCGTCTCATTTCTTAGTTGGCTCCGCAACGATCGTGACCAGGAGGGGCCTTTCCTGGTCGTCGCACCGCTGAGTGTCATCCCAGCGTGGTGTGATACATTCAACCACTGGGCCCCGGATATCAACTACGTTGTCTATTTAGGACCCGAGGCAGCTCGCGCCAACATCAGGGAGCACGAGCTATTCGTCGATGGGAATGTCAGGAAGACCAAGTTCAACGTTCTGGTCACGTCCTACGATTACATTCTAGCGGACGCCGATCACCTCAAAGGAATCAAGTGGCAGGTACTCGCCGTTGACGAGGCTCACCGTCTCAAGAACCGTGAGTCTCAGCTCTACCACAAGCTCAACAATTTCGGGGTACCTTGCAGGGTTTTAATCACCGGAACGCCCATTCAAAATAACCTCGCCGAGCTGTCGGCGCTTTTGGACTTCCTCAACCCCGGCAAAGTCTTGATTGACGAGGAACTCGAGCTGCTCTCGACAGCGGATAACAACGAGGCCGCTGATGAGCAGCAGAGCGAAGCTAAGCGCATGAAAACACAGGAGAAGCTTCGGGAGCTACATGCCGCTATTGCGCCTTTCATTTTGCGGCGGACCAAGGAAACAGTCGAATCAGATCTACCACCCAAAACGGAAAAGATAATTCGAGTCGAGCTCTCTGACGTCCAGCTCGACTACTACAAAAATATTCTGACACGGAACTACGCGGCGCTCCGGGACGCGAGTAACGGTCACAAACAATCGTTGCTCAATATCATGATGGAGCTGAAGAAGGTCAGCAATCATCCTTACATGTTCCAGGGCGCTGAAGACCGTGTCCTTGCTGGGAGCACCCGTCGTGAGGACCAGATCAAGGGCCTTATCACAAGCAGTGGCAAGATGATGCTCCTAGATCAGCTTCTCGCGAAACTCAGGAAGGATGGCCATCGTGTCCTCATCTTTAGCCAGATGGTCAAGATGCTGGACATTCTTGGCGACTACCTCCGGATCCGCGGTTACCAGTTCCAACGGCTTGATGGCACCATCCCCGCTGGTCCTCGTCGCATGGCCATCAATCACTTCAATGCCGATGAGAGTGAAGACTTTTGTTTCTTGCTCTCTACCAGGGCTGGTGGCCTGGGTATCAATCTCATGACTGCAGACACAGTCATCATCTACGATTCGGACTGGAATCCCCAAGCCGACCTACAAGCAATGGCTCGGGCTCACCGCATCGGGCAGAAGAAGCCAGTCAATGTTTACAGACTTGTCGCGAAGCAGACTATCGAGGAAGAGGTGGTGAACCGTGCCCGCAACAAGCTTTTCCTAGAGTATCTCACGATCCAGGCTGGCGTCACCGACGACGGGAAGGCCCTCCGCGAGCAGTTCAAGGAGCACGGTGTGAACATCGACGAGGCTAAGACTTCTGAGGACATCTCCATGATCCTCAAGATGCGCTCTCAGAATCTCTTCGAGCAATCTGGCAACCAAGAGAAGCTTGAGCAACTCGATATCGATGCCATTCTTGAGAATGCCGAAGTCACAAAGACGGACATCAACGACAAGCTGAACCTGAGCAGCGGTGGCATTGACTGGGACAACTGGATGCAAGTCACGGATGTCAAAGTCGACGATTTGGCTCGCGATTGGGACCAGATCATCCCTGCCGACGAGCTTGCCGCGATCAAGGCAGACGAGGAGAAGAAGAAGCACGAAGAGTATCTGGCGAAAGCCATGGAAGAGAATGCTCCTCGTAAGGCCGCGCTGAAGGGGTCTAGAAAGAACGTCGACACGGATCGGGCCGAGCGTCTCGCTAAGAAGAGACAGCGAGAGAAGCAAGAACTTGAAGAGTTGGAGGAACAACGAGCCTTGCTTTCGGATCCGCGCCGCCCTTTGAACGAGAAGGAGACGCGGAATCTTATCCGCGCGTTTTTCCGGTATGGCTTCTTTGATGATCGCGAGGAGGAGATCGTTCACGACGCTCGCTTGAGTGACCGAGACCACGACTTCCTCCGGTCAATCATTGAAGACCTCGTTGCGGCGAGTAAACACGCTGTGGACACAAACAACGAAAGGCTGCGTGAAGAAGAGGAAAGAGCAGGAAAACCATTGGCCAAGAAGGACAAGAAGGCTGTCCTGGTTGATTTCGGCGAGGTTCGGAAGGTCAATGCCGAAACCGTCGTGGAACGGCCTCCCCAGCTCAAACTTCTCCACCGCGTGCTCGAGGAACACGGCGACGCCATGACGTTTAGACTTCCAGATGCCAGCAAGTCGGCTCAGTATTCCTGCGAATGGGGAGCACGGGAAGACGGCATGCTACTCATCGGCATCGACAAGTACGGCTTCGGCGCCTGGACACAAATCCGGGACGACCCCGAGTTGCAAATGCAGGACAAGTTCTTCCTTGAAGAACACAGAGTGGACAAAAAAGAGGAGCGCAGAAGAACCGATGACAAGGGCATCCAGTCTCCCGGTGCTGTTCATCTGGTACGGCGCTCTGAGTATCTGCTCTCTGTCCTCCTAGCCAAATACTCGAACGATGCAAACGCAAAGAAGGCCGTCGAAAACCACCATCGTAGCAAAAAGCTACTGACCAACGGCATCCGGCGCGGCGAAGGCAGCTCCGTCTCAGCTTCTCCGGCTCCACCGATGTCAAAGAAACCGAGCCAACACCGCGACCGTGACCACCACCGGTCGTACAGCAATGCCAACGATCGTGGCACGCCACGCCCAGACAAGCGGAAATACAATGACGATTATGACGAGCGCAACAGCAAGCATAGGAGGCTTGAGGTTGATGCTCGGCATGAGAAGAAGCCCAAAGCGGGGGAGAAGCCGAAGATCGATCCGGAGACGATGGAGCGCTACAAGCGAGACAGGCAAAAGGCTGTCGAAAGATTCCAGGAGCTTGCAAAGCTGCGTGATGATGAGATCGACCCCTCCGATAATACACAGTTGGTGTGGTCGGTATTGCGTCCTCTCAAGCCGAACATGGAGCGTATTATGCAGTCTAAGGAGCTGGTCCCCGCCGCAAAGGAGAGGGCGAAAATCCTGGGCGAAGAGATTCGCACTTTTGGAAGCTTCCTGAAACGCTTGAGGGCGGAGAACGAAACCGATCTTGAGAGCTTGGAGCCCCAGTTTTGGTGAGTCTAACACTACAACCCCCTTCTTGATTCCCCCCAAACGCCTTGCTAACGTGATTGCAGGGAGTTCTTGTCCTCGATCTGGCCGCTCGGAGAGGTCAAAGTGTCCGGTAAGCGACTCCAGAGGATGTTCCGGGACCTTCTGGAAAAGGACAAGACGAAACGGGAGGACGACCGATCCAACGAACCCCGGCGGCCGAAGAACCCGGACTTGGAAGACGGCGAGATCGCTAGTGACCGCGAAGAACGCCGTGCCCGAGACCCGTACCGCGACGACCGGCGCGAGGAGCGCCGCGAGGAGAGACGTGACGAGCGAAGGGACGACCGCAGGGAAGACCCCCCACGCCGCAACTACTACGACGATGATCGTCTTAACTTCTACCGCCACCGTCGCCCGGAGAATCGCGGTGTTCCCCTCCGTCACTCCTCATGGCAGAGCCGCAGCCCGCCGGCCCGGCACAGCCCCTACTAGTAATACTCGAGGTCGTCTTACGGTGTTTTGCTGTTATTTGTTTCGGCTGGCGACGCACGCATTGTTTTCTGTTCTTTATTTTTTCAGTCGCCTTTGACCATCCTTTCTTTGTCTTACACAACATGCATGGGACTGGCGTATTGGCACCGAAAGAAAGAAAGAGGAGACTGGGGCGGGCTCTTCTGCATATTTTATTGTTCTGGTTTTTCTGTTTTGCTTTTTTTTTCTTACTCGTCCTCAACTTGACAAAAATAAAGTACATCGCGGGCGTTTGCATTGGTCATTAGGAGATGGAGCCACATGCCAGTTCGTTCGGGTGGGTATCACTAAAGGATCTTGACAGCCGGAAGGTCCTTGTATTACCTTCCGAACATCTTTATGTGGCTTGGCAGCAATGGGTTGGGTTTGTGGGGGCGACTTATAGGAGGAGAAAAAAAGTAGCAGATGAGCATGAAGCCGGGCACATTTAAGGCTTAGCTTTGCCTTGGTGCCTGGCTTTACTGTGGGCTGCTTTGTTTTTTTTATTGTTTTTGTCTTTTTTCTCTGCCCTCTTTTTTTGCTGGCCTTTTGGGATCGATGTAATCCAGAGCCGTGCCTGTTTTAGGGGTTCTGACCTGCTGGTCGTTTTATGGGCTTGGTAGTAGTCTACAGTGTTATCATGGGCGTTCATCATGCGTCCTGGGTTATCTTTGGTAGTCGGGTCGGCTGCCCATTCAGAATTAGGGTTAGGAGGTACTCGTAGACGAAGACAAAATCTTAACAGTCATGGAGTAGAAATGGTGTGCGTGCAATGTAAAGCTTGATATATGTGTGGGTCCGTATTAAGAATTTGCCTTCGAAGGCCTTCGCGTTCAAGTTGGCGTCAAGGATGTAGAAGGTCGTATATTGCGAAGAATAAGAACAACCAGAAGCACAGAAAAGTCGGGCTGATATACACCACAAGTGTTGCAATAATAAGTATTATTTTATCTTCCGAGCCAAGCCGGGGACGGGCCAGCGCTTGATGCCTAACCGGGAATGTCTTCTACATCCTCACGGGTTCCTTGTCCCTGAACACCATGTTTCAACTCATCTGTCTCGCTTCCCCTCTCTGGAGACTACCTCCCAGACAGACTCTCCCGTCACGACTAGACCCAACCATTGTGGATGTCTATACATATTATATTTGAAGCCCTCAGGGGCAAGCAAGTGTACGTGTGTGTGACGGCGAAAATGTCATCTCGTCAACACGTATTGTTCCTTCTAACACAGTTCTCCGACGTACCCCTCAAACCACATCAATGGGTCAATCAATAAGGTGACCCATGCTCCTAGGCTTGGATGTGGGCGATATCGTCCCCAAAGCCGGCACCATCTTTGTCTCCCGGGCCGGCGTGTCAGGCATGCGCTTCGCAACAGATCCGTCGGTATTCGGGGGGCCGGTAAGAACGGTAAGCGGGGAGCTGTGCGGGACGCTGTTGGTTGGGCGCAAGGATGGGAGACTGAGAAAGTCGCTGGGCACATCGACGGGGGAGGACAGGTCGGAAGAGCCGGCTTCGGATGGGGGGCCTTGGTCGAGGATTTTGATGTCCTTGAGCGGGAGAGCTGCAGCCGCCTTGGTCGTGCGGAAGGCCTGGTCGACTCTGTTTTGGGGCTTTGCGGGGGCCTTCTTCGGTTGACGGGGCTTCTTCGGTTTGGTAGGGGCCTTGGTGGTGGTTGTTGCAGAGGGCTGGGCCGCTGTTGAAGGGGCGCCGTTGGCGAATAGGAGGGTACTCTGCTTGGGCTTGACCTTGGTTGATGGCTTGACAGTTGGGAGGGGGCTCCGTACGCGTGGGCTTGCGCCCGGCGTGGGAATGCCGGCGCATCCAAGTGACTCCAATTTGCAAGAAGTTGAGTCGTCCTCCACGCTTCTGGACCGCTTGGAGCCAAGGTGAAGCTCGATGCCGCCACGCCGTTGGGCATTGGCGTACTTTTTCTCCTTTTTCTCGTCGCCCGTAACCATGTAGTTTTCACGCTCCCCAATATCCTGCTGATCCCAGCGCGGCAAGCTAACCAAGCCAGCGAGGTCATCGCATTTGCCGCGCACGATATAATCCCAACAGTCCTTGAACTCGGTGCCTTGCGGTTCGGGGTTAATGTTGACCCAGGCTGTGATACCGCCTCTTCGGCTCCTGGTCAACTGGCACATCTCTTTGACAAGTCGCCGTACACCAGGGATTTTCAAACTTGTGCCAACAACAATGACCGCATCAGGCACCCTCCGGAGATCTGCTTTAGAAACATTCCCGATGGCCTCTTCGTCTGGGTTGTATTCGTTATACAGTACCATTCTCGGCCGGAGCCGGCCAATCCCGTGACTCCGCTTCCCCGCAAACGCCGTCCTAACCTGGTCCTGCTCCTTGCATTTTTCGCACAATGGAGGCTCTGGACCCTCAAATAATGATGCGTTGAACGGTTCGAGATGGCCGCACTTGGTGCACACCATCTTCTCGAGCCCTCCGTGGAGTTGGACCGTTGTTGGCCAGGGGCCTTTGGTGTTCAATGGAACTCTAGTTGCTAGCGGAGGCAATTGGGTTTCGAGGTTGTCGATGTTCTGCGTGTACATGCGCATAAGCCTGCCCTCGGTGGCCATCGACGCTATCATGTGGTGAAATGGGGTTGGCTTCGCCGCAGACGTCATCTGGGCCAACTCTCGGACCATGGTGTGGAAAGACTCGGTCGATGAATCGTGCTTGTACACTGACGCGTCGAAAAGGTGTTTCCCCGATGCTTTGAGCTTGTGCTGACCACGAACGGTCGCGAACAGGCCTGTAGACGACCGAAAGTCGGGAACTAAGCGGGCGCGTTAGTACGTTTGCCAATAGAATGACCCCTAGAAGAGGGAGAAGCGTGGGAAGTGCTGAGAGGGATCTGTCACCACTTACTTCCTGCGGACACAGAAATCCCGGCACCCGCGATAACTACAATCTTCTTCTTTTTCTGCATGGCCTTCTTCAGCCTGTCCAAATCCTCGTCCCATTCTTGACCGTTACTCCCCAAATCGATGCGACAGGTCGTGCGCTCTTTCGGGCCCGTCGCAATCCGGCGGCGCTTGGTTGGAGGGGGCCCGTCGGTCCGGACGCTGATTTCCTCTGTGGTGTCCGACATGGAGGATTTTAAGGGCGGTGTGCTGCTGCCGGGCGTGTGTACGCTGGAAGAGGGTGAGGGATATCGTTTGGAAACGTCCAGCGCCGGGCTGGGTGGGGAAGGCGATTGGGACAGGACGGAGAGCGGAGATGAAGGGGGGGATGAGGATTCAGGTTGGAGGGCCGCCATGGTGCTAAGTGTTGCTGCGGTTTGGTGGGAATGCCGGTCGTGGGTTTCGAAAAGTGGTAGGAAAGGGGTGAAGGGTTATGGCGGGAGCCTTAGGAAAACGGAGAGTAGTAGAGTTATATCATGGCTGACGTGCAACTTTCGTGTTTATCCCAGGTGGTTCGGTATTTCCTTGCCAGAATGTATTGAGATGCTGCTTGGACAATGCTTTCAAACGATTTAGGCGTGCGCGAGGGTGCTTGTTGACACGATGTCACCGGCTTATTGTGAACAAAAAGGGAAGAAAGAAAGTGGTTGAATTCAAATTTCAGAAATTCGCGATGGATTGTCCTGAGCGCTGGCTGGGCATTGTTCGAGTTGGCGTTCCTGGCCGGGGTGTTGGCAACCAAGCCAGTGACGGGCAGACGGCAAGGGGCGCTGCAGGATCCACGGAACCTCAGCATGGAGTTTCATGATTGGGTGATAGGACTCCAGCGAGTTCGAAATTCTCCACCCGTCCACCTCAACCGTGCATCAACCCCAGAAATTGAATGCCCGAGCCGAGAACATTAACACCGTTTAAATTGTTCAGGATTTCTCGAAACTGAGGAGAAGCTAAGAATCTTCTAAACGGCCAAAAGTGTTTTGTTCGACTTATTAAAGGCAAGTCTTTGTGGCGCTTATTTTGGCAAGGGGCCTCCTATAAGGAGGACATGTAAGCCGGAGACACAAAGACCGGAGCGCTTTCACCAACCGGGGGTGTGATAAACCCGGCACACCCTCGAAACCTCGTGGGATGGAATGGAACCAAAGGAAAGTATGCTAGGGATACAACCACCAACCACTGTGTATGCATCTTTTTATTATTATTTTTTAGAGTATTCATACCGATTAGCTCAGCGATACATTATTACCTAGTTCTCCAGGCGGTTGTAAGTTACAAGTCAAGTTGGAAGTTGGTGTGGTCAGCCCTGTGAGCTTGCTGCAGCCCGAAACAAATGACGTGCCTGGGCGATGAAGCCCTTGAGTTCCATGCTCCGACATGAGCCGCCCCACATGCAAAAACCCGTTGCTGGGAAACGCGGTCTGGGGAGGACAGCCTTGAGGCTTGGCATCAGCCTTCACCACCTGTCGCCGTGATTTGCCAGTTGCCTGGGCTGCCAACCAACCGAATCACTTGACAATATGCTGCATGCGACTTGGAAACTACGATAGAATTACGTCCTTTGGTCTGTAAGGTTCGCAGGTCAAATTATCATTTCCTATAAATTTTTGGTCTTGCTTGAGCCTAGTTGCTTTAATCCATTCTAGTCTATAATGAGTAACTTGCTGCTTCAATATCTTTCGGCCACAAGAGGATTATCCCTCGTCAGATAACATTCTCCCTCGGTTTCACGACGCGACGCCACATGAGCACCCACTGGTGTAACGACACCCCCAATACTCTCTGGTTTTTTTATTCCACCAACTTCTAGGACTGGGGGGGAATTCAACACAAATCAACTATTAAGCTGTGGCTCCCTTGCCTCACAAATATTGCCAGCTTTTAGTGAGCGGTGTGGGGATTATTCACTTCACAACTCGCGTGCTCACCATCCGAAACACCACAACCCGGGGACTCGGTCTCACTCGTTGCTCTCTTTATTTTTGCCAACGAAGCGATTGCAGTTGCCGCCTCAACGTCACATTCATTTGCTGGGTTATCAGGCCATTGAAGCACCGGCTGAAAGGCCGATCTCTAGCTTGTGTGCGTTGACCGCAACCTCATAGTCCAGCATGAGTACTCACGACATGGCTCTTCTCCTGGATGGGGAAGCGATGAATATGGACGGGGCTATCCCAGGGATGCAGGGAATTGCGGATATGCAGGGGATGAATGGTATAGGGGATATGGGAGGCGCCATGGCTCTCGATGAAGTCGACTTATTCGGAGACCCAGTCATGGAGAACGCCCTGGTAGGACTGCCTGCCCGTCCACTTCCGAGCAAGAAGCTCCTGCAACGTTTGGACGAGCTTCGGACACGCGGGTGTTGTCAAGGCATCGCTTGGTCTCGCCACGGCACCATCGCGTCCATCACGAAGGACGGGGCCTCGATAGAGTGCCGCTTCATCCGCTGCAACCCGGAGACCACCGAATGGGAACTAAGTGAGCCAAGCTCCTGGTCACCTCCACCACCAACGGCAGCGCCACCATCCGGCCCGAATTCTCTGGCATCGGCCAGCGCTCCCTTTGTCCACTTGGCATGGAGCCCCGCCGTGAGCCCTGACCTGGCCGTTGTGGATGCTCTTGGGCGCCTCATTATCCTCAGCTTCTCCATATCAAACAACCAACCCTATCCTGTCCGCCGTTGGGAAACCGACAATGCCGACGACCTTCATGCGGTTGTTGGCTGTTACTGGCTCCCACAGGGAACGGCGCAAGGGAAACAGGTAAGTAGCCGACCCTAACCCCCCTTACGGAATTCCGCCCTTTCTAATACGCTAGTGACAGTTCCAAATTATCCATGGTCCGGCAATCAAGCACCAGATTGAGTATCGTTATGAACATCAACTCTACCCGGCTTTCGGGCCGTGGCACCCGAATGCGTCGAAGAGCGCGTTTCTCTGTGTCACAACAAACGGGATCTTGAAGCTCTTCTTTACGCAGAATAACGGCCGGCCCGAGGAGACGGCGCTTGAACTTGAAAGCGTAACATCTTCAGATGATTTAATTACTCACGCTTCTCTATGCTCGGATAAGAGTAATGTCCTTCCCATCCATTACCCCCTAGCTTCCCCTTTACTTGTCCCTTTCCGCTTCTGCTAACACTTAGCCCCTAGACACGCTCCTCATCGCCATCGCCACTGCGTCCAAGCAATTGCGGATAGTCAGGGTAGGGATCCATTGGGGACTGCCCCAAGCTGACAACAAACAAATGCCGACTCAAAGCTTGCCCTTACGGCCATCTCTACGAGAGTCACATGTGGCCGTCACGAGCTGGGCCCAACACGGCCCAGATACTTCTCCTTTAGAGGCTTACGCATCCCAGCTCTCGCACATCGAAATTCTCCCTTCGGCTCCTATTAGCCCGGGCCAACAACCTATGGCGCCCCCCATGATTTTGGCGGTGCGCTCATACATTCCGCAAGAGGCTACATCATACCCGCAAGAGAGCCAGAGCATCATTGATCGCTGGGAAGTTGTTAGTGATCAGCAACAGGCTCTCCACCCGGCCTTTGAGCAGTTAGGCTCTAAGAATGGTGCCACATCCACTCCGCCTGTACGTATTACGAAGATCTCCAACAGACTGTCGTTCTAGTTGACTGACGTAGACTTTTAGACCACAACGCGGTTACGCAAACTAAACCCAATTATCTTGCCGAAAGTGATCGTATCTGTTTCTACGACTCAGTATGGTAGAGTCCTTTGTTTCGCTTTTAGCGACGGCACCATCCAATTCCGGGATCGCTTCACCATAGATGAGATATACCATGAACCCAACAGCGATAGCATCATCCACCCGTCACAGGTCGGCTTTCAGTGGGCGGACAACACCCCTTGTGAGTAGAGATTGCGCTTCACAGACCTTGTTTTCCTCACCTGGATTTTACTGACTCGAAAAACAACCAGGCCTCCAGGTGGCTTTCTCACCCACCAACTGCTCTTTTACACAGATATCTGAGGATTTCACGATCAAATGGAACCGGCTGCATTATCCCATGATGGATTTGAATGGGGCGTTGCAAGACAGTGAGACCTCAGCTTCATGTCTATTCTCAAGACGATATAGAAACGTTTACTAACGCCCTCCTAGCCGACCTCAAAATGATTCGCGTTGCGTTAACCGTCGCATTATCTTCCATAGTAGGACATCAGGGGAGTCAGGGGAGCTTCGACGACGTCTTGGCAATAGCCCGGCCGTTTGCGCAGACGCCAGACTTCGCGTCCGCCTGGGTGAAGGAATTGGTCAACATGCTTAAAATTGCGGTCGACTACTCGGAAGCCGGACACCACGATCAGTTGGTTAAGAACATCCCCTTACAGCAATGTCTTGGTGTGATCAGCCATCTCAGCTTTCGGGGCGACTTCAAACCCCGCTCGCATAGCGGCAAATTCGCCATGCTCGCGTTGGGGATCCGGAGTGTCTTCCTTGTCATCACTGTGGCAAGCAACAGCCCGATGCTGGGGGTGAAAGAAAAGCTAACGCCCCTAGACGATCCGGATGTGGTGGATGCGGTTACGGGGTGCATTGAATGGGGGTTTTCCCTCCTCGCGTGGCTGACAAATGCGCTCTTCGAGCTCGTCGATGACCCAGACATTGCTGCCATGCTCGGTGACCAGAAACGTTTCTCCGAGTTGGCGAAATACCTGGAATCCAAGAACGACGCTTCCCTTCAGCTATTACTTTGCTCGTCCACGCGAGGCTTTCTGTCGGGGCTCTGCCGTCGTTTGCAACATATTGAGCAGGTCAGCACCCGCGCGGCTCAGTATTCCGAGTTGCGGATCCAGCAGCAGCAACAACAAGACGCTGCTGCAGTTGCTGGGGGAGTACCCACTCGCGCTCCTCACCCGGCCCTCTCCGAAGCTTACCAACGAATGGAGCGCGTAGTTGCCTCAGCGCTGGTGAAAGTACCCGAGTTTGAGCGGCTGCTAGCTGAATTAAGCAGCGACATCCAGTCTGCTTACCACAAGACCTTCTCCGGTATCCCCCTGGCCAAGGTGAAGCCCCAGCAGGGTACCATGACGGACCAGCAACAGCAACAGCTAAACGAGCAGTTTGCCAAGAAAGCACAGGCGCATTGCGAGCTGGATATGGTGCTGGGTAGGAATCCACCACCATGCTTCCGGGAGATAGTCTTGAAGCTATTCACGGTCACGCTCCCGGCGTTTCGGAACCAGACGGACCCCGCCAAGCTGTACTTTGCGAAGCACAAATTACTCGAGGTGGACGATAACCCCACCATCTTAGCTAGGAAAAAAGCGGCGGGGCAATATGTCGACGTGTTCAAGCGGGTGGAAATTGTTGTCAACCCGCGGTCGAAGCAGACACTCAACACTTGGGACGAGGGCTTATTTCCCGATGATGATCTCACTACCTCCGCGAAGCTGGGTTCTATCATCAACAACCACACCAGCAGCAACAGTAATGGCGTGAAGCCTGCGCTCGGCAGTGGCGTGAGCGAGGAGCACGGGATGGGAAGCTACCGGACAGCGATTACTGGGACTTGGACGGGAATCGGGGATGCCAGCCGCCCGCAGTGGCGTCGGTGTGTGCGTTGCGCGTCGGTGGTGGGGGACATGTTCACTAGCAAGCCCGGGTATCACTTTGTGCTTTCGCAGCAGAGGAAGTGTGTTTGCGGAGCGAGTTGGGGGACGGTGCCACGGGGGACATGAGCGAGCGAGAAAGCGAGAAAGTTTGTGGGTTCACGCATTGGGTCCATGATACAAGGGGCGTTGAGCTAAGCGGAAGCAGTGATAATTACACCTAGTAGAATACAATATTGCTGAGCGCGTGGTCGGCACGGAGCCTAGTCCTTTGTTGAACTCCCTTAAGGTTGTGGTAGATGCCTTCGCTACAGGTGACACTCCTTCCTTCCAGCTTCTCCCCAACCCCCACCTCTCCGAGGTCCCGGCGCTCCTTCCCCCTTCGCAACAAACCCACCCTTTATAACCTAGGCTTCCGGTACCTCCTTCCAACTCCCCACCCGCCCAAGCGGCGGCCCAACATGGTGTATAGTGCATTTGGGGGGTTGCGCCATCAGCAACTCTGCCACTCCGGGTTCGATTCCCGGGGCGAGCATCAATCGTAAAATCTGTTGGTTTCCGCCAACGATTTTCGTAGCCCCTCAGCTGGGGCAAGTACGAGGTTACTCCAGGGGCGAGCTTTTTTTGGCCTTTTTTCCTTTTTTCACTTGAGAAACTTGGATACACTTCTCTGTTCTAATTTGTTTCTCGCGCTACTTGAATCTCACCCAGAACATACAGCTGAATTTGATGTCCATTATACAGAGGTTCTCTAGGGTTAAGATTTGTCTCCTTCCCATAAATACTCCTGCTCAACCCCCGGTATCAACGGCCGCAGTGCCATGCCATAGTCTCCCCCATTTGGCGTCCGCAACAGGGTGTGAATATGAAACTTGGCCGGCTCCTTGTTTGTCAAGAACACCCCCGAGTGGTGGTCAAACTCAACAATAATCACGGGGCTCTGGATCCGGTAATAAAAAGCATCGTCGTCCCCATACCCGCCTATCCAACAGAAGAATGTCTCGTGGAACCACGCCTCAACCTCTCCCATCCTCACCTCCCTCGCTTTCGCGGGGAGATAGAGTAGATACTCCCGCAAGATCGCTCTCACCATGTCCTGCTGTGTCTCATCCATCTCGGACACCAACACCCCCTCATACGGCACCACCCTATTATCCCTATACGCACCGCACAAATGGCGCTGGTCATCATGATTCCACCGCCCGCGCGGCATCGCCGGGTCACGGAGCAGCTTGTACACCTGCGCGCGGGCGCGCATGCTGCTGTTGTTGTTGTCGCCGCCTGCGCTGAGACTGCGCATCAGCCGCAGACCGAGGGTTTCTTCGTTTTGTAAGATACGCGTGCCGGCGTGCGGGCCGTCATCGATCAGGTTCGGCTCGGCACCAGTAAACCAGGGGGATATGACGGCTTGGGTGCGGTAGAGGAAGACATTGAGGCAGAGGTGGTGGCCGTAGAAGGAGAAGCCCCAGGGGGCCGTTTCCGATGGACCCCCGCCGCCGTCAGTCCCGTTTTCACTGCCACCACAACCGAATAACACGAGGTTATACGAAAACTCATTCACCACCCTTGGTGCACCCACAAGGCCACCTAGAAAACCATTAATCCGCATCGCGGCCCTGGCCTTGGCGTACCCCTCCGGCGAGAGTGTCGCCTCAAGCAGACCAAGCGCGGCATCGCGGGCTGCGGGGTCCACCTCATCCAGGCGCACGCCCTTGTCGGAGAGGAGGAATTCTGGGTTGGACCAGGTGCGCCATTCGGGTGAGTCGAGGTGGTGCTGGGTCACGAGGGCGCGCTGGGACGGGTTAAGAGTGCTGAGGAAGGTGGCCGCGGCGGAGACGATGGAGGTGATGGGCATGCCGCCGTCGTTGTGGAGGTGGAAAAGGTTGGGGCGGACGTGGCCTAGGGGTTGGTGGTGTTAGTAAAATGAAGAGAGAAGCCACTACAAGAAAGACGTTCACACCATCGTTCGTGATACCCTTGAAGGGCTCTTGGTGTAGCTTGCGCCAGTGGAGGTACAGGCCGTGAAGCCATGGCGGGACGCCGCTCTCCTTGAAAGCCTTCGCGTACTCATGGGCATCCTGGGTCTGCATGATGGTGGAGCGAGGGATAGTGAGGTCCGGCAGGTGTTGGCGATAGGCGCCGCTGCCGTGTTGGTCGCCCGCAGCCATCTTGTTGAGTGTGTAAGCGGTGTCAGTCACCCAATGTGTAATCCGCCAGACCTCTTACGGTTCAGATGTGGTGTGAGATGTGAGTTAGGTAATTTGGTCGAGGGTATGGCAATGGAGGAAATCGAGCGCTGGAAGAGTACTGAGGTATCATGTCAATGGAACGTGCCAATGTCTCGTTCGAGAAGTAGATGGTTTCATGCTTCGAATCATCCGGCCGGAGTTTAATTTACAGCCCTGCGGTTCAATTTAGGGAGGCAAAACTATGTCCCGGAAATCCTTCGGGTGTGGGGGATTAGGAAGAAACGGGAACCAGCAGACCAGGTACCGTGGTGGACCTACAAAGTTACCCCTCCCCCGCTCTCGCCCGGTAACCCCTCATAAACACACCCTTGGTTGTGGGTTCGCAGCATGGTTGAGGTGTAAGTTCATGGGAATGGCCAAATTCTCCAATCTCACAAGGAGAAAAATATCAAACCATATTTGGCTTCCTACAGGTTATGATCCTGCCTCCGAGAGAATTCACAGCTCCTTGAACTGAACATGAAACAAATCCACCGCCCGCCTCCCAGACCTCAACTCATGAATATTCTCCTGAATAGCTAAGGTGTACCAACACCGAATTAGCATCCCTCTAACACATAGATCCTTCAACATGCATGGAAACAAGGGGGATACTCACCACCAGGCTTCCCCTTCGCCTCCAAATGCGCCTCCCGACTTGTCCACCCAATCACCAACCTCACCACCTGCTCCTCGTCCACATCCCCTTCCTTGCGCCTCTGCGCAACTCCGCTCCCGAACGCTGCACCCTTGTATCCCTCCGCCGGGTTGGTATCGACCGCGCTCACGAACCGCCCGGTGCCTTCTACAAACCCGTCTTTAGGTCCATAGGCAGTGAAGACCTCGGTGCAGGGCGCGCGGAGAGCAGATTCCCAGTCCTGGCCCGGGGCGGCAGTAATGGTGAGCGTTTCTTTACTCTCTTTGTTGATGTTGAGGGATGTGCTGGGGTGGAAGGAGGACTGGTAGGCGAGTGCTGCTTCGGGGGAGAGCCATTCTGTCTCAGTCGTCAGTCTGGGAAAATCCGAAGAGCTCTTTTAAAGAATAGAATAAAACGAAATTAGGGGGTGTTATACTCACCAGTGAGTAATACGCCAACATTCGGGTCTTCTAATTTCACCCCAAATAGCGCGCGCCGGAAACCGTTCAGGTTCTTGAGCCCGTCCAACCCTGTCGCTGAGGGCTCCTGGGGTTGCCCCAGTGTTTGGAAGACGTAAACCTGTGGCGCGGCCATTTTTACACAATCAATGTTTATTGGGTGCTGTGTAACAGAGGAACAAGTGCCGTAATTCACTCGAGGTAGCTTTTCAAAAGGGGCGTTGTTGTTGAGTTCGGGAAAGAAACTCGCGGGGTAACAAACGCTTGATGACGTTCCTAGCCATTACAAATAACACCATTTTCAGCTGAAATATTTCAACCTTTCAACAAACGGCATTCAACCACAGCAATAGCATTCACGGCTCATTGAATGGGACTCATATGGATTGCAATGCCGGGTTTCAATTTTGAGTCGTCCTAAGATATCTATCCCGGCCCAGAATCAACAGTCATCCCTCCACAAACTTCCAACCCGGAGCAACCCATTGTCAAAGGTCGTGTGTTGCAACAAAACACCAAACAACGCCAGACATACCAGAGCCAGAGAAACCCGGCTGACAGTCCCCTGAGAACAAAACGCAACCCTCTTGCCCCAGCCGTTTCGGCTCTACTTCCCGTGTGAAAATCGACCGGAATTGACGAGCGCCCGAGAAACTATCGAAAAAACAGAAAATGCCCAACGGAGGAGCCGCACACCGAGATGGCTCTGTCGGTCCCATGGTCGGTTCCCGTCCATGGACTTTTTTCTAACAACGCCCGGCCCAATGCGAAACGAGCACACAGACATTATCCTCACCCTTTACCTTGGTTAGCAACGGAACGGAGCGTAAATTTCCCAGACGAACGATGGAAGACTTACGTGGTTGTGCAACCCACCCCCTCTAACCAAGAAAGTCAAAGGCAGACCTCCCGCGAAAGATGCAATAGTCGCTCTCGATCTAATGCCGCCCATGGCCCAACACAAATATGCTCGCGGCCTCCCGAAAGAAGGTCTAGGTACAGAATTCTATCGCGAACCGTGCAAGAACGCCCGTGATGCGCCATGAAAAAAAAAACGACCGTAAGAGAAAGCGTTTAGCTCCCGGATAAACAAAGAAGCCGTAAATGCAATCAAAATGCCGACATGACAAGGCCGCCCGTCGGATGCTGAGGAAGTCCGAGTATGGACAAACTGTCTATTACCTGGCTCACGTATCGCTGCAGTCCAGGACAAACACAGCGGGTGGACCGGTCCCAAGCTGGAGAAATCTGGTACGGGGTTAGGACCATGGGAAAGCAAGCATTACAGAATACAAATTATTAGGTTTTAAATGACTTACGAAGTAACGCCTTTGTACCCAAGAATGCAAGCCTCTAGTTCCCTGCGACATCGGTGCAGCGCCGCCCCGCGGGTTCTGTTGCAGGATGTGGTGAAATGTACATCAAACAACACGAAAGGCCTTTTAACGTCCTGCCCAGGACGGGGTCGGTGACAAGCTTGGGTCTGGTTGTCAAGTTTGACTGCATCAGGGACGCTAGGCTGCCTCGGAAGACATCGTCAAGGTGGTATGCGTTGACTCAAGCGGTCGGTGAGAGGAGGTTGTTTTCGATAATGGTCGTGGAAGCGGCCCAAACCGCCCAGGATGGGGGGTCAAGGAATGTTTCGAGTCATATCGAGAGAGCCGGTTTCCATGGTGATGGAGGCGGTGTCCCGGGCTTCAAGTTGGAGTTGGGAAACTGTGAGGGGGGAGAATAAGGGCGCTATCCCGGGGAAGGGGGCCTTTCTTATATGCTAGGGAATTTGCCCGCCATGGCTGACGAAGAAGCACATGCCCTCATTGCTTGATGGGATGAAATGTGCCATGTTGTCAGTCATGGGGTTGGTGATGCCTTGCTAACCCCTCGTTCGACTGCACCAATCGCACTGAATCGTCCTCCCGAAAACCCCGCAAGGCAGGGGTTCATTTGTGATCTTTGAACCAAACCGCAAACATCACAGGTCCTAAAACGTGCGTGGCCTCTCTGGGTGACCACTCCTATCACTCGCCGCGCCCACCAGTCCCTCGCGTATCGGTTCGGATAAGGGTGTTCATCGCTCGAAGTAGCGCCGCAGCGATCCCCTTGCTCGGCACCAACCACCGGACACACCAGGACACAGGACTGGCTCTGAGTCAATCCTCGGGTTGACCGCCTCAAAAAAGAATCGGCGAATCATTGCTGTTGTTCTACCCCCCGGAATACCCGATAAGGACCACGAAAACGCATCATCAACAAAGGGCATGGCGGAACAAAACACCACTCCCACCACCAGCCAATTCGGCACTACCCACGTCATCGAACCCGCCTCACCACATACCCACACCCACACAGCCATCATGCTGCATGGCCGGGGCAGCAACGGTCCAGAGTTCGCCCAAGAACTCGCCGAGACCGCCGCGCCCGGCCAAAAACACCTTCTGCAACGCTTCCCGAGTTGGCGGTGGGTGTTCCCTTCCTCGCAACAAGAGATGTGGAGCATCGCGTTTGAGGAAACGCTGCCGGCTTGGTTCGAGGCTCATTCTCTCACCGACACGTCGGAGCGGCAGGACTTGCAGATAAGTGGTATCAAGCAGTCGGTTGCGCACATCCAGGCCATCGTGGACAGGGAGGTGGAAAGCCTTGGCGGGGAGGCTGATCGGGTGGTTATCATGGGCATCAGCCAGGGTGGTGCCGTCGGCATGTGGACGTTGCTGTGTCAGCGGAATCTTGGGAGACGCGTTGGGGCGTTTGTGGGAGCTAGCACTTGGTTGCCTTTTGCGAGGTACATTCAGGAGCTTCTCGGCAAGAACGATTCTTCTGGAGAGACGCCGGCCGGCACGGGCTCATCAGATGTCTTTGTCCGCGACATGTTATCTACTTGGCTTTCACCTAACGGTCCCGAGTCTACGGGCCGCCAACTACTTTCCACACCAGTGTTTCTAGGGCATGGCAACGACGATGCATTTGTTGGCGTTGATCTGGGCCAAGAGGCTCGGAAAGTCCTTGACGATGTGGGCTTTCCGGTGCAGTGGAAGAACTACCTTGGTGCCGAGCTGGAAGGTCACTGGATCAAAGTGCCAGAACAGGTTGACGATATTGCTTATTTTCTCGCCGAGGCAACGAAAGAGACAGCCGACAGCTCGGTTTAATCTCCTAATCTTCGCAGCCGTCATGGCCGGGTGTGAAACATGACCCTATCAGCATACCCGTATCTTGGGAGACGGCAGATTCCACGGTTTTTGCCCATGAGGGCGACTCGCACCTTCCTAACCAACATGATATCATCCACATGGTTGCCCTGGAAGGAGCTACCTACGTTAGCGGGGGTGACAAGACACTCACAGCAATAATGCTGTGCAAGTCGAACTCTCAATTGCAATAATTTATGAGTGTCATGTTTTGGCGTCGTCTGTCAGTTTCATCGTTGTTCCTGCTAATTCCTCCAGCAAAACTCCAGTTCGGAAGCCCAGCACATAAGCAAGAAACTTTCGGCGCGGAGTTATTATCGGTTACTTACGACCCTAGTCTTTTAACATGGACGTATTTGACACCGGAAAGCCCGACCGGCTGCACCAGTCCCTGAGCAGCGCATGGGGGAGTTTCTTGAGTGCCCAGCATTGCAGCCACGAGGTCAACACCATCAGAAGAACCTTGGACGAACACATTCACCAGGCCAACTTAGCAACTACATCCTTGCAGAAGGAGGTTTCAGAAAAACACGAACAACTCGCCACTGCCGTCGCTGAGCTCAAATCCGAAGCCGAGCAGTGCACTTCTGAGATCAAGGAAGTCGCCGCTCTCCGCGCCACTATCTCAACACTGCAACAAAAGATCAACAAAGAAGGGAAGGAGTTCGCCAAAAAGATTGCAGATTTGTCGAAGAAAGTTGCTTCTCAGCAAGAAGGCCTCGACGGACTGCGCCCAGAGGGGTTCTCTGACAGCCGGGAGCTGCAAGAGAAGTTCCAGCTGGGGTTTGAAAAGGTTGAGACTCTCCAGGAGGAACTGAAGGAGACTCGCGCCGAGAAGCTTGCGGCTGAGGAGAGGCTAGCTGCACTCGAGAGCCGAATGATGACAATAACCGGAGCTCACGAGAATGGTCCCGGAAACGCCGACAGGCGTCTAAAGGAACTCCTTTCCCGCTATGATGATCTGATAGGACTATTAGACCCCCAACCACTTGAACCTAAGTCCCAGAACTCATCGCCCTCACAAGACAACGCCAAGATCTCTCACTCTCAAGCCCGGGGTTTCCCATATGTGGACACTTATCAAGAAGAACCTCTGGAAGACTCAATCGTACTCTCTTCTGTCGAAGAGCCGGATCAAGACTATTACCCAGTCAGGCGGACTAGACGCAGACTCGAAGAGCCTCGTTCCCGGCGTCAACCCACCCCAGGCCCCGCCTCTGCTAACCACTCCGACTTTGACATCCGCTCTCTATACCTCGTCTTCCGAGAGAAGTACAAGACTTACCCGCCCAGATCAGATACCGCTTTCATCTGGCAATTCCTGAACAGCATCAAGGACCCAGTCATCTCCAAACACATCCAGGAATCGATCGCCGTCGCCCTTCCGGACTATGTCTTGCGGAAACACAGGCGCAGAACGCCAAGGAAATTCATCGAGATTTCCAAGGCTTTGACGTGGAGGATGTTTCGGGAGGTGTTGGTGAAGATTCCGGGGCCGGCTTAGTGTGTTTCTGAGGGGAGGAGGCTTATATCGCTGGAAGCTAAGGGGTGCAGGATGGAAGGATGATTTTGAGGAGATTTGCCATACTTCTTGTGACTTGCCGAATATCTTGCTAGGAGCATCCGTAAATTTAAAATTCGATCTCGCATAATCCTTGACTTTCAAAACATAATGGCTATAGTGAAGCTTTGGAAGGCGGGTAAATTCATACACCCCCTGGACCTTGAATTAGCAGATGTTTGGTAGCACCGAAAGCCTCTTACAATGTAGATCAGTAGGTCGGTGAATGGAAATCATGTCCATCACAAGAACAACAGTCGTGGCTGTGACGCAGAAATGAACACCTCAACTTGTCCGATGTGGGGCACAGCACGTGAGCTACACGTAGTCACGTGATAGTGTACACGACACCAAACACAATCCCTGAACAATCGCTGCGGCTGCTTTCTCGCATTGTTCGGGAGCGAGGCCGAGGCTTTATTAAAATGCATGCTTGAACTCTCTTCCTAATTCTCCTCCATTCCTGCTGCATCCCTTTTCTTCTGTTTGTAGCTTTGTTTGTCATCACTCATCGCTCCTTTAATTTGGGCAAGCTGTGGACCAGCTCGGTGACTCCCATCGAGAGCCTTTCATTCTGGGAGCAATTAAGAAACGCTGCAACCCTCGTGGCGTCAGTCCAGCCCACTGCACCCTGCCCAGTGCCCACCCATATCAAGAAACGGGAAACAAGATGGGTTTGCTTTCCCGCCTCCGTACCCAGTTGGTTTCTTGGTGGCAGGACATACCATTGCCGACTGACATAGCTGCGAATTTCCAAATGTGGCACGAATTTGATGGCACTCAAGAACGATGGCGAACTGTGAGAACAACAGCTCCTGAAACGTCTATCACCCCAGGCGCTCCGAATAACGAAGACACCCGGCCGACAGTTGAACAGCCTTCTTACAACCTTGTCACCTGGAACGTCGACTATTCTTCGTCACATCCGGCCCAGCGTCTTACCGCTATTCTCTCGCATCTTTTCGCACTTTCACCGGCCATTGACATTATTTTTCTCCAAGAAGTCTCTCGCGAAGCCTTATCATCTCTTCTCAGCAATCTGGAAATCCGCCGTGACTGGTTTCTGAGCGACGCTGACGGTATTCTTCCTGCCGGGCAGTCATTCTTGACCATCACTTTGCTTTCTAAAGCTCGTTTCCGGGAGACAATCGGCCTTAGCCCGGTCTGGCGTGTCCCCTATACGAGCCGCTTCGGTCGTGACGCGCTATGCTGCGACATTTTTGCGCCCATGGCTTCTGACGCGCCCGGTCCTACCCGTATTCGCCTCATCAACGTTCATCTCGACTCCCTTCCAATACAACCTTCCCTCCGGCCTCAGCAAGTTTCAGCTTCTGCCGCCCTGTTACGCTGCGCAGGCCGGGGTGTAATGGCTGGTGACTTCAACCCTGTGCTGCCCGCCGACGCGGATGTCGTGGAACACAATGGCTTAATCGATGCCTGGGCTGCACTACGTCCCAACGATGAGGGCTTTACTTGGGGCGTGAGGGGGGATGAGCCATTTCCTCCAAACCGCATGGATAAGGTTGCCATATTCGGGGTGAAGGTGGAAGATATCGGAGTGCTTACACCAGCTTTCGTGGAGAACACGGGTCGGGTTAGAGAACATGAGGATAGCGACTCAGTTGTGTGGAGTGACCATTCGGGCTTGAAATGTTCGTTCAAGTTGGTTGAATCATAGGGATTCTCACAGCCTATTTCTGCATGTTCAGACGCCATTCCTAGCATTGGGTAGACGGTGAGATCCCAACCCCCCTTTCTTAATTGAGGAACCCATCTACTCTAATTCCACGTGCCAAACATGTTCCGTCCCATTGATGTCTTGAAAACACAGTGAGAACCCCCGTTGCCACTCTGCTATCCATGGTACTTTCCATCAAGCCGTTGCCATTGCTTCAGATCTTTGAATTCTTTCACCCACTCGCGCAGTCCAAGTGCGGTGTCGCCTGCCAAACTTCTCAGATCCATCGAGGTGCCGTCGCTTGCTAACAAGTCGCGAATCGAGACGATGTCCGATATGTCACCGAGCCTTTTCGGACCCACTCGGCGGGTTTGGTTTGCCCAACTGCTAAGCTTCAGCCTCAGTAGCCCAGCCGGCTCAAGGAAGTTGAGCTGCATGAGATGACCAGCTTGTATGATCTTCGCTTGTTCAATCGTGGGAAACGCCATGAATCCCGCGATGATGCCATCAACCTCCACAAAATTACCGCTAGATTCAACAAAAAAGTAGTACGAGTCTCTAGGTAGAGTCCCCGTGACGTCCTGAATAAAAGGAGGCTTTGACAGAATGCCCAAGAGTGCCCCGTAGCCTTGGTTTCCGTTTGGTACAGCAATGTCAATATCGGAAGTGGTGCGAGCTGTCATGCCTACGTTGATGCAAGCAAACCCGCCGCAGAAGTAGTAAGACACATTGGCCCTGCTGAGTTCATTGTGGAGGTACATAGCGCAGTGGTAGAGATCTCTTTGAGGAGGCGACGGGAGGGTTGCTTCGTGCACAGTCAGCGAGCGAACTGGTCTGGGGGGAACGATTGTCTTGTCCTAAGCTTCTTCCTTCAAGGGCACTTACCTTTTTGCCCTGGCAGGACGGTTTGCTGTAATCGGGAAATGAGGAGCCCGAATGCAGCTTTGGTTTTCTCTATCATAGGTGTGTTAGGTGGGATTGATGCCCGACGATATGTAATTATAAAGCTTCATGCCTCACCTGCAATGTCACCCGAGCTTGCCTTCCTGGAGTTTGACATGGCGGCGATGTGGAGATGTTAAGGGTAAGATCTTGGGTGTTATTATCCGTTCTCGTCCGAGTGTTGTCTATTTCGAAGACAAAGGGCCACCGAAAACACAGGGTCGACCATCGGGTTCATATACACTACCATCTCCTGTGTATCGCTCGGCTCAACCCCACCTGCTGTGGCTGCCGGCGGTTAGTTGAGATGTGAATGTGCTATTCTAGGTAGTCACAGCCCGGGGCGACCAGTTAGTTACCTAGCCAGGAACCATTGGTTGAAGTGGACGAACCCATATCGCAAGCGCCAGCAGCTGCCACTAGCGTTGCATCCACCGTTGGGCTCAAGGTAACCTGCGCTGTTGTCTTACGCAGTATCTGTATCCTTTAAGCGGCGTTTTGCATGAGGGTTGGTTTCAGAAAGACTGAACGTCAACCCATCAATGTTCAGCTAGTCCAGCTCATCACGTTAAAGGTTGTGTGATTGGTGAGGAAAACCGGGGGCAGCCCACCCAAACCCAACCGGTCCGCACACAGCCAGGGGTTGGTAGGGGATGAATTTGGCAATATGTCGCTGACTTTACCGCCTATTTGGCCTTGTTTACGATGTAGTTACAGTTACCTATTGAAGGAGGGTTGGCTGGCTGGCTGGCTGACCTGACTGGGACCAGCACCGCCCTTTGTCCATCGGACAGGCAGAGAGGACAAAGCGGGGTCACGTTATTTTGTGGAGCGACCGGATTCGGAAGAGCTCAGGAGGCCAACTTATTAGGGGCCAGCATACGTCAACTACCAGCTGCACTCCATCACTTCCATCGTCACAGTTCACCATCTTTTTTGTGTGGCTATCTCTCACGACTGTTAACATCTACCTTTAGTAACTTTCAATGTCTGAAGACCACACCCGCCTCCATCTTGTCCAAGAGGCAAGCGCACGTGATGCCGCTCTGGTATCAAACATTCTTGCTGACGGTGGAGTTTCGAGCGCCATTGGAGGCGTCCTAGCCGCTGCCCATTATGGCGGTGGACTTTGCCCCTTAGTATGTCAATTTATAAGGTGTTGTGTCCCGGCTCCGAAATTCAAATACTTACTGAAGTTGGTGGTAGGACATCGAGTTGATCATAAACGACACGGACCAAGAACGTGCCTTCGACATTCTCATTTCACATGGCGCCCGACCCTCTGTCCCTGAGGAAAGCCCAGCCATAGTTTGGACCGGTTCTTTTCAGCGATGGCGGGAGGCAGCCCCGTCATATCGATTCCGCGATCGCCGTCGGGTGCGTTTGTGCGTCCCGATGTATGAACTCCCCCGAATGGGGGACCCGGTCGACGATGCCTTGCGACCCTTTATCATCCTTTATTCTGCCGAAACTGCTGGGCTGCCCCCGCTGCCGGCTGTAAAGACAAGTAACAAGGTGCATGGATCCGGTTATACGTCAATGTCGTCCCTTGTTTCGGCGTATCCTACTTCTGGAGAGGCTGTCCCACTTCTCGTCCCTCTCTTTCGGAACCTTGTCGTTTCCGAGATGCACATCCTCCTCCAGCACACCGAATATCTCTCACCCACCTGGGGACAACATGTTGCACAGCTCTCGGAGCTCTTGCGCTCAGGCCACTGTGAAGGCGGCTATGAATGTTTGCCAGAGCTAGTAAATCAGGATCTCGCTGGGTTTGCTGAGTGGATGGGAACCCACCTACGCACCGGCGCCGACGACGCTGGCCTCAGCCATTTGAAGAAGGCCTATGAAAGCCACCGCGCTTCGGACGTAACCACGCCCACGGGACACCATTGCAGTCTCCCACAAGTTCAACCACCTTCACTGGCATGAACGGTAGTTACTAGGTTAATGCATCAAGAGACGGTCGGGACAACCTTGAGAAGCTGCAAAGTCGTTATTTTCTACTGTCTATGGTTGCATGTGCTAAGAAGGCCCGAAAATGTTGGTGATGAAGTCGCATTACTTACTCAAGTAGTACTTCGTAGTTGAAGCACGCTCCAAGCAGCAGGGCCCACTTAACCAACACCCACATTGACTAGAAAATGCTGTACAATCAGAAGAAGTCAGATGGCCGGGGGAAACAAATATCGAGTCTAAATCACGGCGCAGGGTGTAGCACCAATTACCAGCTGTCCGTCGCCTACCTTAATTGCACATTCCAGCTTGCGAGCCCAAAGTTGCCCGGCCTGTAAGCAGACACTTTCTAGCCATGTGAAGGTTGAACACAAAAATCAGAATATAGTATTGTCCGAAACATCTCAGGCATGCGCTGCCTAGGTACATACGGCAAGAACCCTAACCCTACACGCCCCCAAACGCCATGCGCTGAACCAGCCATACACATTGTACCAGCCTACCCCCTTCCCTCCCCTAGGTATCGTGAATGAAAAACAAGACCTCTCTAACCACGCCACTTAACCACCCCTTTCCTAATCCTCCTCAACGGATCCCGCTTCTTCTTCAACTGACTCCCCTCGCCAGCACCAGCACCAGCATCATCAGCCTGATACACCCGCACTCCATTCACCAACCAATACGCACCACTAAACGCCTCCGGGTTCGCGCCCACATACTCCTCACACGTACTCGCCAGCGCGGCACAAGTCTGGTCGGCGCCCCACATCTTGCCGGCCCAGTCGCCGCAAAAGGTGGTGTCGAACACCAGGTTGTGGTTGGAGAAGTGCTCGGCGATCGGGCAGTTGGCGCCTCCGATAAAGACGGCAAGTGGGGTGCCGAAGGTGGATGGGTCTGGCGTGGCTGCGGATGACGAGGAGTTTGAGGGGAAAGATGATGAGGCGGCGGGTGATGAAAGTCGGGTGGCGGTGTCACTACCGCGGGGGAAGAACCAGGCTTTGATGGCGTCGTCCGTCCACTCGAGGGCGTAGACGCCGCCGCCGGCCGCGTTGAAGGCGGTACCGTAGTTGTTGTCGGGGTGCGTGTCCTGGCTGCAGCCGGCGTTGCCCTGGCAGTCGGTTGAGACCAACTTGGTGCTGGTGAGGGAACCGACGTTGGTCACCGTGCACCCGGGGGCTGTGTGTAACGAGACTGTGTTGGAGGGCTGGTTGTTGACGCCTTCAATGATGTCGATCTCGCCTGAGTTGGGCCAGTCGGGGCCGACCATCCAAAAGGCCGGCCACACGCCGCACGAGTTGGAATCGTCGGCGCCTGCGGGCATGTGGGCAATGTCGGCGATGAAGAGGCCCTTGGTGTAAGCCTTTTTGGAAGTAACGCGGGTCGAAGCGCGGCCTTGTGTGGTGGTGTTGGCGTAGTCGACGCCGAGATAGACACCGTCGTTGGCGAAGCCGGCAAGACTGTGGCGGCTGGCAGTGTCGGCATCGGCGTACGCGACAAAACCGTGGGTCGGATCGGGTTCAGTGAAAAAGTCGAACTCCGTGAAGAAATTGCTGGCATCGTAATTGTCAACAAGTTTGTAGGAGGCCGCTGCCCATACTGAGTTCACGGTGAGCGCTAGGCTGGCAAAGCCGTAGACCATTGACCGGACCATTTTTCTCTTTTGAATGAGTGGTGTATTTCCCTGTGTTCTTCGGGTTTGCTCCAGATGGAAGAGACCTGCTTTTCCTTGGGGTTGGAAAATATAATGAGTGAATGAAAGTCGGTTTGTTGCGCCAGGCAGTTGTCTGTGTTGATCGAGATAGACGACTTTGCGAGGTTCGTGGGAGTAAATTAAAGTTGTGGGTGACCTTTCGAGTCCTCGAGTCTCAAAGAAAAGAAAGAAAGTGGTTTTTCAAATAAGAAAAACCGACACCTTGTTAACGAGGCGGGTGCAAGGGTCTTTGTGTTCTGTTATTGAGAACGAGAACAATGGTGTTGTCTCGCTGGGCCTCAATAGGAAGGGTCAACACAATACCGGTCGGCCAGCGACCACCAGCCTGCTGGAGAAGAAGTGAAGGAAGTGGTCAGAGGTTGCAGCCGCAAAAAGAGTGACGACTGAAGTTCTGAGCGTGAACGGAAGAACCGAAAATTGGGCGGGAAGGGAGAGTATTCCAACTTTCGTGGAAAGATCAAAATCGGGCTCACCCCCAGGAAATACATCCACACTTGGGTAGATGCCACACATAATCTGCATGCACGGTCAGGCAACGTTAGTTTGGCCTGGGATCTAGAAGCGTGCCCCTTCCCATCCGTCCCACCGCTTAGATGGCACTAGCATGAGAGCATGCCGGCAAAGGGGTTCCCAAAAGTGGCAATGGAAACCGCTCAACGAAAGTATTTCCATCCAGTCTTAGGCCGCGAGGCTTAAAGATGCAAGAAACAACACGCGCCGGCCGTTGGGGGTCGCCATGGAAGATCCATGTTTGCATAGTACAAACGAAACATTGGCGACTATCGAGCGAATAAAAACATGGGACGATCGGAACACCGCTTGGGTTGAAGTCTGGATGAGATCTCTTAGGAAATCGAAGATCCCGGGCTCGTGGGGTTGAATCGCCTCCTCGAGAAACCGGTCTGTTTCAGACATGGAACCTTCGATCAGTGAGGGCCAAACACCATCCAGGACGCTCTGCGCGGATTTGTGTCCCGAGACGGGCCCGTAGCTGGCGGGCCCTGTAAAAAGAAGCCATGGAGAGCGAAAAGGGGGTACGACATGATCCAAAAGTACCGCCCTAACACTAGATGGCACCAGGTTGTTGAACGTTTGTCGTTGCAGTTGGAAAGAACGGAGGCCAATCATCTAGGCTCCACAGCAAGGTCTTGGCACGTGGGCCCACCTGCAAGAGCGGGTGTGGGGGTCCTCAATGCTGCGGCCTGGCCCGTGCTTGCATGGGGGTGGGGGTCACAACGAAGGAGGTTCACTGAGGCCAAAGGAGGCGGCAGATTAAAATAGATAGATTAAGTTTGATCCATTAAAATTCGATGAGATCTTAACAGATTTTGGTTGATCTACTATTTTTTGTCTTTTTGCATTTTTTTGGGATTTATTTCACATTTATAAAGAAAGCAAGTTATTCAGTCACTTGGTCTGCCGCTTTTTTGGCCAGCGCGAGGGAGGCTCCTGAGAAGACGGTTACCTTACCTCAAAAGCCTCTCTACCTACCTCCGTTGACTTTTTCAACAATCATTTCCTGTTTTTCCCTAGGAAAGGCACACTGAGGTGGTCTTATGAGCCTGCACACAGAGATACAACTTCGGGAATAACGCACCCGCCACATCTGCCTTTGACTTCACTTAGAAGTACCGGTTCTCATGTTGTGTTTTTTCAATGCTTTATTTGCTTTATGGCTCCCTCACACAGAGGAACCAGCAGTGAAACAATAGCAAGACAAAAGAACAGTACTCCGTACAATGCACCTTTTCCTCTGGGATCTAAGAAACCCGCCACCCCCGATATCCGAAGCCAGATTGAGCAAACCCGTTCTTAAATCATTTTGATCCGCCCAGCCCGTGTGTTGTGCCCGGAGGTTGTCCAGAGTATCCTCCTCTGCTGCTAATGGCAGCTACTTAAATACTGCCAGGTGTCGGTACTGAAATCAAGGACACTGCAAAACCAATTGACACCTTAGAGAGTCACCTTCTGCCCTGTAATCTTAAACCAGAGCACGGCTACCAAGTCTTCCTTGAACCGCTCCCATGGGTTCCGGTTCAGGTAGTAGCTGAGCTGTCGGAAGTTGTACATTTCGCCCCAGCAGTCACGGCCCCATTCGCAGCCGGCCATATTGACGAGGAAATCCCGGTCTTTCTCGTTGTAGTGGAAACGCTGGTCGATCCCGTCGTCGGCGCACGCTCCTTCCGGGAAGCTGTTGATAGATCGCTGTGGGAGGAAGGCTGTATGTTTACGGACCCACGGCTGTGAGACGTACAGCTGCTCTAGCGCATCCTGCTCTTTGTGGGCCCAGTCCATGTGCTTTTGCTCGTAGGCCACCGGGTCCCACCAAACGTCCAGTAGCCGATCGGTCCATATGCTTCGGCGCATGAAGAACGAGCCCAGGTTGAAGCCGGCGCAATCCTGGGATAGGAGGAGGTTGATGGAGCCGGGATTCCCGTCGCCAATGGGACTTTGTGACTCGGCATCGAGGTAGGTCTGGGCGAAGGGGTGGGTGATGTTAAGGGGGTTGTATTCGTTAATGTCTCTGTAGACATTCTTTTCGAGATTGTTGAAGATGTGGTCTTGGAGAGAGTAGCTCGGTTCCATTATAAAGGTGTTAAGATCGAGCCACCAGAACCTAAGTGCTAATGTTAGAATCAACCGATCGTACGTGTGGGGGGAATCAACTGAAGGGGGAGGACCAAACATACCACTCAGCGTCCGGGTACTTCTTGAGGGCCGTCCGCATAAAGTCGACCTTCTCCCAGCTCTCCCGCCACTCGTGCGCATACCGTTTCTTGGTGCTCATGTCGACGATTTCAAGCTCGTACCCCCAGCGGGCGGCATATTTTTTCTTATTCCGCTCCGAGTCTCGCTCGATCGCCCATTCCCGCGCGCCCTTCCAATCCATCACACCACCGCCAACATTGGCCCCGAGTATGATGACGAACTTCTTCCCTCCTCCAAACCAAATCGACCTCCGCCAATGGTACACGAGGGCTTCTCTATGTTAGTCCTGCCTCAACACACTCTCGCGCCGCTCGGTTTGGATTTTACTCACGGGTATTGTAGAATATTATGATCGCAAGGATGAGCATGAGCAGCATCAGTAGCCTGATCTTCATTTTCCTCCCCATACGGCCTAGGATTCCCTTGACCCTCCCCAGTAACGGAACATTGTGAACCGACCACCCACCCCGGCCCAGCTTTTTCTTTTCAGCGTAATGTGTGCTCGAGCTAAAACGCGGGAGGTGGCTCGAAATGCGACGCATGTGCCGGCCAAAGAAGCTCTGGTTCTTGGTGGAAAATGAGGGGTATCCAGAGGCGCCGCCCCGTTTTAACCGTGACGACTCCCACATGGCTGGTGTGCTGCTCGACCCTGCAAACGCTGGACTCGACCGACCGCTCGCGATGTTGAGACCTGGACTCGCCCAGCCGCCGCCGGGAATTGGAGAGGGACTGCGTGACAACGACATTGGGGTGTTCGGGGTGCCTAATGAATAGCAAACGCGGGAAGCGACCGCCAAGTGTTAGCCTGGATCATTTCCGTACCTGAGTGACCACGCGGAACCGTTGACCTCATGCGACCACCCGATCGTACCACGAGAGGGGGGGTAAGGGGGACAAGGACCAAGACAAGAGCAGGGAAATGGGATCACCAAAGGTGAGAGAGGAGACACACGCACCTGGTATGGGAGAGAGAGGACCAAGAGGCCGATGGGGTTGAACCCCCAAGTACTGGCAGTCGTCCAATCGGAGGGTGGACGGGGGCGTAGTGACGGACGAGCGCCGTCGGTTGTGGTTCCGCGCCGGACGGCCGCTGAACGACGACGTCGCACCGCCAAAGCTAAAGAACGCCAGCTCGCTGGCTGCTGGCTCCCTCCTGGCTGCAACGCCACGCGGGAAGCCGAACGAGGCGAGTGCTGCGACTACCGGTTGGCCTGCCGGGGTTATTGATTGCGGCCGGAGTCAAGCGCGGCCGTGTTCGGGGGGTAGGTAGGGCGGGAAAAAGACGGCTATCCGGGTGTTGTCGTTTCCTGACCGATGTTGGCCAGTGGGCCGCTCGATTGGGTAACGTCGGCGCGGCGCTATTGTGGTCGGCGAAGCAGGTACTGGAAGTTTCACTTGCCGTGGGACGGGACTTGATAGTAGAATTGTACCACACAGCCCCTTGATGCTGCTACGTGTACAATAAAAGGAAACCAAGGACGCTGTTGGTTTGCCCCATGAATTCTTTGAATCCCATCAACAAAACTCCCAAATGGTCGGGACAATCTGGACAATTCTTTGCCAAGAACTCCACACTCCTGCTTCGGTTGGTTGACAGGGGTTTTCTTGTCAACCCCCGCCCCTGGAGGTTTGGCAGTGTTCCCACCTCTATCCCGAATGCGACCCTGTTGAACATGAGAAACTTGTTCTTTTCTCGCCAAAGCCATATCTTGCATCTCGCGACTGCACGACAAAGTAAATTCCTTGTTTTAAGCAACTCAATAACGACGGACAAGTCTGTTTGGCCCGGAGGCGCTTCATCGAGACGCCGAGGTTAGGAGCAAGGGCCCATTCGCTTCGCGGAGTTAAGTCTTTGCCTCAAGTTGACATTGCCGTGTACCGCTGTACCCACGACACGCTTTTAGGGGTGCATGGGACTTGGTCGCCCGATTGGGTTGTCGCCTTGAAATGAAGCCCTTGTCGAATACCTCAGATCGCAAATTGCATCCAGGTAAAATTGCATTTACACTAGAAAAGACAAGATGACACGGGAGTACATAACATTTTAATTACATTCTTCTCCTGCCGAAGTTCATTTCAACGCAACCCGGAGCCTTGGTGTGCTTGACAGCCACTTTGGCCTTGTGGCCGGCAGGTCACATCCACTCAAGGAACACAGATCTCTTCGAGTTGCACCATCGCCGGGGTACTCGAAAGTGTGAGACCAAAGATGTGGACTGTTTCAGTCTCTTCTCAAAACATATAAACTCTTTTGAAGAACCTGCTGCCTCCACAGTTCTTGCAACAGTCCGAGGTTCTCATGGGGATCACAATCAGCAATGAAGCAATTGTGGGGCACAGTCAGGGGAACTCCATGCCGGGTCTTAGTGCCAGGCTATCAGAAGTTCATTTTTCCCCGGAAAACTTTGACAGCATTGTAGTGTAAACATGAAGAAACAGTTGTTGAATTATTAGCCACAGGGACGCCGATTGATCTCCCACGGAGGGTAAGCACTCCCAGATTACAGGCGTTTTGCCTCGTTACACGAGGACCTCGTCTGACTGTTTTGACGACACTCTTCGGTAAGACCTTATGCTGCAATATCCGTCATTGGGTCCGCGCAGAGTAGATGCTAGTGTAGACGTATGGCAAGCTTGTTGTTGCCGAGATTTGTCTAGGTCCCGTGGGATATCATGGCTTCAACGTAGGATATTAACTCAGTGTGTTCCCCCAGCACCAGAAAACGGTTGAACTCTGCCTCGGCCATTTGAATTCTGCGGCCACAACCAAGGCCCGATATGCAACCGGTACCCGGCATGCCGAATAGTAAAATTTGGGCCCGAGATATTTTCTTGAAAACAAACGGCCGGGTATGCATGTGCTTGGTGCCAAAAACAGCTGCTACCCGATTTTCCAGCCGCCGAGCATGCGCTCGCTTGCAGGCGCTCTGCAGGGCCAGAGCCGCTGAGGTGGAGAAGAGTGGGTCTTCCCCAGAGCTGGCGAGTGGCCCGTCAAATGCTTGGCATCTACAGGTCTCGGAGTGAAACGGAACCCTGAACTGACGTTGTCATTGATGTTATGAAACCTCAAAGCCGCGGGGGGAAGGGGTGTTCAAGTGAGAAAACCTAGGAGATGGAGACTATATGACGCGTCTTCGAGAAAGCTCTGGGAGAGAAACGTGCAAGATGAAGCAAAACAAAAAGCTGCGGTGGTTTGGGGTGGAAGCAGCCGCTGGCCGGCGATTGGCCTGTCAGTGCGCAGAGCAATTCGCGACAACGAGCCAATCAAGTGGGGCAACAAAACTCCGGGCGGCTCGCGGCGGCCAATCCCTCAACACCAAACCACCACAAAGCGCTTATTCCAAACAAAGACCCGGTCGCCTTCAAGGGGTGTTCATTTTCGCCGCCCACGAGAACGCACTACGATGCGATGAGACGTACAACTGGGACATGGGGCGGGAGCAGGGTAGGAAGCTGGCCGGCGAGTTCCTGCCTGGCTATTGGCGACAGCGGCTGTCTGGCCCAGGTCCATAGCGGGTGAACATGGCAAGGTAACACTCGAGAGGGCTGCAGACAGGGCGGCCGCAGAAAATGGAAGGCAAGGTTGAAAAAGGGAGCCGACGCAAGAGGGCTTAGAAGTATGGCCATACCACGCGACACGTTGGCAAAGCTGCGTGGCGGAAAGTAATGCCTTTACACACGCTGCCCGGGTGACTCTCTTTTCCCTTTTTGTTCCCCCTGAACATTGCCATTGTCTTCCTGTTCACTTCCCGTTCCTTATTGTCACCACCCGTTTGGGTCACGCTCTCTTTTTGACTTTCTCCACGAGGCCATAGGCAGAGCCTAGGCAGGAACTTGTGTGTTTTTCTTCCGATCTCTACTTTTCGGACTAAACATCTTAATTATTTCTTGAGCCTCAGGCACATGGGTAGATTCCCTTGTTCTGTAATCACGGTGTTCAAGTCACACATACCTTCCGCCACGCTCGTTATTGTTTCTTGGGTGCGGGCAACCCACTCACTACCTACCAACTTCGCCAACTCTCCTCGGCTTGAAGAATTACCTAAGGAACCCCAAGCGAAGCGCTTCCTCAAAATCGATACGAAAGAAAAAATAACACACCCTTAATCGCAACACCACAGCAACCGCACAATGAGCAACCCGCGGTCGCTTACCGCAGGCGCGGGCAACCACCTGTCTGCCGCAACCAAGGATGATTGGGAGGACTGGGAGGACGACGAGGTTTTGACGCCCATGACGACGATGGGCGGTTCGACGCCCCAGCCCCTCCCCGCTAAGTTCGAGGCGTCCTCAGGCGAAGAAACGCTTACGATACCCGGGCGTAAGGTCTCTCAGCGGGCTCCCAGTTCCCTCGGGCGCCAGTCAATGCGGGGGCTGCGAAGGCTGAAGTCTCGGAACAGGCAGAAGGCCCAGAATGCGCAGGCGGGGATCAAAGTCGTGACCGATATGTCCAAGTTTCAACAGCAGCAGAAGAACCAACATATTGCCCACCAACTGAGATCGGCCACGGATACCAGGACGGGCAAGTTTGTCGATGTGGCGGCGTTGAAGGCGCTGGAAGGCGCTCCGTCGGACGACTCGATAGGGACCTTTGCCTGGTTTCGGCGCAAGTCAACAAAGGGTAAGAGGGTCCAGAAGCTAGTGACCGAGGTCTCGCCGCAGGCCGACTTGTCGCCCGCCTCGCGGCCCATCGTGATCGGGTTCGCGATGCCGTCAGACTCGGACGTGGTTATCAGCCCGCAGACTGCGGTCGTTGAAACCCCGGTTGAGTTTCCCCGATACTTCAAGCCAACCAAGGTCACCTCTCCCGACCAGCCGGTATCTGCTTGGTCGCCCGACACGGAGGACGGCGCATCGCCGCGGATTGTGGACCGGGGGTTTGTGCCCGCGGTTCCTTCGATTCCAAGTTATTACAAGACAACCGAGTTCTCGCCAGTCCCGGAGAGCAGCCACAACGCCGGCTTTTCAACTACCAAGGAAAAGAAAGGCCGTCGGGACACCATTGCCACGCCGGTGTATGACGATGACGATGACATGGCCACCCCAATCACACTGTTTGAGGAAGATGGCAGCCCAGCGGTCACACAAAGAAAGTCGCTGCGGATCAAAGGCCGGCCACGGGCAGCCACAAACGGGAGCTCGCGATCTCAAGGCTGGTGGGACCATGTGACCTCTCCCTTTGGGCCACCTACACCACAAAGCCCCGCGGTCAGTCATCATACCAAGGTGGAGGAGAATCAAAAGTGGTGGAAAGACGTGGATAAGAAACAGTCGCCACTCACTTCTGCCGCTGCCACAAGCCCACTGAGCCCAGAAGCTGGGCCATCGAACAAACTCCGAGCCGTGCCCACGATCCAGCCGCAAACACCCACGATCGTGATCCAGGATATGTCCACCACTCAACCTTCATCCTCGCGCGCACCCCCACCAGCGCCTCTCCACCCGGGGATGACTCAACGATCGGAGAAGCCTCGTGCGATGGTCGTCGAGGAAGAGGAGGTCCGAGCCTCCAGCGAGATGCCACCACCTTACTCCCCTCCTTCGAATTCCAAAGCGCCCCCCAACGCTCGCTACCGCGCCGTTTTCCCGCCCGGCCACCCCCTCAACGCCGCGTTCCCACCATCACCGGGCCCTGTCCCTCCCGGGCTCTCGCATACCATGACATCTCAGGGGGCCATCGGCCTCTCTGACGTTCCGCTCACGCCCGCAGAAACCCAACAGTCTCGCGCCATCTTACCCGACCGGCCGCTGGGCTCATTTATTCCCGGGGACCATTACATCGATGTTTCTGGGCGTGGCGTCCGGCAGAAGACGGAGCGTCAGCGGCGGAGACATGAGAAGGAGGATGTCGTTGCGTACAAAGCGGGCCGGATGTGGCATGGCCGGGGGTGCTTCCCCTGCTGCGGCAGCTGCTTCGGCCGGCCGGGCCGTGAAGGGAGGAAGCGGCGGCGGTGGTGCTTGGGCATCTGCATTACCATTTTGATCCTGACCGGCGTGGGTGTCGCCCTCGGGATTATCCTCACGCGCCATACTGCGGTGGCGGTCGAAGAGATCCCCTCGCGCTTCCTGAACCTCACCAACTTCCCGCCTATGCCCACTGGCATCTCGACAGTGATCGGCCCAGATTCCGACGCGACGACGGCGTGTGTGCAACCGCCCACGTTATGGAGCTGCTCGCTTCCTAAAGAGCAGGCGGAGTCTGCCGCACCGTTCGGGGCCGACCAGCCCAGCTTCGTCCTCCAGATCCAGTTCGACAACAACTCCCGGCAGCTTTGGAACGTGAATGGCGACCGGCCCCGGCCGACCGACCCCGAAAACCGTGGAAACGGGGAACCCCTGACCAACCGTACAAAACAAGCAACGGCCACCGCAACGACGCACGCACGCGGAGAAGTTCCAGTCACAGGCTTCATCTCCCTCGTTCGACGGCTCCTTCTTGGGCCGCGTGAGTCCAACCTAGGCTTCCGATCTGAACCAGCCCCGCCTAGCTTCCAGGAAATGTTCTTCCTCGGCAACACCACCGACGGCGTGGTCTCAGACGATAAGGCCGGCGAGCCGACCCCCTTCTACATCAGCATTCTCCACTCCGTCAACGCCAGCATCGGCCCCAACGTCCTCACCCGTCGGGCCACTAAGAACGACCACGGCAACGAACCCATACAAACTAACCTGACCGCCAACCGAGGCGGTGTCAACGCCTCTGACATCGCACCCCCTCCGGCCCTCAACTCCGACGGCACGGGTGCCCCCGCCGTCCTGCTCCCCTTCCCCACGCAGCAACCAGTGCGGCTGTACGACCGCGGCCTGCCGACGGAGCGGTACAGTTTCTATACCTACTTCAACAAGACGATGTACGTCAAGTCGGTGGACGTGCTGCTAGGCGACGGGATGGACTCGTCGCCGGTGCCCGCGGACGAGAATGGCGGTAGCCTCGAGACTGAGGCCAAGTTCTTGGTGACCTGGCTCTCGGTCCGGTACAAAGTTGAGATCTGGACGCGGTGGGAGAATACCACGCGGCTGGTGGGTAGGACCGGCCAGCCTTCTCCGGTTGATGTCGACGCAACAGCAACCCAAGGAACGACGAGCGACAGCAATACCAACAACGGCAATACCAACAGCAAAACCCCCGATCAACAACCCGGCACATTCCCCTACCCAATCACCATCACCCTCGACACACACGGCGGCGAGCGCGGGAAGAAGTTCGCATTTGTGCGCGGCGTCGACGACCGCCAGCGCATCATCATGAACGACGCCCGCTTCGTTCTCAACCGCATGAACACCACGGGGGACCTGGTCAACTCGTCCGGGGAGGACTTTAACCCCTCGCTTGGGGGGATGGATGGTGGGACAGGTGGGTGCCAGTGCCAGTATCGGAATTGGGTGGGGGTTAGTCGGTCGTAGGAGATGGTTTCTTTTGGGTTTTTGTTTACAAAAAGGAAAAGGAATTGAAGGAGGGATTGCAGGTTCCAAGAGGTTGATTAGAGGTTATTCTGGAGTGCATTGGGGGGAAAGGGGGTTACCACAGTGGGAGAGAGGGCATATAAGCCCAGCAAGCATCAAATAGGCGTTGCATTCGATTCCTTTGCGCAAAAGGATTCTATTTTCGATTTGTTTACATTTTTTGTCTATTTGCATCGAAGAGCATTGTTGTTGTGGTGGATGAACCGCTGAACAGCTGGCTGGCAGCTGCTGTCAGCCGTAATTGACGAGTTGAACTACTTTTCATGGATCAAGAAGTTTAACACAACCATGCCTTGGCATGAAATGACATGTTTGAACGTACGATATAAACAAAAAATTGCAAAATAACCAAAACCTCTTACCCGGAATAACAGTACGTGTTGCGTCATTGAGAAAAAAATAAGTCACATTTTCGACCGAGTTATACTTACTCACCTTTACTGTAGGACGCTGGGGTGTAAAAACCCCATAGGATTCCCTCACCATGAGGCGTGCAACGGCTCGCGGGTTGTCCATCGGCACATCAATAATAGGCTCTCGTCCAACACTTCCCAGATGTTGCCTCCATTACCGGCAAGTGTCCAAAGCCAGCACGAATCGTAGCACCAGGACCAAACCACTTTTCACGCTCGCCATCGAGACGTCGTGTGATGACACCTGCGTCGCTATTCTGGAGAAGAGAGGGGACACCGCGAAACTTTTATTCAATGAGAAAATCACATCCGACAACCGGGAGTTTGGTGGGGTTGAGCCCATCACCACCATTAAGTCACGTACGTTGGTTGGGACTCACCGTCAAGAAAGAATGAGAGAACCCAGGGCTAATATGTATCTCGAGGCAGATGTGGCTAATATAGGACCTCTCGTGAACAAGGCAGTCTTAGCCTTGCCCGAAACCTCCTCCACTGCCTTTGGGATACGGTATGTCGACCCGGTCACCAAATCCGTTTCCTACCGCCGCAAGCCCGACTTTGTCAGCGTCACCCGTGGCCCGGGCATGTCATCGCCCCTATCGATTGGCCTGTCCACCGCGAAAGGGTTAGCCGCGGCCTGGCAGGTACCGTTACTGGCTGTGAACCACATGCAGGCACATGCCCTGACTCCACGTCTCGTGGAAGCTCTGAAGAATGGCGAGAAGGCCTCGGCCTCGGCCTCAGCCTCTGAAACCGAACCGGCAAAGCCCGCTGGGAAGAAACCGAAGAAGAAACCGCAGCAGAAACCCGAGTTCCCCTTCCTAAGCCTGCTCCTCTCGGGCGGCCACACCATGCTCGTCCTCACCAGATCCGCCGTCTCCCACTCCATCCTAGCCGAGGCCAAAGGGACCACTGCCATCGGTGACATGCTCGACAAGCTTGCCCGCACTATCCTCCCCGAGCCCACCATCAAAGATTCCAAAAACGTCATGTACGGCGCCCTCCTCGAGTCCTTCGCCTTCGACCTGCCAGACCCAAGCCCCAGCTCCGACTCCAACTCCGACTCCAACAATCCCAACTCTAACACTCCCACCTCCAACCCCACCTCCAACCCCCCTCCCGAGTTCACCGAAGCCGAGTACAACTACATCTACGAACCCCCCGCCAAACGCGCCGACGAAATCGCCCCCTACATCTCCCCGACCTACGGCTGGCAGCTCACTCCCCCCCTCCACGAAACCCGCGCAATGAAATACAACCTCTCCGGCCTCCACGGCCAAGCCAAAAACATCATGCTCCAAAAATTCATCGTCGACGTCCCCGAACGCCGCGAACTCGCCCGCGAAACCATGCGCCTCGCCTTCCACCACGTCGCCAACCGCGTGGTCTTCGCGCTGGACCGCTTCGCCGGCGGACCGCAGAGCCAAAAAAGGCCGCAGACGAAGCGGCCCGATGTGCCGCGCACGCTGGTGGTGTCGGGCGGGGTGGCGTCGAACCGGTTCTTGATGCATGTGGTGGCGAAAGTGTTGGCGTCGCGCGGGTATGGGCCGGATGTGGTGAAGGTTGTGCGGCCGCCGCCGCAGTTGTGTACTGATAATGCGGCTATGATTGCGTGGACGGCGATGGAGATGTGGGAGGCTGGGTGGCGGAGCGAGTTGTCGGTGCTGGCGGAGAAGACGTGGTCGATCGATAGAGGTGGTGATGACAGCGAGAGTTGGTCGCTCGAGTTGAGGGAGGATGAGAAGGAGGGGCGGCAAACCAAGGGGATGATGGCGCGGGAAGGTTGGTATCGAGTTGATGGGGACCAGCAGAGGATTGAGGGGGATAGTTCAAGGGGTTAAGGGGGAGCCCTAGAAACACAAGTTGGCCAAAGTAGCCGACGCTATTTATGCCAGCCCTGTATGAGTAAACTGTACTGCTACTGTTAGAAGTATTTGGACGCGAACAACTTGTTACTGTGCCAATGACACGGCGTGTATTCAACATGAGAACGGGGGGTAGCTGGAATAAAGTGTATGCAAGTGCTCATTACGCCCGCAACTACATGTACATTGGTCCTGTCATTTCTCATTTGTATTCTTTGTTTGTATTGTCATGCCCAACTCACCTGCCTTCTGCCTTTCCCATGGAGGCACAAGACAAGAAGCCAGGTTGTGTACCCACCAACACCCGCACTCTTAAACCCAATCAACCCCAATCTAATCGTCAAGGCTGCTCGTGACATTGCTGAACTCGCCCTTCTCCAGCTTCGTCTTCCAAAACACCGGGTTGGTATCCGTAAACCCGTGCTTCTCCCAGCCCGACTCCTTGACATGGTACAGATTGATAGAACCACCCGAGTACGCATCACGGTGTGTGGCCGCCAGGATACTGCGGCTGCCAAGCTCCAGCGCCTCCTCCGTCGACAGGTCAAAGCGGTACTGGGCGTCCAACACACCGTACGCAAACGTCTGACCCGACCCAACACAGAACAAATCGCCCGCCAGCCGGGTGCCGTCCGAGTCGATATAGTACAGCGCGGGGCCCTCCTCCTTAGTCACGCCGGCGCACATGGTGCCCATCGACAGACCCATCCCCTTGTACTGGTACACGAGGTTGGCGAGGATCTTGCTAGCGGCGGCCACACTGATGCGGCGCTTGTGCCGGAGCTCGTGCAGCCGGCACTGCATGCCGAGCCAGGCCAGCCAGTACTGGCAGTCGGCGGCACCGCCGGCCATGGTGCCGAGCAGGTCCGAGTTGATCTCGATCACCTTCTTGACGGTCTGCGAGGCGATCCAGGTGCCAGCCGTGGCGCGGGAGTCGGTGGCCACGATGATGCCGTGCTGGAAACGGAACGCGAGTGTCGTTGTGCCGTGTGCAATCTTGATCGGGCAGGAGGGGTTTGATCGGTCGTCTGTTGCTGCGCGGAGCCAGGCCGAGGGCTATTCATTGGGTTGCCACAACGGGCCGCTTGTCAGTACCGGGAGGACAACAGTGAGACAACTCCCCATGGTGCAAAAACATCAAGAATTCTTACGTGGGCGACCGGCGGCATGGCAAATTTGAGGCTGGGGACAGTATCCGTGAAGTCTTGCTGCTCCTGCTCAGAGAGGACCTCATTCTCGTGGTATGCGGGGCGGCTGTACCGCGCTACAAGCGTATCCATTTTGGTGTTCCGTTTCTATCGGTCGAGTTCGGGGTCGAGGAAAAGAGGAAAGTCGGCGTATGTTATGCGGCGGTAATTCGTGGGGGGGAAAAACGTTTAGGTCCAGGTGGAAGGTGGTGTTCGACGATGATGGTGGGCTAGCTTGACGTGGGAGTTGGGGTTGGTGGGCAAGCTCAAGGCAGCTCCCAATGCACGCGTTCCCACAAGCAGCCCACAGCCTTGGAGCCCATGGGGTCCGAGCTCCTTCCGGATTGAGTGGGTGGGGCAACCATCTTCGATTTGGGACTACCGAACATCGACGACAACAACACACAGCATCGAGACATATTGACTGTATTTACTATCTCACAAAATTCCAATTCCAAATCGAAACTGATTTTTGTCGGTTGTTTTTCAGATATGTACAGGTAGAGCTTAGTCCTCATTAGGTATTCCAAATTCGGCACAATGGTCGTTTATTCGAACAATCCCGGCCGCCCTACTCTGTACAGCTAAAACAATCCCCAATGCCTTCCCATCGCACATACCTTCCCTCTCTCCAGTCCCTTATAACCCACCTTTGCGCAACTCTTCCCAACGCCCCCCCAAGTAGCAGCCCCCAAACCGTCGAATAGCGCAGTTGGGGGGGGGCGCGGGCATCCCCGAATGCCCTCCACTCCCGCCTTCGCACAGGTTCGATTCCTGTCGTTGGCGCTTGAAGTAAAACCACTCGGTTTTCGTAGCTGTCTCACCCCTCCCCCCCTCTCTAGGGGGATAAGGTGAGCAGTGAGCTTTTTTGATTTTTTTCCTTTTTTTCTCTCTCTTTGAATTTTCTTAGTCCTGGCTAGCTAATTCCTTCCGAGCTGCACTTTTGTTGGTTCCGATCTAGAAACATCAAACAAGAAGCCTGGGACCTCTTATGTCGCACCCCGGTGAGAGAATACAACACGATCGGCAAAGATTGAATTACCAGCAATGCCCATCAACAAGATGGCAAGTAATCGATATGACGTTCGCGATATATTTTCACCTGACCCCTTTTATCTTTTTGATAGCAGGCACTACCAATACAGGCACCGATAGCAACCGATCCCTGGACCATTATCCCCCCTTTCCCCCCTTCCGCCCAACCCATCAAAGAACAGGAAAAAATGAAGAAGAGCCAAGCCCCAAACCAGGGCAGCACGTGGGTATTGTAGTGTATGTGCCCTGGCTTCCAATGAACACCCAACACCGTCCAAAGTCTCTCCCATGGTGTATGTAGTATTGGCTCGAGACGAGCCAAAATCAAAATAACAAAATACGGTACCTTGAAAAGAAGGGTAAAACAAGCAACCGTGCTCGAAACACCCCGACCAATGCATGTTTCCTGTCGTGATGAAAGCGCGCAAAACCGAACCTTGAACGATGCTCGCAAAAAAAGACAAAGATCGAAACAAAACAGCGGCTCCGTCGATCCTGAGCCGAGGCAAATCCCGCTTGTGTCGAGACCCAGAACGCCTGATACTCTTTCGGTTTTTTTTTAGTCGTACAGTCCTTGAAAACTTCTCGAATCGCGCCGAAGTCGAGTGGTATTAAATGCAGCATCCTTCTGGGAAAAACAACACGAATGGTTAACACGACGCGGTCTCGCCACAAAAATCACCTCCTCCACCCTACGTTCCAGATGACGTGGACGATGTCCCGGGCCGTATTTACCGTATTGAGGATGCGACCGACCATGCCGTCATCCAGAGAGCTGGGTGCTATTCCCTCTGCGGGCATGAACATCCCAGATGCGGTCCTACGCATACCGGCAGGTTCGGCTGAGAGACTGGCCGTGGAGGTAGATCGGCGAAGTCCGGATCCCCCTTCACTGAACTGGGAGCCCGGGAATGTACCAGGGCGGATGCTGATCCTCTCCTCTTCATCTTCGTCATCATCGTCTTCATCCTCATCGCCCGCAAAGAAAATTTTGCTAGACTTCTTGGATGGGCGTAGGGTTTCTTGGGACGACGAAGGAGACAGTATTGGGCTCTTGCTGTGCTTCAAAGCCGTTTCCGCAGGATCGGGAGTGTCCTCTCGGAACTTCAACGTGGTAGAAGGGAGCATCGCGATGGTCTTGCTCTCACCGCCGTGGTTGTGGCTCTTTGTCTTTCTCAGGATCGGCCTGCGCTTCTTGGATCGGGTTCGCTTCATCATGATTACCCCATCATCCGAGTCGCTGTTATAGTGGTAGCGGTCCACCTCGTCGTCGTCGTCGTCGCCCTTGATGTCGACCGCAATACACTGTGAAACCTGTTCGTTGAAGTGAATGTGTTTCCGTCCGCTATTTGGGGACACAACACCGGATGAACTCGTCGAGGGGCAGAGGCTGGAATTGTTGTGGCTCAGCCTACGAGATGAGAACGGGAAGGTGATGTAGTCGGTAGCGGCCCGCTCAAGACCTGGGCGCCGCCCTATCCTTTTCAGGTTCCCTTTTTGCTGGGCTTGTACCGCCGCAGCTGCTTGCTTCACGAGCGAGGAAGTTGACAGAGACTGCTGGAGCATAATCTCCGACATGCTCCTCTTCTTCAAGATGGGCTTCTTGTTGTTGATAAATGAGTTAGACTTGGACAACCTAGCGCTTGTAGAATTGGTTGATGTGTGGTGCAAGCTGGAAGTGCCTGTTTGCAAGGGCCCGTAAAGCCATGTGACGTCGTTATCCTTGAGCCTACAAGAGACCACTTAGCAGGTGCACGGAAGGTGGGGGAGGGAGGGCCGGGGGCTTGAACAAACCAGTTTAGAGTCTCGGCTGAAACCGTGTCGAGTTTGTTCTTGGACTTCATCCATGTCCTCCACGACGCATTCTCCAACCGGGCCGAGTTGTTGTAATCGCCTCTTCTTGAGACGATAAGCTTCCACGACGACCAAATATCTTCCTCGCGCCAGTTATGTGACAAATAGTCCACATGCATGGACGGCAGTGCCCGTACTGCAATGTCGTCCTCCGCTCGCCCCATGTTGTCTGGACTCCCCGGTCTCGATGTTGCGGTCGAGTCGGACTCGAGCTGGTGTCCTAGTTGGGCGTCCATGTCGTCAAGCTCCTCAGACTCCCCTTGCGGACTGGGAAGTGGGTCATAGCTTTCCAGGCGACCAAAATACCCCGAGCCACCGCATTGCTGAAACACGGGGTCATCATCTAGAGTAGTTGATGTCTCGTCACAATCCGAAGCTAACGAGAAATTCGTGGCTGGTGTAGAAGAGTCTGACAAATACGCAGATTCTGCATTGGCGGCCCGTGGAGATGATGGTGCCGAAGAGATGCTTGACGCTGACGAGGGTTCGGAGTAGTATTCGTTGAGCCGGGAAGTTGACGAGGAAGTGCGGAAACCTGGCCGCTGGGTGTGAAATTTCGGTTGTGAGTGGGAACGGCGGAGGGACGACGAGAAATAACTGTCGTCCTCTGATGTGAGGACTACCGCCATCTTGACGAACTAATCCCTGGCCCAATGGACGGCTAATCCAAAGCACCTCTCAGTTCTTCTCCAGCGGCGTGAGTCCGGGCGATCCCCGCATCAACGGAGCTCAAACGGTAGCGAAGAATCTTGTCTCGGGTTTTCGTCGGAACTTGGCCGGAATGGTTGTTGGGGCACGTTGGTGGACGAAGACGACAAAGGCGACGGCCGATTTCCACAGCGGGCTGAAGGAAAATTAGGATCAGAGCCGGAATAAACCCAAGTACGAGGGTTGAGAAAGGCCCGGGAGAGGGGGGGGAGGGGAGGAGGGGACAAAAAGCGACAAAAAGGGAAAAGAAGGCGCGACGAAGGGCGGGTGGGATCTCCCGCCAGTGTATCGTTGAAAGGTGTGGTGGTCCGAGAAGCGGATTGCGTGCGCGAAGGCCGGTCGGTGTGCGGGTATGTGCCCCGGCCCTCCAAGTCTAGGCACCTCGCGCAGGCTTGGTTCGCAGCTTTGATCCCACGCCCTCGGGCTCCCGTTGGCTGCTTGGTGCCAAAACGTGGGATATGTGCCGCAGAGGGGCGTTGATGCTCCAACGGGGGCGTGGGTTTGGGGGTCCAGAATGGGGGTTTTGCGGAGGGCCAGTGCCAGTGGCTTATCACCTAGCCAGGTGACGGGTCCAAACTCGTGCAAGGCCGACCGACGTATGGCAAACGGCGGATTGGCATGATCTGCCACGCCGAACTTCGATGAAGTGCCACGAAGCGAGAAAACGACACAGATGTCTCCTTTCCCGCATCCCAACCGGCAGTCGACCGTGGCTTGGCGAGAGCCTTCAATTGGGTGGTGGTGATGAGAAAAGAAGGCGAGGCTGAGTGACAGCGCAAGCCGCGGGAAGAGTTGTAATGTGACCAAACTAGGGGAGCAAATGGGAGAGCAAAAGCGAGTGTGTGAAACATGTACAGCTAAAAGGCAACTTACAATACACTCGGTGTGGCCCCGATGATTGCCCGGTGCTTGAAACGCGTCGTCGACTTTTCGCTCCTCGGCGTGACTTTTCTTTTTAAGAGCGTGACTTTTCTTTTTAAAAAAAAAGAGAGGTGAAGGAGAGGAAGGTTCGATTTCAAAGGGGGGAAGCGAACGTTTTGGCTGAGTACGTGTTGCGGCCCTGTCCGGGAGTTTGAGACTGGTATGACGCGAGGGCCATCTTTTGCTTGAGTAATGGAAAAGCCAAAGAGAGGGCGCTCCAGCAGCAGGTGGTACTGAGGGCGATCCGAAGTTGGTCGACAACAACAACTGCAGTTAACCAGTTGTAAGTTGGTTGCTTTGCGCGGACGTGGAGGACGGACAGCCCGGGAGCAAGCGAAAACCCGGAAAAAAACAGCCACTGGCAGTTTCTGCAGTTGGGGTTCTGTGCGACGTCTCCCAGTGCCGAGAATTGAGAATTTGCAGGCGGGCTTCAAGGGGTGTTCGCAGCACGGTCACCGGGCTTGCAGGGGTCGAGGGGCGTGGGGAGGCAAGAACCCAGACGCTCGCGGCTGGAATGCACAATCCATGGATGGAGGTTCTGGGGCCCCACACTGAGCGTGTGACCCGTTCCAGCCATTTTGCTTTGTTACCGTTCCAGGCATGGCAGTTTGAAAAATGGAAAGCAGGCCTCCCATTCACGAGCTCCCGTCCCACTGGTGGTAAACGGAGAGACGTCGGTCTTCTACATCAAAGGAGAGTTAAAAACTACCTGGATACATATTCAAAGCCACCCCAGGAATTTCCATAACTCAGACGACAGAAACGGCGTAGGCAACTCGACTCTTGTCGTGCAAACAGCCGAAACACAACGCCTTGGCTACGCCCTTCTGGAACGAGTTTACCCCGGCTCCGGTCGCCTCGACATCGAAGCCCCAACAGTGCTCGGTGCGATTACGGTTGCCCCACCTTTTCTTTTGACTGGAGACAACATGTCCTCGAGTCTCCTTTGCTCAGGATAGGTTTTGGGTTGCTGCTAGGGCGAAACCACTCTTTGTCCCCTCACATGAAAATTCATCTCATTCAATGTCAATGCGTTTGCTCTGTTTGCCCGTTCACTCAGAGGTCTTCCGATTCTTCCCGTTATCTGGGGCGATCATGGCCGAGGGATTGAATCAGCTTTTTTTGAAGGTTAACAATGGAAGGTAGCACGTACCGAACAAAACACCAGTTTGATCGAAAAGTTCATTTCTGTTGAGATTGATACTCTGTCTTGCTCTTCTTCTCCATTAGCACAGTACCACACAGTTCACTTTTCACAGATGGAGGAGCGAGACCTCGGCGTGTTGTCGAAACAAACATCTATAGTTGACCGGCCGCTCCCACCAACTGCAGATGACCCGAGGCTGCTCTCGTTCTTAACCCCGTAACGGTTTTGTTGCATGTTGCTCATGCACAACACCGAGGAAGCGACCTGATCATCCCATTAACTGCCCAACATCCACCAAGTGCCTCCCCCGAGCGGGAACCCTTCTTCTCCTCCTGGCATTATCGCCTCTCCGAAAGGTACGTGCTGTGTATTCGCCCAATCCTGGTAGCAACAAAAGAAAAGCGGGTCGCTCGAGTTGATGTTCTGATGTTCCAGATCGATCTTCGGCCGCTGCGCCCGTCCACAGTCACATCAAGAGGGGCAGCCGATCTCCCGATTCCAATTCGACCCTCGGCCGCGCATTGTTTTTTCTGGTGGCGGTTTTACCCCTCATCCCAAGCTCTTGCCGCCCGTGTTCAATGAAAAAACTAGCAACCTACCCCTACCGAAGCCTTCTGGATAGCAACATGAGCCACGGCCATTTGATAATTGATCATTTAGCCCCTCACTCGAGCACAAAATGCATACATCTAGACCGTTAAACTCGGGGTGGAATGATGTAAGGTCTGCGGGGCACTATGTCAAGCATACTGCGCCAATGTCGCGCCCAGTTCCGCCTGCATCACGCCTTTGTCGCGAGACTGCAGGCCGGGGAACTCGCCTCCGAGCCCGCGATGCTACTGGTAGGCTAAGGCCGGGTATCCCAACCGAGCTCTTCTCGTCTCGGGACTCCTGCTAGCCGTCCTAGAGACAACCAACCTCTCGAGATGTTGTAGCTCTTACCAGATTTTCTCTTTGCAGCACGTTGATCACCTTCCCCGCCTCATTTGTGTGCCAGGCTATTCGACCTTCCCAGTTATTCTAACATTATCAGCACGGCAGCGGAGTGCCATAACATAGGGCCCCAAATAGAGTGGTGGATCATTCGGCGCATTGAACGGTTCTGGACTCGAACGCTGTCACAGTCCCTCGAATTGTCCACTCCAAACAAAGGAGAACAACAGCAACAATGCGGCCCGGATGCTGCCGGTCAATCTTAGCGATTTGATGAACTCGGTGTAAGTCATAGACTGTGCATTGACCGACCGTCCATTGACCCCTCTTCGGACCGAGGTCTGCCTCTACCGGTGTGCCGGTGAGTAGTGGAAGAAGGCCCCGAAAGCGGAAACACCCATACGCAAATCGGCACACCAACATGTTTCTTGCGAGCCTGCCATCTGCAATGTAACTCATTGTGTTACCCATACCCTCCACCTGCTGGAGCCGCCATAAAGGTCTCGGCTGTCTTTTGATTCATCCCTGATAGCCAGGGGGCCACACCAATCACGGTCGTCGTTGATAACGAAAGAGGTGCGCGCACAACAGACGAGGGATGGGCGGATGGCAGGATGGATATCTCAGGTAACGGCAGTCTGCGATCACTCGGTCACTACCGCCACCGCCGCTGCTGCCAGGGCTGCCGCTGATAGACCATCCTCAACGGCCCAACGGTCAGTGCTGCTACGTTTGGACATGGATCGGATCGCGGTCGCCCTGCCGTTCCCGCATCCGACGGCAACTCCCTCTAGTCTACCGCCGACTGATAGGCAGTGATAACGCAATTCTCCCCAGTAATCAAACCCTGAAATCCCGGTTGAAGTGGCCTAAATCTGCACATCTTCCTAAAAAGGCTGTTCGTAGTTGCTGTATTGTATCAGATAAGCCTTCTATGATCCATCTCCTGTACGTGTATCTTGGAGTGAAGGAAGATCATCACCCCTCTCGCCTCCCGCAACTATGACCACTCCCATAGGGCTATGCATAGCATCCAATACCCTGAAGCATGCATGACTAGATCGACCCCCTTGCCATCGCAGCTCCATAAATCCAACCGTTTGTGACACATACATATGCCCGTCTGCAAGCCATCGTGCACCTCGGTGGGCAGCATTCCCCCCTCTTTTTCGTTGCAGCTCTGTGACTGGCCGCTGGTATTTTCAACCTGCATCTGATGTTCGTCATGAGAGAGTCTCGACGTCCTTGATTTAAACTCACACGACGAGGCGCGAACGAAACGACTTCGCTTAAACATATGAAGGCCGGGTAGATGAGGGATAAGAAGGCAAAGAAGGTATACGAGACGCGGAACTGGCGATTCACATGCAATTTTGATCCTTAATGGCAGTTTTATTCGCTTTGCTGCCTTTCTCGCCCAATGAAGGGGGGGGTATAGATGAAGGGGCCAATTCGATGGACGACGACACCAAGAACCGGGATCGTGCGCTGTACCTTCTTTTATTCGCCCCTTCATTTTCCCTAGTCTAACCTCTCGGAGCGAAGGCTACTTCCCGCGGCAACCGGAAGCTTGCACAGTACATACTCTTTGCAGGCGCAACATCCCTGACATAATACACCTTCACTACACCCTCCTCCAGCTCCTCGATATTCTCAAAAGATGCAGGCGCAGGCCGCACGGGGTACCCCAGCTCTTTCGAGACACGTTCACAGACGTCGCGCGTTGGTGTCTCGTCGGTGGCTTTGAAGGAGAAGCAGTGCGCATGCACGATGGGAAGCCGAGGTAGTTGGGTTTCCGGAGTTTCCCCCTTAGCTTGGGCTGGGGCAAAGAGGTGTTCGCGGCCGGCATAGATGCCGCGGTAGTTGGATAGAAACTCGATGGCAGAGGCGGGTAGGTTCATAACGAAGTGAGAAATTGTTGGAGGGATGGGAATACGTCCTGGTTCTGGTTCTGGAGCGGGCTGTTGTGTCTGAGTTGGCTCTTTTGCGCCCGAGGAAGCGTCCGCGGGGGTGGGAGTAGGAGGGGTTCTCTTCTTCCTCTTTGGTGGCAGGACGGCACACTCGCCATTCTGGGAAGCTTCAAACACTGAGTCGGCCGCTTGGTGAATGAAGGCATGTCCATCTTCGCAGAAGGGGCGTACGAATGGCGATACCTATGAGGAGGGTGATAGTTAGCTATAAGTGCCTATGAGTAGGAAACTAAGGAAAGGAAACCGTAGAACAGAAACGGACTAACCTTGTTCTTAGTAATGGCAGCTTGGAGATACTTTGCACTTTCGGGATTCTTGTCGTTGGCCCATACAAAAACCCGCTTCTTACCCGCGGGCACGGCAAATGGTCCAATGCCAGCCATGACATCGCATACAACCTCGCCAGGACGAAACAAGTCAATAAGACGGGCATGTTCCGCCTCTAGCTTGCTGTTCCAGTAGACCTTGGAGTAGTCAAACTCAAAAATACAGTCACTCTCGCTGACACGCACGTTGAGGTCATCTGGTCCGGCCAAAACCTCGTACTGGAAGGTCCGGAACTCGGATTCGGAGCCGACATTATCGACCTTGTTGATTACTGTCTTGATCTGCGGGTTTTTGTCGAGAATGATCTCTGCCGCGAGGTATTTGTATGGGAGGTAATTGTCACGGAGGTTTAGGTGGGCTATCAAGTTTATCGTCAGGGGTAATCCTAAGTAAATAGATTGGGGCGACAACAGCGTTGCTTACCCACATGGCCGGCAATGTTAAAACCGGTGGGAATTTCATCGTGGAGTTCCTCGGGTAAAACTGAGGCCATGACGTCCCCTGTAGACACAGTCAGAATCGCTAGGTAGGTCCAAGAATGTAACGAGTTTAGGTCATACTGTAAGTCCAATAGTCATAGTCAAATTGCACCTCATAAGGAATGACCGTCAGCTCCTGATTCTCTACACCAGTTTTGAGTACCGGACCCCAGGTGCTGGGGTCTAAAATATGTAATCTTGGTTAGCACCCATAATGTTATTACAAGCACAAGTAACCATCCGAAAAGTATAATATTATGAGCATCTTGTCTCTCACCTGAAGGCTTCACTCCCGGCTCTAAAAGCAGACACTTGCGCCCCTGGCTAGCAAGCGAGACATCTGGATGAGGCCGGATAGGGGATACCCTCGCCACGCTCAAAATTTCTTTGCCATGCTCTAGGGACTTCCTGTACTTGGCGATGAACTTGTTGTGCTCTAGAGCAGCGGCCGCAACACCGATGGTTTTGGTGAAGAGGGCGCGGTTGAGGGCCGCGGTGCCGGTGCGCACAACGGGACACGGGATGACAACCATATCCCCTTCAACCTGGTAGTCTTTTGCCGGACTGCTCATGGTCTGTCTCGTGTTAAGACTCCAACGGTGGTTTTTTGAGAAGGCTGTGGTGGACTTATTACTCACCTTGTCAAAATTGGGCGAATGAATCTTCGCAGATGCGCCCAAAACGGATGGCAGAGGTGAACGGACCCGCTGAAAATAAAAGTCGGCCAATCAGATGAAGAATTTGTTCTCGAGCAGCTTCGCTCTTACCATTGAAACCACTTGGATGATAATTGCCTTCGGTGCTCCGAGTCTTAGGACACATCCAAGGTCAAGGTGGACTTTGGAACAATGGTAGGAATCTACTCAATTGGTTCAACTCCAAAGAAAATTAACCTAGACCCAATTCTATGCACTTTGTAAACCCCGCTTGCTTTATCTGACGCGCTAACCTGAAACCCTCGCACATTCTCCTACCCTCTACGGTCTACATTACACACGTCGCCTCTTTTCCTGCGCTCTGCAGCAGCTCATTACCTGCCCTTACGCATCTGCGCCTCCGCAAAGCTGCGCAGCCCCCGATAGAACACCTGGTACCCAACGCCCTGGCTGTCCCGAACGTGGAAGATCTCCGTTAGCCGGATCTGCCATGGGGGATACCCCGCCAGCTCGACGTGGGGGCTGAAGAGAATGAGCAGGTCGGGCTCGGACATGACACTCTCGCTCAGTTCGGCATCCACCAGTTCCTGGGTGATGTCGGCCGTGTTGAGCTTTTTGCGCTGCGACATCTCCGCCAATGTCTTGGTCAGGTCGACGATCGAGTCCCGCCCGTCCTCAACCGAAATGAGAATGATGTTGATGTGCTTTCTTGGTTCCTCGTCTTCGTCGCTGCTGCTGCTGCTGCTGTGGCCGCCGTTGCGGTTTGTTCCCTTGGGAAAGAAGGTTGTCTCAATAGCGGGCATGTGTGGCGCGCTGAGAGTCACAGATGGGTAATTTGATCCAAAGTAAGCGTGCATTTCTTGGGAAACAGCCTGGTGAGTCTCCTTGAGGTAACCCTTAAGAATACCTACGCAGTGCGTTAGTCAATCGTCAGTCATACCGCCAACTTCTCCTTGTGGCCAGAACGCACCCGTCTTTTCGTATATTGAAAGCTGCGGAATCCCCGCGCTCGCGGCCCATGCCGCCACATTGGTCACCTCATTGATCAACTTCTCCAGGGCCGCCCCGGTCCGTCGTTGGTCTTCAAGTGTAAGAATGACACTGAGATGTTTGGGTAGCCGGCGGAGACCCTTGACGTCGTGCTGTATAAGCTCGGGTGTTCGGTGGTGGTGGTAATACACTAGTTGTATCCGGTCCGCGACCGCATGGTAGGCTTGTCGGAAGCGGATATAGAGGGAAAAGAAAATGTGCATCAAGAAGAAGACGAAGATGTGGTATTGGCGCCGGAGGAAACGTCGGAAGCTCGGATTGGCTTTTGAACCGTCTCTTGCTGTCGGTGCGTCCGGCTCGTTCCGTGGTGCTGGGAGGAAAGGCTGCCGTCGAGTGGGTGAGCAAAGGAACATTTGCGCCGGTACCTCCGTCCTTGTGGTCACGTACCTTGAATAAATCTAACCTCTCCTCGGGTGTCAGCAACTTGTGGCCCATACGCTCATCGCGTCGGTATGCCTCGATTTGCCGCGCAGCCATGTTCAAGAGAGTGTCGGTGTGGTTGCTCTCCAAGCTGACGAAGTGTTCTGTACTCTTCTCGATGCGCGAGGCCGAATCGGGTGTTTGCGCGCTTCCCGCTCCCGGTTTGGTGGAAGGAATGGGGGAGGGACGAGAATGGGTGGTTGAATGCTGTTGAATATTCGTCTGGGAGCCCTCCGTCCCGTGTTGAAGTAGACCTGGCCTTGCCGCGTCACAAGGATGAGGCAGTGAGAATGTCAACTGGCGAACGAGAAGGAGGTGCTGGTCAAATTACCACAAAATACGTAAATACAGCCCCAAGCACCCCTGTCGCGGTCACCTAGCCGCTGATTGGAATGGTAATTACCGTATGCAACGCAGCTAATTCAGCTCGTGATTCTGGAAATGACGGCATGTGGCAGGAATCACATTTCAATTGCAGCGTGGTCCTGACGCCGGACCCACTCTAACCACGATGGGCCGGGCCACTTACGTCCCCGCGGATGCTTGACCCCTGTAATTGTAGCCCGTTCCCTTGCACAGCAAGCCCACCACCGAGATCGTGAACTTTGTACGAATACACCACGACACCCAAAATCTAGGCGGAATCCGGGATACATCAGCACTACCTATATCGAAAGCCCGGCCCACTCATTGAACTCAACTCTCTATGCGCCCCGGCGCTCCCAACAGCCAGAGGTGACGACAGCTGAGGCGATGGAACGCGGCGGGGGGTCCAACACCCGCTCCCTCTACCCCCAGGGCCCAAGCTTCACCCTCGAAGACTTCTCAAACAAAGATTTCATCGTCGGCGATTTTGTTGATTCACTCGCCGAGGCTGCTATCCCAGCAAGCCGCCGCTCCGGTCCGGCGAACCATGCCTTCGATCCAAAGCCGTTGATCAGGGGGTTTGAGAGTGAGGCTACCCCTCGTGGATCAACCGCCCCAGACCTACGCCGCTAACATGGAAGCTTGTTGTTCACAGACGCTTTGGGGAGGCTGAGTGCTTTATCAGAGGAGCTGCAAGAGAAGGAATCCGAGCTATTATCGCAGGTCCGCCGCGCCGAGATTCAACATGACCAAACGCTCGAAATACTAGGTCGCAAACTCGACCAGTCCATGGCACAGTTCGAGGCCCTTGACCTAACCCTCAACAACCCGAATGTTGCGGCGAATGGAAACAGTCGTGGAGATGGCGGGGGTAATATTGCGGTGCAGATCGGCGAGAAGCTGGAGGAGCTCGATCGGAAACGGAGGAAAGCGCAGGACGCTAACTTCCTGATCCAGTGCTGGATGGAGGTGAGCGAAACAGGCAAGCTGACATCGCTTGAGGAGATACAACGGCAAGGGGGTGCTGAGAACAAGGTGCGATGCGCCGTCATCGCACGCCAGTTAATGCGCATCAGCCAGCGCCTCGATCTAGCATCATGGGGGCAGTCGACCAACGGTATTAGGGGGAACGGGGTCACAAACGGTGTTGTGGGAACGAACCGGCGCTACAATACGAGAGAAGCGCTCGAGAAATTCTCGGAGCTTTTGGAACAGGACCTGCTGAAACAGTTCAACAACAGCTACCGCCGGCAAAACTTTGACGATATGATGGAATGCGCAAGGGTACTTCATGACTTCAACGGCGGAGCCAGTGTTATCGCTGCGTTCGTCAACCAGCACCAGTTCTTTATCGACAGGGACCAACTTATCACGGACGAAGTCACGATGGACGGGGATATGTGGGAACAGCTTGCCGACCCAGACTCCGATCCACCGGGCGTCGAGCCGAGTTTGCAATCCCTAGTTGACGAGGTCAAGATTGTGATGCAGGAGGAGTCCTTCATCATCAAGAGGGCGTTCCCGTTCTACGAGACGGTTTTGACCAAGTTCATCCAACGTGTCTTCCAACAATCCATTCAGCAAAGGCTGGAAATGGTGCTCGACAAGGCGACCACGATCTCGACGCTAGCCTTTTTACGATCGTTGCATTCATCGCGTGCCTACATCGGCGCTTTGGTCGAGGACCTCAAGACCCACGGCTTAACCGAACACCCTGAGCCGTGCTCCGCGCAAATATCCCAGACGCTAGATCAGCAACTCGAGGAGCTCTTTGTGCCTTACCTGGTAGGCAACTCGTACATTGACCGCGAGAGGCGAAGCCTAGAAGAGTTGTACAACTCGCTGCTCTTCAAATTCACCATCTACCACTCGAGGCGGAAGAAGGCCCCGTCCGGATTTATGGCCGCCATCGCTCAGCAGGGCACCCAGCTCATTGCGTCGGCCAAAGACGCGTACATGGAACGCCTGGACTCGTCGGATCTTACGCCCACCCAAAAGCGGATCATGCTCCGGGTCGCTGGTATCCAAGACAGCGGCACAAACAAGAACGACATTGAAGTGTCAGACCAAGATGGCATCCTCAGCGTCGCCTACGCGAAGCGCATGATCGGCTGGCTGGCTGAGAGCGTCCGCCGCACGCTGGAGATGGGGTCCGCAAGCGATACCCCCAAGGACGTCAACATCCTCCTCAACCTCCTGCTCACCACCATGGGCCAAGTCTACGTCGAGACAGCCCTCGACGCGGCCCTCGAAAAGGCCACCTCCCAAGAAAACACCAAAACCGAGCCCGACCTTACCTACCTCCCCAACCTCCGCCCGGCCGTCACCATCACCAACCTCATGTCCCGCTTCATCACCACCGTCCTCATCCGCCTCGCCGAGTCCAACACCACCGTCCGCCGCAGTATGGAAGCCCAATCCAAACTAGCCATCGAAGCCACCGAGCGCAAAGCCAACGCCGTCATGAAATCCACCCTCGACGTCTCCATCCACTGGACGACCAAACTCCTCGCCCAGCAAAAGAAACCCGACTTCCGCCCCAAAGACAGCGACCTCGAAGGCCTCGTCGATGCCCTACAAACCCCGACCTGCCAAGCCATCACAACCTTCCTCGCCGCGCGGGTGGCCGCGTCCGCCCGCCAAGCCGTCGACGGCCATAACCTCGAGGCCTTCTCATCCGAGCTGGCCTTAGCCGTCCACCGCCTGCTGTTTGAACACTTCAAGAAGTTCCAGGTCAACGCCACCGGCGGCCTGATGGTCACCAAGGACATCGCCAAGTATGTCTCGACCGTGCGTGAGTGGCCGCTGGCCAAGGAGGTCGAGGCCACGCTGGAGATCTTGACCGAGGTTGGGTATCTGTTTATTATTGGGCCCGAGGCGCTGCGTGAGCGGTCACGGAATTTGGCGGCTGGGTCGACGGGGTCGGGAGCTGGCGGCGGTGGTAGTGGTGGTGGGGGAGGAGCTGGTGGATCGGATGCGGGTGGGAAGAGGCTGAGGAAGGCGGATTTTAAGGCGTTTGTGCAGAAACGGGAGGATGCGTCGAGTGTGGGCGTTCAAGGGGTTTTGGCCGGGCTGTGATTTCTGTTTCTGTTCGCTCTGCCCAATAAGTGGAGTGAGAGAATGAGAGCGATGACGAGGCTTCACGAGTTGGCATGGAAAGCGTGCGAGTTTTTGTATGTATGTACATAGTGATGAGATTTTGGGGGCTGTGGTTGTTGGTTATGCGGGCGGGGAAGCAAAATGTTGAAAGATACCAGAGAACACTACTAGCCGAGGTGTCTTTACACTGCAAGCGTAGGTTACCAGAGCATGGCCAATTTTACGAAGTGATATACTCCCCTCTTTTGCCTTCCCTTGCGTACGTACATGTATGTTTCATGAAACTGTGCGTCCCATGCCCATTGCACGTGTGTATTCCCCATGATCTAATCTTACAAACATCCGTTGACATCAAGCAAGTCTATGTGTGTAGTCGTACAGGGAACACCATAGTCCCACTGTTTTCATCCCTTTTTTTGAAAACCCAATCGTACATCGTCCCAGCCCAAACCAAACATACATCGTACAGTACAAGACCATGCATTATCCATCCAATTCTTCACAGGACCGCCCTTAAAGCCTCTTCAGCAACTTCACAGAAACCTTCTGTGTATGCACATTCACATCCAACAGCTCCACCTCAAACTCATCATTCGGCTTCACCTCAGCCAGCCTTGTCACGGGCTTCAACCCTTCCAGGTCAACCTCCGCCGCCTGGCCGAACCAATCAAGCCGGCCTATGAGGCCACGCCCAGGCGCGGTGTCCGCAACCGTAAACCGGAACGTCTCCGGCAACTTAGGCGAGCCCTCGCCGAAGCGCCAGGCGCGCACCAGGGCTTGTAAGATCCACTGGGTGTTGCCCTCGACGTTGTCGACCAGCTTGCGGTGGCGTTCGCGGATGCGCACCTGCGGGAGGATGTCATTGTCAAGGTCGGTTTTGGTGAAGGGGAGGAACCCTTGGGTAGGGGGCGGTTTCCCCGGTACGGCCATGGGGCCGTCAGCGGAAAGTTTTCGGCCGGCAAGGGAGGTCCCGAGACGGTGCTCTTCCAGGAGTGCGGCCTCGATCTGCCAGTGAGCGACCAGATCTGGGTAGCGGCGGAGCGGCGAGGTCACCTTGGCGTACATGTCTAGGCCCATCCCGAGGTAGGGGCCAGGCAGGGTGGAGACTTCATAGCTGCCTCCGAGAACGCGCAGGACGTTGTACTCTTCCTGTGTGGGACGCTCGCCGGCCAGCAGCTTGGGGTGGAGCACGTCCCGGTTGAAGGCTTGCAGGGCTGCGAGGTGCTCGCTGGCGATCTTTTGCACGCGATACGGGATGGGGATGCGCCGGTCGAAGCACCAGCGGGCAGCGACCTCACCAGCGAGTTGCATGATGGAGCTGACGAGAGAGCTGCCCTGGTTGTCGTACTCGACGCGAATGTAGGGGTCGCCGTGGTAGAAAGCCGAGCCATTTTCGGCCGCTACGGGGGACAACCCATCTAGCGAGACCCGGGCCCTGGGGCGTGAGGGGAACACGGGAGTGGCGCCTTTCTCAAGGCGAACGTTCCGGATCGCCGTAGCGAGCTTGAACAGAGTCTTGAGGTCGCGCTTATGGGCCTTCGAGAGGGTCTCGGGCGTATCCATTTTCCTAACTGGGGGGGCATGTTCTGCAGGTCGCTTCCCGACTTCCAGGACATCGGGCGGGGGCACAACCTCGGGAGTGTCGCCGACAACGGAGGATACGTCCTCTGGGGTCATGTAGACCACATCCTTTAAGATCCCAGGGGTCACCTTACTGCCGAGCAACTGGCCCTTCTCGTTGACACGGGCGCTGAAGGTGAGGCTAGGTGAATCCGGGCGCAGCGAAAAGATGTCTCGCACATCGTCGCGGTCCAGCATGCGGTCGTAGAAACCGGCCAGGTAGCTGGTCCCCATCTTGCTGGCCCCTTCCTTGGCCAAAGGGCTGGTGTGTCGGATGCGGGAGGCTGGGTCGGCGACGTGGATGTGGATCCAGTACTCCCCATCACCGGCGGCCTCTAGGGATATACCGTCGTCAACGTCGAGCGTATCGGCCGAGTCTATGCAGTACACAGTGGACTGGGCGAATTCCTGCCGGAGGCGGGCTAACCGATCCCCGGCCAGCCCAACCTTGGTGGCATCCAACGAGGGGGGGTTGGGAAGAGCCGTGTGCCGGGTCGTCCGCTGGGACGGAAGACGCAGAGTGTGGCGAGCGCTCACGTCCCACGGCGCGATCCAACCGATCTCCTGCAAAAAGGTCCATCCTGTACTGCTGTCTAGTATAGCACCAGGGTAGCGGTCGAGCCCCCGCAGAATGGCAGCACCAACCCAATGGTAGCGAGAGGAGGGCCGGAAACTGCCCTGAGCGGCCCAGGTTTCCAGGAACTGGATGACGGCAAGACCGGTCTCGGACCAAGCAACCGGCTGAGGGGGGGCGACGGGACCGGACCCGGGGTTTTTGAATGGGCCGACCATTCCGTGGGGTGACCAATCGCGCGTTTTTCGGGTCTGGTCAATCAGGGAACGAGCCTGGCTTTGGAATTCCAGGAATGAGTCCGTCGCCGTTATGAACTTCTTGCCCGCTCTGCCGCGGGCAGCGTCCAGTTCAGAGACGCCACGTACCAAATCCTCAACCCGGGCGACGTTCTCGAGCACGCTGGCTGGCTGTAGGACGAACATGTACGACTCACGCTCGCGGGCCCCTCGGGTGAGAGGAAGAAAATTGAGGTCGTCAGCCATGATGGTGCAATAAACAGCGTACAGAGCCTCTGGGGGGAAGTAGCTTTTGCCCCGCTTCAGTTGGACTGGGAGCAGGACGTCGGCAATCTCACGCAGGCTAAGTACTTTCTCCTCTTTTCCGAATGACAAATGAGCCTTGCTCAGCCTCTCTACGTAGGCTTGGTGGAGGAGGCGAGATTCGGTCAGGAAGGCGTGCATCTTGCGGATTAAGGAGGCGCCGATTTCGCGGGACGGGCCGGCATTGCGCTCCTGGAGGTCCTTGAGCACCGACTCGGAGCTCGACAGCGAGGGGATCGCCTGGACGAGGTCATCGAGCTCCCCGGGGTCCTCGAAGTAGTTCTTGACCACGAAGCCCGTACGCAGGGAACGGGTCGTAAACCACTGGCCCTTGCTCGTGTAGAAGTGTAGGTGGCCGTTGAAATTGCCGAGACAGACGGCGATGAAGAGGCTTGTGGACGAGTTCGCGCTGAACTCGACCAGGTCTCCGGCCTGCAGGGCGGCGCCGGCGTGGCTGGAATCGATCACGTCGACGCCGTCGAAATGCGGCTGCGAGCTGTCGTCATCCTGGACGGTCGGCTTGTCGAGGAGCATGTTCAGGTCCCACAGGTTCTTGGTCAACGAGTTGCTGACGCTGTTCCCGACGGGGGCGTCGGGGGGTACGGTGAGAGTCTTGTCCGGGTTGCGCGCTTCCCATGCCCGAAGCTGCGCGCGGATGTCGCCAGGCCGAGCGAACGGGTCGCTATCGAGCTCCTCGTCAAGTGCCCGGTCGAATAGGCTGGCGGTTTCCCCCTCGCCGGTTTCTCCCTGGCCAGTGTTCGCTGCCGCCGGGGGCTCGGTGGATAGATATCGGAGGAGCGGCCGTCGGTCGTGCCTGGTGAGGCTCGGGAACAGTGCCGACGAGGGCCGCGATGCCGCTGCCGCTAGGGCCGAGAACGACGATAATGGTGTTGCTGCGACGACCGGCCCAGATGCCCTCCTCGGCGGCACCACACGCCCCGCGGGCCGGAGCGAAAGACACCTCCAGCAGACATAGTTCTGGTTGCCGCGCCGCATCATCTCGATACTCAGCGGCACAAACACAACGTGGTGTGTTTGTGTTGCGGTACGCTGCGGTGCGGTTCGAACCAAAAAGTGTCCCACCTCAAAAATACAGACCCCAAAAAAATTAATTCGAGGTGGGGTGCTGTTGCAGACCTCTGCTCGCCTTTCCGATGCGCGCTGTGGATTGACCGATAATCGACCCTTTGGTGAACCCTAACCCTGGAGAACCTGGGAGACGAATCGCGCGAGGCCTGCTCGTCTTGCTCAAAAATGTGAATGCAACCAATGCAAGCATTCTGCATCAACTACCCTCCTCCCCCGTGCTGCCTCCCCTGTTCGCCGCTTGAGTCTGGATCCGGCGGCGCGCTTGGCTTCCTTCGCCGGGTGGCAGACTCGCTCCACATCGGCTCGTTCGCCCCGTTCGTTTCTTTGCCCGTGTGCCCCGTGTCATGGTGTCCAGAAAGGGGCTCAATTCCTTGACTCCCTGCGATTCGCATGGGTGATCTACAGAGTCTCGATTCGCAGTCCGATCGTGGCAACGAGCCTGGCGCATTCACGCAGCACCACTTCCGGATGATGATCAGCAGCGTTAGTGTGAGTTGTGGGTGCAAAACCACACGTTTTGCGGGCAAAATGTTGGCTGGAATCGACCGGAATTTGCTTCAGCCCCGTTTTCTCCGATGCATGTGCGGTCCCGATTGACGCCCGCGTCTCTGGGGTTGAGCTCTGCTGGCCTGGCGAGCCTGGCAAGCTGGCACGCTGGGTCGCCAAGGTTGCCCAACGTCGCACGGTTCCTTGCAGATTCCCGTCCTGATGCAGGTACGAAGACCGGACCCACATGTGTTTCTCTCTCTCCGTTTTCTTTCCGTGCGGGCTCTGCCGTTGTGTTTTTCTATTCGCCCCATCGCGACCACTGAACTATTTCCGGCTGTCCGGTTGACTTGAGGACCGTTGGCCGTCGCATTTGTTCTTCTTTCATTCAACCTCACTGAGAAAGTGAGTATTACACACATCGTACCAGTTGTTTCTCCGCGCCCGCGGCAAATCAGAAAGACCAGGCACAACAGGAAATTGAGGTTGACTGCGGCGCTAAAACACTGTCTCGAGCAACCAGCCGAACAACCGCGACCTCGTGTCGACAAATTCGAGAACTCATCGACTCCTGAAACAACGGCTGAGATGACGCAGTGTGGTGGGAGTTGTTTCCCTCAAGGGGTGTCAATGTCGCTTATTTCATTTCCCAGGCTCGGTGCAGCGGCCAATCCGCATGCAGCCCCCATTTTCTGCCTTTCTCGACCGCCTAAATTAAGGCTGTTTTTGGTTTAGGGCGCTCAGTCGTCCCATCACATCAGGGGTTTCCATGGGCGTATGACGGCGAGCAACCGCAAGTGCCACAGGGCCCAAGGCGTTGCGCGCTCTTTTCACAATCCACAGCGCCCAGCTCTCCACCGTCAAGGGCTCGTCTTCGGTCCTCACTCACCACCGGCCCAAGGAAATTCGCATTTTCCTCGTGTTCGCGGCATCCGTTCCTGCAAAACGCTGTCGGCACATCCTTGGCCCCCAGAAATTCGGCTTGGAAGCTTGGAAAGCTCGGCGACGCAGGGACAGAGGGACAAGTGTGGAATCTCCGTACCTGAAGCCAGAAACGGCAAACGGTCGAATTATCTGCAGTTCAGGAACCGATGCTCAAATGCTGTCTCCTTCGCAACCAGTTTATATGGAGAGTGGCATCTCATGTTCCGAATTTATTACAGATGACTGTGAGGGCTACGGACCACTCTCCCCGTCTATGGAACGTCTGATGTTCAGACAGATGGGGAGACTTCAGACGGTAGTCCTGTCGTGAACCTTGAACACATGGAGGTGATCGCGGACGAAGCTGCCGGCAAACGTCCGCTCCGAACCACGCTCGGTGTGGATGGCCGGACAAGCAGCGGCAATGGGCATGACAGCACAGAGAAACAGAAAACAGAGAAACAAGACGACAGCCCAATAAAATGAGCGATCCACCACCAGGTCCAGGGGTTTTCCTCCGTTCAGGAACAGGGCACACCGCCGTCTGATTCGGCAGACCCCTGACATCGAAAGGAGGACCCATCCGGCCAGAGGTGCCAAGCAGGAAGCCTTGCCCTGGCCGGCTGCTTTCGTACTAATTACCGCGCTCCCCCGTTTCCACTCATTTTGTTTCTTGCCTCCCCCCTTTCCACCGCCCCAGATTGCCAGTGGTGATATAGTCGACCCCGGAGGCACTGATTCTGGCTTTCGTCGTCCATTCCTTTCTCTGCCACACCACCGCTTCACTCTTTTAGCGGGCATTCGTTTTCGTCGCCAACGCGACTCTCACCAAGATCGAAAAAGGAGAAAAAAACACACATTGCCGACTCTGCTTCAGTTCTGCGCGGTTGAATCCACCGGGGTTTTTTGTTGTTTTCCAGGATGAAGGCTACTGTTCTGGCCGCTGCCGCGGCTGTCCTCGCCGGCGGCGCGAGCGCTGCTTCCCGCCATGGTCACCGTCATGCGCACGCTCTGTTCGAGAAGAAGTCCGCGGATACCGGCAAGGAGTGCGTTGAGAGCTGCACCACCATCTACTCGACCGTGACCGGCGAGCCCACCCGTAGGTTTTGCCGCGAATCGTCCCATAGAGGAGAGGAAGAAATGGGATAAAGGATCTCTGGGGGATCGGAAGGAGATCGACGATCTCGTACTGATGATGCAAGGGACTGTGGCACTAGACTAACATGTTGATTTTCCCCTGGCTCTAGTCCTCCCCCCCGCCTCGACGGCTCCTCCGTCCACCACCGGTCCCGCGACCGTGCCGACCCCGGAGCCCCATCCGATCGAAAGCCCCGGCACCTACACCTTCCCGGCGTCGACCATCGTGGTGACCGAGACCCAGACCGACGTGGGCGGCTCGTCCACCGGCGTTCCTAGCGGCACCCACACCCTCGGCGGAATCACTACCGTTGTCGGGACCGGTACCACCATCGTCGTCCCGGTTGCCACCACCGAGGTCCACAACGGCGTGGTCACCAGCATCATCAAGACCACGACCTTTGTCTGCCCCGTGGCCGGCACCTACACCATCGCTCCCATCACGACGACCGTGCCTAGCGACACCACCGTGACCGTCCCGGTCATCGAGACCTTCCCTCCTGGCACCTACACGGCCCCTGCCGTGGTCACCACTGTCACGGAGACCAAGACCGTCGTCTACTGCCCCTACACCTCGCAGACCCCCGAGCCGGCCCCTGCGCCGACTTCGCAGGCCCCTCCTCCGCCTCCTCCTCCCCCGCCCCCGCCGGCGATCACCACTCACGAGGCGCCCCCGCCGGTCAAGCCGTCGAACACCCCTTCGTCCTCGGTCGTCCCCAAGCCGTCGCACGCTCCCCTGCCCGGCAGTACCACCAAGCAGTGGGCCATGACCTACACGGCTTACGCCGAGACCGCTGAGGGTGGCTGCAAGAGCGCCTCCGAGGTCATGGATGATGTTACCGCCATTGCCAAAGCCGGCTTCTCCGCCATCCGTGTCTACTCGACCGACTGCGACACCCTCCCCAACGTCGGTGCGGCCGTCCGCAAGCTCGGCCTGCGTCTGATTGTCGGCATCTTCATCGGCCAGGCCGGCTGCGACAACGCCAGCCCCACCGTGGCGGACCAGATCAGCGCGCTCAAGGAGTGGGCTGAGTGGGACCTCGTTGACCTGGCCGCTGTCGGTAACGAGGCGCTCTTCAACAACTTCTGCACTGTCGGCGAGCTCACCAGCCTCATTCAGCGCGTCAAGTCGGAGCTCGGCGCGACCGGTTACAACGGCGCTTTCACCACCACCGATATCGTCACGGCCTATACCAACAACGACGTCTCGGCCCTCTGCGCCGTCATCGACATCGTCGCCACCAACGCCCACGCCTACTTCAACCCCGACACCAAGCCCGAGGACGCCGGTGCGTTCGTTGCCAGCCAGCTCAAGATCGTCGAGGACGTCTGCAGCTTGCCCGGCGTCGTCCTTGAGACCGGCTGGCCCAACGCCGGTGTCTGCAACGGTGTTGCCTGCGCTGGTCCCGATGAGCAGCGCGCTGCCATCGAGTCGATCGAGAAGGCCCTTGGTAGCAAGGCTGTCTTCTTCTCCTTCCGCAACGACCCCTGGAAGCAGCCCGGCGCTTGCAACTGTGAGCGCAACTGGGGCTGTGCCGAGGTTTGGGGCGTCTAAGAAGGGTAATAAAAACCAAAGAAAGCATCAGAAAAAAAAGAACACTGCCCATCCTGTTAAATCTGATCGTGGTCCGCGAGTCGACTAGCTGAATCTTGCTTTCTCACAATAGCAGATACATGCCACTTTGCCAGCCTGTCTAGGCTCGCGGCCAGCTCGTCTGCCACAAATCTTTTTTTGGATATATACATAAACCATCATATTCAGCTGTTTGTTCCTCTGCGCGCGTCCCGGTCTGATTTCCTCTTGATCTATAACGTGTACATATATTCCAATATCCGACGTTCCTAGCTAGATCGTCTTGTTCTTCTCCATGTGTATACATATTCTTGCGGTCTCGGGAACGCACAATTGACACGTACGGGGCTGCTGTTTGCATCCAGAAGAAGAAAGAAACCAGACCAGAGCGAGCTTCACCACCGTTGGTCTCGGAACGGCTGGCCACTTATCGTCTCGCTGGCAGCGAGTTTCGTCTGATGTCAGCCATGATTGACTTGATTCCACATGGGCGTTTTTTGTCTTTTTTCTCCTTACCGCGCTTCCCATTCATAATGTTGTAATTCAAATCAGCCATTCGGTGTTTATAGTTGCCAGGATGTTGGACGGAACGAAGAGAAGAACGGAGTGTGGGTCCCTTTTGTCGAGTACTTCGTAACAATCATGCGTTTTTTCCCCGGCTCGGGGCGTCTTGGTCCTTATGACTTCTCACCTCATACTCACCATCCACCACGCCTTGTCTTTGCCTTTAATTCCAGATCAGTCTACTGAGGTACCGAAGCTATCCCCCGCAAGCGTACCCAACACAACTAACCCAGTGAATCCTAAGAATGAGCAGTCCCGTTGTCGGGATATCATTTCCATACATCGCAATTCACGGTACTCTGCTTTCTTTCCATTAGGTTATGGCCGCACTAGTTAGCTAGGATAGTTAGTTCCACCAGGTCCTCCTAAACTCAAACCACATATCCATCACCCCTGCCCGAATCTCAGTCTCTCACCACCGTCGTTCAGAAACGCCCCTAGCCCCTGCGCCAACACTTTGAATGACTCTTGGGTCGTAAGCCATCAGATTAGCAGCACAAACCCGGACGGTACCCTAACCTACAATAGGTAGGTATCAGGGAGGTACCATCCCACCTCACCCACCCTTTGGTCGGGTCGGTCCTTCCCTTACTGAGACGGCACGCTTCAAATGGCCTGATCAAGTTGACGAGTTGACGATCGATTACACACATAGAAGGCAGGACCGGTAAAGAGGCAAGGCAGGGAGGAGCACGGGCATTGTTCAGATTCCTATAAACCCCCCCCTTTGTTTTCCCTTTTCCTTTCTTCCCAGATTCTTCCTATCCTTGCCGCTTTAATTCTAGAAAGCGGACACAACCAAACGGTATATCTACTCGAAGCATAGCCTGTCAAAAGTGTAGCGTCTACTTCGTAAAATCACAGCTTTCTAAGAGCCGTGCTCGGGAAAGAAAAGAAGACACACAAATACTACTCGAGGCATGTCCTCAGGCGCGTCTTATTCCATCAGCACATTATCCTGCCATTCACCGAGATAGATAGGTGCGGCTGGGCACATCTTCTTACTTATACCAAGACTTTGCTACCCTATTCAACGCACTCAAAAAGACTGCTGTCTGCGTAGATCACTCCCAACCTCAGCTAAAAATGAGGGCAGACTCGTGTACTTTGCCCTCTTACATAAAACACAATCAACACCCCAACTTCCACGACAAGCTGATCCGTCCCGAAATAACTCATTTGAAAAAAATAACGTATTTACCTTACCCGAAGGCTTTGGTTTGTCCCTAAATCTCCCAAAACACCCGTCAATCATCATGCCTAACCTGACGGTGAGGTTAAAAAAACGTTTCGAGCACATTGCTCCCTCCTCTAGCCAGCTGCCCCAAAAGGGATGAGCTGATCCTATCGTGATTCTACCACATATTCTCGTCCTCCCCAGGTTGCAGCGCAGGTACGCAACCGGATACACCACCGGGTTCTGAGCCCCTTGCCGAAGAACGTTGGCGTGGTGTCGACTGCCAGCCCAGGCACCCCATATCCCCCTTGACACAGCCCAAGAGGGAGTGTACGCTTGGACGACCATCGTTCGCTTTTGCATGCCCGGCCCAGCCTGGTTTTTTTGCCTGTCATATTTTGGCGTTCGGGGGCAGGCGTTCGGGTGTAAGGGTTTCGTCTTTCGCTCTCAACCGAGATCGATACTCAAATTCGGATTCCCCGTATCCAACCGTCATCCTTGGAATCGCCAGATACGTTACAAAAGTCCTAGGCTACTCGAGTGACCCATTTCCCTCGCCTTATTTTTTTTTAAAATGCGTGTTCTGTCTCGTATCAAACTTGCATCTTCAAAAAGGATCCAACTCAACTTGGCTCGCCATTGACCCCAGCCTCATACGCCGGCTCCGACCAAGACGACGCCTGTCTTCGGTGAATATTGACCGCGGCCAGTCGGACGTCGGCTCACCGCGGCGGCGATGGTGGCTCTTTCGCCCCGCCGGCACCTCCTCGTCTGAGTCCCACGTGAACCCGTCCCCTTGGCCACATCTCTCCAGCTCCAGGACGCCGCCTCGGGCGCGGTCGCAGCAGAGGACCATGAGATCGTGCCCGCCATTCGTGAATGAGACGCCACCAAGTTCACCAAAAATGTCGATCGTCTGCTTGGAGCGGAACGTTTGAGCGTCGATAATGTTGATGAAATCGGCCTCTTCAGCGGCCACAAGAACCCGCTTCCCGCTACCGATCGGTGAGAAACGCAGGCTCCGCGCGCCGGCCATCTCACTGCGGATGGTACAGACCGATGTGCTGTTGCCTGAGGTGTCGGTGACCCGGCGAACATCCCAGATCTTGACCGTCTTGTCCTGGAAGGCCGTGGCAATTGTCCAGCCGTCGTCTGCCCAGTCGCAAGCAAACCCAAAATCGCGATGGCCAGACAGCTTGTGCAGAACATCTGGTTCTCCACCAGGGCGGGACGACTCTGCGGCCGTGATGACCACGTCCGTACTGTCACCCACCATCACGCGCAGTCGTCCATCTGGTGATACGGCGGCGCAGTTGGGAGCGAACTCGTGTGTTTCCTCCGAAAGCCATGTCTCGGTGGTGAGATCCAAGACTCGGAAACAATTATCGTTTGATGCAAACGCGGCGAGTGGGGCGAACGAAGTCCGAGATTGGTAGACAGAAACATGATTTGTAATGCCACTGATGCTGTTGGTGATAACACCCTCGTGGCCAGATGCGTTTTCTGGGTCGTTAGAATCCAGGTGGCGAAGGAAATACTCTCCTCCAAAGCCACCGGCGACTAAGACACCGTGGCCAGCGGCCAGGGTGGATATTTGAGAGGCGGGCGCATCGCTCAATTTCATCACAGCGCGGCTGTGGCCGGATATCGGGTTGAATTGTTGGATAGCACCGACGGCGGGGTAAAATACGCGGGACCTCGATGTGCTCGCAAACACATTCCGTAGTTGAAAATGGGCTAGGTGGATGTTCTTCTTGATGTTCATACGTTGGAACCGAAAGAAATTGTCCCGACGGGGAAGAGCAACATCTGAAAGATCAGGCTGTGGCACGGATTAGTTTCTCAACACTCCTGAATAAAAAGATAAAACGGAAGAAGAAAACAAAGAAAATCTTTGTACTCACTGTCCACATGTCAGAGCCCGCGACGTTAACGTAGTTGTTGTACGTTAGCAACCGTCGCTCTCGGGCATCTCGCCTCGTGACCCCAAGACTGTCCCATGCGATCCCCTGAAGGTCACATTGATCTCCCTCCAAATCGGCATATTTGATCGAAGCTTCCGGCAGGGACTGAAGGGCGTTGACTTCGTTCGGCCAGGGACAGCTACCCCGGGACATGGTTTGTAGAAGCCGGCTTTGGCGCGCCCAGTGGCGGAGAAAGTCAACCAGGCCGTAGTTGGACGGCCCGATGGTACTTGGATTGGGGTTTGAGATCGAGAAAGTGTGGGTCCAGGCGCCTCCAGGAGGAGATTGTTCCCAGGTGACGCCGGCAAAGGCGGTCGTGGATGCGAAGGGCATGGTTCCCATGACGAAAGCGACAGCTTGCGCCGCAGCCGTCGTGTCTGACTCCGGATCGAGAGCGGATTCGGAATCGCTTCCCGTGTCCTCGACCCAAGTTGGCTGGTCATCACTGTCCGAATCTGCAGGGTCCTCCATAACCACGTCGTTGGCGATGGGTTGGGGAAATGGGTAGTCGTTGAGCGAGACACCAGTGTCGGCGTCCGCATCGGGGTCGTCGGACGCGTCTAACCCGTCAGGAAAGACACCCTCTGGTTCCTGGTAAAAGTGCGAGTAGGAAACGTCGGATGGTACTGAGTATTGGACCGGGCAGTTGTGGTGCTCGGTGTAGTGGAACCCCCCTCCCTCCGAATCGTAGTCGATCTTATCACTATCTCCGTCGTCATCATGCCCCCCTTCCTCGTCTCCCTCGTCCTCCTCGTCCTCCTCGTCCTCCCGGTTCTCCCTGTCCTCCACTTCCTCTCCCTCTTCCCTTCCCCCTTCTTCTTCACCTAACTCGTCTTGAAGCCCCTGGTTTTCGTCGGCGTCGTCGAAGGCGTAACCCATTGTTTTCCCATGCCCGGATCCATCACTAGCATCAACGTTCTCCGCCCCTTCTTCGCAAGCGTGGGCTGTTTGCGTAGTAGAAAATAGCGTGGTGTTGGTGAGGGGTCCGACTCTGCGAGGCACATCGTGTGGAGGCGAACCCACGGGGACGGGTGCCGTGATTGGCATGGTCGTTGGGCGTTAGAATGCGGTGAGGTGAGTGGTGGTGGCGGGCCCTAAGATCGGCATGGGCCCGTCCGAGAACTGCGCAGGACGGTCCCAGAACCCCCTCTAAGCGTTGGCTGCTTTCCTTCCAAGGTTCTTCTTTTTTTCCCACGATTGCTAGTCCAATTTTCGCGGGGAATCCGCTCTTCTTGAACAGACGGGGTCCCCTGGGCGGGTCCAGGCGAGTGAGGCCTGACTGGGGAGAAATAACCGAACAGGTGTGTGTGGTCCAAGATGCTGGTGGCCTTAATAGGTCGTTACGTTCGTTGGCCGAGGACGGCGAGTCCACCTAAGTGTATGGATGGCAAATGGTGGGGAGGGGGAGACAGTGTCTCAGTTTGAACCTAGAATCTCCAACAAAGTGTTGCCGGACGGTCATTCACTGTTGGTGACTGGGCGAAAGTGGGAGCCGTGGGTCTGGGGTAACACAGGTGGCCGTGGCGGACTTTTAAGCCCGCGGCAAGGAAAAACAGGAGACAAAACGTAGTTAAGTAACGTTGTGTGCGTTTTTAGTCTTGGGGAGATGAGCTGGAGGAAGGGCAAATAAACCCGTCTCAAAGAGAACCTTAAGAGTTGGGGTCGAGCATGAGTTGCGACTCGCCCCCCAGATTCGGTCGAAGTGACGAGTTAACGACGAATCGGGGTCCTGGGGTGGAGGTTCTGGGTTGGGGTCACAAGGAGCCCGAAGATGACCGCCAGTGCGAATGCCTGCAGGATAACCGGGGCACCAGCGCTAACTGGTGCTTACCCGCACTTTACACACTGTGTTGCTGGGGATGCCCAAGCCCGCAAGCGCCCGGTGCGCAGAGCAGGCGGGCAACACTGGAGCCTCTTTTTATAACTCATCCCGCTCTTGAAGTGAGGTTCCTTCTTCTTTGGGAAGTTCGTACAGATCTCCCAATTCTTCCGTGCCCATCTCCCGCTTTCAACACCCGGGCTTCTCACCCTCCGCCTTATCCGTAACTTCGTTTATCGAGTTAAGTTCGAACCGAGGCAGTGCGAGCAAAGTACAGACACACATATTTTTGTACGAGACAAGTAATCTTTTCTACTCGAAGGCAGCTGTTTTATTTCATCTCAAACATTACCGAAAGATGGAGAGCATCTAAGAAAGCCGGCCCCGGGACCGACTCATTTTTTGGCGCGACGCTCATGGACGAATGACGGATGACGGCGGAAACGACACTGAGGATTTTCAAGCTTCGTCTTTGGCCCGAGTCCCGTCTTCAAAGCATGCGCCATGGTGGGCATGCAGGCTGCCGATTCTGGGGGGGGGGGCTTGGCCTTCGGGAAATGGATGGTGTATGTTTCGCCCGGGCTGTGGTGATCATTCGAGTCGGGCTGCGCGCCCCCAACCTGGAGCTTCTTCAGGCGCCCTTTAGCGTATCACCGCACCCCCAAAACCGTGGTCCTGCATCCGCTGCGTGGCCGCTTCCGTCTGCCAGACACCGGCTCCCCTTTCCCATTGTGACCTCCGTCGAACTACCGCATTTTGCGACAAAAGTCCCCTTCCCCCCCGCATTTCTGAGTCCGGAGAAAGAGGAGAGACACATGATCGCTCAGGTGCCTGCCTCCACGGACGGCAATCGTGCAACAGCCGGGCTCATTAACGTTGACTAACTGTCAGGTAACTTAAACGTTGGCCAAGATGGCGGTATGAGGGGCGTTTGGCTTCGGCACGCTGCCATGACCGGAAGTCGCACTCGCCATGCTTGATTTCTCTCTTTTTTCCTTCCATTCCTTCCACACCACCCTGCTTTCCCGTGTCATACCCAAATTCCCGAGGAGCCGAGTCGTCCCTGATACCCTCCCCTTACGATTTTCGGCCACGCTCACCAAAATGTGATGTGTCTGATTTTTCGGGCATTGGTCCTTGTCCCCGGCGTTCACTTTCAGGTGGTTGGGTTGGTGCCAGCCGCCCCCACCAGTATCCCAGGGTCTTATAATATACATAGTAGAAAGGCAAGGTAAGGCAAGCTTTGCGGCCGGCTGCATCTCACCATCCCCTGAGTTTCCCTTCCCCCCTTTCCGCGTTGTTCCTTGGGGAAAGCCAAGAAACGCCTCATCTGGCTTATTCCCAAGCATGGTCCTCACCGGCTGCCGGGCCTGACCAATGCGGAATACCTCTGATTTCAACGACCTGTGATGGTGGCGTCCGGTCTGGTATTCAAAACCGAAGGATTGGACATCCCACTTGCGTGTGTGCCTCCTTTCTTTTTCCTTCACGGGCCCGACTCCGGTTCGGCTTCGCTGGAGGATGGGCTCCTCGTTTCCGCGGGCCGAAGATGGCTGCCCGCTGCACCGAGTCGTCGATCACCGATGTAGCCTTCAACCAGCCGACCACTTAGACTTGGGCTGTCAGACGAGGCGGGAAAAAATGTCCGGTCGGGATCGGGCATCAAGGATTTGCCTGATCCCTGAAGTACACTGCAGATGTTTGCCTTCAAGCGCACATATAGCGTCATGTTTGGCGAGGTTGGACAAGACCTTGATGCACATCCAAAAAGTACGATAACACTCACTGGGTAAACCTGCCTGCCTTCCTTCGGCCGGACGGTCGGCGAAGAAGCGACTCATCGATGCACGCCAATATCACCAGGACTGGCTCGCAGTTTCTCCAGCGGCTTCGATGCTCCGTCGTATACATAATTTCCTGCCCTCTCGCATATGTGCTTGGTCGATTCCCCCCAGTTGGGGGATCATTCACTGCTAAGGGGCCGTGAGAACGACGGGGAGGGGGCAAGGGGGCGAGATGTGGTCATGCAAGATCCGATCACCTTCGCTCTAGGAGCTGAAGATGAAAGAAGAGGAGAAAGGGAGAAGGGAAATGGACAGGGTTTGCTGGAATAACATGCGGGCAGAGTAGGATCTGGGTCGTATATTGCTACCTACCTAGTCATGTCGGCCGTAATCCAGTCTATGAAAGAAACATACTCTGGGGACGCCCGGTACTGAAGCGGCAGTTGACAGAAGATGGGGCAGCGGCAGAGGTCTCCTCTTTGACGTCAATCATGGGTGAGGTCTCAGTGACCCCGTCTTCAAGGCCCGACAAGCTCAGGTAAGGGACATACAACATGAATGATGCCGAAGGAGACACATTGCACGAAGCACTGGAAGTTGGAAGCAGCGCAAGGAAAGAAAATCATTACATTCGGTGGCTATTTGATTCGTTGTACAAGCTTCTAAGCATAGAAATAAGGGGGTTGCGTGTTGCGTCTGTCAAGGAGACGGACATCCGCTATCAGACAAAGCCAAAAGCTGCCACGCTAGCAATAAGACATCTATGTACCAAAATATATATGCGGCCTCCAACAAGTAATGGAAAGATAGAAAGCGTAAAGGATATTAAAAAAAGAGGGAAATTCCCAGAAACAAACACCGAGCTCATTGATCCGAGTAGTAGCCGTCGTACGGCCCGTGACCGTACACCTGACTTCCGCCAACAACATTCTCCGCCGAACCCCAGTAGGTGTTGTTGGCGCTGTTGTTGCGGACCCGGCGGTCGCGCTCAAACTCAGCCCACCGCTTCATAGTGATTTTGCTGCTATCGAATTCGCCTTCGTACTCGATACCCGCCTTCTTAGTCGTCTCGCCCGCCGTCTTCCGCGTGTCACCCCACGAGAAGTCGTCAAACTTCCAGAATGAGTACGTCGGCAGAATGAAGTTCCAGACGGGGAGCGAGAGCAGGTAGATGAACATCCATACGACATACGACCAGCTGTGGGCGGTGACAACAATCAACACGGCCGGCAAACCGAGAATCAGCCCAAGAAGCACGAGCGGGATAATTTGTGGCGGTTGGTGGATGATCGAGATGATAACTGGATAGTTGTTAGTATGAAAGGCTTTGGAGGGGTGGTCCGGAGAGGTGCGAGAATGTCTACATCAGACTTGTACTTACCAACATAGAAGGTGAAAGCAATGGCGGCAGGCAGCACGAGGGTACCAATCAGCTCGATGAAGACAATAAACTGCATGCTGAAGCAGAAGGTACCGCACAGGTCCCTGACGAGGACAAGTTCCATGAGATTATGGATGGTCGAGTTGATCCAGCGGCGACGCTGTGAGAGAAGAACCATAAACGTGTCGGGAACCGTCGTCTTGCACACTGCCTGTGGGACGAAGACCTGTTTGCGCTTTGGGAAGGTTCGCAGCATGAGGGTCGACAGGTAGCGATCCTCACCTAGCAGCAACAGGTTCTTCTTGTGTAGGGTGTCCACCACGTTCTCCGAATAGTGCTCAACCACATCGGGGTTGGCCAGGATGGGGACCCAGTAGTTCTGCGCGCCCTTGGGCGCTTTGATGCGGTACATGCAGAAACAACCGGGAAGACAGGTGACACCGCCAAAGACGGACTCGAAGGACTTGGCCAGATGATGAGAAATGAAGTACTCGAAGACTTGTATGGCTGATACCCAGCTGGCCCGCTTGTTGGCAATCTTGGTCTCGCCGCAAAGGCCCATGATATCGGGATCCTTGACCATGGCGGAAATCATGTGCGTCAGACTGTCGGGGAAAACCTTGGTGTCGGCGTCGACCATAAGTACGATTTCGTAAAAGTCGGGTGAAATGCCGGTAACCTTCCACAGCCCGTTGAACATCTCGTACTCAAGTTCCGTCATCCGTTCGTCAAACATGACCTTTTGGAGAAAAGACATCAGAATGATCTGGCTGTCACGCTTGCCGCGGTTTCCGGGTTTCGCCTTGGTCGCCTCGTCGGGAGTACCACATTTGACAACAACCATCATGGGGACACGCTGCTGCTTTTCTAGGGGAATGGCGGACTTAACGCCGTAGTCGTAGAAGCCCGAGTAGATCTTGGCCATGTTGTGACGCTTGGAGCCGCTGGCCACAGCCACGTAGGAGAAGGCTTGGACATCCTCAGGGAGCGTGCTGTGGTCCTTCATCATGCCCAGTACAATGTCAGGCGTCGAGAACTCTTCGCCCTGGCCCTTGATGATACCATCGCAAATAACGAGAATGGCCTTGTGGCTGTTGGGATAGTCCGTCATGGCGATCGAATCCAGAGTAGTCCGAATACCAAGTTCACCTTCGGAGTACGCAGTTACGAGGCAAATGGCATGGGCGAGCGGGAAACCAAAAGGCATCCAGTCGGACGGGGGTTGGGGGACGACAGCTTCGTGGATAAAACCCGCAGGCCCCGGGCCATCCGTGGGGCTGTTGTTTGAGGCGTACGGATCCGACTTGAGGAAGCTGGAGCGACTGTCGTTGCCTTGTCGGTACATGTTGGTGGGGCTGAGAAGTTGGCCGGCGGCGCTCTGGCTGGCCATCGTCGTGGGGACACCAGACCGGCGGTTGCCGCGCTCATTTCCGTAGACAGCCGAGAAGCGAGAGGTGGTGGGCAGGAAGGTGCTACTACGCTTGCTCTGACGATCGGAGGACCCATTGACGCTGCTCCCGATGTCACCCGGCATTCTAGGAGGGGCTCGGTAAATGTCCTCGGTCCAATCTTCAATCTGCCTGTTGCGCTTACGTAGATCCGAGGTTTGCGAGGTCTTGGACGCAGCGTAGGTCTTGCTAATAAACCATTGGAAAACGATGGCGAGCACAAACCTCGCTACCACAACGGAAAGAATCAGGACAAGAGAAAGGTAGAGAACGACCTGGGAGGCAATGCACCCGACCGTGTCCGTGTCGACAGTTCCGACCTTGATGATCTCCTCAAAGCATTCGGCGATCTGCTTGTCACTTGGCGACTGGAACGCGCGGGTGACATCACGCCCGCGGATGGCCTGGTTTGCAGCGGTGTCGCGGTCTCGGAGCTCCTTGAAGCGCGCGGGATAAGTGACCTGGGAATCGTTAAACCACCGCAGAAGGTCCAGGTCGAGAACGTTGCCCGAGTAGACGATCAGGTTGCGGGAGCTGTTCCGGATGTCGTCCCAGTTGAAGTACACATCTGCGGCGCCGGAAAGCTGCAGGTAAAACGTGTCACGAGAGGGACCGGTGGTGTGGCAGGAATAGCCAAGGTAGTACGGGATTGTCTTGTTCGGCTGCGTCGACCCATCCTGGTTGAAGGTAGTGCAGGGGAAGTACCATGCCAAACCACCGTCCCCGTCCGTCGGGACGTCAGAATCTGGTGCGGCTTCAATGAGTCCCTTACATTTGCCATTGACGTTTTGGAACAGGAAACTTCCATCTTGCCCCCCGTGCTTCTCGGGAAGGTCATAGAGGACGTTCGCTCCACTTCCGTCCAAACGTCTTGGAATGCCTTCAGCAGGGGGGTGATGGGACCCGGCTAAGTCGTAGGCCGAGCCGTGGAAGATCATATAACCGCTATCGACCTCGTTGACGCGCAGCCGTAATGGCGGCGAGCCGCAGACGACTTGCGTAAAGCCGAATGTGAGGAAACCAACAACGGTCATGATGAAGAGAATGATGCTAATCAAGCCCATCTTCTCTCGCCAAGCGCGCTGCTGCGCCTTAGCAGGCAGACCGAAGCACTTGAGGACGAAGCCGGGGGCCCAGAAAGTAATGATCGAGCAGTATATGTTCCATAGGCTGGGGGGTCTTAGCTGTTCATCCTGGTTGCGTGGCTTCGTGTCCTTGGTGATCTTGGGGTGTTTTGCCGCGTTCGAGGTCGTCCGCCGCCTGGGCCGGCCGGACTTCTCCGCCTCGCCATTCCGGTGCTTCTTCGAACGAACTCTCCTAGGCGATGGAGTCGCATCCGAGGGAGGCGCTTCGTCGTTCCTAGAGATGGAGCCTGATATGTCGGTGGTTCCCTCCAGGTCTTCCGCAATGGGATCGTTGCCGGTCGAGGACGGCAAGGTGTTCATGTTGGCGGCATGTTTGCGGTAGTGGTAATTGGGGTGGTCTTTGCCTATCCTGTTCCGCTCGGGCCGCACGAGGCTCCTTTTGCGCTGAAATGGCGACTCGGCGGCTTGCGCTTCTGCGGATGTGGGCGACAACGGGGTTCTCTCTATTTCCGGATTAGGAGACGCAATAGTCTCGGCGAAAGAAGATGCTGAGGGCCCACGTTGATGAAGTGACTGCGCGCCGCCGACTGGGGCATAGCTGCCAGCCTCGATATCGGCCGGGCGGTGTTGCTGTTGCCGCCGTGATTGCGACGGCCGGTAGCTATGCCGTTCTTCGTAGGAGGGCTTCGCGCCCGGTCTCTGCGGTAGCGACATGGCCCTGGAAACCGTCTCGTGTGAGCAATCCTGTCTTGTTACGGGCTGGGGTTGGCCGCGGAGTTGGGATGTTTATGGCCTCTCTGTAAGCGGCCGGCCAAGGAAGGGACCTTACTTACCAGGGACCGTTGTCTATAGCCGCCCCGAAGACACGCGGTCGCGAGGATGGGGGGAGGTAAGAGGTTCGGGACGGTGGTGTTCGAAGGGCGCGACCGATCCAATCACTTCATCGGGAGGTCAAGAACACAAGGACGATGGCTGCGCTGGCGGCGAGCCTGAAGATCACCCTAGGAGGTAGAAGGAGCGTTTGGCCCAAAGAATAATAGGATGAGATCGGATGGAGCAACGCGAGAATATTGGCGGCCCTTGCAGGCTGCTGCCCAGTTGTAGATGGTGTGTGTTGTTGGTGTGGAGGTGGTCGGTCGGTTGCTGGGCGCTGTGGATGGGCGGGGAGGATCCAGCAGGTCTCTCAGGAGACGGGCGGAGCGGGATGGTGGACCACTCAGAGGCAGTCAGCGCGCGCCTGCCGGTTGCTGGCCACCCAAAAAAAATTGCTTTGAGCTGTGGTCGCTCCTGACCAAGATGGAAATGCAAGCTAAGCCAAGAACAGGAACCGCACTCTCATGCTTCCAAGTTCCAACCTAGGTATTCCCGAGGCGCTCCAATGCTCCGTGTCGAAGCTTCCTAAACAACGAAGTTTCCAGTTCTGTGCGGACGCAAGTCGCAAAACGTTGCGCGGCGGTGCAGCGGCACAGGATGTTCCTGCCCAAGGCCCAGGATCGGTGTGAATAAATAAGTCGTCCCCAGTGCCAGGCAGGCCCGGGTGTGTCGGGTCCTAGATTCGACAAGTCTTTGCAACAAGTTAAAACTGCCGGGCGCAGGAAGGCGGCTGAGGGCGAGGGCGCCCGAGGCGGCACGGAATTTAGCAGTGGTTTCAAGGGCAACGGGCCATCGAAAGTTGATCGATCTGGCACGATCCCGTTTCTTGCTTCCCGTTTCCTTGGCTTGATGCACCGGACGGCGGAAACTAAACTCGGGCTGACTCTGGTCTGGTCTGGTCCGGTTGAGCCAGGAGAGTAAGGGATGAAACGAACGAGAGAGGTCGGAATAAGTGATAGAAGGAAGTTGCAACACCCGGCGACGAGAAAGCGCTTCGAGGAGGGATGAAATCGTCGTTGACGATCTCGGACCTGTGTGCATCTCCTTGTCGCCGCACAGATTCAGGGGTAGAGCACACCATGCCGCCGGCCCCTGCGGCCTGTTCTTCATAAATTGATGAGGTAACTCACTCCACCCCATCACTCCAGACGGAGAATGAAAGGGTTAGGGTTGAATGTACACTACTCTGTACATACGGTGTAAACAAAGAACAGCAAATGTTTCTCGTGTGTCATGGCGTTTACCAGCCCACAGCGTCATCTCATACCAAACAGCACTCCTTTGCCCCGAGGCTTTTCAAGTTCCTATGTTTTCTCGCCACAAGTTACCTCAAAGTTTTAGGCGATACAACCGTCTGCAGGCTTCTCTGCAGGAAACTTTTGGTGTCTGTCGTTTCGAGAAGGGGCAAACCTCGTATCGGCTAGCGCCAGTTTGATTGCGAACAGAGCGGCGCCAAGACCCGCGTGGTTGGCCACTCGTCAAAATTCGATTTCGATCCGCATTGGGGAACCCCACCCATTGAGCACCTGGCGGCATCCTGCACTCCTGCAGGGTCATTTTTCGCCTGGGCCCACGGGTCAAACGGGACGGGCCCTTGATGAAATCGGGGAGTGACATCAGCGCGGTTTTGTGCAGACCCTGGCTTGCCTGGCGCCTCGCTGGCTCGTGAGATTTTTTAACGTTCCTGCATCCAAGACGCCACGCGCTTTTTTCGATGCACGAACCCGATCCCACCAGATCGGTTCCTGTGATTTGGGCTGGCCGTTTTGCTCGTTAGCTTGCACCTTTGGCTCGGGTTTGACCAGCCAGCTGTCGATGCCAGAGAAGGAACCGGGGGAGTGGAATACCGTCCAGGTTTCGTGGGGTAAATACTTCAATGAAATTCAGGGTTCCTCAATTTCACCCAAACGGGACTGTATCATGTCAACAGGAGCACATTTCCGGACCATGCACTTTTCCTATGAGACACGCGCTTCCTCTCTTGGCTGTGCTGAGCCACGTGCACCGGCCTAAGGCGACAACATATTCTCAGCAGCCTTCTTTCTAAAACAAAATTCAACTGAGGCGTCGGTGTTTCGTTCCGAGTTCCTGGTAAATAAAGTAATACGCGATAGTGCGGCCATTCAGGGAGTCGAGCCTTCTCGTGTCGAGCCACATCTCTTCACGAGGCCGCTAGCCCAGTCGTTCTTTGGAGTAAAGACAAACGCGAACCTCGATAGATTCCCAAAACCGGACCCGACGTCTGGAGATCGTTGATCAGCGCCGTGACCGCCGAGTGCTTTCCGAACATCCACCTAACGAGTTGTATTGAGTGGGGTATATGTCATGACCGCTTCTTCGACGGGAGTTAGTGTACACGTGGAAAAGTTATTGTGTAGAGGGGTTATTGGTAAGTTATTGGGCGTGCGGCTCTGAAGGATGTCGTCAGCGCCTGAAAAGCGAGAACACGCCGCCTTTGCCGTCATCCTGTGGGACAATTCGTACGTCGTGTTGCTGCTTGAACCTCACGAAAGTCTGTGACGAGTGTGGCTGAATGTCCACCAGTCTCTGGCTGGCGAACAACCCGTGGGAAGCTCCATTGTTCGAGCAGGCGCCATGTGTCGCCATAAGGAAACGCCGAAACATGGAAAGGAGATCTTGACACAATATCTCTCCTCTGTTTCGGTCCTTCTCACCGTTCCTTAGGCCACCATGTTCGCTGTGTATGTACGACTGTGATGGGCAACCCTGTGATGAGTGCCGCGGCCGCTGCATTACTATACACAACACCTTGAGATCCCGTCGCTGAGGGGACGCCCACGACATTCTTGTGCAACATAACGTTACTGGTAGTCTACGAGTCAACTTAGGTACCGAGAACCCGGTGAAGTCCCGGCGATCTGCGTTTGGCGGTGGGGCCGTCGAGAAACAGTCCGAAAGTTGGCAGAGTCGGTCTCGGTCGGAAGGCACGCCGAGTCACCCGGTGTTGGACCCTGAATGATCTGGTCTGGTCTCTGCTGCGTGGTTCAGAAGCTGACCATTTTCGTTCGTTCTGTCGTCAATCGGCTGCTCCGCCAAGTGAGAAACACCGTCTCGGTGCCTGGAAGGAAAAAGGCGTGCTGGCGGCGCTGAAACTGGCCAACCACTAGGCCTACGCCGCGCCATGGGAGCGGACCTTGATGGGAAGCTTGGCATGTTGAAAAGAAGCGCAGTTGGTGCGTCAAGTGGTGAGCTGCGGCGGACACACAAGCAGACCAGGGGGGAGGCCCGAAAGGCGAGGCGCTCCCTCGATGTTCGACTTGTTCGGCGAGAACAGGTAACCAGTTATTACGTAGCAGAGACACAATCAGGATTGGTTGTCGCTGACATGCCCCAAGAAAGGCGTTTCAACGGGTCTCTTGTCGTCAAAAGGATCATTCCGCACTGCGTGTTTGTGCCGTTCTCGCAAAGGTTTTTGAACCTCGCTCCCAAAGCTTCTCATGTAAGGAAGCCGGACTTGGCTTCTAAAAACGGCCAGCAGCGCTCCCGCCCATCGAGCCCACTTGTCGGGACCAGCCAATCTCATGATGGATGGGATGTACTATGGTATTATGGGTACTGGACTGTGTGGTACATGGCCCACACGAAGACAAGCGACACAGCCGACATCCGAGAAACCGGCAGCAAAGAAGCGCGGGAACTGCAACGACGAGCACTCGTTACTGCGGTCCGGTTCGTATGGACTCGAATGCCGTCAGGAGTACGAGGTTGCTCCGGTTTGGGTTGGACGGGTCTGGGCGTGAGACACGAAAAATTCGATTTTTTTCCGACCGCCGACCTCTAGTGCAGCCACCTGAGCGAGAGGATGCTGCGTTTCCGTCCGTGCTAGTTTCATTGGCACTGGTTCACTGAGTGACCGAGCCAAGTTTGATCGCGCATGCTGCTGAGCGCAGCCTTCCCCCGAATTGCGCGATGGGATCGCTGCAAGAGGCTGGCTGTGAGGACGGCCACGCAGGCGATGGTCTTCTGCTCTGCAGGGCAATGGAACGACTCCATTGAGTCAATTGGGCTGCCCGGAATGCGGGCAATACGGACAACGCACAGCCGTCCACTTCTACGTAGAGCTCTCCGGGTGAGAAGAAAGAATCATCCAAAATAACAACAGGGGCGGTTGAAGAATCGCTGGGTCTGCGGAGTCCTCTGAGAGGCCGGGCATCCGGGTCTGGGGAACCTGGGGGTGCAGAAATCGGCAATCTTGAAGGTACCATTGAAGACAGCATTCCTGACATTCGCACCGACGAAAAACAATTCATCAAGGAGGGGCAGCGTTTTTGAAAGCAAAATTCCCCGGCAGCCCGGACAGGGGGGCGACCGGCCAGTGGGATAAATGATTTCTGTGTTCCTCGCTGGGCCAGTTTTTTTAGTGCTGCCACCCCGGGCGCTCATACGAGTAACGTTAGCAGGCGGCTCATTCACGTTAGCTAGCACCTCGAGTTCGGGGTAGCGATTTGCACCGCCTGTCCGTCGTCCTTTTGTCGCAAATCGCGCTGAGGTGCAGCAGGCTGGGGTCGCTCGCCCACGCTCCCCATCCAACAGCCGCCCTCTGCCAGCCGACGCAGCCTGGCACCTGGCACTCGGGCAGCCCACCCCAAAGACCTTGGTTCCTCTCGCCGATCCATCTCCAGCGCTGTTGTGGAACACAGCGACCATCTCCTCTTTCTTTTCCCCTGTACGGTGTGTGTGTATCGCCCACCTCCACCACAGCAAGACCCAACTTAATTCCCTCCCCGGCATCTTGACGGGACCCTAACGCTCGCTGATTCATTGTTGTTTCGTTTTTTGTTTTTCATTTCTTGCAACATCCCATCCCCCGCCGTGACTGTGGCCGCTCGTTCGCGCCGTCCGACAACAACACATATCCTCGTCGACTGCTTTCTCAGTTCGTTGCTCGCTCGCCTGTCTGCCGCCCGCACCGGACTGCAGCTTCCCTGCTCCGCGCATTCCACGGGCTCAGACACCCACCGCCAGTCGTGAAATCGATCCTGCGCAGTTCCAAAAGCGCATCCCCGTCCTGGGCTGTCTTGCCCGTCTCGCATTGCCGTCTTCCGCAGATGCACGCGCTAGAAGGCAACAGCAACCGAACGCAATAACCTTCGTCCCAACCACCACGGCCGAGAGACACCTCACAAGGTTGGGCACCCCTTGAACGAAACATACATTTACGCCCACAGGGCTCACGATCGCTACCCCCGCCAGGATTTCGGCGAAGACCCTCCTCTCTCCCATCCTCGCTCAACCGACGCCACCTTCCGAGCCGTCCGCAATGGCGGCCGTCGGCTCTCCCCCGGCCTCGGCACCTGGCTCGCCGACTAGCCCCCGTCGGAAACCTGTCGCTGGGTCCCATGGCTTGGCCCCTATCGAACGGTACGACTGGAACGAGAACGTAAAACCTCTCCCTGGTGTCCCTGGTGCTGCACCCTTGTCTGAATCGCCAAGGTTGCGTCAGTCTCCGGTGTCGCCCGTCAAGGTTAACTTTCAGTCCGACGACTTCCCTCGTCCCTCCACCGGGAACATCGAGACGCATCTTCCTCCCGCCCACTCCGCACCGGCCACGGCTCTCGATCGTGCCCTTCCCAAGACTCCCGATGCTCCAACCCCACCTCCACACACTCCTCTATACCCATCAGAGAACGGCACCCTGCATCAAGCCTCAGCTCTGAACGGCCTGGGCCTGCGGCCTGCCTCGGACGGCGCCCACAAGTCTTCCACATCTTCTACCACCGCCAACGCGCTGAATCCGAAGTTCAACCAGCTGAGCATGGACGAGCAGGTGCAGAAGGCGGCGGGCGAGAATCGAAATAGCCGAGAGTCCAACGTCACTGCCAACAGCTCGCGGCAGCAGACCTCAGCCGAGTCTTCCGCGACAACAAGTGCTAGCTCGGTCTCTGGCATCCTCGATACATCAGACAACCAGGACTACTCGGCCGATGCCTCGGCTGAGAGCTCTGTGATCGATGACCCCGCCCTCCGGCCCGAGCCTGTCCCTCCGCTGCAATACCATCACTCGGCCTTCCTCCAACGCCCCGCAAGTGTTGCTGTGGTGCACGACCCACGGGCCCAGTCCAACCCAAATCTATCTGAGGGAGATCCCATGATCAACCGCCATTTGACACCTACTGCCAACTTCAACAGACGGAGCTCACTACCACGGCCGCAATCAGCGTACTCGGTGTACTCCGACTTTGGCCCGCGGGGCCGTTCTCCTGGCTACCTGGGTGGTTCGCAGGTCCGGACGCCGTCAACTCACTCGAGGAAATCTCCGGAAGCGCGGCACTCGACGTTTGGAGAGCTGCTCAATGTGCCGTACCCGCAGCCCGCCCCGGCACCCATCACCTTTGATAATTCACAACTGAGATCCGTCGTCGGCAACAATGCATCCCTGCTCAGCGCCGAAAAGACGTTGGAAATGTACCGGCAAAACGTAAAGAAGACAAACGACTTCTCCATTCTGTACTCCTTCGCCGTCTTCCTCATCGCCACAGCCCAGGAACAAGGCCTAGATCTCTCAGACTCCAAGAGGACCAAGAGCCCAAAGCCTGCCGCCGGTGAGGCCCCTCCGTCCTCTCCCAACGACCTAGTCCGGGAGGCTCGCGCCATCCTCCAGAAGCTATCCAACAATGGCTATCCTTTTGCGCAATACTACCTCGCGGATGGTTATGCCTCTGGCTTGTTCAGCAAGGGGAAGGAAGACTATAACTCGGCGTTTCCCCTGTTTGTCATTGCCGCCAAGCATGGCCACGCCGAGTCGGCATACCGTACCGCCTTGTGCTACGAATTTGCTTGGGGATGCCGCAAGGACCCCGCCAAAGCCGTGCAGTTCCTTCGTACCGCCGCAGCCAAGAGGCATCCGGGTGCCATGACAAGGCTGGGAAAGGCGTGCTTGTCAGGCGACCTAGGCGAGAAGCGTTACCGGGAGGGTGTCAAGTGGCTGAAACTGGCCTCCGAATCCGCCGATGCCGTATACAATTCGGCTCCTTACCACCTCGGATGCCTGTATGAGACGGGATACGGCGACGATGTTTTCCTGGACGAGAGCTACGCCGCCGAACTCTTCACTCAGGCCGCTGACCTCGGCCATCCTGAGGCAAATTACAGGATGGGCGATGCCTACGAACACGGCAAGCTCAGCTGCCCTAGAGATCCGGCCCTGAGTGTTCACTTTTACACGGGCGCAGCGGAACGTGGCCATGCCCCGGCTATGATGGGTCTCTGTGCTTGGTATATGGTCGGTGCCGAGCCCGTCTTGGAGAAGGACGAAGAGGAAGCCTATGAATGGGCGCGGAAGTCTGCCGAGCTAGGTAAGCCTTTTTGGCTATCCACGCTACATGAAGCCCTTGACTGACAGTTTGTCTCCCACGTAGGCCACGTCAAAGCACAGTATGCCGTTGGGTACTTCACCGAGATGGGCATTGGATGCCGAAGAGACATTCTCGAGGCGAACGTGTGGTATGTCAAGGCCGCCGATGCCGGTGACGACCGTGCAAAACAGAGGCTCGCCGCCATCCGTGCCGCCATAAGTGGGGGAACACCGATGGAAGTTGCGCCGCCCCGAAATGCTAAGGTCAAGAAGGGCGGCGGGGAGGGTGATTCTAAGGAGTGCATCATAATGTGAGATGACGCTTTTTAGGGGGGAGGTTACTGCGAGGAGAAAGGGGAAGATGGGGGAGTCTAAAGATACAGTACAAAAGGGCGGGTCCGTCAGCCGTTGGGCTTGGAAAAGAGGGTGCTTGTTGGGTCTTCGGATTGGGTAATGGTTTAATACAGCATCATACTGCGCCCCCTTTTGAGAGGTAGGCTCGGGCGCATCACCACGGCCATCTGGTTTTTACTTCTTTTGGTGGATCAAATGGGGACGGAGCCGATGATCAAAAATGAGGTGTTTCCTAGGTACCTAGGAATTCCTATTCTTTTTTCACGCTTGAGGCAGACTTTTTGGATAACCTTGACGGTGGCCTTTTCGAAGCATTTTCCCCGTATTGCTTGCTTGCGCGCGACCTGGGTTTTTGAAGCACAGAGGTGAACGGGTGAAGGCCTTGCTAAAAGGGGTCTTCAACTTTACTTCCTTTGCCCATTACCTATCCCGGGGTTTTCATTGTTTTTCTTTTTTTTCGTGTTTCCCTTTTTCGAGGACATACATCATTTTTTCTGCATAAGCATCTTTTTAGGACCTACATAGTAGAGGAGGTAAGGCGGAAAAGAAGAGACAGAACAAACAATACCCACCACTAACCCATCGGGCATTGGCTTTCACCCTTTTGCCGCTCCCGTCCCTCAACCAGTATTGGCGTGTTGCATGTGTGGCTTCTAGGATTTTTCCCGGGTGCTATGCTATGATACATACGTATGTGATCTCGGTGGTGCAAAAACCGGCAACGGAGTGGGTTAGCTAGATGCCTGTTATGAAAGACGTTGGCCCATTACCCCGTCCGGAGCTCCGACAGGCAAAAATCTGATTAAGGAAAACAACAAGCCCATTGCTAATTGTTAACACTCAGTGAGCTATAGTACATAGAGGCAATAAATATATACAGAGACCAACGAGATGGACACAACACCCATGGGCCGTAGCCTCTCTCGTGCTTTCCATAAAACCAACCGAGCAGAAAGAGAAGGAGATTAAAACGAGGTTAACACGCAGAATAGATCGCTCAAAGAAAGGTACCAGTATAGTCCAACGCCACGCTCATGCCCGTCTACACAACACGACGCCAAACATCCTAATCACCGTCTAGCTTCGTCCTCGCTGATTTGTATCCCGGTCTATTCCACCAATATTCCTTTTTCCCTCTCCAGCATCCTCAAAGTGGTCCGTGGTTTCCGCCCCTAAGTTGTTCCAATGCTTGGTGGCCGGCTCTGTCGAAGCTGGCCTAATTAACGCCAGCTCCGCCTCCGCATTCCTCCCTACTTTTCCTAGCCAGCCTCCCCTCACAGATCCCTCAGCTTACGCGTCGTCCATGCGGCCATCAGTGAGCTAATGGCGCCCAAGAACATGCACACGGCGATGGCGTTGGGGCCGGAAGGGTCGCTTGTCTCGCTGGGGTGGGCCTCGGTGGCCAGCTCAGGGCTCTTGCCGGGCTCGAGCAGGGAGAAGACGGCGCCGCTCATGACAGTGCTGAGGAATTGCGGGATGGTAATGTAGATGTTGAGGATGCCAAAGTAGATACCGCTGAGCTCGCCGGTGGAGGATGTGGGGGCGTGGTCGCTCCCGTTTGCTGCTGGGCGGCCAGCTTCGAGGCTTGCGGGACCGTGTTCGAGGCTGAGCATCTCAATGCCGCTGCTGTCGTTGGAGAGGCGGCGGTAAGAGGCCGGCGGGATGGTCCTGCCATTGACACCGGCAGCGGATGGTTCCGCGGAGCCGCTGAGCTTATTGACCTCCACTCCGAGGAACGTCACGGGCGCCCACTGGGAGACGCACCAGGGGATGCCACAGAAAGCGACGATCACGGTGGCCAGGCGGAAAGAGGTGGCGAAGGGTGTGAAAAACATGGTCAGAGAAAAGACGACACTGCTGACAATCCAGGCAGTGAGCAGGTCAGGCTTGACCTTGTTAAAGGTTTCAATAAAAGGGGCGAGGCTGGCAGGCGGACGGTGCGTGAATGTATCATCTTCGGGGGCCTGAATTAAGGCTGGTAGAATCCATGCACTGATGAACGCAACGGTTGAGTACACCGTCAGGGCCATGCTGCCAATACGGCCCATGTCACCCAGGGCATCTTTCGAATCTCTGGCATTAGCGGCCACATCGTAGCGAAAGTACGTCTCGCCAACCCAGGTACTGCTGTAAATGATGAACGGGAACCAGCCGATCCAAGACCAGAACACCGCGTTGCAGATGCCGCGGATACGAGGCGGGAGCGTCAGGAGGGTGGAATAGATCTGGCGGACGACCTTGAACCGGCCTTGGGCCCGGCGAGGGTCGTGGCGCACCGAAATGAGGACACGCTCAGTAACCGCCCAACATGTGATGGCTGAAGTGAGCAACATGCCCAAGGCTGCGACAACGGTGAGTTGTTTGAACTGGCTGTCCCCGAGTCTCGGTCCAAATATTTGCACGAGGTCGAGTGCTCCCATGGCATACCCGATAATGTGGCCGAGCGAGTTCATGCGGCTCCCTGCGAAGAGTATCAGTATGAAGAGTTGAGTGGCTTTCTTGCAGACCTACCCCAAGCAGCGCCCGTCTGCTGTTTATGGATAGGCAACGTGTCTACAACTAAACTTCTCGCGCAGGACATGACTGAGTATTGTCGTTAGCACAGGGCCAGGGCCAGCACACGGGATTGGCAGCCTCTCACCTGCGTTGATGGAGAAGTCAACACAATAAAGCGACAACACAGCAGTCATGATGGTCAACACCTTGACTGTGTAAGGATCCGACACAAACGACGTAACAATCTCTTTTGTAAACCCGAGGGCTAATAGGCTGAGGGCCACAATCACCGACCCAATGGCAATGATGGGCCGTCTCCTACCCCATTTTGACGTCGATTCGTCCGCAATTACCCCTATTATGGGCTGGACGATCAAGCCCGATAAGGGGCCGGCAACCCAGACTAGCGATGTCTGCGACTTCGACAGCCCGAGTGACAGAAGATACGGTGTGCAGTCTGCGGCGGTAGGTTAGCGCAAGATCTAAATTGCCGGTGGGAATGCTCATTACATGTCATCTCAACACCCCAGGTGAAGCTACAGCAGATAACGAATCAGCAATGCCGTACTTCGTAGCGACGCAATCCGCGTGTACGAACGTAATTCCAATGGAGACGCAGGTCAAGAGCACCATGCGCACTGTCTCCGAGCTCCCCTCCACCCTTGGCTGGCCAGCCCAAGTCGACATCTTGGCAGGGTCGTGTTGTTCGTCGTAGTCCGTCTCCGAGCCGTCGTTGTTCCCGGGATCGTTTTCAAGCCGAGTTTCAGTATCCGAATCGTCTGCTTCGCGACCATATATCCCCACCGCTTCTTCGGATGTCAGCGTCCCTGTGCTCCGGGTCCAGGCTTGGGTTCCTGGCGCCTCGTCGGTTAAGCGATCGTGTGGTTCGTTCAGGTGGTCCGGACTCGGCGTCGCAAGCCTCGAAGCTCGTACGACCGGATGTGATCTCGTCTCTATGCCGTCTGCCATGATTACTAAGTTAGTCATGTCGTCCACTCAAACTTATTTAGTTAATCTTGATCTATTTTGGCACTAGGATCCGGAAATCACAGAGAGCTCCGGGATAGCAGCATCGCTGGTTTGGTTGTCGAAAGAGAAACACAACGGAGCATCAACCTCTTACCATATTAAGACAACGATGGGAGCGCTAGCTCAAACAGTGGCATCGTACAAGGCCGGGAACAGGAACGCACAAACGTGATCACCGCAGAAGGGTTGGGTTTCGCTGGTGACCGGAGGGTGGCTGATTGCGATTTGCGATTTAGCGATTTCGGCTTGAGAATAAAACAAGGCAATTGTTGCCGTGAAATCGACAACAAGCGGCTGAATCGTGCAATGAGCGACAATAAATCAAAAACAAAACACCGGAACGCCCAGAAAGCGAGTGGAGGAAGCAAACGACTACAGCAGGGCAATTGTTGAAACTGAGGTGAAAACGGCAGCTGGCCTGAGATGTGCATCGCTGTTATCTACCCTTTTTGGTGGGCCATCGTATCAGTGACAGCTCGCCAAGCCAGCTCTGACAGGCCCCACTGCATGGAAATAGGGGGTACCCCTCGACGTCACTGTCTTGGTATGTATCTGCGCACCACAGCCCTGGCGGTGTCAAATGTGTCGCTTCAGCGCTGTAGTTTGACGTGCCTGTTAAACACTGCTCTAAAGGACATAAGCAAATTCATATTTAAAATTGTGCAGTGGATAGCATCTACGTAGACACCTTACACCCTGTCCGTTTCACGGTTTCCATGTTGCGGCCCGGTCCGTTATATTGGAAAGGTTGGATTTATGTCATCTATACTTTGTAGTTATACTTGAAATGGAAGGGATGTTTCGAACGGCACCGGATCGCAAAGAACCCCTGCAGGTGGCCGGCCGCCTCTGGTCGGTACCTGATGTACCTAGGACTCTTTAGTTGAAAGCATGGCTTTGGAGCTTCCTCATTCAGACAGCCATGCACTCCTTTTCATGCCTGTTTCTGGCCACCTACCGACCTTCGTAATACCTACCTATATATCCCTGATCCTATGGGCCGCAAGTCAAAGTTTACGAGAAACAACTCCCATCGAAACATAGGTAGGTATCATGATCGGATCGCAGAACCCGCTTCCTACCTAGTACCCTGAAAGGTGCCGCCCGAGTCTGCCCCACCATAGTGACGCGGGGCACCATTGACGGGGCTCCGATCTAGGAACGTGGGCTGAAGTCAAAAATTCGACCCTATGACTCGACAGCGCAACCCAAAGCAATACGGCAAAAGAGAGCTCCTGTAACCACAAGCTCCTCTCCATCTTGAGCTAATATCCCTCAATTGGACCTCCGCGAATAGCTGTACGTGTTTGAGAGTGCGTGGGGGAAGGAAGCGACAAAATTTGCCTTTCTCCCCTTGCGCAAAACTACCCCGCCATCACCCTCGAGGCTGCCTTCACTCCGGACATGCCGCGCAGTGTCGCAATGCATCGCGCACATAAAACACCTTAGGTCACTGACAATATCCAACCTAGGAACGGCCCTTCCTCCAGCTCGTTTGCGATATACCCACCTCCACCCCCCTGACGACTTCATCCCGCGGCACATCACTGGCCCGCTATGGATCTGGTCAACAGGTAAGGACCTGCTCCCACACCCGCAACTCTATATCCTCTAAACCCTCCCGCTGTTCGGAGCGGGCCCCCTGTTTCTGTCATGTCTCCTTAGCCCTGCATTGTCTTTGTCTTAGTCGCAGAAGCAGTCGCAGTAGCTTCTCCTCAACATGGCTCATGAGCTAATTGCCATTCAAAGCCTAGAAGGCAGACTGCTCTTCGCAGTCCCCAAGAGTGCGTCCCACCCGCGACAGACCTCACCCAGGCTCTTCTCCTCCATTCGGCCTCTCACATACTGACACCTCCAATCTCAAGAGGGCCGCCTTCTCCAGGCCGCTCTAAACCTCCTTGAGGGTGCCGACATCCAGTTCAAGCGCGAGAACCGTCTCGATATTGCTCTCGTCAAGAACCTGCCCATTGCGCTCGTGTTCCTTCCCGCTGCCGATATCCCAACCTTTGTGGGCGAGGGTCGTGTCGATCTCGGTATCACGGGCTATGACCAGGTTCAGGAGCACGACGCCGGAACCCGGGCGCTCGCACGCCTCCGCCGCTTGAGTAACGATTGGGACTCCAGTAGGGCTCCCAACAAGCCGCAGGGCTGTGAGACTGTCCTAGACCTCGGCTTCGGCGCCTGCCGTCTGCAAGTTCAGGTACCCGCCAAAGGCCAATACGTGGAAAGAAAGGACTTGATCGGGAAGAACGTCGGTACCAGCTTTGTCCACCTTGCGCGCGAGTACTTTGCGCGCCTCGAGATGGAGCAGGAGGGCATCCAGGACACGACCAAGGTGGAAGGCAGGAAACTCCGGACTAAGATCATCGAGCTCAGCGGGAGTGTGGAGGCGGCTTGTGCGCTAGGCGTCGCAGACGGGATTGTTGATTTGGTTGGTGAGTCGGCCCCTGATACCTTTTCTCCTATGTTTTCCGACTAACACGCACTCCCTAGAATCTGGTGAGACGATGAAAGCCGCGGGCCTCAAGGCAATTGACACCGTGGTTGAGACATCCGCCATCTTGATCAAGTCCAAGGCCCCCAGCGACCCAGCCCTGGTCGACCTGATTGCGTCCCGCATTCGCGGCGTCATCACCGCCCAACGGTTCGTGCTCTGCCAGTACAATGTGCCGCGTGCCAAACTAGCCGCGGCCACCGAGATCACCCCGGGTAAGCGCGCTGCGACCGTTACCGCGCTCGACGAGGAAGGCTGGGTAGCCGTGAGTGTCATGGTAGAGAAGAAGCGTATCGCGGTCGTCATGGATGATTTGGTGCAGGTCGGCGCAGAGGATATTTTGGTGCTAGATATTCACAACACTAGGAGTAACTAGTCGATCAGAAGCATTTAGAGCATGGGTTTCTTTTGGGATAGAGAAAATATGAAAAAAAAAGCCGAACATGCAAAACATCATGACTATATCTTGGACTTTTCGGGCGGCGCAAATCTACGTCTCTCTTGCGTACAACTTGCAAACTACTCAAGACGGAACAGCTGCCTCAGGTATAATTGATTCACCTATCCATCTAACTAACCAGCTTAGTATTTAGTCTCGCCGCGCCACTATCAACCCCCTGGAGCGCAGGCTGGCGTTGTACCAAATATGGCCCGTATCCTGTCCCCCTGAATATATTCTCATTCCTCTGCCCTATACGGATATTCTCAGCCTTAGAATTTTGGCACGGTCCCGGATAAGCTAGACCCGCCCCTAAGTCGGGTGTCGAGATCCAGCAAAAAACAAAGCGAAAAAGGGCAAAGCAGGAAAGTAATATGACAAAAGACGTGAGTCTGGTTCAAGTTTCTTCTTCCATTCCCGCATCTCACAAGGAGAGCTCCAAGCCCAGCCTGAAGATGTGCGATCACGGACCAATTAACCAAGTAGATACACAGAACAGTACAAAGGTTAGACAAAACAGCACAGGAACCCTTAGACAACGGGACGCCGATTTCACCAACGAAAAGAATAAAACAGAAGACCTCCCCATTATTAATTTGACCCAATTAATAAATCGGTCGACCCTCCTCCCACTTCCGGTGAACCGCTCTACGGGGCTCTCCCACTGCCTCCGGCAATAACTTCCGGTCCTCCTCTTCCACCTCCCCTTTCACGCCCGGGCCCCACGAGACACGGGCACTCTTGCGGTGGCGGGAGGTCGGCCGATCGTTACCTGCGCCACCAGTCCCGGCACCAGCGATTCGGCTAGGCCCAATCCACTCCCACGCCCTGCCAACCTCGCCATTCCGACCCTCACGTTGGCCGGTACGGACGTTGCTGTTCTGTTCAACGACGGCGCGGACACGCTGCCAGAGACGCTCGCGGTCGGCAAGGCTGTGGAGGGCACGAAGCACGTCATCACGCAGATTAGGGAGGAACAAGAAGGCGTCCTCGTCGCCACCTTCAAAGGCGATCTCCTTCTGGTTGGCGAGGCGCTCGAGGACTTCGTCCACGAGGGCAGGAATCTGCGCCGATAGGGCGCGGTTGTGTATGAAGCGACGACGACCGTACATAACGGACAGCACGGCGAAGATTAGTCCACCAATGCTGAGTCGATGTCGAGCCACTCCGAGCTTGACCGACCGCCGGAGCGCGCAGGTGTACGAAAGGCTAGCGAGAGAGGACGACGATAGTTTGGCGCTTGGAAAGGTAGAGGCACCTCCGGTTCTGTTGGTCCGGCGACGGGTCTGGTTAGTGTCATGGTCAGAAAAACTGTTTTGTGACATATGCCGGTATTGATGAAATGATGGACCGTACAGGGGAGCATGGGGTCGGATAAAACTAAATACTTACGCTGGCGCCTTGATCTCCTCCTGCTGAACTTCTACTTCCTCCCTCGCCTTGACCTCTCCGATCGCGGCGGACCAGAGTTCGTCAAACTCATCGGCGCCCATTCTCTTGCTGCGCTTTTTGTTCAGGATCTCCTTCAACTCCTGCTCATCCATCGCAGGGCTGTCAAGGGGTTCGCCTTCGGGCTCGAGGGGCTCACCACACTCGTACTTGGCGCGTCGGTCTCGGAGCTCCTCCACAGCCTTGTCGGCAACGGCCTGCACCCGTCGGACTTTCTCGCCATCTGGCTCACACGTCGGCGGGAGAGGGACGAGGCCGCCCAGTGAAAGCGGATGGGGCTTCAGGATAAAGTCGGGCTCACAGCGAGCCGTGAAATCCTCGTAGCAGTAAGCGTGCGGCGGGCAAGGTTCGCACTGGACCTCGAGAACGTTGATGAAGGCGTCTGGGACCTGGATGCTCTGGATGTCTTGAAGAAAATCAAACCTGGAGGCCAATTCAACGGCCCACTCGGGGAGCTGAACGTTTGCCGGAATGAGCTGGGTTGGTTGGCGACCAAGGCCACAATAACCAACTGCGAGTTTTTCTTGCCTATACCATGCCGCATAAGCAACGAAGAGAGTTGTCACAAGCACCCAAATCGGGGTTGCAAGACTCGACCTGCGTTTTTTGGTGTCCGGTGTAGCCCTTCTAGCTAGAGCAATTTCCGGGTGAGCAGCCTCTTCCTGCGTCAACGCGAGTTGCTCGTCTGGCGTGAATTCCTCGTCGGCCTCGACAACGGGGGTTTGAGGCCCAGCCGTCCAGGTCTGCGCGAGGGGGGGTTGATAATCTAGGGCAGTGTCCGCAGTAGACTCCTCGGCATCGTTGTAGATATGGTGATCGGTCCTTCGGCGAGCGGTTGATGGCGTTTGTTTCAAAACGGACTCTAGCCCAGCGGTCCTTCGGCGGTTGGAGGGTGTCTTTAAAGGAGACGCCGGGGTGTTGGCACCACTCTGGAAGGGGTTTTCGCTTGAGAAAACATTGTCCGTCTCGGGTGTGCGCTTGAAGAAACCCTCTTCCTCTGGTGGCTCCAACTTAGGGGCCGGTGTCGCGCGCCGGTCGCGTCTAACAGATCGCAGCTGCTCGTGTTCGGGGGCGGTATCGGTGTCGGACGCGTGCGCCAATTGGGCGCTTGCGGGACGCGACTGTCTTTTGCGGGGACTTTCTCTCACCGGCGCGGGGGTCGCAGGGAGATGGGAAGGTTCCTCGGACTCGCGCTTCACCCGAGTTATTTTCCTGGGCGACCGAGATCGCCTCGCGGAAGGGGGTGGCGGCAAAGGCTCGTCGCTGAAGTCCGCAGCTGTGGAGCTGTGAGAGTCTGCGTCGACGATGCCCCGGCTCGTACGCTTTGCGCGGGCGCGGGTATCCAAGATCTGGCTCGACAATGGCTGGACTTGCTCATTGAAAAGGTCAACAAGCTGTGGCTTCTTCGCCTGCGATGGGTAGTGGATGTTATGGGTGACGAGGATGGAGCGCAAGCGGGGAACGGTCAGCGACCATGGGTCGAAGTCCGGCTGCAGGTAGTCGGCACTCTCCGAGTCCGACATGGCGAAGCCTTTGGTAGAGTAGCGGTAGCAAAAATATCGAGGAGACGGATGGATAACGACGCGTGAGGTTTGAGTGCAGTTACAGCAATGTCAAGCGCAAAAGAGAGCTTATCGCCGGTGGTCTAAGGGCGAGGAGGCCAGGGCGCAAATTGTTTGAGGCAAACAGCTGTGAATTTCAGAAGATGCGGTCGCGGATCACCCTTGTCCGTTATGTGAAACGTGCGGAGCCAAGCGTCACGTTCGACCGGCCAAATCGATAAGGCGATACAGCGGGGGAGTTGACGAATGGCTGAAAAAAATTGGTGTTGATGTGAACTTGAAATGGATAAGCGCAAATGGACAAAACAAACTGGCAAGACAGATGACGAAAGTGGAGTTACGCTGGTTGCCCAGTGGCAACAAGACATGCCAAGCCACAGTGGCGTGCAGTAAGTTAAACAAATTTCTTGCGCCACACCTCTGCTGTCCGTGTTCGTCCAACGCTGTGAACAACAACGGCTCGAACGGGCACCCAAATGTCGGCACATTGGACAAAAATCTTGTTTTATGTCAGTCCAACAGGTCGCCACTCACATACCCTCACTTCCTCATTCATTGATTTTTTTTCAGCTCTCTTGAGAGGGCGCCGTTTTAGCTATCCCCATTCACGGATGGTCCCATTATCATTTGAGTTCTTTGAAGACTCTTCTATGTTGGAATGTAGTTCTCTTTCAAGCTTCCCTTTCTGTTAACAATCTTTACGCCCATTCCTAATCTTAGCGAGAAACTTCTAGGCAGCCGCCAACCATGGGTAAAGAATTGATCGGAACCTCAGAAGATTGACTAATCAATCGCTGAAAGTTGTAAAGAAGGAAGGGTAGAAATTGAAAGTTCACATCTGGGATGGAACATGGTGTAAACCTACCCCTGGCTTGTTGCAACTGTCGTCTCGGTGCAGCATCATTGTGCGAAACAGCCGGAAGATGCCTATACGACAAGATAGACGGACCTGTACTGAGTGGAATGCCAAGTACAGTGAACAAGAATCCCCTGGAAACATCTATGCTGATGATGAATGAACGCATCAATACAGTGTATCAGCCAGCTGTGTACCATTTCAAAATTTTCTAATTATCACCATCTTGTGGGTATCTTCGGCTAATCCCCTCGTGTATATATGTGGGATGACAAGAAACCTTCCCAGCTTAACCCTCCGTGCCCGCCCCTCGCGGGTGCCGCAGCAATGCACCACCAGTATTAACCGCCCAGTAAGAAGAACAACAAGAAACGCCATGATTCACAAAATCTACTTTTCCGTCCTGACCCATTCACATACATCCTCACGCCGTTAGTCCTCTTCAGCCCTCCAAAAAGTTGCGAGTTCCGCTTCGCCAGCTCCCCCATTGCCCCCCCATGGCACAACTCTTGATTAACCCTCCACCTTGCTGTCCCCAGTTCTCATTTCAAGCTTCTTCTCTGCCTCCTCCGCCCGTCGATTCGCATCCGCCACCTCCTGCTGCAACTGCTTGATATATTCAATTGCCATCTCCACAGTACTGGCCTTACTATTCGGCGCAGAACTGCTATTTGCACCCCCACCGTTACCGCCGTCCTTGCCTTTCTTAGAGTCGCTCACTTCGCTCTCGCTATCCTTCGGCGGCCGAGGTAGTAGTGTCGCAATCTCTTGCAGCGCCGAGTTGATCCTATTCCGACGCCCTTGCTCGGCAATCTTGTGGGACGTGCGTTTCGATGTGAGGTTGGTCGATAGCTCGCTCGGATACGACACACCGGGCAGCGTGTTGCCCTCGAGGATGCGCTGGTAGTTAGATTTGGTGGCGAGTAGGTGTGACGCAGCTTCCTCAACGTCTGGCCCACCCGGAAGAAGTGGTTTGATGCTGGGTGAGATCTTGGGCCGTAGGGCGGGCGAGACAGGAATCGAGCTCACGCTGCCTCGCTTCTTGCTGCCTCTCGGAAGAAGTTGGGGTGTTTTTCGGGCACCGAACCCTGACCCGGCGAGTAGTTGTGGACTTTGGGTCGCTGAGGAGGTAGATGGGGCTTTCGCGAGCGACGGCGAAGGAAGGGGCGCCAGAGAAGGAGTTTTGGATGAGCTAGGCTCCCGAGGTGTTTGCGTTGGCGTGGGGGCATCGCTAGGGGTAGAAGCCTTATTGTTTAGGAAATTTGCTGACTCTGGGAGCTCAAACGTCTCGATCTGCTCTGTGTCGACCACCTCCTGACTGTCGGCCTTCCCACCCGTGTCGCGAGTACTTGGTGAACTCAGCTTCATCAATGAAGCCGGTGTGGCGGGTGATGCGAGACCCGCGCGTGGCGGTTGGAGAGAATTCGGAACTGAGCTCGCCTGCGGGGCCATATACGGCGAGGGTTTGGCAGATCTCGATTTTGGTACTGGGGGTGGGGGCATCTCAGTTGGCGTTGACTCGTTAAGCGCCTCGGGAGAGACCGAATCCTCAGAATCTGTCACCCCGGCCGCGGACTGCGTGTGTTGTTGCATCATGGGCGTGGGGAGAAGCTGAGCGTCTTGTGTTTGTTCCACACTTTCAGCCAGCTCACTTAGTACCTGGGCATTTAGGCTAGGAGTCGTTGTCGTCCGCCTGCGCAGAGGTTTAGAAATCGGCGATTGCTTGACCCCAGACTTCGCTCTCGCTTTTGCCGCGTTCTTTCGCATCTTCTTGGCTAGGTCGCCTGGTGTTGTATTCGGGACTGCGGGGGCCGCCGATGAATCTAGGTCCATCTCGCCGGGCGAATTCGTGGTTGTAACGCTGTGCATCTGATCAAACATGGCTAAGGGGTCGCTCTGCGCATGGAGAGCTGGTGAGGTCAAGGGACTGAAGTAGGCCCCAGAAACCCCGAACTGCGAATCGACCGAGAAGTGTGTATCGAGCGGCGTAACCGCAGGGGACACCAATGGGGTAAACGACATCTGAAGCAAGCATCAGTAAAGCCAAATATCGCCGGTATTTAGACCACTGGGCATTAACGTACGTCCGCCTGGTCCTTGAGTTTCTGGTACCGGTATTCCATAGGCTGCTGGGGTTGTTGCTCTGGTGCACTTGATTGGGGATAATAGTGATTTGTCCCAGCTTGGAGCTCCAGACTTTGTGGCGTTGGGGGGACCATGCGGTTTTGCTGGCGGGTGAAAAAGGCGACCTGTTGTTCCTCGATATGCCTCTGCTGGTGCCGCATCTTTTGCTGTTGGAGAAACTGGATCTGCGCGTCGATGGTATCTACAATGGCTTCGTTTGGGCTAGGAGGTGGCATCATGGTGGTCGGTGTGGTTTGATAAGGCGCAGAACTCGTGATGGAAGGCATATGACGTTGTTGCATGGCCGGAACGGCTGGGGAGAGGAGGATCGGTGCCTCGGTGCCGCTCATAGGAATGTCCATTTGCTCTCTGGGCTGCAGCAGTTGAGGAGCTGGGGACGATTGGAAGTCTTGGAAGCCATAGTTCATCCCATCGGCCAGATTTCCCATCCCGTTCATGTCTAGGAACTGCTGGAAGTCATCTTCGGGCGCGGGGTGGACCGGATGTTCGGCAACCGCCCAATTTGATGAGTCCATAGCAGACATTTTATGGCTTTGGAGGACACTGTGGCGATTCACACCAACTATTGTCTTCACACACACGTGCGGGGCGACCGGCGGGTGGGAAAGCTCGCGCGATTCCGCGAGGAGAGAATATAGTCCTGAAAAAAGAGCCGGTCCCGATGTGTTCTTCTCGTTCAAAAGCCGGCCTGGTGTCTCAGCCGCGGTGAGCTCGAGCAAGAGATGCGCCGTCGGAAGTAGCTTCGTGATTCGCTGGGATCGCAGAAGTTTCGCAAGAGCCCGGGAAGAAAGGGAACGGTCGTCGAGCAATCGAAATCTATCGACGGCGTTATGCGGCTGTTGGTGTTTGTCTAAGAAATCTCCCAGAGTCGGGGACCCTGAGACGAGGTGAAGTCGTAGCGGGCGACAGTGGGGGGACACGCAGATTGAAATCCATGGAAGCCAGCCTTCAAGTGGAAGCAAGACCGCAGCCGTCCGTTTCTGGCCGGCGCTCACAGAGTGGGAGCCCCGCGGCCTGCGCAACCCTTGTGAATTGCACGCTAGCTCCGTTTTGAGCCCCGCTCTCCACTCCACAGGGCCGACGGACAGATTCTTCTCACCAGTTTTGGCAGTTCACACAGAGGCAGACTGGTCCGTTCTACGATGTACGCTAGGTCCCACCGGATTGCTTGAATTCATGCATCTCCGAACACGGCCGCGGACGGGGAAGAAAAGTTTTGTTTCTTGGGATACCCTCGCATGCTTCTTATTGACGTTGGGCAGGTCTCAAGATCAAGAGAGACAGCCAGCCTTTTGAATTTCAGAGGGCCACTCCCGTTTCGACGCAACCCCCGGTTTGGCCACGAGGCTGTTAGTTGTTAGTTCTCAAATCTCGGTGTCTAGGTTTTTATCACGTTTGTGGAACGCAAGAATTCAATCTCGGCGTCGGACTGTGGGAGTCTTGCTTGGCTGGCAGAAGCCGTATTTTGTCAAGGGGTTGTTCCGAACAACGGGGTTGTTTCCATTTTCCCGTTTTTCCTGTCTTCCTTCCTTTTTGGCCCATAAAACACCCCCGCCGTTCACCCAAGGTTCTCCCGTGAACACAGTCTGACGCAATCCGCAGCTCTCCTTCAAGGTGACTCTGTAACTTCTCTCGAACTCTCGAATCAACGATTTTTGCTGGAAAAGTCTCCGGAACCTGAACCTGCATCGTGGATCGCGAACGGGATCGACCTGGAGTGATGCATGGAACGGATGCGAGATGGGAGGCACTGCCTGCAGCAGCCCTTCTCGGCTGCGCATGTGACCCCACTGGTCTTGGGTGGGCCGGTTGACAGATGAAAACCCCACGAAAGGTGGGGGCCAGTTCACACCAGCCGCGGCCAAACTCTTTTCTCAACTCCCACTTGTCGAAACTGTTTGGAGAGATGGTGTACCGGAAAGGGGAACTATCTCGATTCTTACAGCTGATTGGTGAGGCAAATAGAGTCGAAGAAACTGCTGAACGAATGCCTCATCAGCAAACCTCGAAGGGTTGGCTTCAGCTACCCATTTTTACCATTCCATCCCGCCCGTCCAGCACTAACTAAAATTAAATGGATCTGCGTGGATTTGCAGCGCTCTTGGGTTTCGACCTTGTGGCAAGCTTCCCACTCACGCCACTCCTTTTGTTGACCGAGGACGAGGACCAAGAGGGAACCAACGGCGCCGCCGTGGCGCGTGGACCTACGCAACTTCCCTGGCTGACGGATGCAGCTTGATGCTTTCGATTTTCTGTTGCTCGGTCAGTCACCAGACGGCAGACATTCTCGAAGAATTGGCGTCGCGTGGTGCCCGCGTGGACGGCCTGGCTCCTGAGAGGGGTGGGAGGATGGCGGCGAGGTGGCCTGCTTCCGACTTTTGCCGCGAGCCCCCCAAGCCCCCCCCTCGTAACCCCATCCACTGCCGATTTAATCCGGCTGGGGATCCCACGCGGTTTGGAACGGAGCCTGCATCGACTTTTTAGCGACTATTTGCTCGACGATGCGACCCCGTCCCTTCTAGAACAGGGATGTGGCTAGTCGGATCTGGGCCCGCGCGCGCCGTCCCTTGGACGATGCGTCTTCCGCAGTCTTCAACAACCACTTTGTTTGGAGGAAACAGACACATCCGGCCGAGGCCTGGGCCCGGCACGGGAAACCTCACTAGAAAGCAGAGAACCAAGTCAAGTCATAGGTAGTTGATAGAACCGCACTGCTAACTGCTAACAATCAGGATCGTTTATGGTAGCCGCATGGGATCCAAGGTAGCTCCGGGCTATGATCTTTGCGGCACGTATACGCAGTAACAGCCTCTTTTCCCATGCTCCTGCCTGTCCGCTCCTACACAACAGCCCTATTAACCCAGTTCCGTTTTGAAACATAAAAATGAAATGAAAAGAAACATGCAGGTATTTACTGGATGGCGCGATATGGCGATGAGCATCCGGCGGCATCAGAGAAGATACTCCCAGAGATCGCAACAAGAGAGAAGAAAATAGAAAAAAAGGACTTTGAAAGAACGGAGACAAGATATGCAATGACCGACTCCTGGTCGCTAGTTAACGATGCTAAAAACTTGACACGGAGCCAAAGAAAAAAAAAGAAAAAAGAAAAGGGCGCCAGAATATACAGGGATATAGGGCGAGATACAAAGTCAAAAAGGGAAGTATAGAATTGAGAAATCGAATGAAAATGGTCAAGGACCGTTGCTGGATGAACCAGTCTCAACCACGAGAGGTGAGCACTGCTCCGGGTGGTAGTACCTCGCGACAATTTGGAAACAGTTCGCCCCCTTTCATGTACGTGAACTACCCCCCAAGTTCAACCAGCTCATATCATCGCGCACCGGCGATCTATCCTGCCGTCTCGGCGGTTGCGTCTGCAGCCGCGTCGCCAATCCAGACGAAGTAGAAGAAGACCCCTTTACTCCCTGCGATTGCGACGCTGGCGAAAGTGGTGTCGTCAAGTACGTGCCCCCTAACGAATCATTCGACCGGTCAGGGCCACTGCCCCACGGCCGGTTCCTCCCGGCACCAGCGCCCGCACCAGCGCCCGCGGCAGCAGCAGCCGTCGGATCCCACGCGTCCTGAACCGATTCCGGGATCCCGCTCGAGTAGGCTGAAGCCGACATGTCGCTGACCATACTGGCGGGCCGCTGCGGCGTTTCGATCTGCCCGCTCAGGCCTTCCTTGAGCAGGCCGTTGTGTTGGTAGACAGAGATAGTAGGGCTCTGTGCGTTGACACGGTTGAAGGACAGGCGAGGTTCGTTAATGCTGGTGGAGGCGGTGAGGCTCGGGCGAGAGGGAGTGGAGCGGGTGGTTGGGGGTAGAAGGGCTGGTACGGTCGCGCTGTCTTGAGTCATGCGGTGGGTGTTGCTGTAATCGGAGCTCCGTTCGGAGTTGTAACCGAGAGTGATGTGTCGGGCATAAGGGTTGTTGTTATTGTTGTTGTTGCTGTTGTTGGCGTTCGCAGGAGGGCCATTGTGATGGGTATTTGCGTTGTGGTTGTTGTTGTTGTTGTTGTTGTTGTTGTTGTTGTTGTTGTTGTTGTTATTGGCACTGCCTCCGTTACCACTGCCAAAACCTAACAGGTTCAAGGCAGAGCCCCCAGACCAATATCGGTTCCACCCCGAGCTGCGCCGCGTAGTCCCCTGAGCATCAGTAGCTCTCGGCAGGTTCCGGGGCTTTGGTGTAATAGCGGTCTCCTTTATGACGGACATGCTCTTCTCATCCTGGTTTTGTTGCCGAGACGGGAGTGTTCTGGCGGGGGCCACTGCCGGAGTGGGTTGCAGGACCGGCTTCCCAATGCTGCTCTTAAAGGCGGCAAAGGTGCTATCTGAGGAGTCCCGTCGGCTCTCGTTGCTCGACTTGCGGCCGGGCCCTGCCGAGGTGGACTTTCTCTGGCCGGCCCGGCCCATGAGGATGGCCATGGACGAGAACGAGCTTTGGGAGTCTGTGGGCTGGTGGCCACGGAAGGCACCAGCCGGCGGACGGTGGCTGAACATTAGGGTATCGTCACTAAGCCCAAGTATCTCCTTCTCGTTCAAAGTAGTGGCGGTAGACCGGGCTCCGGGTCCAGCCTCCTCGTGGCCGTGCTTCCTCCTTCGCCTCTTGATGCACACATAAATTAAAAACAACAAGATTGCGAGACCAAAGAAACCTCCAAGAGCAGCGCCGAGAATGGTGTTCAGCCCCGGGCCGGAATCCTCCGATGATGCTGGGAGAGCTCCCGCTGTCGACGTTGGAGTGCCCGTTTCTGAGCTTGTCGTGGTGACGGAGGCTGAGGTGCTAGTGGAGGAGTGTGACGTAGTAGAGGCGGATGATGATGTTGATGTTGACGAGCGAGTCTTGGATTTCGTGCGGGTTGAGGATTTGGTGGATGATTCGGTCGAAACGGCTTTGGCTTTGAAAAGTTTGGACTCAGCGTTTACCCAGCCGTTGTCCCTGGCGTTGAACATGCATAAGACGTTATCGTCATCAGCACCACCTGCCATGACCACTGTTCCATCTGCCCCCTGGGCCAGAGCAAAGTTGGTCCGGGTGACTTTGGGGGCCAAGCTTGAGTTATAGGCTGGCCAGTCGTTTACCGTCAGGGGCACGACAGCCCTCCTTGTCACCTCGATATCTCGGACCGCCTCCTGTCTTCTCGATATCCGCCTGCGAACTGGGGAGGCGCTGGTGACCGGGACACCAGGGCCTGTGAAGAGGACGGTCCGTTTGACCTCATTCGGCGCTACCGACATGTCAAAGGTGATCAAATTCTTCGATCCATCATCACCTGTCATCAACACCGCCTGCATGGCTGATGTATCCTTTGTGAACGGCTCTGCTAGCGAGGCGCCCGAGTCTACCCATTGCCGCTCCGCCACGTTGAATAGAGTAACCTGTTTGTTCCACGTGCTTCCGCCGACCAGCGCCGCCTCACCGGCGGACCAGGGAAGAATAATAGGCTTGATCGAGGGTGGCCCGCTGATGTCGTATGATTGGACCGTGTATGGGGCCGACGCCCCGATGGTGAAGGTTGTCGTCGATGGACCGTCGGTGCCATCCTGGTTGCCGGCATAGATAAGGATAGAGTCGGTGCTGTTGAGGTAGATAGCGCCGTGCCCGACCCGTTGATGTATGACCTTGTCGGTCAACTGGATGGTTTCCCATTGCCCTGTCGAGTACGTGTATTTCTGCAAGCCCTGGTATCCGTCGGTCTGGCTGACACCTCCAACCACAAATAAGGCTGATGTCGCAGCCGTTCCCGTCGTAGAGCCAACACATACACCACCCGTTACCTTTTCACCCTGAGACAATGTCTTCCACTTTGCCCCTTTCTCCAGTCGCAAGGATTGGAATGCATCGGCCGAGTAGGTGTAAAGCGTGTGGTCAAATATGACCGAACACGCGTTGTTCAACGCCGTCTTTGGCTGAGGAAGCGGCATTTCGACGTAGCGCTCGGGGAGGAGGAAGGGAAGGGTTCAATCGATCTGAGCAATCCGTACGTCAAGAAGGGGAGGGGGTGAGGGACCTCAACGATGGTGCCCTCAATAACAAGACATGTCGAGTTCGCTGTGCCCAGAACATGTAGTGCGCTCTTGTCGTCGGGGGCTGTTAGAAGCCAGAGGCAAAAGGCGTGTGAGGAATAGAACGACCGGTTGATGTTCTTCGAGAACGGAGTACTCTGGATGAGTCGCCACCGAGCCGTAAGCAACAGGAGAACAGAATGTCGGCCAACGTCGATCGAGAAGTGTTGAGGGCTGGCTCCTTCTTGGGTGGGAGATCGACAGAACAAAATTCTTGGGACGTTTCCCGGAAGCGAACGGCGAGGAAACGAAGCTTCGCTGTGTCGAGGAAGCTCCGTGTCGCAGGACAAAGCGGGCGGGGAGCCGAAAACGAAGAATTGGACGCTCTGCCGCGGGATGTTTGGTGGAACACACACACAATTCTCCTGTGAACGAGCCTCGAGTAGAATGGCACCAAGTTGGTTCAAGCCGATCAAAGTTGAGAATTGTGCCAGACGGGGTTTCGGTTGTCGGTCGAGGGCATCGGATTCCCACTGGTCTGGAATTGAATTGATCGAGTTCAACGACCTGATACTAGATGGCAGTGATACCGCAACACACCATCAAGGCGCAACGGAGAAGGAAATGGAGGATCAAGCGCACACAGAGACAGACGCCCAAACAGACGACGATCGAGACACCAGACGGCCTGCCGAAGGGGCGACCTTCTCCCGTTCCTCGCACTCGACAGTACCCTAGACGCCCACTGCGGTTGGATGGGGCTGGGAGGTTACTCGCATGAAGGACTACAAATGAATGCCCAGCAAAGCCCTTGCTTGACCCAGCCAAAGCCCCTGATTCGACCAGGCCCCTGGGTTCTCTTCCCGCTTTCGGTTCCTTTTCCGTTCTCCACGGCCCACCTGAGCCGACCTTCGAAAGAGAAAAGGGGGATACCGCTGTCGGAGCTGGAGAGGGGCTGAAAGGAGACCTGCCTTTTCTGCTCAACGAGCCATTGGGCGCGAACCCTCCCAGAAAATGAGCGGCATGAGGTGCGGTTTTGAATCAGCACCGCCTCGGTCCGCTGGGACTTGCCTCAAACCAAACGACCCACAAGAGAAACGTTATACTCCATAGATGAGGTCTCAGAAGATCGTCCACGGGATGCGGGAGAGCAATCGCAGAGAAACTCGCAAGGGGTCTCGACCATGAGAATTTTGGAAAGAATGAGAAAAATCTTGCAAAAGATACCGCCGGCCCCAGCACGCTGCCGGAGCGTAATTTCCCACGATGCTGCTCAAGAGAACTGACAAGGTGACGCAACTGGTGCAACCGGCGGTCCTGGCGTGTCGCCCTGGCACAAGTCACATCCTTGGGTCGCAACAACAATGTCCCAGATGGTGGATTCCCGTCGAATCGCAGTCCTGTTCTTCTCTTTTTCTGAAACGTTCAAACCCCGGCCAGGAAACCGACACTAACCGGAAACGGGAAAGTCGCTTGTGTCCTGACCCCGGAACCCATGGGGCAGTCATGGCCCACTTCCCGTGTCGCTTTTTGATCCACCACGAGGAACTTCCATTTCCACCAAGAGCCGACACTCCGTGACTCCCAAACGACACAGGCAAGACAGGCGAGACAGGCAAGAAATGAGGAATGATGTCAACGGGAGCTTGGGAAAGCTTATGCCCCCGTCCAGTATCCACGGAACCGCGCGGCTCTGCAAAACGCGACGCCATCATCGCAATGTCAGCTCTCGTATCACAGATGATGCGAGCAATTGTTGATGATTGGCTTATCACAGCAATTCGCCCTCCCACACTGAGCAGTCACCAGGCATGGTGTCACAAATTCAATGTTTCCACCCATGAAGAAAAGGCGCTTTCTCAGAAGCTCGGACCGACGTTATCTGAGGTCGGAAAGCTCACGTTTAATATTTCCTTCTTCCGGGCTTCCCTCACCCTTTCCAGGTTGATATTGCCCTTCAAGTACCTCTTCACGTGGAAGGTAAACTTGTAAATTCCTTGCACACTCCCATCGGTGCGTGTGTTGAGCACGGGCCCGCTGCAGAATATACCTGAGGTTTGTTATCCATTGGAATGGTTGAACGGCTGCTTCGAAGGACTCACAGGTAGGGAAGGTTCTTTTGGTGTTAAATATACGTTAAAAGTGCAGTGTTATCTAGTCCGCGCGGTTGTGGTGAGGACTGAGACAAAAATCAAGTTGAGCAAGGAGACGACACTGAGTAGAAGAGGCGGAGCTACTTCGTTATTCCGTAAGTGCGGCATACATGCACAAATGAACCGCCGAGAGAAACCCTTGGTTTTATAATTCGACAATCTAGTTCCTGACTTCTTCTCTTGCTTTCCATTCCCACTACTGTCCCATACCCCCACTGCGCCTGAATGAATCCTCCCCTTCCCCCATTTGTTACATTCTTCAGGACCCGATACTTCTTCCATTTCCTGCTGTTAACAGAGCGCAGAGGGTATGTCATGACCGGTAGGTCGCTCAAGTCTTAGCAGGAGATATTGAGCTAGCGGGGCTTTGTGACCTGCTCTTGTGAGAATTGCATGCCTCACAAACGTGCAAGAACCGGACGGCCGGATTGGAACGGTGTGAAAGTGTGTAAAAATTGGGTATCACGCTTCTTGCCATGTCCATCCCATCCGTCCATATGCCGCCTGTTCTATGCCTGCCAACGCCTTAAAAGAAAGATGGGTCAAACGTTCCCTACCCTGTGTGGACAGGGTACCGCTTTAACAAATAACACGCTTTCCCACCCAATTGATGCCCGCAAGAAACAATAACAGTCAAAAGCAAACACTATCCGCCACACATCCCGCTCCCAATTACAACGTTCGAGCTGTCGGAGGGGGGTCTGACCGCACTTATCCATGCCCGAAATATATAGTTCGCTGGATCCCAAGTAATACGCTGTCATTCTTGTATCAAGTTCGCTAATCCACTATCCGCTTGTTTTCATCCTGATGAACTGTTAGCTATGAATTCGGATCAGCATAAAAGGAGGGATCGCGCAAAACCTACCTCCACATTACCAACTCGAAATCCACCACCATCAACTTATGCACCGGGAACAAAAGCCTCGGGCGGCAACTCCCCTCTCTTCTCGTGAAACGATCGAAGAGCCAAATCAAAATCCCAGTTGGCAGCACCAGCCAAGCACAACCGAGCATACTCCGCCGTCATTCCCGTTTGCCGGGCCAACTCGGCCACCATTTGGGCGCGGATTGTGTCGTCTAGCAGGGGTGCCTGTGCCAGAACAGGACCGGCCACGGCCGGCGCAACGTGAGCGGGCGCAGTCGGAACCGGCACGACAGCAGGAGCCTGGATAACGGCGGAAGCACTGGGGGTCGGCTCGGTCACCCTGGCGCGTAGGGTGAGTTGGTCGCTAACGACCCGGTAAGGGTGTGGAGCACCCGGTTTGCTAGGGCCAAGAATAAACGACCGAGTGAATTTTCGCGTACCGACGAGCTGCTGGCTGGGGTCGAGTTCTTCAAACCGGCTGTGAGCAGTGATCGCGAGACCCATGGCTGAGCCTTGCCCGGACGGGTCGGCCAGGTTCGGAAAGGTGTGGCAGTCAATCTGCCATTCGTCGGTTAGGTCCAGGTTTGCGTGCCTCGTGGCAGGGAGCCGACCCCAGAGATCAGCAATCAGGTTGATCCCGGTGAACAACCGTTGCTGGGCGGAATTGCTTCGAATGCCGATGGTTTCCAGATTCCTGGAGAAGTTGTGGTACGGGCTTGAAGTGGACTCACTGCCCGCGCTCAGTGAGAAAATTGAATCGTCATCGTAGAACTGCCGAGCAAGCGCGAGCCGGTCCTGGTCGTAAGCGGAGAAGAAACTGCGGAGAAAAGTCGCGGCCACGTTGTTGCCACCATCTCGGAGGTTAGATGGCAAATGTGGCAGCGGTGTGGGAAACCACGACTTCAGAGCCACCGCCGCCTCCTCCGGCGTCCTAACGCGGCGTCCATCGAGGATTTGAAGACTCGGGAACCAATCGACCATCTGGGTTGGGTAGGTTGGTAAATTGGTGACAGGATTTCCGACAAGGTGAAGCTCCTCTAAGCGGCGGAACTCGTGGCGCCATTTGGAGATCTTAGACAGGTCTTCTAGCTTGTTGCCGCTTAGGTCGAGTCGACGCAACCGGGGGAAGGTATGTGCGAGAGTGAAAATTTCGCCGACATCGTGGATATCGTTGTTGGCAACCGTGACAGCTTGTATGCCTGCTTCCTTCTCCGCGTCGCTGCCGTAATGTGTAGTCGTAAGGCGCATGAGCGCCTTGAAAGATTTTTCTGCCAGCGCCTTGGATTCAAAGGCTCCAAGGCTGAACAAGGTCTGGTCGGCTCCAAGCGCGGAAAGATCTAGCAGCTTTTGCTCGGGGTTGTACCGCGAAGCAAGGACCACCAGCAGCTTGTCTTTTGTTTCCGAGGGCTTCGAATCGGCGCCATCAGTCGGTTGGTTTCCCCGCCCGGGGATCGGCTCGCTGGTCTCTTCGATTGTCAAGGGCGCACCGGCGTAGGTATAGCCATTCAATCGCAGGAGGTGGGGCGTGTCGGCTCGGTTGACTTTGAGCCACACTACATCGCCAGAAATAGTACCCTTGAAGGTCGATGTTAGCACACATTCGCCGAGGCTAAAAGGCGGTTGAGAGTGAAGAATGAAAAAAAGTGTACCCTTCCGAGGGTGATGGGTCGCTCTTTGGAAGATTTGCGCTCAAGAAAGTCGAGAAGTGAGCGAAGGCCGCCGTCCGAGTTGTTAGCGGCTTTGCTGTCTTTAAGGCCGTATATTTTTAGTGTCGCTCGGTTGGACTGTGGTTTCTCGCCGCGGCTGACTCCATCTTGTTCCGAGACAAAATTGCGGACATTCTGAGCAAGTCGAGTAGACGCCCGGGCTCCCCTGCCGCCTCGAGAGCCACGGGTGCCACGAGTCGAACCCCTAGCTGGACCTGAGGGTGGATTGTTGGCGGCTGTAGCGTCCATCGAGACATCGCCATCCCTATCGGTGCGCGGCGTTCCCCGTCGCTTCGCAATGCCGCCACCGCGCGAGCCTCTCGGATTCGATCGACCGCCGCGGCTGCTGCTGCCACGGGGACCCGTTGGGGGCGCCATCAAACGCGATCGCTTTTGTCCGCAACCGCTAGTTGAGGTAGTAGGAATAGGAGGGGTAAAAGAGGTCGTAGAGGTGAAAAAAGGAAATAGGTTGTGTAGGGGCAAAGAGTGTGTAGGTTTGTAGGAGGAAGAATGAATTTAGGTGAGCGGGCACGAAAAACGCGAAGGAAAAAGAATGATGTCCTTCACACCCCACCCGCCTTTGAGGCTGACGTGCCTCTTGGAGCTTGGCCCCACCCAGGCAGCCAAGCGCTTGGTCTCGTGCAGCAGCCGCCTTGTTTCAGCCGTGCCGGCCAACACCAAGGATTGGCTTCTTCAACTGCTTTGGTCACGTGAACAGGCGCCCAAGCGCGTTGCTGAATCGCGTCTCTCAACGACTTTCGTCTACTTCTCACCAAGTACAAACCGTCATGTCCAACCGCTAATTAACCGCCAACCACCCATAACTGCCCACAAATTCGACGGCCGGGCTTGTGTTTTTCCACTTTGTATGCCTCTTCATCCGTTCGGTTTATGAGGTGTTGGGGACTTGAATTCAGGGCTTCTGGGAAAGGATGGGTGATGAGTTTGACGATCTCGACGATTTCGACGACATTCCCGATGAGGATCTCATCCTCGCTCTCACTCAGGCCACTGGCGCAGTTGTATCCCATGGGGCGGGCAATTCCCGCAGCGTGGCCAATGGCGGCCCCCGCGCGCAACCACCCTCGAGAATCGCCGGTTCGTCAATAGCCCCGCCCGCACACACCCATCACAACGAGCCCTCAAGAATTTCGAAGACCTCGGGTGCAAGTACAGCCCGGCCAGCCACCACTTCAACGGATGAGGCTTATGATGATTTCCCATCGGATTTGTTCGATAGCTCGCCTGAGAGAGTAAACCACGCTCCGCCTCGGAGCCTTTACCCACCACATCGATTAGCCCGACCGTCGACCCAGGCCCAAAATCTTCGGCAGACTACTTTATGGGGCGGCACTCTTCATGAAAGCCGTTCCTCGGGGTCACAGACGGTTAATAGCCGTCCTTTTCGTGGCGACCTCCCTCCAGAAGCTCCAACACACCATGAGCTTCAGAACGAAGAGCTGTCCACTTGGGTGTACCCCCTGAACCTCGGGGCAATTCGAGACTACCAGTTTAGCATTGTCAAAAGTGGACTCTTCAACAATACTCTAGTGGCCCTTCCCACCGGCCTAGGCAAGACCTTTATTGCTGCCACCATCATGCTCAACTACTTCCGTTGGACCAAGCGAGCCAAGATTGTCTTCGTGGCACCCACAAAACCACTCGCATCTCAACAGGTCCAAGCTTGCCTCAACATTGCAGGCATCCCCCGATCACACGCGACACTTTTGACCGGAGAGACTCCTCCGGTGTTACGACAGGGGGAGTGGGAGAACAAGCGGTTGTTCTTCATGACCCCGCAGACGTTGATGAACGACCTCTCTAAGGGCTATGCCGACCCCAAGTCTATCGTCCTTCTTGTTATTGACGAAGCCCATCGTGCGACCGGAGACTATGCCTACGTCAAAGTCGTCGAGTTCATCCGACGTTTCTCCAAAAGCATTAGAATTCTGGCCCTGACCGCGACGCCTGGGTCGACGGTGGAAGGTGTCCAGGACATCATCGACAACCTCGGGATATCTAACGTAGAGATCAGGACGGAGGAATCAATTGATATTCGCCCATATGTCCATTCACGGAACATCGACACGATCACTTTTGACCCTTCGGATCAGATGCTTGAAGTGAAGGATCTCTTTTCGAAGGCCCTCAAACCGCTAGTGGATAAGCTGAGCTCGCAGAACATCTACTTTGGCAGAGACCCCATGAGTCTTACCACATACGGGCTGCTCAAGTCGAGGAATGAGTGGATGGCCGGGCCTGGTAGGCATGCAAACCAAGGCGTCAAATTCATGACGATTGCCGTGTTTGGCATTCTCCAGAGCCTAGCACACTCAATCAAGCTGCTCAATTTCCATGGAATCAAACCATTTTACAATAACCTCGCCGAGTTTCGGAGCACTGAGGAGGGCAAAGCCGGGCCGGGCTCGAAACTCAAGAGGCAGGTGCTCGCGGATAAGAGTTTTCAGGACATGATGGTCCAAATCGAAAAATGGATGAGATCGGAAGAATTCAACGGGCACCCAAAACTGTCGTATCTATGTGAGACGCTCGTTAACCATTTCATCGATGCCGGCGAAGGCTCAAGCACTCGAGCGATTGTGTTCAGTGAATATCGCGACAGCGCGGAAGAGATTGTTCGACTGTTGAATAACCAACCTCTTGTTCGCGCTACTGTGTTTGTTGGGCAAGCGGATTCGAAGAGGAGCGAAGGGATGAAGCAGAAACAACAGATCGAAACTATCGAGAAGTTTAAGAACGGAGCCTTCAACGTGCTCGTAGCCACTTCTATCGGCGAAGAAGGCCTCGACATTGGCCAAGTTGATCTCATTGTCTGCTACGATGCATCATCATCACCTATCCGGATGTTGCAGCGGATGGGCCGCACTGGCAGGAAACGGGCCGGAAATATTGTGTTGTTGCTAATGAAAGGCAAAGAGGAGGATAAGTTTCTGGAGGCAAAGGACAACTATCAGAAGATGCAGCAACTCATATGTGATGGGGACGGCTTCACCTTTCGCCACGATCTCTCCACAAGGATCCTGCCTCGGGATATCAAACCCGAAGTCGACAAGCGTCACGTCGATATACCCATCGAGAACTCTCAAAATCAATCCCTCCCGGAACCCAAAAAGACGGCGGCGGCGGGACTACGGAAGAAGCCGGCTAAAAAGAAGTTCAATATGCCCGATGGCGTCGAAACGGGGTTCACCAAGGCTTCGTTCTTCGGTCGAGCCGTTGAGCGGACCCCTAGTGTTTTCCAACCACCCCCGGAAACAGACTTCCTAGCCGATGTTCCCGAGTTGGACAAAGTGATGTTGAACGTATCTGACACCAAACAGTTTGAGAGGTTGTACAAAAGCCTCCCAAGAGACCCGTTCGGCAAAATTCAGGAACTCGGGTTTGACGACCTCGACTTTGGCGCGCACATTTCTGCACAACGGACCCTCCGCCGAACCGCCAATGTGAAACATGGCCAATATACTAAAAGATGCGTGAGGTTATTCAAAGCCCTTGCGGAATACTCGAACCCTATGGAGTTTTACATCCCCCCACGCAGCGATACCAACACGACCTCCTGGCAACAAATACCAGTCAAACCCTTTGCAGACGAGAGCCCTAGTCAAACTGTTCGTCCCAGTTTCGATATGACCAAGCCAACGTCTGTGAAGCGATCTGCGAATGGCACCACCCGCAAGTCACCGCCGCTGGTAGAAAGGGACAACACAGTCAGAGGGAAGCGCAAGCCATGCCCACTATATGTCAGCGAGTGTGAGGAGACAGACAACGACGGAGAGGAGGATGAAGACGAAAATACCGTGACTGAGGTGATATTGAGCAAAAACGGCCGGGGCGGTCTCCGGCGAATCGGTGATCACCTGGAGGATTTCGGGGACGACTGCACCCGGACTAGCGACATGGAAGACACGGACGGTTCCGACAGTGGTGCTGACCTCGAAGGCTTTGTCGTGGGAGACAACGTGTTCACATCCAGCCTGCCACACCCAACTACAGAGCCCACAAGCACCGACGATTCTGCCCTCGTTTTACAACATCGGGGTGCTGCGAACCGAGGTGCCGCTAGCGAAAGGCCGTTTTATGAACCGATGGAATTCGGCCCGACTCAGGACTCGGACGACGAGATGCCCGACCTGTCCGGGCTTGCGGCGAGTGCAAGGAAGGCAAACTGGCCACCAATAGCTAAAATAAATTTCCGGGCCGAAGAAGAGGATGGTAGTGACGGTTCAAGCCAGCTATCCCCACGGAGGCCAATGGCAAAGAGGAGGAGGCGGGTGTTGGTTGACAGTGATGACGATGATGAGGACAGCTAAATAACGAACTACGAGAAATTGGTGTTGATTGCTGGTTGAGCGGCGTTCATGGGGCATTGTCACTACAAAGGGGCCAAAACCCCGTGTCTTGGAATAAACTGGTATATAATGACCAACATGCGGACGTTTTCCGTTTCTCTTTTTTCCCTGCGCTCAACAGGCCTGCCACTTTCCCATTCCATTCCGCAGCCACTTTGCTATGAATAGACAAGATACAGACAACCACGACAGAAAAAAGGCGGAAGGGCATTGCTAGCCATCGCCGTTGATGCCCCCCTCCCCCCCCGCGCTCCCTCACAACAGTTACTTTGCGCCCGCCATCCCTCAACTCGTAACCCCACAACACAATCTCTCTTTCCATCCACCCTCAAACTCTCCAAATTTAAACAAGGGGTCTCCTGACCTAACCCATGCCTCCACCCTACGCTGCTTGAACGAAGCCGCCCCTGGCATTCCCCGGCATCCCCTTCCGCCGTTGCGGCTGCGGAATTCTTGCTCTACGCCTGTCCAGTGGATGGTGTTGACCCACTCTGCCTGCCGTGGGCTATGCCGGGGAAGCTCGTACCGAAGCTCGGAGGGGCATTCAAAGAGGATTTTGACGAGAAGGTTGGCAGAATGGGCGGCGGTGAAGGTTTGGGAGGATGGATTGGGGATATAGGGGGCGAGGAGCGGGTGGAATTGGAGTTTGTACATGAGCCAGAGGGTGTGTTGTGATGTGTAGTGTTTTGAAGGGTAGGTGCTGGTGTCATGTCCTGCTTTGGGGCTAGGCCTGAGGGGAAATATAGAACCAGACCGGGCCCCGAGAGTCAGCGAAGTCATAGAGTTGGGATTGAAGGGGGTGGGGGTTGGACGGCGGGTGTCGACAAGCTTAGGGAAACGTCGTGGTACTTCCACCGCAACTTCAGTACGCGGTGTCGGCTGGTCTAGCGCGTAACCGTACTGTCGTAACCAAACGGCCTCTTCGTCACCTAGGCCGTCGGCGGCTGTTCGAGACACTGCGCCGCGTACTTTTCTAACCCAGTCTCCTTGTTGGGTACAACACTCCATGAAAGGTTTCGGGAAGTTAGTCTGGTCTGGCCGGGGACAACGCTGGGTTGTCGATCTCTCAGTGGTCTTCAAGGTCCCGGCCCTTACGACAGGGATATCCATGAGGGCGTTGACGTTGCCTCTGATATAATCCCAAGTCTTCTGATAAAAGTATGGGATGGGACTTTTGGAGTGGTTGACCGAGTCGAAACTGCTATCCTCGGAATTCAGGTCTTGGAGTGATATCTCAGGCTGTATGGTCGGTTGTTGAAGATTCTCGACGCTGTTGCTGCAAGTCCAGCAGCCCAGCGCAGGCAAGCATGGGAGCATATCGTCGGCTAGGAGATGTCCGATGGGTTCATTTTTTAGTAGCTGGCCCAGGGTCAGTTGAACATGGAGGGAAAGAAAAATGGGGATTTGTTCGGCATCGGGGCTTGTTTTCAAATTTGGGGATCGGTTCTTTTGTTCGAAACGTACCGCCTTCAAAAGGAGATCGTTCCACTTGAGATAATTAGTCCCGCAGAAAGAAAGGGGTAAACCGCGCCAACATCATTATGGCTTTCTTGTCCTTGACGTGGAACAATGGAATTGATGTGGGACAACAAAGGACATTTTGCTTTCTAAGAGAAGGCAGCTGGCGGCTGCTTTAGATATCACGTGCACGGCAACATGTAACTTCAATGAGCCAGAATTGAATCAAGCGCGGGAATATATCGTGTAGTAAGATGAAACCAAATTCCGGGGGGGTTGCCCACAAACGTACCAGAAAGGAGAGCTTCCAACCCACCCCTCTCGGCCTGTCACGGGAGAGTCTTTACACATCAAGGAATGAACCGGGACCCCCCAATGAACGGGCTACTGACTATGGCATTGTTTCACTGGTCACGCGGAGTTCATGAACCGGAGCCAACCGCGGCTCAATACCTGAGTCCACACGCTTGGTCGCTGACTTTAAGAGCCGCCATACTTATCCTTCTTGTGTCTTCGTAAAACCAGATTGGCTATAGTCGCAGCGTGTCAATATCAAGCACATCACTTCGCAAATACAAATCCAGGGCGAAGAGACGGATATAATCATAGAACGGGAGTAGGACTTGCCTTGGATTGGTTTGTGAGGCTACACCATCAAAACGGTTATCATTCCTGTTACGATTCGTGGAGGTCGACGATGGATACGGGTCAGGAAAAGTCCGGACCTAAAAAGAGCACTCTTGGTCTCCTTCTCTGTTGCGCACGCAGTGGTTCTACGAGCCTGCCACTACCGCACCCCCCACGACAGCCTCACGGTCTTTTATCTCCAAGCAACACATTTCTCCGTGATGACCGAGGGCCACAAGGGGACGGTTTTACAGCAGTCTTGCCCTCTCGGCCGCCACCAATGGTGGAGAGGCGATTTGGACCACAAGCCAGACGAGCGGAAGTCCAATATACCCACTACAGTGCTTCGGGCATACATCATCCAGCGGTACTGACCCCAGGTCCAAAACAAGCTCCAAGTGCCCAGTATGGGAGGATATATTCTAATATTGCCCAACAAACGGTCGAGGTCCATACAAACATTCCGGCTCATAACTTTGGAGCCAATGACTGCGAAATGGGTGGCAGAACTGGAGGCCCCAACGTGGGCAATATCAGCTCCCCCCCAACTAGGGCTGGGCGTGACGATACCACCAGAGACAACCGAGTACACAATTCAGCGGTAATCCCCAGGGGACCATTGAGTCTCCCCGATGATTCATATCGCGGGTTGCAGACAGTACACCGTGGGAGAGGTTCAGTAAATTCATCGGACAACGGCCCCGGAGGAGGAACTCGGGCCCGGACAAACCCACAGAATACGGGTGATGTCTCGCCGATGTCAGATGGTGGAGATGATGTCCTAGGCGCTTACACCGTCTCGCCGGTGACACCCGATAATCCTCACACGCCATGGGCTGAAGGATCACGATACCCAAGGTAGGGCAGTTTCGAGTCCTCCAAAAACAAACGTTTACTCAAAAAGATCACCTACGGGGGTACTGGGGCCGCCCTCACACCTAGCTCCCCGAGGAATTAAGGGGGCCTATCGTTGAGTAAATGAGGAGGAGGGCAGAAGAGCGGGTCGCTGGTCGGTTGCTCGGAGCCTTGATGCTTGGACTTGCGGGCGAGTCTCCTGCGTAAAGAGTGTTTCGAAAGGAGTTATAGGAAGTGGAGGTGGGCAAAGTTGGATGGTAGAGAAATTGATAGCGATGGCTCGGTAGCTAGGCAGTCAGTCTTCAGGAGACCCCACAAGAAGAATGAGAACTGAAGAAAATTCAGATTATCCTAGCCGAACGTTGATGTGGTCCAACAAACACACGAAGGCCCAGGAAAGGAAATGCCGTTGTCTGACCTGCTCCCCACCGAATCCCCCCCCTTCGACACCACCTATCCCGAGCAGACGGATACCACCCGTGCACCCGGAATTTCCGGGTTCCTCCGTGAGATGGAATTCGTGAGGTCAGCAAGCGTGTTTCGGCAAGTCCCTTCTCATCATGGGTCAACGGTTAATGTGGTTTTACCCCGCTTGAAAAAACAAAAGACGATGATGATGCGAGTCTCGAAAATTCTTGAGGAAAACGGAAATACAGGTGCCTGGGAAGCAAAAGGATGATGGGGGAGCGCTGGAACAGTGGCCGCGCACTCGTGCCGCGCATCGTTGCGTTCCTTTTCAGGCACTCGCAATTCGTCGAGGCTCCCTCATTCTCTGCTTTCTCATTCGTGGGAGTGGGAATGCAGCATGTGCTCGTAGGGCTGAAATGCGTGACCCTCACTTCCTCTCCTCGGGCTTGGCTTCCAGGCCGATGCATGAGATCAAGCGCCGCTCCCTGTCCGACGTGGACGTTGCGGGGTGTTCTGCGACCCCATTTGGGGTCGTGAGTCGTGATCTTTCGTTGTTTGCTTCTCTTCGGTCTAGGGAATGGGTTCTTGGCACGGTTGCGGGGCCGCTCGTCGACAGATGAATGGTTCGTGACAAACCGATAAACAACTCTTTGCTGCAGCAACTTGGATCAACCCGACTGCCTGAGAGCGTTATTTCCTGCGCAAAGCGGGCAGCCGTCCGTCTGCCCACTCAGGACTCTCCGCTCTGCTTCTCTGCCCAAACCGGCCAGCCCTACGGAGACGGTACGGCGGGGGAGACCGCATCACCGAAAGGCCACAAGGGCCGCGCTTCAGCCAATCTCGGGGGCTCGCTTGCTGTTGGCTGGGACTTCAAACCGCCCAGCCCGCCACGACGATCGCGGGGGGTTGTGGATATGCTCCCCCCTGAACACAGGTTTCGGCATGCCGGTCAACGTCCTTTGTTGGCCTGATATGTTTGTCACGCAGCTTCTCAATGCAGATGCCCGCTTACACTCACCCAACAGATCCGAAGAGACGAGTGACAAGCTGTCGAAGATAAGCCCATTCGCTTCCGCGCGCGTCCCTTTCGAGGAAACAGCCCGCGTCAGGTTCTTGCTCTTTGCTGTTCCGAAAACGTTATTTCGCCGGGCCACAACATTGCAGCTGGCGCGTTTGGGGTTTCGCTCGGCGAGACGATGGGGAAAACTGCATGGCTTGCTTGGCTTGCGTCCAGTTCTGTTGTTTGGCCGAGCGGACCAAGCAGGGCGCTAGTTAGTTAGTTAGTTAACGTTAGACCATGACATGTCCAACCCGACCTGAGCAGCCGGTCTTACTGTGGGACAACAGAGGCAGTCTCGGCTGGCCCCTTTCCCGCTCCTCGCCCCCAACAGCACTGGTGGCCGCAAGGGAGAAAAGTAACGCCACGGACACTGCTGATACATAGAATGCTTGGGACCTGAAGACAGCCCTTAGAGGAAGAGATTTTTTAGAGGCAGACTGGTATTGCCGTCCACCTGGGTGCTGGACCCAACAAGAGGAAGGGGGCCGTGGAAATTCAAACATTCATCTCATGGTTGCAGAGAGTGGCTGCCAGCAGACGGAGCGGGCTTCGCCACATTCGCCGGTGGCCCGTTCGATTACGGTGCAACTGTGGCCGGCCACCGGTCCCGTGGGTCGTGGTGGACCAACCATCAAATGGCGGCCAACCGTCCGTCCTCTTCAGTGCTCTTCCATGATCGTCCCATACGTAGTCAAGTGAGCACAAGTTCCCGACTGCAACACAGGGAGTGCGCCAACGGCCAACAACCTTAAGAATGCAGCGGCGAGGGCAAAACACGAGATTGACGTGTCGTGTCCGCAAAGACTATTGGCATTGCTGCGTTCGTCATTCCCCACGCGGCTCTGTTGCATGACCCCGCGGGTGATCTGGGGTTCTCGGCTGCTCGTTCCTTGGTGGGGAGACCTGGAATTCGTCTGCCTTCTGGGGAAGGGAGACTGGACCTGCAGATTTTGGTGATGGTTGAGGCTGGAGCTTGAAGTTCGAAAATGTCGACTGGCGTGGTGGCTGGGAGCAGGTTTGTCCGTGGGCGGATGCCGCGCTCTCAACCTGCTAGTTCGAGACTTGTGGTAACACTTGAGAAAAGGGGGGTTGCAACGCGTGGGCTGACAGTTCTTCCCTAACATCATGCATACCCCAACCCAGCGAGACACCCAGTTCCGGCACTCAAGAAACCAACGGACACTATCAATAGAGCGCCATTGGCGCTGTGCACCACCGCAATTGGAAGGATTCATGGCTGGCCAATGGGGCGTGGGTTGTGCTGAGCTGCGCCAGCTTGAGGACCCATACTGACCGGGGCCCCCGGTCGTGTGAGCAGGCAGCAGCGCTCAACCGCCCACCGCATTTCTCATCATCTGTCCGACGCCCCCGGTCGCGACGACGTTCGTCCTCCGAGTCCTTCTTCGCGCCTGTGTTGCGGTTCTTTTCCTCTTTCTTCACGCCTTTCCCACCTGAGGCCATCCGGATTGACCACCTGCATCTTTCTGCCTTGAATTTGCAAACCAAAGGTATTCATTTTTCTGTGGTCGAGTTGTGACCTGCCAAGGCTCTGCAACAATCTCTCTCGTCGTTGACCGCTCGACATTCTGTCCTTTCCCACGCGGATCAATTTACATATCACCCCCTCGCACCCAGCTTCAGCTTCGACCAGCAGCACAGACGGTTGTCGCCAGGTCCTGATTCCACAGTGTATCGGGTCCCTGGCGCTTGTCTCCCATTTCAGGACTTGTAGGTCCCGGTCCCCCCTTCCCCTCTTCTCCTCTCCCTCGTTAGGGGGCCTCCTCTGCTTGGACCGCACTTGCTCTTTAGGCTCAGTCCTTCCCGCGGTGCTTGCTTTCCCTCGTCTCCTCTGCGGGGTTATCTCGAGCAGTCCGTCCTCTCGGCGTCGCACTCCAACTGTGACTCACGCACTCGGTTCCGGTCAACCTAACAATGAACACATTGAGAGCTGACCAGCGGAACTTGACGCAGTGCTTTGCCCTCCGATTGCCACAGACCCTGATGCAGGCCCCGCGCAGCCCAGCAACCATGTCTTCCAACCCGCGAAGGACGCCGGTGACTCGCTCCGCACCCCGGAGCTTGAGCATTAAGACAAACGTCGTCCTCAAGAAGGGCGCAACCTTCCACTCTCCCACGACTCCGGTGGAGTCTCCCGAGCCCGTCTTTACGCCGCCTTCCTTGCCTCGACGATCAAACACCAGCCTCGACGATGTTATCGATGCTCACCGCCGCCGTGTTGCCCTGACCCTCGGCGACATTGACAACATCCTCAAGGACGACGCTTCCCTTAGTTCGACCCGGAAAAAGGCGCTGCGTGACGAGACTCTCCCGCTTCCGCGGGGAGTTCTTAACCACACCCTCGACTCGGTGATGGCCAAGGAGCAGCCGGCAGAACGCCGGATGCTTCGTCCCCGTTCCCGCCGCATTACTCGTTTCCATGAGTCCGACAGTGGACTAGGAACCTCGATCGCTTCCACTGGGGAGAAGGAGGCGGCTGCCAGAAAGGAGAAGACTACTAGGACGAACGCGGTTACTAGATCGGCGGCTGCCCATACGTCTAATGCCAGCTCTGTCGGCCTCAGCTCCCGCGCTACCAGCCGCATTTGCGAACATACCTTGAAGCCCCTCCTCGGCAATGCCGGTTTCAAAGACTTCCACCCACTCCTCCTTGAGTGCCCGAGGAAGATTCAGGAGAAACAGATTGTTTGCCTCCGGGATCTCGAGAAGACGTTGCTTCTCGTTGCTCCTGTAAGTGAGCTTCTAGCTGACCAAACTGTGTGGGGAGATACTTATCGTGCCCTGCTTTTAAAGGAAAGGACAAAGGCTGCCGATCTGTACTTGGACTTCTGCCTCACCACCATCCGCTGCATCCAAGCCACAGTCGAGTACCTCAGCGACCGAGAGCAGACGCGCCCTCGTGACGTACCGTACACGAGCGGATACTTTGTCGACCTCGTCGACCAAATAAGGAACTACGCCCAACAGCTTGCTGACGCCAAAGAAAACGGGAACCCGAATGAGATGGATGTTGATCCGTATGCCACCTTTTCCACACCCGCTGTTAAGAGCATCACTAACAACATCGTTAGAACGGATGAGATCAAGCTCCACGGGGGTATCCACATTAACGGCCGCCCTGCCGAGCTCGTCCGCGTCAAGAAGAATGGCAAGATGATCTCGATGGCCACAGGCGAGCCGGTTGAGAAAATCGAGGATGAGGCCGATGGCACGGTACGCTTCAAGCGCTCCGCCAGCCAGGAGCTCGAGGACGAGGAAGAGATTATGCGGTCGATGGCCCGCCGAAAGAAGAACGCCAGCCCCGAGGAGCTTGCCCCCAAGAAGTGCCGCGAGCCTGGCTGCAATAAGGAGTTCAAGCGCCCTTGCGATCTAACCAAGCACGAGAAGACGCACTCTCGTCCCTGGAAGTGCCCGGTGCCCACCTGCAAGTACCATGAGTACGGCTGGCCTACCGAGAAGGAGATGGACCGCCACCACAACGACAAGCACTCTTCCAGCCCACCAATGTTCGAGTGCCTGTACAAGCCGTGCCCATACAAGTCGAAGCGCGAGTCCAACTGCAAGCAGCACATGGAGAAGGCTCATGGCTGGACTTATGTGCGCACCAAGACGAACGGCAAGAAGGGCTCCAGCATCAACGGCAACTCAGCCCACCCCACTCCTCAACTGCAGAACCTCCCTACCCCGTCTAGCGAGCACAGCATGAGCGTCTCGACTCCTCCTGACACATGGGGCCAGGTTTACGGCGGTAGCAACCTCGACTTCCCTACCTACATCCCCAGTGATACCGATTTTGGCATGATTCCCCAGGAGCTATCGCTTGATTACTCTCCTATTGACAACCCGACCCCGTCCACCGACTCTGGCATGGACCACAACTCTGCCTACCAGGATATCGGAACAGACTTCACTCTGTACGAGGATATCTACGGCGCTCGGGTACACCTTCCCACCCCGCCTCCTCTTCACACCGCCAATGTCTACGCAAAGAACATGCCGCCGCAACAGTTTATCCCGTTCACAGCGGCGGATATGTGCCAACCCCAGGCGGCGCAATTGTCGCCTATCGGTCAGGGGAATGCGATGCTTTACACCCCCAACTCGCTTGCTGAGGTTGACGAAGGGTTTGACGACAATGGCGAATTCGCCGCCATTGCCAATGCGGTGAACGGCGGTGACTTCATCCTCTTCCCTAATGGAGGCGTGTCCAAGCCGATGTACAATGATTCTCTTTTTGCCAACACTGAGATTCCCAACATGACTGCCGCCCATGCCCAGCCGTCCTCACAAGACTTGATGGACGCTTTCAATCTTGAGTGGACTGCGCAGGACCTCAACAACGCGTACTACTCGCTCTAAATCCGGGCTGCGTAGTCTTTGGGAAGTCGGTTTTGGTTTTTTTTCCTGTCTATAACAGAAAGTATGGAGGTGAATTTTGGTTTTCATAACTGGGGATGAAGGATCTCGTCATGAATAATGAAGGAACCGGGTGTTTGTGGTCCGAGAAAGATTGGCACCGTGGACGTCAGAGAAACGACATCGGATTTGGCCTTCTCGATCTGTATTGAATTTTTGTCTTCTAGTATTATGGCTCTTTCTCCATCTTCCTCTTTCAGGTTTCGAGCAGGTGACGCTCATGTATGGACAGGGAGCGGGGATGAAGAGATGAATGGCTCTTTTTCCGAATGGTAGTTGGGAGACATGTAACTTGATCTCCGTGTTAGGTAGATTCCTCTCAACAAAGATGGTCATTTCCACCCTCAACACTTAACAAGATCTCCAAGTGACCGGGTATTACGGGATAAGTTGGGAAGTGCCTTTGGCCAGCCCGGCCCGCGAGCCCGCTCAGTCGCTGGGCCTATATGGTCCGTGCACCGATAATGTGGAGCCCTGGGCCCGCTCTTGTCCACAATAATTTCTGCTTCAATTTCTTTGGCCTCCCGACCTTTCTTGAACCTCCCAACACCTGATCTCTCCAAGACCGTGCGGACTATGTACTACCAGTGTACCACCGCAGCTTCTACCGGCTAGAAACTACGCGCAGTTAATGTATTTCCTGTTGACCAATTAGTTCCATTCAAACCATTCGGGCTCTGTTCTGAGCCCCCGCCCCCCCCTTTGCTTTTAAGGTATGTTCAACCCGGCTCCCTCTTTTCCACATTTCCACAGATCCAAGTTTCGACGTCGCGTCCCTGCCATTTCCTCGACTCCCTATTCCTCTTGCCAAGAGGAGAACGGAGAGATATACACGCCACAAGTGTATTCGGTAACGCACTACCCGACGACGAAACGCAACACGAGAAGCCCATATGATGATCTTCGCAACGCCGGTTGCAACCCTTCAATACATAAATTAGGAAGAGCCGTCTGAACCTCCTCGGGTTGGTAGTCGCTTCGTTGCTCCCAACGTTCTCGTTGAGGAGTCTCGGGGTTGATGGCCCTCCTTTCGGCTGTCTGGCTATCTTTTCCTCTTCTTGGTCCCTTCCCCGGCTCACTTTCTGTTATGGAAAAACGCTTGCACCGTCATGTGCTTGCGGGGTCGGTTTTGGATTGGATCTTGAGGAGGGGGTGGTTCAGATGGTGGGGTTGGTGGTGCTTATAATCTGGGTTTCTGAAGGGCTCTTTGTTGTTGTTTTTTTCCTATTGTTCAAATTATCTTTTTGTTTGGCCTCCTGGGCTTCCCTGGGAGAGCCTCCCACCTTCGATGCAAGTTGCTGACGTGGTTAAAAGTCTAGTTTCAATGCCAATCGAGCGGATCAAAATGTCTACAAATATACACTGGAGAGATTAGAGGTAGGTCCGAATAAAACAACACACCCATCCGATCATGGTTATGATGGATGACTACGTAAATGTGGTACTTGTGCATGGATACAAGTTGGAGAACATTTGACATGCCTACTGTGGTCATCGTGGCATGCTTCTCTTCGTGTTGGTAGCAAGTAAGATAAATAAAGGTACATCATTCCAAATCAAGCCAATTTCATTCTGTAACGCCGAGACCGTACGAAGAAAAGGGCTGGCCCATTGCCTATTTATACACTTTTTGCAATGTCGCGGCCCCCTCTGCAATCAATCGTACACCTCTTCTTCATTGCTAGCTAGCGAAGGCTTTAGCCTTAGCTTTGTTTAATCACACACCCATCCAACCCCCTTTCTCTCTTTCGCTTTATTTGGCAAAGTGCAGGTCATAGCCCAACCACTTCCTCCAAACGACCTGCTCGACCGACAGGCCGGGGTAGCCGTAGGTCAGCGGTAGGAAGAAATACCAGCTACCGGCTACTACTGCAAGAATCACAGCAGCAGCAATCCACGCGGGCAGCAAGCTCTGGCCAGCAAACCGCTCACGGGAAGTCAGGTGGTGCTTGGGCACGGCTGGCTTCTTCCCGGCCTTGCTCGCCTGGTGGGCCTGCTCGAGCTCGGCATTGTCCTGGCTAAAGACAAACTCGACGATGGCGCCCGTAACGAGGGCAGAGGCGAGGTGGGCTGGTAGGTAGTGGTGCAAAAACAGCTGGCGGCCCATGACAAAGAAGGGGAAGTAGTGGGTAGCCCAGGCGAGGAAGAAGAAGCCAGTCGAGTTGTACAAACGGGAGCGGGAGCCTGAAAGGGGTTCGAGTCAGCGGGTGAAGGATAGATGGCAAGGCAGGTTGATAGTGACTTACGGTGATCCAAGGCATCGATGCCGCGGCGCAGTGAGAACTGGTCGGCTAAGATAATGCCGGCGTAGATAGCCAGGACACTACTAGCGAGCCACCAGCCAAGAGGGTTACCAAGGAAGTAGATCTGCTGGCGGGTGTCGTTCTGGGTCCAGAAGCTCACACCACGGAGCAGGAATGGCCACTGGTACGGGAGCGACGCATAAGGATGGCTGGCAGTCAGCTGGTTGTTGTGCCAGAACATGGACCGCTGCAGCTCGAACCACTTCCGCAGGAACGGTAGGGATTTGACTTTTCTCTCCTGCTTCTCGCGCCGCTTGTCATCGGCCGGGAGCGAGGGAATATCCTCGATAAGCCAAACGTTGGAGCTCGGCGCAATCTGCTTGTTACCGTTGATCTCCTGCTGCTTGTGGGCCCATTCGGGGAGCGGTTTGGGGTGTGTCCACATGGCAACTTTGCTGGGGTTGTGGATCAGCTTGAAGTGGCTGGAGACGCTCTTGAACTCCTGGCCCTGCTTGCCGTGTTCGATACGGACCTCGAACAGCGTATCAGCGGCCCGCTCGCCGTAGGCGTCCGCAATGGAGGCGGTGGTGAATTCCTGGTTAGTGGGGTAGTAAGGAGAGGCGACATCATGAGAAAGCAGGATAGTGTCGGTGACCAGGTGGCGAAGCCTCACAAGGTCGTGGTTCAAAACGTGCCGATCAAGCTTCTGGTCATCCGCATCAGCGGGAAGAATCTGCCAGTGGTTGTTGGTGTCGTTGAAGGGATAGCCGGTGACTTGCTGACCCTGGCTAGAAACGCGTCCGTCATCGTACCTTAGGGGGTAGCGGTCGGCGTGGCTATGCAGGAAAGCCTTGGTCTCCTTGTGTTTGAGGACGATGGTGTCGTAGTAATTAATCGTGTACGAATTAGCGAGCATCACGTTGTCGCTGAGCGTCTCTTGGAACTCGGGAGTCATAAAATCGTCACCAGGACCGGAACGGGTGAGGATGGAGAAATGGACCTGGAACCAGAAGAGGTAAAAGAGGAAAGGCATGATGATCAGGCCAAATGCACGAGCGGCAAAATGCTTGCCAAACTCCGGTAAGCTCAGTGCGCCCCCCGGCCGTTTGACGTCCAACAGATCCCAAAGATCAATGATGACGGCAGAGCCAATCGTGATGAAGGCAAACAGGCCGACATACTTGGTCGAGATATCGCAAGACAACGCGAATCCGGTCAGAATCAGCCACTTCCACCACTTCCTCGAGAAAGCCTCGTGGCGCAGCTTGTAAAACTTGATGTAGCAAAGCAAGCTACATGCCATGGCAAATACAAGCGTGGCATCGAGCAGTATCAAGCGCGTCTGGCCAATGTGGGCGTTGTCGAGCAATATCAGGCCGGCGGCAATGACACAAGCTGGCAGGCTGTATCCAGACTCCCACATGATAAGATAGGTCACGGAGACCGTCAATGCGCCGAGGATGGCAGGCAGGGAGCGGTACGCGACGTAGGGGACCTTGTTCACGATGTAGGAGTCGCCAATGTTCTCGAAGTGGAAGCGGCCATCGTAACCGACAAGCCAGCCCATGAAGGCAAACAGGAGTTTGCCGAACGGGGGGTGAACATCGAAGAAGTAGGTCTTTTCGAGGTAGTACGAGGCGAACTGTGACGGATGCCGTTAGCCAAAGCACCAATTTGACTCTCACGGTACTGGCGAAGCGAAATATGGGATGTACCTTGCCAAAGTGGACTTCGTCGAAGACAACCTCGTTGGGGTGGCTGATGCCCCAAAACCGGGTTAGGAAGGCGAGCGCGGTGATGACGACGAAGACGGCTTTAAAGTCGCGTTCGGAGTTGGCAGAGGACTTTGCGGCCGCAGCTTTCACGAGCTTATCCAGCTCGACGTCGGAAGAGGCGCCATCCTTGGTCTTTTTCGTCGAAATACCGACATTCCGCTGACGTAGAGTGCCCTGGGGCGTCGAGGGCGAGGCCATGGCGTGGAGGCTGCGAGGGTGAGGAGCGCGTCAGCGGGTGTGCATAAGAAAACTAGGAGCACAAACGAAAATGCCAGAACAGAGAAATATTCCACGGAAAGTTGAGGGCAACACGTGCAACTTTGAAGGTGGTTGTCGTTGCTGACAATGTTTGACGCAAACACTTGATAGACTCACCTCGCCAATCAGACGCTCTATGAAACCCCCAATTCGTGCGTCAATAAAGAAACCCCGAGAGGGGTATCGAAAGGGACTAACAAAAGGAAAGATTAAAGACAGTCGAGAAGTTGAAGAAGGGCGTGAGTTGCGCGGAAAGGGCGAAGAAACCCGCGGTTGGAAATATATTAAATTGCGTCGTACCCCTTTAAGCCTCCTAACGGCAGGGCTGAATCAGCTCTGCGTAGTCAGTGTCTCGCGACCAGCTCCACTAAAGCCAAACATCTTTTCTGGACACCTGGCGAAACCTGAGGTGGGTTCGGACTGTAACCCCCGGGCCGCCAAGATCCCTGTTGGTCCAAGCTCCCTTGGGGGCCCACGGGCCGTATCAGCAGCATGCATGGAAGCTTGTCGGGGCAGCCACCTCTTCTAGGCGCGTCGAACAAAATCGCGTGAAGACTGTCGAAATACCGGCTTAGTGGAGGGGATCTTTTCTATTTAAACGGCAACTTGTATGTTACCGGACATTGCACCCGATAAGGTACATGTCTTCCCGTTATGATGGGTTAGTGCCCCGCCGATCCCGTTGGTTTCCGCCCGGAGTGGTCGGCACATTTGCGCAAAGCTGAGGCCCGGCCCGGGCTGCGGGGTTAGGGTCAACAGGTACCTTCGTAGCCCGCGGGTAACCCCTCCTTGCCGTGGTCCGAAGAACGGAGTGGGACGGGGAGAACACTTCAAAACCGCGTCCCCGGGCCGTCGTTGTTTCTTTTAAAACCATGTTCTCTAGAGCAACGAGGCAATCCTTTCCAGTACTTCTCCGAACGACCCTGGGCAAAACAACACGACTCGGACACTCTTTCTCGTCTCGTCCTCTAAACACCATGTCCGCCACCCCCATTTTCACCGAGAAAGCAGCCCCGCGTAAGTTGCCATTGCTTACTATTGTCAATGTTTTACACCTCAATGCTGACGAAGAGACTAGCTGCGGGTCCCTACGTACGTCTTTCGAGACCTTTGTCCCGGCGTACCCCTCCATGAGGTCGTCATGGCACTGACAATCCCCGTAGTCCCAGGCCATTAAGACTCCCACCACCATCTACTGCTCCGGTCAGATCCCCTGCGATGCCAAGGGCAACCTAATCGAGGGTACCATTCAGGAGAAGACAGCCGCCTGCATCTCCAATCTTAAGGCTGTCCTTGAGGAGGCCGGCTCGGGCATTGAGAAGGTGGTCAAGGTCAACGCCTTCCTAACCGACATGTCCAACTTTGCTGTAAGTAATCTAGGCCAGGATTGAGACATCATATCATGATTAACCCAATATTTTAGGCCATGAACGAGGAGTATGCCAAGTGGTTCACCCATAAGCCGGCTCGCAGCTGTGTCGCTGTGAAGCAGCTGCCCAAGGGTGTTGACGTTGAGATTGAGTGCATCGCTCTCCCGTAGAGAAAAAAAGACTCGCGGGGGTCTTATATTAAAATGAATAGAATTGACTAAGGATCCCAAGCCCGTCAAGTCAGGTCAAAATGGAAGCTCCTACCCGCTTTGAAGGCCCCCTGTCAACGTTTAACTAAACTCAGAGTAACCGTCGAGATCAGCAGCAGGGAGTGGAGTCACTCAGTGCATGATGACGACCTTCCAACGGCCGGTACTAGCCAATAAACAAGGAATGTGTTTCACAGTTCCTGAGCAAGCTACCTCAGCTCCTTCGTCCGCGACAAGTCTAGAAGCAATCTGTAGAGCGGGGACCTCCACTAGCGTTCCGAACGTCTTGTTTTACCCTTGAATAAGATGTCCTCCAGGTCGAGCCTCGGGTCCTGTTAAAGGTGCATGTACAGGATTCAGAGTCACGTTATATCCCCACCTTCATTGGTCCAACATTCACCTCGCCGACAACACAGCCATAACCATAGCCACTGATTGATGTCGGCCGCGTCACGTCTCATCGGGCTGGTTCGGCTGGTAATACTGGTTCTGTTTTTCTTTCCTCTGGCGCTTCCATAATTCCGTAACATCTCCCCCTCCCCGCCGTCGGCGATCAAAGAGCATACCTCCGTTGTACGGAGTACCCGCGCTATCAACCCCTTTTAACGCCGGAACTTCAACTCTTAACCATGCCGCCGCCGGTGCCAGTCAGCGCGAACCGGGGAGATGCCCAGCGGCCCAGGGAACCATCGACACTTTATAAGGTACATCTTCCTATCTACCCTCGCTGCGCGCCTTTGACTAAAAACCACTAGTTCATCATGACCCCCTTCATATTCACCACTTTCCTCCTCTCTCTCGCCCTCGTAGACCTCCGCCATTCGATTTCCCGCACCCGTTATCACGCTCACCCTACTTCAACGGCGGCCGACGACGCCGCTCATTCGGATCACCGAAGCAGAACTCGCTTGCCGCCCTGGTTACACCGGCTTATATACCGGTACCAGCCCTACCGCTACGACAAAGAGCGGCCCGGCTCTAGCGCCACGGCGTCGCCCGCTGTGACTCCGGGGTTAAGTCCAGGAACGCCGGGGACCCCCGGGAGTTATCTGAGTAAGGGCGAAGAGGCGGGGGATTATTATCACAGCAAGCAGCGCAAGCTGATGAAGATGGAGGCGGAGGAGGCGTTCGAGATGCGCGGGATGATAATGGTGGTGCTTGGCGTGGTGAGTGTTGGGGTTATGTGGGCGGCTTGGAGGGCGGTATCTTGGGGGCTGGGGGTTTTGTGGGGGTTGCTTGCTATTTAGCTGGGTACTTCAGGTGGGTTTGATAATGTACAGGAAGTGATGGTTTGAGGTCAACGGTTAACTTTGAAAGTGATGTCATATGGCGTACGGGGATAAACGGGGGACCGGGTTTACAAACACAGTAGTGTAGCTATTTATCACGGATTTAGGAAGGCGACCTGTTTTTCCTTGTTTTTCTTCTCTTTTCCGCTAAGGTATAGAAAGAATCGTCACGGTACGCCTCGAACGACATTAGAACCAATGGAGGAGTCTAGTAACCTAACGCCAGCAGGGACAGCAATCGCTCACAGGTCTCGCGGTCGATGCCAGACATATGTCACCTGCTGGGTGCCTGGTCCAAATCCCTCATACCAGTCTTCTTTGACGTTTACGAAACCCTCCCTCTCATATAGTTTCCTCGCAACCGTCAAGGAAGCCTGCGTCGTCAAAAAACACTCCGTAAAACCACCATCCTTTATAAACTTCATGGCCGCATCCAACAACTTCTTCCCTACCCCCAGCCCTCTGGCCGACCCATCAACGATAAACCCTCTCAGCCGCGCAACATTAGGTCTCCCTGGACACTCGCCATCCACGTAGATCGTACCCACCGTCCGCTCTTGCGGCGGGGCGCCAGGTTCTGAGGAGGGTGTTGTTGTCACAGCCGACCACACTTGGTTCACCGGATTACCCAGTCGGTCCAATACGTCGCCGAGTGAAGCGGATAGGACGACCTCAAACTTACGGCCCCAGCCATTCCGCGGGTAATAGTACTCAACGTTCATCTCGAGGCTGCGGGCGAGAAGACCCGGGCGATAGCCAGTGACAAGGGAGACCGTGGGAGGGGCCGGTAGTAGTGATGAAGGGACTTCTGGGGTGGCGCTCGGAGTGAGATCGGGGGTGGGGGTATCACCGACAGGACGGGATCGCTCAAGAGCAGCACCATAGGCTTGGAATGCTTTCGTGAAATCGACGGCACTTACTCCTGGGGGAGCAGCAGCCAGTGCTTTGGCGACCTGGTCGCGGGCATAGGTGTTGATCTCGGCGAGTGTCTTCTCTCCGGAAGCAGTGAGGACGTAGGTTTCATCATTCCTAGCAGCCGAAGATCCCTGGCGCTCCCGTCTCACAAGACCGGCCGAGACTAGTTCGACCAGCATACGAGAGGCCTGAGCCGGGCTGACGTTGAGCTCAGTGCAGAGGTCCGGGAAGGCCCGCCAGCCATAGTCGCCGATCTCGATGAGACAGTGCACGGCGGCCGGGGAGAGCGGGAACGGGACGGGGGTCGGCCGGAGAAAGCCCCATTCGCGGACCAGCTTCCGTGATGCCTCTCGGAGCTGCAAGATCGGATCCCGGACCGGCGCCGGGCCTGCAGGGGGGTCTGCGGAGAGTGGAGTGACGGACGTGGCCATGTTGGACACCGAACACCGTTTGCTCCTCTGGGCGATGGAAAAGAATTATTAGCCGCTAGGTTTTCTTACTTCCTAGAATTTGCGCGGGCGCTCGACTCTGTTCTTTAAGTACCATTCACAACACAACCTCAAAGGCAACCTGTCGAAGATAACGTGCATCCGATTGCGGGGGATCTCCTCGACCACGCCCTTGCGATGATCAGCTTGCGCTTGGCGGTTGAAATCCACCCCGCCAGCCGGCTCGAAGACCTCGCAATCGCATATCTCCAATTCAATTTCGACGGGAAGTGGCCAGCTTCAAGGTAGTGTAGTTCTGTCAGCCCCCAGTAGAGATAGCGGGAAGGTTGTGCTGTGGCCCCACCTGTTGAATGGGAGCACCTAAAGGGGAAATCGCGACTCCCCCACACCCACGATAACTTTGCGCACCCCGTCCACTCTTCACCTCAAATCTCACATTTTACTCCTCAATCTCAGAACCCAGTTTGTCCATCGCCGGCGCCGATTTGTCATGGCCTGGGTGTCGAAGTTGAAGTAAACGGCCTCAAGACAAAAGCACTCAGCTGACGTGGCCTCCGAAGCGTTTAAGTACTATGGTAATTACTGATCCCGCGTATTCGACTTCGAAGAAATTGCCATATTAGGCTTTTGACACCACTGGGGCCTACAGCTGTGGTCGTTGTGCAGTCCGTGGCCTGGTGGAGCGAAACCGAACAACCCCTGGAAAACGCTTCCAAGGAGCAACGGTTCAGCCGAGTCGTGGCAACAATCCCCCGTTCTCCGCCCTACTCATGGCCCCCGGTTCCGGTCGCCATTCACGATGCCCACCTTTTTATTGGCCAAGTGAGTCTTGCAAACGGAGCCGGAGTCCAAGAAGTTGCTCCGTGTCCAGCCTCGGCATGCAACACCACCAACACCATCCCAGGTTGGCCCGCCCCGTTGAGTTCCAGTCCCGGTTGAGGTGGGTTTGGCCCGTTTGGGGGAGCCTCCACCGGCAGTGAGTGCTGGATCGCTGGATTGTTGGCCCAAGGCACTTCACATCATTAGAAATTCGGTTGAAATCGTCTCTCCTGCGGCGGAGACGCTTTCTCCCTCCCCGCTTTCACTCTCTCGGAACCTTTTATTAGGAACATCAGAGGGGCCGACCCTAAAAGCCGGGTATTATACGAGAGTGCTGCGGGTGGTTTCACCACCGACACAATATTACACTAGGCAACTCCCAACCCAACGTGATATATTATCCGGCCTTTCCCCTTTACACCTCACAACGAGGCCAAAAAGAACAGCACCTGTCCAGCCATTAATCGCCAATACCCATACGTTCGCCATGATTCCCTACCGCCTCATAACAGCTGTCGCTTTAGGCGGCGCCTACCTTCTTTCCTCTGGGAGAATCCCACAATGGACACCGTTCGGTTTCCTCCCTACCTTTGTAGCCTTGTGGGCAGTACAGAGCCTAGCCTATGCTTTCTGGGCCGTGATCCTCTACCCAAAGTTTTTCTCCCCGCTTCGCGGCTTGCCTGAACCGAGCGGCAACTCATGGTTCATGGGCCAGTTTGGGAAAATCAGAGCGTCCCCTACAGGAGTCCCCATGCTCGAGTGGTGAGGAGTTGTCCTGTTTTCTTCTTCCCCGATTTCAAGCCCGCGGCCCGCAATCCGCAGCCCAGCACCCAATACCCAGTTTACCGTCCTGCTTGCTAACTTGGCTTCCAGGATCAACTCGGTCCCGAACGATGGCCTTATCCGGTACCTGAGTTTGTTCAACCAGGAGAAACTCTTTATGACCTCGCCCAAGGCCCTTGCCGAGGTGCTCGTTACCAAGAGCTATGATTTTGTTCGCCCAGGCCCGGTCCGATTTGTATTGGGCCGCATCTTGGGTGACAGCCTGCTCATTGCCGAGGGAGACGTACACAAGATGCAGAGGAGGAATCTGCTTCCGGCTTTTGCCTTCCGCCATATCAAAGACCTTTACCCCGTCTTCTGGACCAAGGCCCGCGAGGGTGTGCAAGCCATGACCGAAGAAATATTGAAGGGTGCTGCGTTGAATGGCCAACCCGGCGGGCGCTCAGGCGTGATTGAAGCGTCGAGCTGGGCATCGCGAATCACCCTCGACATTATTGGCGTGGCCGGCCTGGGTCGTGATTTCAATGCTATCAAGGACCCTGGAAATCCTCTGACGGAAGCATATGCCCGTCTCTTCAAGCCGAGCCGCCAGGCGCGCACCCTCCAGCTGCTCGGCCTGATCACCCACCCAAGGCTCGTCGCGCTGCTACCGGTCAAGCGCAACGGCGACATCGACGCGTCCGCTCACCACATCCGGGCCGTGTGCGCCAATATCATCCAAGAAAAGAAACAGAAGCTAGCGGAGAAGGAACGGACTGACGTGGATATCTTGTCCGTCGCCCTCGAGTCGGGCGCCTTTACCGACGAGAACCTTGTCGACCAGCTCATGACTTTCCTTGCCGCCGGCCACGAGACCACCGCCTCATCCATGACCTGGGCCATCTACCTCCTGGCCAAACATCCCGAGGTGCAGAGGCGGCTACGTGCCGAGGTTCGTGAGCACCTACCCCCACCATCGGGCGCCGACGACGCAGCTTCCAGCATCTCCAGCGTCGACATCGACAAGATGCCCTACCTCAACGCTGTCTGCAACGAAGTCCTACGCTACTACGGGCCCGTCCCCCTGACCCCGCGCGTCGCCGCGCGCGACACTACCATCCTCGGCCAGCGCGTGCCCAAGGGTACCCAGGTCGTTCTGGTGCCCTGGGCTATCAACAAGTCTGAAGCAATGTGGGGTGCCGACGCGCTCGTTTTCAACCCCGACCGCTGGATGCCCGGGCCTGACGACGCCGACCGCCGTGCGGCCGCTAGTGGTGGCGCTACGAGCAACTATGCCTTCATGACCTTCCTGCACGGCCCCCGCAGTTGCATCGGCATGTCGTTTGCTAAGGCCGAGTTTGCGTGTCTGCTGGCGTCGTGGATCGGGAGGTTCGAGGTGGAGCTGCATAATAAGGAGGAGTTGGACGAGTCCAGGATTGAGATCAAGGGTGGCGTTACCGCGCGGCCGGCTCACGGGATGTATGTTAAAGCGACGGTGGTCGAGGGGTGGTGATAGAATATAGAAAGGATAAGGGTTGGGCTGTTTGATAAGCTTGTTGTGTTTTAGGGGTTCTTGGGTTTTTTTGCTTGCTGTACTCTACTCTACAATGTCTCGCGGGTTTACTCGGAAAGGCGCATAATCGTTACGGTTCTGTCACATAGTCTCTAGTCAGCAGGATGGGTTCACAATCTCTCTTATTACCTCACCTCGTACTTGAACACTTCCAACCACCGAGTCGTTGCTATAGTTGCGGATTGCACGGGATGAACTAGGTCCCTTCAGCTAAGTCAAGGGACGGCCGGGCGGGAAATCCAAGGGAGGATTCCAAGGCCATAAAACGGTTGTCGTTCAAAATTGAAGGACAACAATGGGTTAAGATATGTACGTGGGTGCGTTTTGACAAATGTAAGATACGGACCGCAGGTTAAGTACATGCTTGTCTTGAAATGCACTCTGCGTGCCCATAGCTAGAGGCGTGTCTACAGTAGTTGTTAGGTAAGCGGGCAGCTCTAACATTCGTTGAAGGGGTAATAAAACCGAGTGCATACTTCAAAACCCAATGACTATGTGGGAGGAAGTCATTTTGCGCCCAAGTTTAACTCCGAGGAATAGGTGAGCGGCGAGCCATTCTTACACACCTCAGCTCTAGCTTTCGAGTAGTCCGGGCCCAAATACAGTCCCGGCTACCAGCAGGATCGGACCGCCTGAGGTCCTGCTGCTGAAACATAAAACATCCCGTGTGCTCAGCTGACGGGTGTGCGGGAGAGCGGCACAGGGGGAGCTCTCTTCCGGGATGACCGGAGCGCGATGGTTGAGATGGTGCTGTGATAACTCGCGGGATTCCAGACAGTGGAGCCCCTGCAGTGGTTCATGCAAAGCATCGCCCTCACGGACCACGGCGCATGTTTCAGTCCGGGACAGGACGAGACGAGACGAGACGATTTTTTGTTTACGGGTTTTCACTTGATGCATTTTGGGTCCTTGTTGGGGTTGTTCTGACGTGCAATTACACATGAATTCTCGGCCTTGCATTTGGCGTCTGCATCCGCTGCAGGCTGCCCGGAGTACTGCGGAAGCTCCGGGATCAAATCGCACATTGGAAATTGAAGACCGCACAAGTGAAGGTCAAGGTGAAGGTGGGTGGGTTGATGCCCCAGGTTGGTTTGGTCGGTTGCTCGAGGCTTGGCCAAAGTGATGATCTCGCAATCCGTTTGTTCCTCCGACATACAATTTCTAAAAAAGAGACATTCCTGGCTAGGTATCCAAATAAGTTACCCGGGTAGTTAGTCCTTTGCTCCATCCATCCATCTGAGATGGCAGTCTCATTGATTGCTTCACTTCTCGGAATGAGCCCCCCCTGCCCAGCCGTGCCGCTTCGCATCTTCATTGTGCCGCGCGCGCCCACCTTGCCACATTCGCTGATCAGTGGGCTCCATGTTTGTTTCTGAGCAATGGTGAGACATCTCGAGGCAAGGTTGCTCAATTTGGCGGAACACCGTGCCACCCCGGAGTCCTGCTCCTGCATATCTGTGTGGGGTCCATGGGGTCTGAGGGCCCCATGGATCGTGATAGCCTCCACACTCTCAAGCTCATCGGACCGTGCGCGGACGTGTAGAGGGGTTGGGGGTCTTGGCTGTGGGGGTCCGAAGGTTGGTGATGGAGACGGGGTTAAGGGACGAGAAAGCCACCGCAGCGCTGTCAAGAATGTTAGAGGCCACTCTGGAATACAAGGTGAAAGACGGGACGCGGAAGTTTGCTTGAGGTGATTTACTTCGTAAATTCATATAACTAATGTATGTCCAAATAGCATTAGGCACGACTGGCTGGTTCTGTCTGCCTACTACCGTATGTGATGTTAAATGATCATGACCTCAACCTGCCAAATATCCATTCCTCCAGAACCAAGTCCGAAACTCCCTGTCAATCCCGTTGTTCCCAAAGCCATGACCTGCCGCCAGATGGATCCAATGCCCGAGATACTAAACAAATCCCCCCAAACTCAGCCGTGACCCCCTTCCCCCTTCGGAGAGTAAACGCCGTTTCCGTCTGCTGTAATGATGGAGGGGCCGAAGAGCAAGGCTGCATATTAATACACGTACGGTAACACCCCCAAAGATCCCCGAAACAAATGAAAAAAACAACCCATTGAACAATCTACCCCATCACCTCCAAGTTCCATGTATTCTCCCACGCCGATGGCTCGTCCGCTTCAACCCAACATCCCCATTGATCATTAGGCTTTTCCACCGTCGCCCGACACTACTGCGGTCCTTGCCCAGGCTACGCGCACAGTCTTGCCAGTCCGACTTGGTCAGCTTGAGCTTCTCGAGCACCAGCTCCACGAGGATGCGATCCTCCTCCGTGCTCCACGCCTCGCCGTCTCCTTCTACGACAGTGTCGGTACCCGGCTGCTCGGTGTCGCCTTCTGCGAGAGCGCCGCTGTCAGAGGAGAAGGAGGATGAAAAGGAGGAGTGGAGGCTGTGGTAGTCGGCGCGTTCGAGACCGAGCGGAATGACCTCGGGCGCAATGCGCGAGCGTTTTGGTGTGTGGAGCGGGGCTGGTTCCGGTCGACTGTCGTCTCCGTCGTCCTGTTGTTCCGTCTCGTGTTCCATGTCGCTGTCGTCTTCGTGTCCTGCATCGTCGTCGAGGGCGCGGCGGCGCTTATTGGGGCCGCGTGGTGCTTGTTGCGCGATTGACGTGGTGCGCTTTACGATGCGCTTTCTGGCTGGGCCGTGCTCGCCCGAGGGTGTTGCGCCGTCTGCCTTCTTACGCGATCGTAGGCGTAGCTTCAGAGGAGATGGTGCATGCGCTAGCGGTGGACTCGGCAGATGCTGGCGGGTCGAATTTGGTGGCGTGATGGGTTCCTGGGCTGTAGAATGCGCGGGTGGGTTGGCGATGAGTGACTGGAGGGAACGGCAGGTAGAGAAGATGTTCCCTATCGCGGTCTGCGGTGCGACTTGCGGTGGGGGGCTGGAAGGCGGCGACGCGAATAGCGCCGTTTGAAGTCGCGTCAGGCGCGGAGAGTGCGACGAGTGCGACGAGTCGCACGGCAGCGCCGACGGCAACAACATGTTGGAGGAACGTATTTGAATGTAGGCGCGTCGGTATTTCGAGCAGGCAACCGCAGAGGATGCGGAAGAACTTGTCGGGAGTGTAGACGGTACGCGACTTCCGGCAGAGACGGTTTGCGACGACAAGGGGAAATGCGATTGAATGCGCCAGTGGTTGGGAAGGTCGATGATGGCAGCAAACGGATTGTCGTTGTTCGTATTGGTAGTGTCTGAGAGCAAACGATATGATTTGGAAATGTTCGTAGTGTGCTTGAGGCTGATGTAGGCACAATCGTCGACTTGTTTCACGCAAGAAGCTGGTGGTGCGGATGTTGCAGTGAGAGAAGGCGACACGGAAGAGGGACGGGAATCTTGTCGACGGGATCCGGAGAGGGCGGACCAGAGGAGAATGCGCCATAATAAGAGCAGGCCCGCCCAAGCGGCAGTCGGCGACAGGGGCTGGTGCGCAGAAAGTGGGCCACATGACGGGGGTTGTGCAGGCTCGGCAGGGCTTCCAGGTGCTGCCCAGGGGGCGCGAGCCAATGGTGCCGGGGCTTGTGCGATCCAGATGCCCCTCTTCCTCGCAACCCTCCACAAAGTGTCTTTCTCCCTCCCATGCCTCTGTCCTGCAACCACTTTAGGAACAAGCGACGAAAATGGGGGAGGGGGTATCGCTTCTGCACAAAAAGCCGTAGTCCCTCCCCTCGTGCAGAATCGGGTGTGGAACGGAGGGATGATAGTTAAACGAAGCCAAGCCGTTACGGAATACCGTCCCAACCCAAACCCTTCCTTGTTTTCCCGCCCACCCTCCGAGCAATCGGCCAAGGTCCAAGGCAAACTCGGAAGAAGGCAGCAGTGGTGATAGCAGCAGGCAGAATGAAAAGAACTCGTGAAAGACGGCCGCGGCCCGGGGGTTGGAGGAAGCCTATTTCGAACTGTTCTTCCTCTCCCTCCTCAAGGGAGAAGTCCAGGACGAGCTGTGTCGCGCCACAGAGTATCTTGTGTGGATCAATCTCCGGTCCGTAGAAGGACAGACCATTGCTTCTTCTTGTGGCATTTGCACTTTGTACTCTGCCCTTGAGGAAAAGGCAGCGTAGTGCAATATCCGTGAGACCGAACCTTGGGTTATATCCCAGGCTATTATGATGTGGCCAGCCTGGTTTTCACTCCAGATCCGCGTCATCCTCCCACCCTTTTGCAACGGTGTTGCGTCTTCTAGAATGTTGAACATGCAGGCTGTTTTTGGCCCAACTACCTACCAATGCGTTTTGAGTGTTATGCTGGGCCCCGATGCCATTCGGCCAGTGCCCGATCAAGTAAGTTAGGTACTCATGACGGTGTCTGTATCGAGACTTGCAACAAAGGTGGGAGCGGAGTAGCAAGCTGGGATCTGGGACATCATCAGGGGCATACCAATACCTAGGGACTGCCTCTGCACATTCACGCATTTTGCAAACTGCAGGAACAAAGAATTCACACCAGCCACATCCAAAGCAGGTTCCCAATGATGGAGGGTGCGGTTTTGATATCCTTGCCACTTATTTTGGCGGTGCGGGGGCATGACTCTGTTGAAGACAACTCCACACCGACTGCTCCAAGGTGGGAAAGGCTCGGCTCCGACGATTAGGATGGACCTTGGGGACAGAGACCCTTATTTTTAGCTTCGAAAATCAGCCATGTCAAAGTTTTCTTTAGGTGAAAATTTGTTTCCGAAAATGAATGCGAGTACCATTCTTGGAGCATTCGGGAATCATTCCAATATTAAGGCATCTCTTCCATTGGAAGAGACATTCACCAGATTCACACAGAACACTGAGGCGTGGTGTGGCGCCTTTTGAAGTGAGTCTCTCCAGGCCAATTTGGCATTGTCCACACATTGGCGCATCCCGCCGCTTGGGGGGAGAGATAGAGGGGGCACAGAGGGGTTCGAAGTGGGAGGGGGACAAAAGGTGAGTCGGCTGGGAGACGCGTCGGGTCGCGAGAAATACGCGACGCGGACGCGCATCAGGGTGGGCCCAATTTAAAGCCTGGTAGCCAATGGTGGGACGGAGATGGGCTGCATGCCCACAATGATTGGTGGGAGCTTGAAACGGTTTTCTTGGACCCTGACAGGCCCCACTTGAACATGATCACGCTCTGATCGTTTCCTTGTCAAAGCTCCCACTTGAAGCTGTGTTCAGCTTCGACATCCATGTCTCAATGTTCACTCAATGGCCCACACCAAAAGTCGGGAATTCCCGCTTGGGAGAGACAACACCCGTCTTGCCGTCCCAGAGTTGGGGTCTCACACGACGTCTGTTTACACCACATCCCCCCTGACCCCTTGTTGGTGTTTACTTCTTACCAGCGGTGAGGATACCCAATGAATTTGGCTTCAGTTAAGCATCAATTAGTGTAGTGGTACCCGGACACCTACTCGATGGAGAGCTGTTGCATGCGACCATTATGAGCAACCCCTATTTCCCTTAAACAAACAGCTTGCTCCCTCGCTGTGCTAGTTAGACTCTGCAATCGATGGCTTTGCTGTTACAACTGTTTGGCTTAGAACATCTACGTGATTTCGTTATAACCCCTCTCGTTCCTACTCAATTATCTTTTTTTAAAAAAACGCCCGGCTACCTCCTCTGGCTCGCGAGATCAGACGACTGCCGGTCATTCCAGGTTTTTCTTTGTGAGTCATGATACCTTGACAATGTGACTTCTATTAGCCCTTCGCGTGGTACCATCTAGGTAGGTCAAGGGGTTCGTCCGAACTCGAGCGAAAAGGGCATGGCAATAACCGTCCCTTCTTCGCGTAGCAGAGATAGGTATCTACGACGAAGCGAGCAAATGTAAGTAGTATGGTGATGAGAGTTCCTGAATCCAAAGCCAACGAATAACCCTCTTTCAACACGCACACATACAGCACAGCACACATCACCGCAGCACCCATTCTGTTGGTGTTATCCCAAGTGCCTGTGCTTTGGTACATGATGTTGCTCCCCACGGTCGTCGTGATCCTGATCTAACAATAACAACTCATCGACTAGTCGGCAAATTCCCTTGCCCACCTGGTTGACCTGTTAGATTCTGTTGCTCCTCATCACCTCCATAAATAACCACGGGAAACTGACAGCACATGTTCTCAAGCGGCAAACCCTTCTCCTAACCTCCTTGCTTTGTTGGGCTCTGCTGCCCTCTCAATCATCTCACAAGCACGTACCATTGCGAACAACACCACTGCTCAGATTGAGATATTTCTGCCAACCTGTCCCCAAGGAGCACAAGCCAGCATGAATAACAGATATTTCAGATGATAAACCGCCTCTTTGTGCTCCTACTTGCCTTCCTATGCCCTTTCCTTTCCCCAGTTCTGGAAAACACGAGCCACTGTGAACAACACAGCTCTTCGGATGGCCAACCTTCCTACCAGCCCTCCTGCCACACTATTTAAACCGATTGAACCCCCCTTCCTCCCCTGTTTCCTCTTCCCTTCCTCCCGCACACATACACACCTTCACACATCTTGACTCGCTCAGGAAGTGTGCATGGCCATCTATCCCCCTTGAGACCGCTCGTAATCGCATCCACAGTCACGGCTCAATATTTCTACCTCTATTCCTTCAAAGCGCCTTGCATCTTGAGCTTTCTAGCTGCATAACTTCTTCATCATTCCCTTTTCCTCACTCAAGCATGGAAGAGTACGAGCACCCCTCTCCCCCAGACCGCCGAAGGGGGCATGGCGCCACAGAACCCAAGAATGAAGAGCGCCCATCTCTCGAGGCTCTTTCGCTGAATCCTGAACGCACCCATCGTAACTGGTGGCCCAAGTACGGTCGGGTGCAAAAGTGCGACTGGTGCAACGGTCGGTCCAAAGGCACTCTCCACGTCTGCACCACTTGCTCCCTCCGCATGTGCGAGGACTGCGCCCGGAATCGGATCTGGCACGCCAATCGAACACACTTCATCGATGCCGATACACTGGACTGGGTCATGAAGAAGATCCCGAGGGTTGCGAGGGCGACAGCCACCAAGGTAACAAAGAAACCACAAGCAAAGCGCCCGGCTTCACCTGATCTCGTCTCAACTTCGGCCTCGCGTCATGGCAAGAAGGCCCGTGTGGTAGAAGAGCCTCCCCAGGAGGAAGAGGGGGACAACAGCTTTGCTGAACCCCTCTCGGAGGTGGCTGTCCCGGCCCGCCAGATAGCCGCTGAAACGCTCCTTGCTCTACACCAGGGAATTAACCACCAGGACGGAAACAACTATCAAGACCAGCACCAGAGGCATACCCACAGCCACGAGCAGACCCACGAACGTGCCGTGTTTGGTCCAGACAGCCACATCGACCCAGCTTTGTCGGAGTATCAGAACCAGAACAAGAACGTTAGCGCCGAGTCTAGGTCCGACTTTCCGGCTGGGGGATTCTCCTTCGTCACAGACCAGGACCGTGAGCACGACCGCATCGTCATGAGAATCTACGAGGCAATTTACGGACCTGGCGCGGTCCTGGATCCCTACCGTAGGCGCACTCGTATCCCCAAGGAGTGGAACGGCCGCCAGCATATCACCAATAACCCATATGATCATGTGCCGGGCGGGTATGAGTACAGCTCACGCCCCAGCGAGTCTTCGACCCATCGCTCTGGCTTTTCTGGCCAGTATCACCCTTCGGAGGTAGGAAATAAATTGTCCCCTTATTCGCCGCTTCCCTCTTGCCTCTTTCCCCTTAACCAGCCTAAAAGTGCCAGTTGAAGCCTGAGCTAACGAACCTTCCACCCCTCTGCAGTATCCGACCTTCCAAGACGCCCATAACCTAGACCTCCGGCACGAACACACCATTCCTGTGGCTAAGGAGTCTGAGAACAGCCGTTATGACAGGCAGATCCGGGACGACATGTGTGATGCCTGGGAACGCAACAGCTCAGTGTTTCAACTGGCTGCCACTCACGGTCAAATTTACGCCCTGGAGGTTCTTTGGGAGGTCTTTGAGCTGCGCCGCCTGTACCTGCCCGAGGCTCTCCCCCATCGCGATAGCCTGGCCGTCTGCTGGTTCGTCGATCGGCGCAACCGACTCAAACGTAACGAGATGGAGCCAACCCGTCTTCCGCAGATGTATGAGCGGGATCAGCACAACCAACGGCAATACAACCAAGAGCAACTATACAGCTCGCGGCCAGTCCGGCCCCGACCGGGAGCTTCCCACGGCTGGGAAGAGGAGGAAGAGTTGATTCGGCAGCATGATCGCACCGCCGAAGACGTTCTCACCCGGACATTTACCAACCACCACGACGCCGTAGGTTCTTCTCATCGTGCCGCCCCGGCCGTTACCGGCAGTGAGCACATGCCTCGAGGCATGGGTCAACACGACCACAACGAAGCTAGCCACAGCCATTATCATCCTCACCGGGAGTACGACGGCCCGCCGCGCGCGGCCCATCCCAGACCCTTCCCTGAGTACGACCCCAACGCCACCACGAAAGCTGACAGGGACGGCCGGGTTGACAACTAAGTCCCCAGCCCGCATCCGGAATCACACACGCCCATCATCATCACCAACCACGGCGTGGCGTGAGCCCTTCACCAATTGAGGGCCACTGACTGATGTTTACCAAATCGATAATTCGACAAAACCGCTCTTGCTCACCGGTGGCTCTGATAAGTGGCTTTTACACAACGGGATTTCTTTTTTGTGGTTGGGTTGAGGGAGAGAGGGAGGGACTAGAGGCCTGCTCTATCTACTATTTATCATGTATCCTCTCACATGCCATCGTAATGGTTTCGTCGTTTTTTTCTTCTTTATCTTTCCGCTTTTCTCTTTCTCTCCTCCCCAATAATCTGGTCTCACACCCTTGCGATGCGTTCATTTTTCCGACTTGGAGGAGCGTTTTATTCGAGAGCTTTGTTGGGTTTTGTTAGGGTCATAAGGGTTCCGGTGTTGACCATTCTGCGCATTTACAGCAAAAAGCAGTCCCCAGTATGGTCATTTCTCTTTCATTAGGTAGCTCGGGCGTTTTGCATTTGGGACATACATCAGCGTAGATTTCGATAGAACGAAGCATTCATCAGCGACCCTCATTCATCAGTTTGCTTTTCAGACACTCAATTGGGGCGGGGGTAATGGAAGCAATGTGCACCAGGGAATGAGGTTATCACTAGTACAGGGCGTGAGACCAGATCGTTTGCTTGAGCCAACGCTGGACATATTGAACCGTATTTTGGCCGCGCTTAGCTACATTTCTACCTTTTGGCTTTGCTATCCGGACGGTAATAAGTAGCTAATGGCCAAACATATGCTTACCACAATCGCGTTTGTGTATTCATTGGATGCTGAGTGTTGGCATTTAGGTTCTCAGGATACAGTGGCGGTGAATTTGGTGAAATCTATATAGCAGATCAGTCAAGTTCTACGCCTGCTTCTTCAATAACAAAAAGAAAACGTTATTTTTTTCATATCTTGGAGATTCCTGGTCAAACCCCATGAGGAACCAAGTATTGCGGGAATAGCACCTATAAGAAACGTTTGTCAAGAAACCAATATGCTAGGGAAAGTCATGGTATTATTTTGAATTACAATTACGCTATCTATGTGTACGCCCTCTTCCAAACCTCTAAATAAACAGCGATACTACTCCTAACGATCGCCGTGGCCAAGGATCGACTCTGTCAACGTATCTTTCTCCGCACCAAGAATCATGTCCAAAAGCTTCTCCTTCTCGGCGCTCTTTTGCACCAATTCCCAAAACGCGCCGGTACCATCTACCGCTTCTTCTTCCCCATCCTGGGTTTGCGAGGCACTAGCGCTGTCGTCATCATCGATGCCGCTAGCACCCTCCGTCGTTTCATCCGCCGCCCGCCTCATACCTGCGAGCAAAAGCTCACGGGGCGTGCCAATCTCAGCTACACGGCCTTTCTCCAGAACCAACACCCGATCGAAGTCGGCCACGGTTGACAGGCGATGAGCGATAACAAGCACCGTGCATCCCGCGGCCGCGAACTCTTGCCGTAGCGACTCTTGGATGTTGCTGTCCGTTCCCCGATCGACCGCGCTCGTGGCTTCGTCAAGTACGACAATTTTGGGCCGTTTAAGGAGAGACCTGGCCAGGCACACGAGTTGGCGTTGTCCCTGGGAGAGATTGGCGCCCCCTGTGCTGACAGGGGTGGAAAGGTTTGTGAAGATGTTTGAACTGTCCTGGCCGGGCTGCGGTTCTGGTATGGGGTCGATCACGGTCGGCTCGGCATTGATTGTTGTCGACGCCTCGGTCGCCGTCTCGGAACGGAGGCCCGGTAATATGGTCGATCCCGATGTGCTGGCGAGAGTATTACTGTCTGGTACGACGGGTGCGGTTTGGTCATCTGTATCTTCGTCGCTCTCAATCAAGTGTACGCGTTTCAGCGACTCAAGCAGCTCGTGGTCTTCGAGAATTCCCTCCATATCCAAGTTTGAACGAAGGGTGCCCCTGAGAATGCCGGGTCAGTCAAAACGCACTAATACCTGCGAGCATTGCATCGGTGGAATTTTGGAGGTTGGTGAAGATAGAGAGAGAGGTGTGAAGGTATACTCACGAGAATAGAAAGGGGTCTTGCGGAATGATGGCAAGACGGCTGCGCAGCTGAGACAACTTCAACGTTGAGATATCCACGTTGTCAACGTGAACGGAACCTTCAAGAGGATCGAGCAGGCGGAATAAAACCGCAGCGAGGGTCGACTTCCCAGCTCCGGTCCGGCCGACAATGCCGATCCGCTCACCAGCGCCGACGGTGAAGTTGAGGTTCTTCAACACAGGGGGGAGATCATCGGCGTAACGAATCGTCAGGTTATTGACCTCGATCTTCCCTTCTGCTGGCCATGCGGCTGGGGCGTCCTTGCCGCCCTCCGGTTCAGTGTCGATCTCGGCGTATTCAAGGACTCGCTCGCAAGCATTGAATCCCAGCTCGACCGAGGTCAAGGATTGCAATAGCGAAGTCAACGCGTTCGTGTACCGCAAGGCGAAAGCCAGGCTGAAACCAGCCAAGGCAGCGTCAACACGGCTGAAGGCCACGGCGTTCGCCACGACGCTGACGAACAAGGCGCCAAGCACCCCCATCCTGAAAGCCATCCAGCGGGTGGACAGCTCCAACATCCATGACGCCTTAGCGCTATTGTCGATCAGGCGATACATACGGTCCATGTAGAAATTGGTGCGGTCAAAGGCACGGATGGTGGAGAGGCCTGAAAGGACGGAGCTAAACTGGTCGTAGATCGGAGAGTGCGAAACCGAGTTGATCCGCTTGACCTCGCGGGCAGCGATGATGTACTCGCGGGCAACACCCACATAGAGAAGGAAGAGTAAGACGCCAAAAAATATTACGTAGACAGATACCGACAGACTGGTACCGGTAGTTAGAAAACGGAACAATAGTTAATCCCTTCAAAGGGTTGGGTGGGCTCAGAAGGAACATACCTAGTGGCAATGATGACGGCCAAGAAGAGAATATTGCGAATAAAGGTAAACGTTTGGTTGGAGAGACGTCTGTCAACCACGAAAGTGTCTGAGGTGAAGCGGTTAAGAATACGGCCAGACGGAACCGTGTCAATCCAGCGTAAGGGTGCTCTAAGAATGGCATGCGTCATGCGCTGGAACAGCGCCTTGGAGGCCGTCAACCCCACGAAAAAGAAAACGATCACACGAATGATCTGGACCAAGAGCATGGCAAATTCGATCACGATGTAGGCACCCAACCCTAGTAGTCGAAGAGTCAGCAGACGCTCCACGCAAACATACAGGCTAACACGCCGTACTGTAGGACCAAAGAACGAAATGGGGTGTGCTTACAAAAGAAGATACCGTGCTCTGTTTCGCCGACCTTCGCGGACACAAAGTCGCTGGTATAAACCAAGGAGACCACCATGTGGGCCGTTTGCGAGGTGAGATGAACCGTATCGGAGGCCGCCTGCTGTGACAGCTCCTTCAAACTCCAGTTTCGGGCCACTGTTAGGAAATGGCCAAGGAGCAGGATGAATATCCCTATCAACCAGTAGACGGTGCCACCACTAGCTTTGTAGTAAGCTTTGTACACCTCCCATTTGACACGTCCGGTCTCCCGTTGCTCCTCGTCTTCCTTCTTGGGATTCTTTAAGGTGTTCGCGTCGGCATGGCCATTTATGTTGTTGATGCCGTTAGTGCCGTTAGTGCCGTTAGTGCCGTTAGTGCCATCGTGGCCGTGGTGAGCACTGTCATCATTTTGTGAAGATTCCAATACCGCGGACACCTGCTGCGCTTCAGCACCACTACGCTCCGTATCAGTCGGTACAAGACGCTCCACTGAGTCAACCTCGCCGCTACGGAGACGAACAAGATAGCTCGCGTAGGGGAGGACCAACTCGGCATGGTGAGTGGCCAAGATGCGGGTCCTCCCCCGGGCAAGCACTCCGGTAAGAGCTTCATCGACAATCAGCTTGCCAACGTGGGCGTCAACCGCACTCAATACATCGTCGAGAACAAGAATGCCGGCTCGAGAGTAGAGAGCCCGGGCAAGGGCGACACGCCAACGCTGGCCGCCTGAAAGACTGATCCCCTTGGGGCCGACTTCCGTCGCATCACCGTCTACGAGAAGCTCAATGTCCTTTTCGAGAGCGCAGGCCCTGAGGACCTTGCGGTAGCGATCTGCGACAAATGGGAGACCAAACGTGATGTTTTCCCTGACCGTCCCACCTTCGATCCAGGGCGACTGGGAAACAAATGCGGTCAGCTGAGGGACTATCCAGTCGGCCTCCGAAATGTGCGTGGCGGTATCGTCGATCTCGGGGGAGGATGGCATGTGAACGGCCCCAGACAATAGCTTGACTTCTCCGAGAAGTGCCGCAAGCAAAAGACTCTTCCCAGAGCCCGTTTTGCCAGTAATAACGCTGAGCTGTTCGATCGGGAAATCCAGAGTGGCGTCCCTCAGGATCGAGTGCGCTTCCCGCTGCGCTTCCGTCCCCGGCTCGGGGATCTCGCTGTCTTGAACCCTCGGCCACGCCACCGTCGCGTTGTCAAACGTAATACGTTCCCCAGGCTCCGACACGGGGGCCTTGTCAGTCTGGTTGAAGTACTTTTCAAGTCTCACGGCGCTGGTCCATGCCTCGAGAAGGTACATCTGCAGAAGAGGCAGTAACGCTACAGCCTCGTCAAGCTGGTCGAATAAGCCTAGCGAGGTGAAAATGATGGAGGCTCGGATGTGCGTGCCGTTCTGCCACACATAAATGAGGAAAGTAACACTGGCGAGCAGCAGCGGGCCAAGGTTGACCATGAAAACCACCAAGCACTGCCAAAGCGCGACCCTCCAGTACTGCCTAAGCTCTTCGTTCCGCGATGAGAGGATTTTGTTCTCCCAGTGTTGCTCGAGAGCGGAGTATCGGATTTGCCGCATGCCTTGGAGCGCTTCCGTCAAGAGGTGAGCTTTCCCATCTCGGTATTTCATCAGACCGAAGTGCAAGGCCGTATATCGTCTAGACAGCATGGAGCTCAAGGGGACCATCAAAGACCCAGCGGCCAAGCCGCACACGACCGGCAACCAGCCCATCAAACTGACGGCAAACCCGCCAGCGAGGATAAGCTTGAAAATAGCCATGGGAAAGTTATTGTTATACGTGCAGAAAATTGTAACGCGGCCACTAACGAAGTCAGTCAAGATTTTAGCGTGAATCTCCTACACGTGGTAATTGGGCTCAGCTTCGAGGGACGCCATACCTATCCAGCTTCATGTGGTTGATCACCGACTGTCGGGTTTCGGGCTCCTTGGCCTTTTTCTTGCCAGCCCCCTCGCCGCTGTCATGGTGCCCATCTCTCTGGGCACCTTCCTGGGCGGAATCGCGGTTTTTATCCGCATTCTGGCCTGGGGGCGCTGTTTCGTAGAGCTTGAGGGCCTTAGAGAAGACAAGAGACTGCAGAAGCGAGCTCACCGGAATCTCGAGTCGACTGGAGGTGATCCATTTGAGCCAGTTGTTGACCCCAACTTGGAGCAGCTGACTCAGTAAAAGCCCAAAGACCCAGAAGAACACAGTCGGGTCAGCGGCCGTGTGCTCTCGGCTCCGCTCAATTTTAGACAAGAAGTTGTACAGGACAACCTGGGGAAACAGGGACAGAAATGCAATGATTAAGGTTAACAACCATTGGAGCACAAGCTCGCCGGCATAGGCTCTGATAAGCCGCTTCCAAAGGGGCCCCTTGGCACGGTTCCCGAGAAATTTGGCCTCTAGGTACCTCGACCCCGTGACAAAATCAAGATTGGGAATATCCTGGACCTGCATCTGTCGATGCTTCGCGACACTGAAAATCCTCCGATTCCAGGAGAACGAGAAAAGGGACAGGAGGGAGAGCGTGTGCTGTTGATCGACAAGTGCCGTCTCATCATAAATATCGGGGCGCCGCGGAACGGCGGCGAAGCCACATGCCGTCACCACAGCCACCATCAGTTGAATAGAATAGAGCACCCCCAAGGATAACGCCGTGGTATCTCTCTCCGAGTCGACAAACGATGCAAGGGCTTCGTAAGCGTGGCGAAAGGCGATAGAAATGGCGAGGACAAGCGCCGACAGCATACCAAAGATGGCGAGGTAGAATTTTGGGTGGTAATGGCGTTTGGGGGGCATGAGAGCACAGTGTAGGCACATGAGCACCTACGAGAGAATCAGCCAAGGCCTCGATGAGAGGAACAGTCAGGCGAGTATTCTTACCCAGCAGGCCGGTTCCGTCCAGGTGTCCAGCGAAGTGAGGGTGTCAGCGTGGTCAGGACTCTTGAGGCCCACAATCTTCACAGCGATAGATGCTGCCAGGCCTGTAACCGCTCCGAGCCAGACCGCAATTCTGGCCCGTGTGTCCGTGAAGGCCCGAATAGAATCCTCGGTGGCGACACCATCGCGATCTTGATAGCCAACTTCATCTCTGCCCAGTTGGATATAGCCTGCCCCCGGTCGAATACGCGTTTTCCAGGCGCGAACAAAGGCGGGTAACGTGAGCAAGGCGACGACGATCGTCACAGCGAGGCCGCTGAGCTGATGCAAGAGATCTGGGTCCAACATCGTCGGGCGGATGTCGGTAAAATAAAGCCCCGAGGCTGGGGGTTGGTACGGCAGCAAATTGAAAGGACAACCCCCCAAGTTAGGGCCTCAATTGCAGTGAAGGCACCTTCAATAACCTCTTGTGGTGCATTGCAAGAGAATTTTTTTGGGTCGTGCGGCTGGTTAACAAACCTGCAGCCAGGAAGAAGATGGGCAAAAACACACAGAGAGGAAAACCCGGCCCAAAGAGTCGGTCGTGGTTGGAACAAAAAAATAGGTCCCAAGGCGTGTGAAGTACAGTGCGAGACTCAGCCGCCCGGGGTTTTTGTTCACAGCTCAGAGGGAAGTAACGTTAGTGTTGGGAGAAGAACAGGAGTATCAAGCTTCCTGCTGTCGGGGTTTGGCAGCTGAACTGGTTCTACCCGCAGCGCTTGGAGGCGAAGGGTCATCAATTACCGAACCAATGCCACTCTCCGCCAATTTGACGCAGCACTGCACATCGCTCTCGGTTGATCACATTGTGCAGGCCAACAGGCCTCCAGCCGCTCAGCGCAATGCTCTGCCGAGTGCGCCCACACAGTGTCCGTACCGTATGTCCGCCGCACCCACGCCGTCGGTTTCGAGCTAAGAGGGGCGCTAAGATAACTGCCGCCGTGGCTGCTTTTTCTTCAGCTGCTCTCATGCGACTTGGCTCACCGCAATAGCCCAAACTGAACTGCTGGTCAACATCGGCCACGTTTCATTATCTACACTGCTCTCTCGCTAACTCCTTTTTCTTTCCCCTCCGCCTTCTCGTCTTTCTTTCTTACAGCCTTTCTCAGTCCTACCACACAATGGCCGCCGACGCCTAACCCCCAACCACACTTCCTCCGTTACAATGGATCGTCTGCCCGCTGATGGACGAGCTGTCCGACGAAGCCAGAAAGACCACACACGTTGCAATCTCACTCGGTTCTAAAACAAATGCGGTGAGTATTTTGCTCTCGCAAGAACTGGGTGCCCAAGAAACCAAAAGGAACCACTGAAACGTACGTGCCGGGCGACCCATGGGGCTGGTGAACTCCTTCTGTGCCGTGTCTGACATGGTTGACGGGATGAGGGGTGTCCAGACTGGCCCAGGTGCAATCGCGTTGACCCGGATGCCCTGGCCGATCTTCTGGTTGCTCAGTCCACGGGTAAAGGAAACAATGGCCCCCTTCGTGGATGTGTAGTCGAGGAGGTCTGGTCGTCCGATATACGCATTAATACTAGCGTTGTTGATGATGGTGCTGCCTCGCTTCATATGCGGCAGAGCATATTTCGCCAAGAAGAAGTAAGGGTGGATGTTGGTGTTGAAGGTATGCACCCATTGGTCTCTACCTGCGACGTCAGCATGTTATGCCCTTAAACCTCGCATTTCATCTGGCCGCTCGAGGCTGACTTACTCAGAGAGATCGTTGATATCCTCCACCATCATTTGGTAGGCTGCATTGTTGAACAGAATATCTATTTTCCCGCCGGAAACATTGATGGCTTCATCAATGACCTTTCTGCAGTTTGCCTTGTCTCTGAGATCCGTGGCCAGCAGGTAGCATTGCTGCCCATACTTCTCTACCCACTTCTTGGTTTTCTGCGCATCCTCCTCCTCCTCGGGCAGATACGCAATAAGGGAGTCGGCGCCTTCCATGGCAAACAAAATGGCGGTTGCCCGGCCAATGCCCGAGTCGCCTCCAGTGATAATGGCCTTCTTCCCCTTCAACTTCCCTGCTGCTTTGTACTTCTGACTTCTGCCATCGTCGGTTGGGATCTCATCAAACAGAGGTGTGGGATAAGGCATGTTGCTCTCCAACCCCGGGAAATCCTGGCTTGTCACCGGAATTTGATGACCTGTTTGTATCAGTCGGTCTTGCTCGGCGTGTAAGTGCCCTGCCCCCCCTTCCCCCCCCCCCTGTGTCTCTTACCGGCTTCAAACTGCGATTTCGAAGACATTTTTTTCTAGATATTCGTGCAAATTATGGTGAACGATGAATATAAACACCTGGGAAATTAAAACTACAAAACAATTTTCGGGGGATCCCTTTTCTAATAATCAACCCAAAGTCATTACACCGCTACCCTTGTTTATAGCTTGCTTGTTGTTTGACTCCACAAAAACATGTGAAGTCAATGACGACATGGGATGTAACCGTCATCTTCATGGACTTTCATGGGACCTGGATCGCTGTGGCCAAAAAAAAGCGGAAGACCAACCCACAGATTTTGGCGTTGTACCCGGGATAGTTGCCTAGAAGCTTAATATCCATATGGCCATAGTGTTGTTGCTTGAGACCTTGTTTTAAACTATGGGTCGCTTGGTTATTCTTTTTTGTCTTCCTTTCACTTTTTTGTCTTTCCGCTTTTGTAAAAAAGTGTGGGCATCCAAGGACAGGCTTCGTCTCCCTTTTTGGCCACAACGAGCCTAGTTAGCCTAAACTTCACTTGACACCTTGTTGGAAGACAACCAAAATAGCAACTACACATCGTGATCTGAGGGTGTCGATCTATGACCAGTATGTAGCTACCACTGACAAGTTCAATCAAACGACAGTTATAACGAGGAGCTTGTACGGGTACAAACAAGACGCCGGAGATGACGCATTACGATGTAGATGCCAGACTAGGGATCTCGGTGATTGACCGAACTTTTCGCCGAAAACAAGACGGCCCCGAACTTGGTTGGGTATGTGTAGTACCACACTACCAATCAGTTCTCGACATGTTACCCAGGTGCCCAAAGCAGCCGGACCTTCCGTTGTTGTCATAGAGAGTGGTGTCTGTTGTAAATGTTTAGCCCGACAGAGTACCTCAAGCAACCTGCTGATCAGGAGCCCACTGACTTAGATCGAGGGATGATTGGACCCCCTTTCCCTCATTATCTTGACATAGACAAGTGAGCGTGATGGTCTTTCTCGGCTCAGCTTTAATGGAGCAGTCGGCGCAGCTAGTCGAGTAGTTCCCACTGTAGTAAATTCTCGTGTTAGTTGGCGAATCAAGAATATACGCGCAGACCGAGTCTTACTTGTCGTAGGCAACTAGTTGGCTGCCGTTGTTGCCAACACACCAATCCAAGTCTATCCTGTTGCTGATACATTAATGGCCACCCCTAATTACGTACGGAAACAAGACCTAGTTGCACATGACTTTACCAGGTGTAATTGTAGCCAAAGACCTCAGTCATGTTATTGCGACAAAATGCGCCTAACCAGTGGTCTGTCAGATTGGCAGCGACGAAGCCGCAGTAGATGACGAAGCTCTGTGTATCAGGTGGAATATCAGAGGCGGCTCGTGTTGCCGCGAAGACGACTAAGCCTGCAGAGAGAATGATCTCAGTGAGGGGGCGCATTATGATAAAAGCCCTTAGTACTCGTGGAGGTAAAAAAAAAAAGGTTGCCTCACGCGGTTAATATTATTAGCCCAGGCGTTTCAACTACCGCTTTCTTGTCAGGTCGTGCTTATATATGGCAGGGTCACGAGAGAGAGCCGAGAAATTGGGTATTCATGGAGAGGGCGGGTGGTTGAGGATATATTTGGGGTTAGCCGGCGCCGGGCCGCTCTATAATTTCGACCCATGATGGATTACTTACCTCGCCGGGAAGTCACGATTACCAACCTTGGTTAGGTAATGACCTTGGGTTTTCCGTGGAAGCCGAAATGGTCATGGGCCATGCCACTGTGACACTAGAGCACACAGAGAGGAAGGAGCACCTCGCACTCACAAGTAAACGTGCGGTCCATATTATGAATAGGTCCATGACAGAGTAGAAGGGCGATCCACCTTCCAGTCCCACACCTCGCTATTCCAAGATATATTCCCTTGTCTCGTGGCCTGTAGGTATCGGCATGGCCTTGTGTGCCTACCTATATAGCCTTGTGGGTGGGTGTGGCATTGCCTTAGGTAGGTAGGTAGGTAGATGGGAAGAATGAATTGTGCCACGAGCTGACGCTGGCCTGTATTGCCTACGCCCCATCCTGGTTGAGAATAACCAGGTTCCCACCGTCGTCGTAGCCAACTTGACCGTCATCCACAGCCTTCCTGAGGTCTTCCCGGAGGGGCTTTTTATCTCCGTTTAACGGATTCCATTCCCAGCCTTCTCGCATCCTAGTGAATTATTAGAATATGTTTGGCCAAGTCCCGGTCTGATGACAGATGATTGGGTTGACACGATGGGACAACGAAGATGCAAGTATCAGAGCTGAGTCTCGCAAATCGACTCCCGGGAAACACATACCACATCCAGCGCAAACACGCCCTCAGCTCCTTGTCCTTAGGTAGAACACGCATCCATTCTGGTTGAAAACCGGGAATGTTCTCATTTCCTGTCCACCGGTTCGACCGGCCGAGAAGCACATCTCTGCAGAAAATCCGCCATGAGTCGAGCGCATACGGCCCCTGGGTAAGATGTCCAATCTCCCAAGCGCACCCAACCGCCCTGTCCCTGGCATCAGAGACCGCATCCGTGTTTTGGCCGCCTGGAGACTGTGGCGTATCCTCCGGGCCGAACATTTCCCCCGCGCTCACATGCCGCCCGTCACCTGGATTTGGGTAGTTTTTTACCCCATACCGTACGTCACCACATGGACGACTCTCCAGCCACATCCGCGCGTATTTCTGGATAACCGCACACCGTACAATGGATAAGCCAAGCGGTCTAATCAGGGCTGTAATCTCGGCCGGATCCGCCGTGGCGAGAGCCTTAGGCGTTGGGAAACGCTCCATGAGTTGCCAAAAGACAGGAATTGCCGCCCTTCCGGTGGTCTTGATAAGAAAAGTGATAGCAACCAGGAGCCGAAACGGGTTATCTGCCAACTCCTCTTGTATTAAGCCGAAATGGGTTGCAGAAAGGGGCGGTATCGGGAGGCCCGAGACGGTGCCTCGCGGCGGACGAGATCGTTTTGTCGTTGACGGTGGAGTCGGCACATCATTTAATGCCTTTATTCGTGGAGGGGTTGCGGTGACGAAGAAGGGAGATCTGGATCCTCCTGTTGCTTTAACTGCTCTCTCAGCAGTCGTGGCGGTATTTGGGTGGGTTGAATTATTAGGAACGGCTACCAGGGTAGCTGCGAGGCGCTCCGTGGGACTGTTTGTTAAGAGGATATTCTTCTTGAGGAATAACCCTCGGGCGGGAGTTGAAGTCAATGAGGAGTCGGGTTGAGGTGTTGCCGTTCTGCCCTCCGCAACCTCGGCGAAATCGTCAGCCTTGATAGGGGTTTGACTAGTGATGGCAATGAAGGGCGGATCATTTCCCTTAACCCTTGACAAATTGCCATCCTGAAGTTTCCCCCACGGCTCCCTTTTGTTTTTTGAGGCTTCGCCTTCTGCCCAAAAATGCGAGGCCACTTTCCCGGGGGGTTTCCTCTTCGTGGGTCTCTTCTCTTTTACTCCGTTTGCCGGGAAAAGGCTCGCCTCCTCCGCGCCAGCCCGAGTTCCTCGTATCTCCTGCAGGAATGGCACCAAGCTTTCCTCCGCATATCCGCCGCTGCCCGCCTTTGAGCTGATGTCCCTGTCCTGCAACACTGCTGCACATTCAAAGAGCATATCCCATTCATCAACTCCACGCATGAGGCTAAGCTGTTGTAGTTCATTCACCTCGGCCGGCGGAACCTGACCAGAGATAATAAGTGACGTGAGGAACTCCTTAGTTTCTGCGTCGCAAACATCGAAGCCGTAAAGTAGGTCGTTTGCGAACGTGGGGTCGGTCGGTGTTGTGGCCGACATTGCGAGTTATGATTGGTGGCTGGGCAGGATCGAGACGGAGTTTTCTTCAATCAAGATTGAAGGAGGGATTTGTATTGGATAAGTTGGGTTAAGACAGGTAAGGCAGGGTGTAATATGTTGTTCTTGTATCGTAGGGTCGTTGTGAGGACAGGGGAAAGAGAGGTGATCGGAAAGTAAAGTAAAAGAGGGTGAAGAACAAACCAGCCAGGACAGTCGATCGGAAAATGGATGTTACGTACCTGGGTGGAATTCTCAGCTATGAACCTAGCTGCAACGTTCCTCTGACGCATTAATAAGGATATGAACAAGTTGCGACTGGAGAAGATATGGACAGCAAGAAAATTCGTCTAGTTCGAGACTGACACATTTGATTTACACCTCTCAAATCCCAGATCTACCCCCAAACCCCACCAGCCGCTTAAGTCGCTTTCCCGGCCCTTCCCTCTTCGTCTACGCCATATAGAGTGATGTGTGGGAGCTAATCCGTATATGGTACATACAAAAACAGGTCAAACGTCGTAGTGCCCCGTCTTTACCTTGTCATCTCAGTAGCGAGGAGGAGTGTTGTTGGTCTTGGGAGGGTCATAAACGACCTTCCTCGACTTGAGCCACGCCCACTTGTACCTCTTCACCCACACGCTCATCGCGAACAGGACCGATGTGACAGCCAGAACTTTCATACCCATGCGCTTCCGGTCGTCCATCTCGGGTTCGGCAGCCCAGTTGAGGAACTCGGTAACGTCCTTGGCCATCTGGGAAGTTGTAGCGGGGGTGCCATCCTCGTATTCAACAAGGCCATCGTACAGGACACGAGCCATGGCGATGCCAGTGCCGGGGAAGTAAGGGTTGAAATTCAGGCCACTGCCTACTTGGGCACCAGCAGGGGGTTCCTCAGGGTAACCGGTCAAGAGGCTGAAGATGTAGTCACAGCCGCCGTGGCGGGCTTTGACGATCAGGCTGAGATCAGGGGGGAGGGCACCGTTGTTGGCGAACCGGGCGGACTCATCGTTCGGGTAGGGTGACGGGATGTAGTCGGACAGTTTCCCGGGGCGCTTCTCGATATTGCCTTGGTCGTTGGGTTCGCTGTCGTACTCGTTCTCTTCGGCCAGAGCCTTGGCCTCGTCGACAGTCAGGATGGAGCCGACAAGTGTGCGGTACGGCACTCTGCTGAGAGAGTGGCACGATGCACAAACTTCCCGGTAGACCTGGAAACCTCTGCGAAGACTGCGGGGTGGAACATGGGTGAGCTCGACTGTAGCCAACAAGTTATGTGACGGGCAGGGGATTGCTTACGCCTGGTGGTCAAAGGTCTTGAACCACTGTTGGTGAACCCAGGGGTACGGGGTAGGGTGCAGACTGCATCAATAGTTAGCTTTCCGGTTCCTCCTTCGGTCCGACGCCGCCCTCGACAACATGGTTGGCCGAATATGCCGCAACGCGGGCAAGCGACGCTGGTCGATGGCAATGGTGCACTCAACCATTGGCGGAACACTCACCCCTCTTCAGCCGGTGTCAACGCATCCGCAGTAGGTCCGTAGAGGTGGTAGTACCACGCGATGGAGCCGGCGGCGACGGTGGTGGCGGCGACGGCAGCAATGTTTAGGCGGAGGGGCGAGTCGGCGGCAGGTTTGGAGCTCGAGGACGACGCAGTGCGCTATTGGCGACAAGGAATTAGCTTCAGGTTGCCCATATGAGGTGTTTCCGAGACTGGTGTAATGAACGGCGCGGGGTGGCGGGCGCAATCGACCGACAGGCCAAGCAAGTCAGGGCATGGTGTAGTCACTGCGGTTGGTGCGATCATTTGGCGGAAACGCACCTTGGGGATGTGCACGGCGCCATTCCGCAGGCCGGCGAATGCGCGCGTCGAGCGCAAGCAGGACCTCGCAAGCATGGTCAGCAGGCCTTGCGAAGCTGTAACGGGTGTCGTGGGTCGGATTGACAAGGCAATTCACTGCCACCGTCGGTGATGTGAGGTCGCAGGCTCGAGCTGGTTGTAGGTCGGCAGGTCAGGTTTCTCAAATTCGGGATTCTTAGGAACTCTCGTCCGCTCATTGGCTCGGCCAATCAAGCTCCCCTCCAAGAGGCCCCACGGTCGATTATTTTTCCGCAAGGTATCCTGCACCCGCCCCACCAACTTTCAGGTTACGCTCCAAAACTCGGGGACGCCTTCATTCTGCGCAATTCACGAAGCTGGGTTGCAGACTGCTATTGGGACTCAATTCAACGCCTTGTGTTCCTCTTCAATCCCGAATATCTAGCAATGCCTAATCTGGGGCACCCCAGTAACCACATTTACGTACAACGCCCGCGACACCCACCTCGCCTGTTCGCCTATTCACCTCATCTGTCCTGCTCCGTAAACACCTCCTCGATCAAACACTGCCTCTCTGACCCAGAACCTCTCTACGTGTCTTGACAGCGTTGGCGAGGAGGTCGAGCACCTGCACTGTGTCGTTCCACCCGATGCAGGCGTCGGTAATGCTCACACCATATTTCAGGCCGTCCTTCCCCTCCTTAGGAACTTTCTGGTTGCCTGTCCCGGATATCAGCATGAACTTGAGGCTTTACGGCAGTGGACTCTTACCCTCGTTAATGTTGCTCTCGATCATAACGCCCATGATCGCTTCCTCACCATTTTGGATCTGTTCCGCTAACACGGCGGCCACCTTGGGTTGGTTCTTGTGATTCTTCAGCGAGTTGCCGTGGCTGCAATCCACCATGAGGCATTGCCGAACACCTGACTTTTGTAGGGTAGCTTTGGCGTCTGCAATGCTCTGAGCATCGTAGTTCGTGCCGCGAGTCCCGCCACGTAGAATGACAAAACAGTCCTCATTCCCGACCGTTCCAACAATGGCGACGACGCCCGGCTTTGTGACCGACAGGAAATGGTGCGGATGTCGTACCGCCCCGATCGCATCGACGGCGACGTTGAGGGTCCCATCGGTGCCGTTCTTGAAGCCAACCGGGAAGCTCAAACCACTAGCCAGTTCGCGATGAAGTTGGCTCTCAGTTGTCCTGGCGCCGACGGCACCAACACTGAGCAGATCGGCTAAGAACTGAGGGCTAATAGTATCCAACATCTCGCTGGCAATAGGCATACCGCGGGAGGTGAGGTCAACAAACAGTTGCCTGCTCAACCGCAAACCCTTGTTGATTTGAAAGCTGTTGTCGATCTCAGGGTCATTGATCAAACCTTTCCATCCCACCGTCGTGCGAGGCTTCTCCAAATAGGAGCGCATGACGATCAGAAGCTCGTCCTTGTGCTTTTCCTTCTCCTTCAATAGCATGTCGCAATACTCGAGCGCAGCTTTTGGGTCGTGGATAGAGCAGGGGCCGATGACGACTAACAGCCTCTGCTTCCCGTCGGTCCCGTTTACGACGGAAACGACCTCCTCACGACTCTCGAGGACGGTCTTTTTTGACTCAGGGGTTTGGGCAATCTCATGCTGTAGCAAACCAGGTGGCGTCAGGGGATTATAGCCACGAACTAACTCCGTTAGTGTGGTGTCCGTCAACTTGTCAGGGCCACGGAGATTTACATACTCCTCCAATCCTCACTTTCCGCCTTGTTGCCAACACTTTTGTTCTCGATATAGAAGGACTGTGTGCCCGCGTAGTCAGACACCTAGCTGGAGCTCTATTGAGAGGGAAAACCTTGAACTTACAGACATGACTGCCGTTCCGAGGGTTGCTCAAGACGGTTATGGAGTCAATTGATGTAAATCTAACGGATCTCTCAGAAAAATAACACAGAACTCAGTCGATTTTTACGGATGGCGGAACAGGGTTTGGGAAGCTCTTCTAAAGTTTTGAGGGACGCTTGTTGGTGAGGGGATGACTCAATGTGGGGTGCTGCTAGAAAACGCCCTTGCCACCAAGCATGTCTTCCATGTCCACCTCTCGAAAGCAACTCCTAAAACGACCTGGGATTTTACATTTCTGCACATCCTATTGGCCAATTGGGAAGGAAATACACGTGCAGAGCAGAATGCGAAGGTTTGGGGTTCCCGCTCAGAATAGCCTGACCTGAAGAGAACGCGGCGGAAAATATATTTTGTCTTGGGGCTGTGCCGATTTCGGAAATAGGATTAAAAATTAAGACCGCGGTCTTACACGTGTAACTATCGTGCATGAGTAAAAGCTTGTTGAGGAGCAGGTGCTTAGGCATAGGTACCTTAGGTAGCGAACATCCTGTGCAGGCCGCCTCCACAGCGATTATAGAACTTCATAGGACAACAGCTGCAGGTAGGTGTTTCACGGATTAAAAGCAAGGGTATGAGATCCGAACGACCCAGATGGATTTATAGAAACTTACTGCTGGCCTAGCGTCATCTTCACGAGGTCTAATTCTACATATTTGTACCTGGCACGTGCCGAGGTGCTCTCGTCTCCAGTGAGAAGACCGAGTGGTGTTGGGGACCCCTGCAAGTTGGCGGCTTGGCGATTAGCTCCACTTTTAAATAAAAGCTCGCCCGATTTGGATGCACGCGATGAACCCGGCCGGCGGAGCCGCGACGACTTCGAGACCTGCGAGCCCTGTGTCAGATCTGGGTAATGCTTCGTAAAGGGCTATTTTTGAAAAGAATAGGCCACAAGGATGGCCGACAGCAGCAACGACGACGACACCAAGTCAAACAAGCGAAGCCACGCTGACTTCGCTGGCGACGATGGCGACGGTATGTCCTTTTCGCGACGAACCCCATCCATCTGTTTTCCCTTCACCGATGCCATTATTTGCTTTCACTGACAAACACAATGAAGGCAGCTCGTCGGACGATGATATGGGGCCACAGTTGCCTTCCGCAGCTCCGAAGAAAAAGCGGCGCGTTCTCCCCTACGAAAAGCTGTACATCTCGGCCCTCCCTAAATCCGCGCGGTACTCGAGGTCACTCATGCACAAGGAGCAGCTCGCGTTCCTTACCATGACACCGCTCACCGAATTTTTAATTACAACATCCGTTGATGGTGCCGTCAAGTTCTGGAAGAAGATTGCCGAAGGGTTCGAATTTGTCAAGGAGTTCAAAGCACACCAAGGCGAAGTTCGCTCTGTGTCGTGTAGTCAGGATGGGCGGAGCTTTGCGACGGCTGGTGTTGACAACACTGTGAAGCTGTTTGACGTGGTTACGTTTGACCTTCTTGCCGTTCTCCAACTTGACTCGACGCCGCGCTGTGTCTGCTGGGTCCACAAGAAAGGCTCGTCCTTACCTCTTTTAGCTGTCTCTGTCAACGAGCCCAAGCCGAGTATCCGCATCTATGACGGAAGGGGGGAGGATCAGGAACCAATTCACACTATTGCCGGCTTGCACCGGAGCCCGGTCTCCCTCATGGCATATAACGGACACCACGACTGCGTGATATCGATGGATGAGGGCGGCATGGTGGAATACTGGCAGCCGGGGGGCACATACGGAAAACCGGAAACCGTCTTCAAGTTCAAGAGTTCCACCAGTTTGTTCGAGTTCAAGAAATCGAAGTCGGTACCAGTATCACTCACTCTCTCGGCCGACGGGAGCCGATTCGCGACCATATCGTTCCCCGACCGGAAAATTCGCGTCTTTGATTTCGCCTCGGCCCAACTCCAACGGACGTACGAGGAATCCCTCGAGGTTATGGAGGAAATGCAGCAGGCCGGGACCGCCTTGCAGAAGCTCGACGCCGTGGAGTTTGGTCGCCGCCTTGCCCAGGAACGCGAACTTGAGTCGCCGGAGTTTCGCAACAAGTTCAACGTCATCTTTGACGAATCGGGCCATTTCATCATGTATGGGTCGTACCTCGGCGTTAAGGTTATCAACACGTATACCAACCGGGTCGTCAAAGTCTACGGTCGGGAAGAAGGATTCCGCCCTCTGGCGTTGGCGCTATATCAGGGACAACCCCAGAAGAAAGGCGTCACAACCGTTGCCATGGCGGCTTCAAGTAATCCCTTGCTGCAAGAATCGGAGACCAGAGACCCAATACTGGTCGCAACAGGCGCGGGCAAGGTCCGATTTTACATGTTCACCAACGAGGAAGAGATATCAAAGTCGACAAGAGACGTCCAAAATGAAAAACCGACCGTCCTGGGGCAGAAGAAAGCCGAGGAGAAGAAAAAGACAGAGACTGGGACGGCTGCCATCGTACATACCAATTATGGTGACATCCACATTCGCCTGTTTCCCGACGCCGCGCCCAAGGCTGTTGAGAACTTTGTCACGCACTCGAGACGGGGGTATTACAACAACACCATCTTCCATCGGGTTATTCGGAAGTTCATGATCCAAGGAGGAGACCCGCTCGGAGATGGCACAGGTGGCGAGAGTATCTGGGGCAGGGAGTTTGAAGACGAGTTCAGCAGCTTGAAGCACGATAAACCATACACCGTCAGCATGGCTAATGCCGGGCCCAATACCAATGGTAGTCAGTTCTTCATCACGACCGAGAAAACGGTATGTTTTGCCCCCCTTCCCCCGCCCTTATTTTTTCACTCCATGATCAATTCCTAACCAGGATTCATTTCCAGCCTTGGCTTGACAACAAACACACCATTTTTGGCCGCGCGGTCCAGGGCTTGGATGTTATTCACCGGATTGAGAGCGTCAAAACGTACAAAGAGAAGCCGGCAGAGGATATCAAGATTCTCAACATTGATATTGCCTGAAGTCACGAGACCGCCTGGAGACAAGGTGGTCGGGTCCAGATGTAGGTTGTCGGGATACCTCATCTGACTTGTGTCATAGGGAGAAACGGCCCGGGAGACACGACTTGAGCACGGGATTATGCCACAAATCTATTTGAGTACTTCAAGAAAGCGCGCATTTCGCCAGCAAATGTACGAAACATAATACCAAAACCTCCCCTCAAACATCTATCAAAGTGACGACTTGACATCGCCGCCATAGTTGATTTTCCTGAGGATACTCCGGTTCAACTCGGACACGTTTTGTACTCCAGCCAACCCCATAGATTGGTCCACATCTGCTAGGAGCCCTGCGAGGACATGCCGCGCACCCTCCGTACCCGCAGCGCCTAAACCATAAATGACTGGGCGCCCAACTAGCACCGCCTTTGCTCCGAGGGCGAGTGCCTTCAGCACATCGGCTCCCGTCCTAATCCCCGAATCGAACATGACTGTCAACCGGTCCCCCACCGCATCCACGATCTCCGGCAACATCTCCAAGCTCGGCACGGCGCCGTCCAGCTGCCGCCCGCCGTGGTTGCTCACGATGATCCCATCCATGCCGGCCCGGACCGCCATCTCGGCGTCCTGCACGCTCAACACTCCCTTCAGCACAATCGGCCGGTCCTGGCCCCAAAACCGCCGCAGCGTAGCGAGATCTTCCCAGCGGTGTGCGTAGCCCGAGAAAACCTCGCCGAGCCAGAAACGACTAGCGGCGATTACGTTATCCTCAACAGCTGTGTCTTGGTCCGGTTCTTCGTTCCCGTTTTCACCGTCGCCTTGCCCTTCGCTCGCTAGGTGCGCCGCAAACCTGCGCCGAAATACTGGGTCGCTGAACCCCAACGCGTTGCCCTCGCCTAGTGCAAACGGCAGGTACCCGTTGTCGAGGTCCAGCGGGCGCCACGACATGGTGAACGTGTCGAGCGTCACGACCAGCACGTCGCAGCCGGCGACGCGGGCACGCGAGAGCAAGGAGGCGGTAATCCCGTCATCCAGTGGCCAATAGAGCTGAAACCAGCGTGGGGCTTTGGGTATGGGGACTGACGTCGGTGCTGGGGCCGACGCCGTTCCTGTCGCAGGGCCGGGCGTTTCCCCGGAAGGTGTTGGGGGCCTAGAAGACGATGAGGGAGGGGAAATGCCCACGGAAAGGTCGGCTGCGGCGGCCACCTCTTCCAGTGGTACAGTTGCGGCCGTGCTGTAGATGAAGGGCACACCGAGAGACGCGCAGGCTGTAGCAACCCCATTTTCCCCATCCGCGTGGTAGGCGCCCTGGACGCCGACAGGGGCCATTAAAATGGGCGTTTCTTAAGTAAGGGCACCGTTGTTAGGTACCGTAGCTGTAGTCTTCGAATAGACGGCGGGGCGATGAGTATGATCATGGAACACCGCTTACCATATGATTTTCCGAATAACTTGACACTGAGATCCCGCGGCATGGTTGGACGCAGCATGCGCGGGATCAGCTTCCATTGTCGAAAGGCGAGGCGATTCGCGTGCATTGTGGCTTGCTCACCGGCACCACCAAACACGTAGTTGAAGGCTTCGGGGGTCATGACATCCTTCGCCGCCTGTTCGAGCTTGTTGGGGTCTGTTGTGATGATGGGCTTTTTCCCGCTGATCATCGCCTGAGCGTAGAGATCAAGCTGGTATTGACCATACGGTGGTCTCTTCTCAGTCTCGCCATCGCTTTTGTCGCGTGGTTCCGACATGGCCAACAACCTGGCCGAGAGTGTGTGTGCTGGTTTGTGGACTTTCGGCACTTGGTGTTTACCATCTGACAGTTAATGTCAGATGAAAACACACTGGCGATGGCAAGGATAAAAATTATAGGGACAAAGGAGCGCAGAGGACTCAGGAAATGAAGGCAAAGAGAGGCCGAAGTAACAAGCCAATGATGCTTTCCTTTTGATCTTCCTCGCCCCTCTTAGCCTTAGCCCCAAATCACTAGCTGGGGTCATACGCAAATGTCTCACTTACACTAATTAGACGCCAAAGGACGACTCGGAAATTCCCCATTAATTTTTCTGGATCCCCTCCACTGTGCCTACATTTCCCCGCATTGAAGGCACGCTGCTTGAGGATCTCAAAATGTACCTCGGTCGGACGCCATGTGGGGGCCCGGCGCACGACTTCAAGATGGGGCTAGACAAATTCATTCTGAAAGAGACATCGCGGACAAGTTAAGCCACGAAAGAGGTCTACATAAGCACGCGACACAAACAAATGGTGGTTGGGACCAGAGGCGAGTCCCCCATGTCTCAACCAAAGCCACCGTTCACGCAACATTGTCCCCCAAAGCGCCTAGAATACCGAGGGGAAATATGCATTAACCATCCACCCACATATCCGTTTCTCTGTTTCGCGGCATCTGTCAGTGCCAAACATCGCTCGAAAACGCCGACCCATTCCGCCCTAGAAATGCACGCGCCCATTCGAAGCTGCTCCCCCGAAGCTTTGCGGGGGCTCGTCCCATACCCATAGGCTTTCAGGGCTTAATAGACCACAGCTCTCGCGACCTGTCAAACCAATGTTAATTCCGTAATTTCGATGACCGAAACTGAATGTGCTTACCATCCCGACTCTCTCGTCTTCTTGGAGCTTGTCTGCGGCCCTTTCTTGTCGGACGACCAGATCGCCAACGCCTTGCTGCACGACGCAAACGCCTCGACTAGCTCCTTCATCCGCCCACACTTCAGGAACTCCCGGGCCACGTCGGAATCCTTCTCGGCAATCGTGGCAGCGAGGTCCATGCAGTCCATGAGATTGTCGCGAGAAAGAGATGTGCCGGCAAAGTGGAGGCAGCTGATATACGCCAACACCGTTTCCGGGATGTAGGCTTCGCGGAGTAACTGGAAATCTTCGTCGACTAAGACCATATGATTAGGCAACCGAAGAATGCCGAGACAGAAATCAAGTTCTCATCTTACCTTCGTTTGATGTTAACAACCAGCCCTTCAATACCGGCTTCATGCTCGACTTGGCGGACCGAACCTCCCGGTTCGTATGTTGCCACATCTCTCGAGACCCGCTGTTCTCTCTGTCACATCCGTCGTCAGTATCCGAAACATGGTGGCGGGGCTGGGGGTGGTGGGGGTTGTACTCTCTGCTAATCCCAGCTAACGACGACAGAGACTCAATAGAGTCCAGCGCTTTGACAAGGCACTCCAGCTCCCACACATTCTTCACGAGGGTGATGAGTTTGCCTTTGCTCAACCGACAGGCCTCGAGAAAGTCGTCTGGGAAATCACTAGAGGTGAACTCGTCAAACCAGCCAGGGCCCGGATCCTCGGCGGCGTCTCTCACAGGAATGGGGGTCTTCCTTCTGACAATCGCGCGCCCGGATACCCGCTCGCTGAGGGCGCGTGCTGCGCGCAGCCGTGTCCGCTCTATGAAGAGTTAGTATACCTGCTGAAACGAAGGGAGAAGGAGTAGTGACAAGGAGGCAGATAAGAGCCGAAACGTACTGAGCAGGTACTTGTATACCCGGATGGCGTAGGTGCAAGTCTCCACGAATTGACCTTCGGCCAACAAGAGCCACTCCATGGCGCGAATGATCAGTTCGTCTTCATGGTCGACAAACTCGGCGTCGTCGCCAAAGAAGTCGAGCTTCACGGGACGGCCATACTTGACGGTTACTGGCTTATTGTCAAGAATTTGAAACCCACCCCTGGCGTCACAACGTGCCTTTGTGTCTTTGACATCTTCAAGGTAAATCAGCGGCTGGCGCTTCACAAACTTCGCGACATCGATCCCGAGCTTCGTCATTATCGTAAGCTGATGAGACCGGGCGTCCATGTCAACGATGTGGTTTAGGTTTCTGCTCATAGCATCATAGAGGCGGTGTCCATGTAGTTTGGAGCAGTACAACGGAATCATTTCTTCCAGGCCAGCAAGGCGCAGGAAGCTGAGGTATGAGGTGATGATGTTTTCTTGGGCCTGCTGCCGGCCCCCCAACGAGTTCCTTTCTGGCCTGGAGCCAGCGAGGCGATCGAGAATGGAGATGATAATGAGGACGTGGGATAGGATCCGGAGACCGCCATGGTTTTCCAGGTTGAAAAACTTGGCCTCAATCAACTTCCCTCTGTACGCAGGATCCGGAAGGATAAGTTTAGACGGGTCTTTGCCGTCGTTTGCATGCCTGCCCAGAACAGCGCCTTGGTGGTATAGATGGGTGTCTAAGTCGTTTGAAATGATAGCTCCCTGGAGCGCTTTCGTCATGCGCGCCGCTTCTTCCTTGAGTTTGTGATTCTTCTCAAAAGACTCCACAAGTCTTTTAGCGGCGGTTGTCGGGTCGCCGTGGTATAGGACGGCGTTGAAAGAAGGAAACTGCTCCGCAGCCGTGTTTGCAACATCGCCGCCTTGCTTGGTGAGGTACATATCGAACTGTGTCCTGAGGAGAGCATTGTAGTTCGCAAACAGGAAATCATCCCAAGACTTGCACACAGCTTCCACACTGCTAATGTCGCCCGCGAGTAGGCCGTACACCGCCTTGTCGTAGTCCCCTGTGCCTCCTTCTTTGGCAGCAGCATGACACATGCGTCTCCATAAGATCAACGAGCTCGGTTCGAACTCCGGCTGCTCCTCATCATCGGGATTGGAAAGCGGCAGGGGGGCGATGGACGCTGCCCTCCATAACTCGGTTCGCTCGGCACACCACTCCCTAATCTCGTTCATTGAGCAACCTCTGCGAAGCATCTCAAAGCAACCGAGCCAAATTGCGCGCTCAAAGAATCCATCCTGGGGTTCCAGTTTGCGGGCTTGGCGGGTGACGGCATCTGGGTCCAGTTGAGTTACCAGCGTGTTAGAACTGAGGTGCGATTGGGCGGCCGCGGCATCGCTGGGTTCCAGTACTCCTTGATACCCGTTGACGCTCTTTTGTAGTTTGATCTTGTGACGAGTATGAAGCCACCCATGTGCTAATATGTCGCCTCGCTCGGCATTCTGCTGGAGCTCGCTCACAACCTCGTCGATTGGGGGGCCTTGGCTTGCGCTGCTCTGGAGCCATTCCAAAACAACCTTCCTCTCCCGTGCGGCGGAGTCAGCTACCAGAAATTCGTCCCACCAATCTTTGCGGGTGCATGAAATCGAAGCCCTTTTGGGTGGCCGCGGCTGTGCTGCGGCTTGGTCGCCGTATCGGAGAGGAAGGAGGCGCCGAAGAAGATCCCAGGTTTGGGCCTCCTCTTCCACGCAGCGAGCTTCTTCGTCGGAAAAGGCACCTCCCCCATTATCGGTTTCATCAATTTCCATCTCGATAGAGCCCGCTCTTTGCCAGCCAGCTCCCTGCGCAGATCGGTCCCGTGGTCGGCGCTCTCGCAGTCGGTCGGCCCATTTCTGAGTGTATGCATAGTAAGAATCGACGAGCTGGAATATTTGAGACCGTTGTTCGGCGGGCGACTCCGTTGTGTCAACATTGAACCTATCAAGCTGGGCGGCGAAGTAGTCGACTTCTTCCCCGGCCCGAATGCCATTTTGCTGAATCACACTTTTTTGATACGTCGCCTCGAGGTCCATTATTTCGTCTTTCGCCGGCACTACAGATCGTGTGTCAGCTATTGGTGTCGGAGTCTCTCGCGGTTGGCTCGTCGCCATTAACCGACCTGGTAGAGGGCCACTGGAGCTGGCACGAGAGCTCCCCTCTGAGCTCGGGTAGTCCTAGAAGGTTGGGTTAGAAAAGCGCCAGACAAGAACAATGCGCAGAATCATGGAGCTACTAACATATGCAGGTGCCATATCACTACTGAGACCAGGCGGCGGCTTGGGAGGCTGGATCTAACTGATAGGCAAAAGAGTGCCGCTGTTCCGCTGGTTGAGCTTGAGAATTGGTGAAAAAAGACAGATTGGTTCGATATCGGCTAATCCTCTTTATCGCACGGTTCGGCACCGCCGGTATTGCGAGTCCGACCACCAGAAAACTAGGGTCGCTGCGGGCTGGCAACTTGAGGGACGAAGCAACGCGGTCGCGTTGTTGCGGCTCCCAAAAAAAGGACTAGGCGTTGGCGGCTGGCAAAGCATCCATGGCCAACTCGGGCAGGTGGCCCTCGGCCCAGGAGCGCCCGCCTGCAAGCACGGGCCACATTATTCTTCCCTGCTGTGGGGCCAGAGTTGCCCCACTGCTTGAAAGGAAGAAAAGTCGTCGCGTGAACCCAAAATTTTGATTTTTCTTCTCTTCTTCATCAATGTCCATGGCGTTCATATTAGAGTCTCGGAACAAGCCCTTCATTGTTTGTTCAGGCCCATGCGGTCTCTCGCGCGCTCAATGATAGCCTAGAGGAATCCCGCACCCTCCTTTCCAGTTACCTGACACCTATCGTTCAGGTGGACATATTTGGACGAGTGATACATGCATTCCCCCTTCCATCCTCTGCCACCTAGACACCTTTGCTCCGCTGCTCCATCTTCAGTCGTAGCAGGTCCGGCTTCGGGCAGCTGACTGTTGTTGCGCCGTCACCGTTTTTCTCATAAAACGCGCTGCAGCACTGGTAAAGAGCTTCGACAAGCTTGGTGCATTTTGCCTCGTTATACCCGTTTTTAGTCAAGCAGTCTTGACGGCGAGTCCGGTCAGTAAAGGTTCATGCAACACAGGGAAGCAAGAGGCAATCCAAGCAATCATTACCTTGTATTGCGCACTACAAAGTTCAAACATGGTTTGTTAGTGACCTGTTCCGAGTTAAAGTTGTGAGTTACAGTTGTGCGTCGACGAACCGCTCGTGGGTGGCATGGCGGATTACTCTGAAGATCTTGATCAAGCCCCTAAGAAGAATCAACTTTGCATCCAAAAGAGAAACAAATCACAACATCATGGCACTTACCATCCTAGCAACCACTTGCAACCTTTCAATGCGATAGAGGCTAGAAATCCCGGTGATTGAATTGAGGGTTTAGGGCAGTTTTGGGCAAGTTCTTTTGGACTCTTGTGGCCTTGCTCTCCAACACGAGTTGAGATCCAGTAAACGGCGTGGCAAGTCGTGGTGCCAGGGACCTGCTGGGGCGATGATGTCAGGGGGCCCCGGTGTACCCTTCTCGTGGGGTTCGAACGGGATGCTGTTGTTGGTTTAGCCGAAATGTGTTGCTGATCATCTCGAAACTCTAGAAGGCATCTAATCCCGCCATCTCATGGACGCTGTGGAGGAGGTTATAGCCGAATGTAGGTGATTAGAAAATGCTTTGATCAGGGATGAGAATGCAAGTAGGAATAGATAAAGAAGAGGAAGTGGTGAGTATTCCCAAAGAAATGGTGTCAAATCTGCAATTGGTACCAAGGTACCGCAGTGCCTACCTCGCATGTGGCCCAAAAAAGCGGCAGAAAACCTGAGTCCCTAGATGTACATACTACTTTTCTACAAAAGGGAAAGAAGACAAGAAAGAATAAATCAAACCATCGGTAGTTTGAAACAAAGTTTAAACAACAACTCTATGATTATATAGCTATTAGACGTCTCAGCCTGTCGAAATTCGTTAAGATTTGATCAAATGTTGACAGATTGGACTCAAGCTATCTGTGTCGGTCTGCCGCTTCTTTCGGCCACAGCGAACCTAGCTACGACCTCCTAGGTAGGTAGGCCGAGTGATATGGATCGGGAGGTTGATATGTGAATGCCCTCGCACTGCCCGCTCCTACACCTCACCTGACATCAAACGATAGATGTGTGCCAAGAAACAACCCGGACTTCCGGGGTTAAAAGCTCGCGTTTGATACAAAATATGTCTTTCGCCCTGCTTGCTTCCAACCTAATCACAATTACCTATGCAATGATTAATGTCAGGCAGTGTACTTTCCTACCTGGCAAAGGGCAAAACGAAGGCTCACAGGCTGCAAAGAATGAACGGTTGCAGCTCGGGGCTTTGTTGCCTGCCCCACTCGCCGAACGGGCTCCAATGATCCAACCCCGCCCCCACCAGCCCTGCGCGCTTCCAGCATCCCACCACCTGCATCCCTCTTTGGGCAACGAACAACCAGAAGCCACCCACGGGTCGAGGACAAGTTCGGCAAGTCCCCTTCTTGCAGAACCCCTGCTTTTTTTCACTGCGCAACAAAGGAGGTTGCGTAAGAAACCGCTAAAGACTGTTTGTTTTGGTGAGCCTTTCTCAACGATAAATGATTCACTAATTCCCAAGCGCCCTGCCTCGGGCTTGACCAGCTTCCGTTGCTTCCATCTCATTTCCGCCTCTTCCAGTTCCATCGTCCCCGTCCCATCTGCCATCCTCGGACACAATTTTTCCCGCACGCCTACCCAGCGCGATAACCCACTGACTTTGGTTGACCGCCCCCTAGAAACTCTTGAGTTCTCCGTAAAAGCCAACTTTCTCGATAATTACGATGGCGAGCAACGCCGAGAACGGTTCTCCGGTGGCGTCTGGGGCTGAGGCACCTCAACCGCCTAGCGAGCACCTGAACATCAAGGTCACAGACAACAACAACGAGGTGTTTTTCAAGATCAAGCGCAGCACTAAACTCGACAAGCTCATGACTGCCTTTTGCGAGCGGCAGGGCAAGTCGCCAGCGTCGGTACGGTTTTTGTTTGAGGGCCAGCGCGTTCAGCCGACAGACACACCAGACACGGTAAGCCTCCGCTCTCTTCGCCTACACTTGCGGTCTCCGCCGTGATTCAAGGGGGAATAAAATCGTTTTGCTGATTGTGTTTTGGACAAACAGCTGGAAATGCAGGATGGCGATACCTTAGAAGTCCACCAAGAGCAAGTCGGCGGTTACTAGAAGGCGGCATGGCGCGGTAGGCCGGCCAACAAGCAAAACGGTCATGAAGATACACAGAGCGGCGGTCGGTTCACTTGACGATACCTACCTAGCTGTTGCTTAGGAGTTCGGGCGGGGTGGGGAACAACGGAGTTTGCCTTGCTTGTTTTTACACCTTTTGAGCCGAGTGGATTCACGGGGAGGTGATACTATGGCAGATACCAAACGGGAGGGAAGGGGATGGTACCGGGTGATGGCCGCAGGAGAGATGCTTCCCTCAGGCTCTGGCTCTGGGTTTGAATGGGAACTTGTCTTCGGGGTACCTAGCCTGATTCGGCGCGTCTGGACCCAGAACCTGGCGCTTCCTCCCCCTCTCAGCGACCCAAATGTTGTTTTCTTGGTAGTCATTGGTCTTACTTTGCCTCGTGATAGTAAATGGTAGGATTGTTACCCTCAAATGGGGAGTCTGCCGGTACCCGCATAACACACACACTCATATGGTCGATGAGAGAGCAAGGACGAAGACCAGCTCAGTTGATTATTTAACCATGACTTTGCCAAGCAGAAACGCCCAATATATGACCCGTCATGCACCTACAATGGCCAAACAATCTAACATGCAAGATCCGGACCCAATACAAAAAACTAACACACGTCGTTACCGCAGAAGCAAAAGCAAACGCAAATTCTTCCACACCTCGTAAGTCTTGTTAAACGTCATATGGTTGGTCCCTTTTCACGCCTTCAACTCTTTTTCCATGCAACTGGTACACAACACCACCGTCTCCCCGGGCGCCCCCCGACCTTCCATGGGGAAGATTTGGCCATCATCGAACCCGCCGTGGCAGGTGGCGCAACGGAAGCAGTCATCGTGCCATTCGCCGCCGAGGGCGCGGATATACTGACCGATGACAGCAGTGCGACACTTGCGGCACTTGGGGGCCCTACGCTCGGTGCGCTTCGTCTGGCAGCCAACGCACCAGGCATAGCCATCTTTCTCTATATGCGTCATGCCCTTCTCAAACGGGTCGCCGCACTCCGCGCAGAAAAAGTGACCAAAGTGCCAGTGCGCTCCCAATGCCACCACGTGCTCGCCCATGATGGGTGTCTTGCAGTGCTTGCAGCGCGGCGCAAACAGCTCGTGCCAATCAAGATGGCAGAAGAAGCGCAGCCGCTCGTCGCCGTCTTCGGCCATCGTTTGGCCGGGTTCCTCGGGGAGCATCTCGCCCGCCGCGCGGCGGGTAATGCGGTCGAGGCGTGCTGCACGGTGCTCATCAGGCTCCGGCGAAATCTCGAGGGCCTCGAGAGAGGTACCACAAGTATAGCAAGTAAAGCATTGCGGGTGGAAACGCTCCGATGTGCCAGCAAGGGACACGAAACGACCTTCGATAAAATCGCCGCATTCATGGCAGCGGGCAGTGGCCCGATTACCGGCCAACTTCGAAGCGTTAGACCAATGTCCCCCACCTCCCCGCGACCGGGCTGCTGGTCGAACCCGAGGCGCCCCGGCTTGAGGCGTAGGGAGTGGGCGGCGAGGGCTTGTACCACCGCCAGTGTTGGGGGCCTGGTCGTCGGGCGTGACAATCAGAGGGATGCTCGGGGCGTCATCAACGACGATGGCAGGTAGCGTAGGCGCGGAAGAGTCGGAGACCGAAATCGAGGGCACAGATGGAGGCGCGTTTACTTGAATGGTGGGGGGGACGGGTTGTGCACGGCGGGTCGGCGATGCCGGCGAGGCCAACGGGGCTGCAGCATCCTCTGTAATAGCGAGAGCAGGGATCGAGCGGGTTTCTTGGGGCGCCTGCTGCTGCTTCGGCTGCTGTTGTTGACGGAGGCCGCCCGGGATGAGGCACGACGGGTGGCTGCTGCCCGCCCGCCCAGGCGTCGACACTTCTGACTGGCCGTCAGTAGCCTCCTCTTGGGGCTTCCAATCTTTCTTAAAGCTTACGATAGGTCTACCAGGGCTATCGCTGACCGCAGACGGAGTGGGGAGCTTGGGACTGCGATCCTTGAGCTTCATGCTCGTAGCCTCCCGGATGTCATCACTGCGGATCTCCATGCCATGCTTGCGGGGAACATCCTCGTGCTGGGGCGGTTGGGTGGAAGCGCGGGAGTTAGTGGTGTACTGGGGATTCCGGGACTGGCTCGGCGGATTCCGGTGAATTTCGTATTTGGACACCAGCTTGTCGGGAGAGGCAGAGCGCTGCTGGTCCATCTTGACTCCTCCCGCTCCCCTGCGGGAAAACTGCAGCCGGTTCATCGGTTCTCTCGGCTTTGGCCGCAATGGGTTGGCGGTCTCGTCCGATATGGGATCTTGAGAGGTCTTGTCCGACGGCTCGCTGTCAGGTTCTTCCCAGATCTGGTCGCCGGAGAAAGGTTTCTGGGCGTCGCCGCTAATGTTCCTCTTCTGCCTGCTTCGACTCCGACCGACTGGAACACCACGAGAACCGGTCGGCATCTCGCCGTACGGCTTTGAACTCTTATACTCCGACACGGCAGGGGTTCGTGCCACACCGCTTGTTTCGTGGCCTTGCCCCTGGCGCGAAGAGGAAAAGGATGGGCGGCCAGACACAACACCCCGTTCGTCGTTATCACTCGAGCTCCCAGACACGGAACTCGGAGACCGAGGGTCCCGCGCAAGGCCCGTTGGGGCAACGTCCACGCCATATCTGCCAACGCTAGCGGTCCGGGCATGTGCATAACTATTCTTGCGCAGGTGTGGCCGGTATCGGTAGGGCGCTCCGGGTTGGGGCATTCGGCCCGGGTTCTGGTGCTGCCACACCAGCTCGGCAGCCTCGTCCAAAGCGGCGTCATAGAGGCGCTTGTCGTCATCGTTTTCCGGATTCTCTTCCCCGTTATTCTCTGGCAGGTCCTTCAAGTCCATGTCCTCCATGGCCCGGCGGAGTGAGAATGCCTCCTCTTTCTCCATCCATCGCTGGCCACGCTCCATGTACGTTGCACTGGGAACGACTTCCGATGGCTTTAGGGGCTTCGTCGGCTGGTCTGGATAATAGTCCCTCCCGCGGCCCATGGTTGAGTAGGATGAGATACTCGGGGCGAGCGACGGGCGGCTTGCGGAGGGCTTCAGGCTCGCGGTGTCGGACTGTGCCCTCTGATGGAGCGAATTATGGGGCAGCGACGACGCGGATGGGGAGGGGCCACCGATAGAGGGTCGACTACCGACAATGGGACCTGCGGCATCGTGTCTGGGGACGGGTGGAGGGCGTGCGCCGGCGGGTCGGTTGATACGGTTGCTACGAAGGTCTGCGAGGTATGCAGCTGTGTAGCAAGTTAGCGAGGATTCCTTCGTGACGCAGCGGCCCGAGGGGCTTGTTTGGTGATGGGGGTTGCATACAAAACTGCTCGTTGGACATGTAGGAAGGCGCCGGCGGTGACGCCTTCCCAGGTGAGCCCCTCTCCTTAGGGCCGCCACGGGCGAACATGGCGCTTCACTCGCTCGGTTGGGCTGCGGGCGCACGATACGGAAACAGTTAGCTATGTCGTGAGGATCTAATTCGAATTCGAGGCGCGACAGCGAAGATGGCGGGAATGGGTTGAGCGGCAAGATTCGAGTGACGATTGGATTTATGCGAGAGTCTTTGACTGGTTATTTGTTTGGGTCCCGAAACTGATTACGTTGCGAGATAGGTTAGAATTACAACTACGAAAAGCGGAAGGCGAGAGGTGAGTCAAAGGGCGGTGGTCGACTTGGTTGGCGATCATGAGCTGGGTGAGAGACAGCTGATGTCCCTGATTTGCCGCCTGGGATTGGACCACGCAATGGAGCGGGACAAACATGGGTTCCCACAGCGACCGGCTGGCCGTTGCGGGGCGTCTCAGCTCGGGCGAGGAGTGGAAGCACCTGCAGCCTCGGCCAGGGCTCTTAACCAATCCCAGCATTCAACCCACGCCCTGTTCTCTTGGCTTCCAAAACGTGCAGCTCGCCCGCCAGAACAACACAAAGCGGCTCACGCACTCGAGAGTCATTTGCATAAGGGGCGAGAGAATCGCCCAAAAGCGTGAGCCACGCGGAAGCAAGGATGTGCGCCTGCATGTCTTTTCTCTCCGACCTCGAGCCGGCGTTTGCCAAGACACTTGCAGCGGCCACCCGACGTTTTGTTTCAAGCTCAAAAAATTGGCATCAGTCTACTTTTTCTGTGTTGCAAAACCCAAGCAATCCGAGGACGACCGTGAATTCAACGTCTCAAATGAGCTCAATTTTGTGAATAACGAGGCAAGATCGGACCGTGTATGTTAGGTTTTGCAAACTGACCAGCCTACACAGATGTACACTACCGAACTCCGAAGTATTTGTCTTTCTGTCGCGCCATGCCGGATCACCTTCCCCGCACTCGGTGGTGCTTCCTTTTTCGGGCTTCCCGTCTTCCCCTCGAATCGTTCCCGTCCCTTGCCGTCACCAACAGGCTAACAGCCTTCTCGCTGTGAAAGCCCCCAGTTTTCCTATCCATAGTAAATTTGCCGTCCCATATCCGTTGATTATTTCCGATCCCACCAAGACCGCCCCCGGTTTTTGCTTAGGCCCGAACGACCGAGGAGCCGAATCATCACGGCCGTCTCTTCCGTTCGCTTCAACGTCGACACAATGTTGGATTTGCGCTTCCAATGACTCGGGGGGTCGGAGATATCGGGCCAACGCAAACAAGGTCGGTCAGGGACAACCTAATTAGGTGTGCTTTACCTATTATGTAGCGTTGAAGAGTGTTTTTGAGAGCTCGGCTCGGGCGAGCTCTCTGAAAGAATCCTTGGACGGGCAGAAAGGCCCGAGCAGGGGCCCCAGTCTGACGCGGACCCGAGTAGCGTTTGTTGTGTGGGTGCATCATCCTGCGGCTCCCACTAAACCCAACTTGAGGTTCATTTGCGGGAAGCTTGGTAAGGAGGAGTCGGAGGTATCTCTCCAGACTTCGGAGTCGCGCGGCCCAAGTAAAAAAATCTCCTAGCTGCTTAGGCTGCGTTGTCTTCACACGATAAAGAAAGAAACAAGAATGCCGTTGCTGATCGTAGTAGTTTGGCTGTACGATTTTTTTCTTTTATCCCTTACATAGTAGTTACGTCTCCTGCTTCTAAAACGACACGGACCCCGACAGTGAGGGATACTACCGCCGTCTTGTAGTTCAGGTTAGACTTCGATCTTTGTTTTATCGTTTGAGAGACCCCTTGATGGCTCTCTCGGCCACAACCCCCGATAGCAATGGTCAACTGTCTTCCCAGACAGGGGTGCCCGTTATAACGAGCCTTCGAGATAATAGTACCCCAAACACCAAGGCTGGCCAAAAAGGCACTGAATCAGACGAAACGCCGGCGGGGGTGGAGGTGCCTGAGCAACCTGTTTTCCGAGAAGGGGGCTATGGCTGGTGAGTGATACTCTGTAAACAGAGTCGCTGTTTTTATTTACCTGAGCTAACCAACACTGTATAGGGTGGTTGTCCTTTCCGTTTTGCTCGTCAATGCCCATACCTGGGGTCTTAACTCGTCATATGCCGTCTTCTTAGCCTATTACTTGCGATCGGGCACCATTGAGGGTGCCTCACCCCTTGGATTTGCTTTTGTGGGCGGCTTGTCCATATCAATAGGTACCTGACGCACGCCCTCCGATTTTACTTTGGGAAACCGGTCGAGACTAATGAATTCATGGTCAGCCCTGCTGGTGTCTCCGATAGCCACATGGTGCATTGGCAAGTTTGGGACCGCTTCCACCTTACGAGTCGGCGTCCTATTTGAGGCGTAAGTCCTTTAGTATCGCTGCATAATCGAGAGATAGTTTTCATGTCTTGCTGACCTTGTCCTATTTAGTGTATCCTTCATTGGGGCCTCGTTCTCTTCTCACATTTGGCACCTGCTCCTGAGCCAGGGCATCTGTTTCGGTCTCGGGCTCGGATTTAGTTTCACGGCTACTGTCGGTGTCGTCCCCCAATGGTTTACCAAACGACGCTCGTTCGCGAACTCGGTCGCCACCAGCGGCTCTGGTTTTGGGGGTCTCACCTATGCGCTAGCGACTAATGCCATGATATCGAACCTTGGGCTCGCTTGGGCGTTCAGAGTCTTAGCCATTCTGGCCTTTGTGGTGAACGGCGCATGCAGTCTGATTCTGCGTGACCGAAATAAGGCTGTGGGAGCTGTCCACATCCCCTTCCATCTGGATCTGGTCAAGCGTCTTGAGTTTTGGCTCTTCGTTGGCTGGGGGTTCTTCAGTATGTTGGGCTATGTTATTGTCGTTTTCTCTATCACCGACTATGCCCAATCCGTGGGGTTTACTGCAAGCCAAGGATCAATTGCTTCCGCCATTTTCAACCGTAAGTCGCTCCCTAGCCATAGTTACCTCGGCGTGTTAACCGGTCTCGCGTTACAGTATCACAGGGTATTGGCAGACCCCTCATCGGCTTAGCTAGCGATCGGTTTGGAAGGATCAACGTCGCCGGCCTCGGTACCTTGACAGCCGGATTAGCTGCCTTCTTCCTGTGGATCTTCGCGGGCAAATATTTTGCCGGCCTCATTATCTATGTTCTTTTCGGCATGTTCGCTGGCATCATATGGCCTTGTGTTGCCCCTGTCGGAGCAGAAGTTGTGGGCTTACAGTTGCTGCCCTCTGGTGATTATGGTTCCCCGACCCTTCAACACTGCTTTTTGAGACGCTAATAAACCGTCTAGCCTTGTCGATATACTGGATCGCGCTGGTCCCGCCATCCACAGTGTATGTCCTCACACCCCTTTTCGCCTCGCGTTTCGTTTCCCCAATACTGACCATCTACGCAGTGCAGAAGCGGTGGGGCTCAGCTTGAAGACTTCAGGGATCAACGCCTATCTTAACGTTCAAGCCTTTACCGGGACAATGTATATCGCCTCATTCACATCTTGTATGACGTTCCCACCCCTCTCGAGTTGTGTCTAATTTAGTTTCTTACTTTGTTGGCAGTATGGCTCTTGAGGAGCTGGAAAGTGCATCAATTGAAGTTGCTAGGGTTGGACGAGAAGCAGAAAATGGGAGAAGTGCAGGCCGCCGGTACTGGAGAGGTGTTGCAAGGTGCGGCAAGGGAAACGGTTGGATACTTGCGTAACTTCATCACGGTTACAAAGGTTTGAAGTTCAAGCACCCAAGCTTGGCTCTTAGCGGAGTTGATCCAACTTTGAGTCATCCTAAAGCCTTCCAGCCCCTATTCCCTGAGAAGCATCTTGGAGTAGAGTTGTGGTTAGGGCATGATTAACAAGGTATAGCGGACGGCTGGATAGAACGGGTGTACATTCTTGAAATTGAGAATATAGGTACCTAACGAGTGATATCCGACTCTACGTTCGATACTCGCTGCCATGGGACTACACCCGGCTATTCTACTTCTGTGGCAACTCAATTGCCTTGACAGCTGTATTCTCAAAACCCATGCATAAAGTTACAAGCTACTCTCCGCGATGAGCTACCGACTTTCCTTCTCATTTACGAAGATTACCCGGGCCCGGTCGTTTCGCATGATCTTAGAGCTTTGCTTCACAGTGTCAGTCGTGGCTGTCCCGCCCGTGTCGAGGACGCTGGAGGTGTGTCCCCGGAACGCATCAAAGGCATTCACGGACGATACCGTTCTTTTTCGCTTCAACCTCCGATACGGTTTCTGCCACGATATCACAAAGCCCTTGCCAATCCGGTTGCCGACCACAGCTGCAATCTGCGGCGTTGTCAAAGCCGAAATGTGCACCAACGACTTTGACGTGACCTAGGGGTTGCACAGGAGATATGGAAAGAAGAAAGTAAAATATATTCAGAGAAGACGGTACCAGGTGTTGAACCAATTCCGCTGTGCTAACCTCTCCCTCGCCCCTAGCTTGTTCGTAGTGAAGGCACCAGGATGACCCATGACGTGGCCATGTGCCTCGGAGACACGGAGACACGGACGACCAAAAGCCACCACAGGTCCAAGATATATTAGCTTTGCTAAAGCAACATGTATTTTGCCTTAGTAAGGAACATTTATAAGCCCGGGCCCTGCTAAAGTGTTACCCAGCCATTTGTAGTGTGGAGAGTGGTTCGGCGTTGTTACACCAACTCATCTTGCTCGGGCGTAGTCCTCGTCTGTCTGACTGTAGTCACGGTTTATATAGTGAAAAGAAAGACGACCAGTGGGAAAGAAAACGAGTGAGAAAGAAGACAATACTGAGCTGGGCCCTATAATAGGCCCAACTACGTAGGTATGAGAAGTGCTAATAAAGGAACCGTATAGCGACCTCGAACCCATCCCCCTTTCTTTTCCTACGCTTACCTATTCCTCCCCATCGCCCCCACGTATTTTTAGGAGTTTCTTCAATATATGTATTATCATTGATCCTGTCCCTGGGCCACTGCCTCCTCATGTTTCTCCCTGGTTGTACGTTGTCGCTGGTCAATCGAGTTTACAGCCTCGGCGGTCAACCAAGCCCTCCTGGAGCTTGGTAGTCCTATCGGTAGGAATGTAGGAACTCACAGTCTGAGCCAGCAGATGCCGTCCTGTAGTCCCGTCTCGTATCTCGTTCGTATCTATGTCACGCCGGGGACCTTGAAGAACCCTGTCTCCAGAATGAAAACAGTAAACGCTTCTGTATGCATTTCCGCCTAAGATGGAGACCTCGATGCACTTCAAATTCAGGGACAGGACGACACAAACTTTCTTCTAGTTAGCGATACAAGTCAACACTACTTGCAAGCTGGTGATCGATAAGGCGTTAGTCACATTCGGAGGAGGCACGCTCGGTAAAGGCTACAGCAGTAGATAATGTGACGAAGAGGTTTGACCGAGGTTGATTCCCCATTCGGGAACGGCCCGGGTCGGTACGTAGGTTGATGTGGGGTATTTGGTGCCATCAAATCACCACCGGAGTTCCCCTTTAACCCCCGTTTCCTGCCGGCCGCCGTGGCCGCCAGGTGTTTTGGGCTTCTCCTTGAACCCCAAATTTTTGAAACTGTCCTTCGCCATCAGGTTGCTGGGAGTTCGGCTGTTAGTCTAGACAAAGCGTGTCAAGGAATTGTTGGCAAAACCCTCAAAGAACCCACCGGTCCATTCGGCAGCCCAGGTAGGACTTAGCCAGCATTCGACACTCGTCCTCATTCATCCCTTTGACCTTCTTGATACAGTCGATGTAGGCCGTCATGATATGTTTGCACTCTCCTGCCTCCAAGCATGAGTAGACAGCTACGTCAAACACCGCCGTGTAGACTTACCATCATGATCCAGTGGGAAGCTTCCCCTCTGTGGTCTTTGGGCCAAAACGACGGTTAACAGGACAGACCAACAGCTACATGCCACACCAGGGTGGGAGAACTTACGGGACAGGCTTTGTCGAGGGCAATGGTCCTGGACTTCCGAATGTGCTCATGTTGTCTCCACCGAAAGCCTGTTCAAGAGGCCACGTCGCAGCGATACGGTAGCTAGTTTGCCTCGGGCCTCGATGCGAGAGTCATCCCAGCCCAACAACAAAAAATTGTGGAGGGTTGGCTCAATTGGTAGAAACAAAAACAACAAAAACAATACTGCTCGTGTTGGGTTGAGTAGCAGAAAAGGCAGCGCAAATGAAGCCGCTGCCCTTTCTAACTGTGGGTCTTGGCCAAGCCTTCAGCTCTTTTTTTGTAGCCCGACACCATCAGATGCTTGGCTCCGGTGGGGCTGCAACTTCTGACGCGCTCTGTTTGTCGTGCATGAGCCCTGGCAATCGATCGATTCCTCCCTGGCGAGTTGTCCGTGCTTTGCTTTGCTGTGGGCGCCCAAGCAAATCCAGAACGACCAAGAATCTCATTGCCCCGGTTTAATGCGTCGGGCAGAGCCCTCGAGTTCCGCCGAGCTCTCATCGCCGAACCCAACGGATTCTTTATTTACGCTGTTCCCGGGTTCCTTTGTCGAGAGCCACGGCCAGGCGTCGGCTCCCATCCTCGGCTGGACCATCTAACGTTATCTCTGTTACTCCGCCGTGCTAAATATTGCACCCCAAGCCGACCCCGGCCTTGTTGTGTCTTGGGTCCTTGACGCAACAACACCGCTCCTACCACCCACACCCCCCTCGAAAGCTCTCCTCCCACAAGACGCCATTGTGCGTCACCGGCCGGTGCTATGGCTGCCCTTGGCGACGACTTGCTGGGAACCGTCAACAAGTTGCAGGATCTTGTTTTTAACACTATCGGCAATGATTCTTTAGATCTCCCGCAAATTGTACGCACCATCAAATGGGACGAGTATTTGCGTCCGAGACAGCACCATTGCCCCTTTCTTACGTTGTGCTAGCTAACCGTACATGCGCTGTGCAGGTCGTTGTTGGGTCCCAGTCCGCGGGCAAGTCGTCAGTTCTCGAAAACATTGTCGGACGAGATTTTCTTCCTCGTGGCAGCGGCATCGTGACCCGCCGGCCCCTCATCCTGCAGCTTATCAACGTGCCTAGCGATGAGACGGAAGATGACGCCAACGCTGGCTATCGGAATCCAAACCAGGCTGCCCCCAATGAGTGGGCCGAGTTCCACCACATCCCCAACAGGCGGTTCAACGATTTCGGCGATGTCAAGCGGGAGATCGAGAACGAGACCTCAAGAATTGCTGGTAACAACAAGGGCATCAACCGCCAACCCATTAACCTGAAGATTTTTTCCCCGCACGTTCTCAACCTGACCCTTGTCGACCTGCCGGGTCTCACAAAGGTCAGTTCGCCCTCCGAATACTTATGGCCACGGGGTTCTCTAACCAGCTGGCGTACTGTAGGTGCCCATTGGGGATCAGCCAACAGACATTGAGAAGCAAACCCGCAACTTGATATCGGAGTACATCGCCAAACCCAACAGCATTGTGTTGGCCGTGTCGCCCGCAAACGTCGATATTGTTAACTCGGAGGCTCTCAAACTCGCACGGCATGTGGACCCACTGGGCCGCAGGACGATTGGTGTCCTCACCAAGGTTGACCTGATGGACCATGGCACAAACGCACTCGACATATTATCGGGGCGTGTGTATCCTTTGAAGCTGGGTTGGATCGGGGTTGTGAACCGGTCCCAGCAAGACATCCAGGGCAACAAGCCGATGGAAGATGCCTTGAAGTCCGAGTCCGAATTCTTCAGGCACCACCCAGCCTACCGGAATATTGCGACCCGTTGTGGCACCCGCTTTCTAGCTAAGACTCTTAACACCACCTTGATGGCGCACATCCGAGACCGTCTTCCGGACATCAAGGCTCGGTTGAATACCCTCATGGGACAAACCCAACAGGAGCTCGCCAGTTACGGAGACATGCATTTCAGCGGAAAGGAGCATCGTGGCTCGCTTATTTTGCAGCTAATGACCCGGTTCGCGACATCCTTCATTTCATCCATTGATGGTACCTCGACGGAGATTTCGACAAAGGAGCTTTGCGGCGGTGCTCGCATTTACTACATCTTCAATTCTGTCTTTGGAAGCTCGCTTGAGTCTATTGACCCGACTTCGAACCTCTCGGCTCTCGATATCCGGACGGCTATCCGCAACTCAACTGGTCCACGCCCAAGTTTGTTCGTGCCTGAGATGGCTTTCGATTTGCTGGTGAAACCCCAGATCAAGCTTCTTGAATCCCCTAGCCAACGCTGCGTTGAGCTCGTGTACGAGGAGTTGATCAAGATTTGCCATACCTGTGGCTCCACCGAGCTGACAAGATTCCCTCGGCTACAGGCCAAGCTCATCGAGGTGGTATCAGACCTGCTCCGGGAACGGCTTGGCCCCGCCTCTGGTTACGTGGAGTCGCTCATCTCGATTCAGCGAGCATACATCAACACCAACCACCCTAATTTCCTTGGCGCGGCTGCTGCCATGAGCCACGTGGTCAGCAACAAGCAAGAACGTGAGAGGAAGCGGCTCATACAAGAAGAACGGGAGCGCCGGGAACGGAGACGGATGAAAGAGCTTGGTGCTAATGGCACTGAGACTCCCGCGGAGGAGGACGCGGAGACCGCCGCAACGGAGAGAGCAGAGTCCGTTGTCGTACGGAAAGCTCAGTCCAAGGTTTCCCGTAGCCATTCCCCCGCCATTCACGAGAGAGCACCCGGTATCGCCAATGCCCTCAACGGAACCCGTTCTGCGTCTCCGGCGCCATTCAACGGGCAGGCTCTAGGCAACGCTAAGGACTCATTCCTCAACTACTTTTTCGGCAAGGATGGTGCCATTGTGCCTGGCTCCGCTTTGCCCAACGCAAACATTGGCCGGCACGTCACCCAGTCGGTCGAGCCAACGTTTAGCCAGAGTATTAGGCGGCCAGAAGAGAAGGCCCTGCGGTCTCCGATCCAGCCCACCCGGCCTGATGATGGTGTAGACTATACAGGGTCCTCGAAGGGGACGGATGTCGTAAGTCACGCTCAATGTCTGATGTCTCGCCTGAACTGAATGATGGCTAATTGTTCTGCGTAGCTTAATGGCGAGCCCGCCATGACCGACCGTGAAGCCATGGAAACCGAACTGATCCGGGCTCTTATCAGCTCCTACTTCAACATTGTCCGTGAAAGCATTGCCGACCAAGTTCCCAAGGCCATTATGCACCTCCTCGTCAACCATTGTAAGGATGTCGTGCAAAACAGGCTTGTCAGCGAGCTGTACAAGGAGATCCTCTTTGAGGAGCTCTTGTACGAGGACGATGGGGTGAAGAAGGAACGCGAGAAGTGCGAGAAGCTACTTCAGACGTACCGGGAGGCGGCCAAGATCATTGGAGAGGTGGTCTAAACACTCCCATTCTCCATGGATTCTGCGGCATTCTCAAACTCTTGGGTAGGGGGAGCGCGGTGGCTGTATTGTACACGGATCCGGCCCCTTGGAGCGGGCTAGGATCGGGACTGACGGTGGTATCTGTCGGTGGTGTTTGGTTTGTTGGTTTTCATGGGTCTCTCCCTTATAGACGGGCCCGGGCTAGCTTTTGAGGAACCTACTTTGTACAATATCTAGGGGATGCTAACTCGGCTTGATGGAGGAAACCTTCACGCCGGAAAAATGTGATGGTCGTGGATGGGGCGGATGGGGCGGTGGCGGTCTGGACTTCGCGTTGCGCACTAATTTCCCTTGATTTATATACTCGTACATATAGTCACGAAGCCAAGTTTCATCTGAACGTTCTTGTGTCGAACAATGATTTGTTTCTGACCTCTACACTTCTGTTCTTCCTAGTCTCATTCTCGATTCTGTTTAGCTTACCTAATATGGACGCCGTGATGGCTGGCTCCACCCGCTCGTTACGTAAACCCCGCGGTCCTTTTCTCACCACGTCTAAATGTTCGGCGTCTCTCTCCGTCACAGCGTGACGCCATCCTCCGATTCCTCGACACTGTGATGGAGCGACCGTTATCCCATCGATTCCTGGTTTTCTCCGATTGACCGCCAGGTCCAGTCAGGTTTCTTTTCTTTCCTTCCCCGCGCATTACTGGCCACTCCGCTACGCCATTTCCAACTGCCCCGATACTCGCAGCCGTTGAGGTCAACCCCACGGCGCTCCGGGAACTCTACGTTCTCCCTACAACCGAGGTCGCGAGTTGTTCGAAGACAACCTCCCTTGTCTACGGTTGAGTCATGAACGCGCAATGGATCTCTATTTCAACTCCTATACCGTTGCATAGGAGCTCCTCGTGGACAACGGTCGCGCTTTAGGCCGTTGCACTAGTCATCAATTTCCTCTACCTTCTTGACAAGTGTTAATCACATTTTTCGACCCCCCCCCCCCCCTTTTTTTTTACTTGTACCTCAACTGTTGTTCTGCTAGTAGACCAACTCACCCACCACTATTTCTCGTGCTATCTCTCTTTCTTCCTTTTCACTTTTCCCTCTCCCAGCTCTATCATCCTCGTCATGGCCGACGACGCTCGTCCGGGAGGCGTTGAAGATGAGGGAACGTCGCGTTTAGCACAGGTGGAAGAAGGCAATGATCCCATGAACGTGGTGTCCGATGTTTTCGACAGTGGGGAAACGGTGTTTGCCATGCACGTGGATAGTCTGGAGAGGAAACGCAAACTGCCCAATGGTCGTGTGAGCAATGATCAGGTCGACCCAACACAGTCCGAACCAACCCAGAATGTCAAGAAGATTCGGCTAACTGCCAGCCATGCGGTCGTGGGGCTCCGATCATGTTACCCAGAGCCGAGCAGCTCACCAACCCTTGACAAATCCTTTCTCCCTGCTGAGGTATGGCACCATGTTTTCACTTTTTGCCCCCCGAGGTCGTTGGGAAACCTCCTGGCCGTCAACAAGTTGTTCAACGTCTACTTGGACCCGGCTTCATCAGTCCACCGAGCGCCACACCGTCCTGCAAACCAGGGGACGCTGCGCACCCGGGAGCCTAACGACATATGGCGGAAGTCACGGGGGCTCTTTTGGCCCCAAATGCCTGCACCTATGGACTCAAAGACTGAGCTCGATATGTGGCGGCTTGCCTGCTCACCCAAGTGTCAAGGTTGTGGCAAGCTCAGAGCTCTAGAGCCCGATGCCCATAATTCTCGTCACCCAGGCCCGGGAGACGACGGTGTGGTGGTTGTCTGGGGGTTCGGCCGCTGCCTTTGCGCACTCTGTCTTCTGAAATGTTGCCACAAGGTGCGTATGCCTGAGTTAGGATGAGTGCATATCCTGTCTGGCTGACACCCAATAGGAGCTAGACCTTCAAATATCGCCTTCGATCCCTTCTATTATCATCCCAGCACTTTCTTTCATTTTTCTGACGCGGGAACGCGATGTATTCTCAGCTGCCGCGGTCGAACAAACCCCACTCCCCGATGGCTTGTCGGCCACTAAATTATTCCTAAAAGCAGATGTTGAGAACTTGCAAGAAGAGTTTTCCCGTGTGCAAGAAATGGGCCAGGGTACCATTTCTGAGTGGCTCAAGGGCCTCACCAGCCGAGGCAGCGATGCACAACACCAGCCAGTCAAGTGGGAGAGGTGGGAAGCTTCCGGTGGCGTCTCGAAAATGTGCTCGGTATTGTACCCAGGATTTACCGCGCGAGCTCCGACATCCCTACCTCCGAAGCCGTTACTAAATCCAAACCTCGCCCAATCCACCACTCCAGGACGCCATGAGAGGACCGCCGAAGAAGCGGCAGAGATCAAGGCGGCGAGAAAGGCAGAGATTGAGCGGCGCTCCTTGCTGTTAGACCCGCCATTAAGGGCCGACGTTCTTTGCCGTATTCCCGCTTTTCAAGCCGCGACACACATTGTCGCACCCCTGACCGACGACGCCTGGGACAGGCTAAAGCCACGGTTACTAGCGCAGCGAGCCGATGCCGAAGCTCTGGAAATTGTGCGCAAATCGGAGCCAATTCCTCGAACAGAACACAGCCAACCATGCCTTGAGACGACTCTAGCAGCGGGAAAGGAGGCTCGGGACCTTGTCGACAAACATTGGGAAGAGGTGCAAGCCCCCCTGCGTGCCAAAATTGCTGGCTACGCGGACGAGGTTCTTCGGGACGACTGGAACAAGGGCAAAAAGGTTACCAAAGAAAACTGCTCACGGTTTGCGGTCGACGCCCTTCTCCACGTTCGAGCGCAATTCTACGCCCATGTCAGTAAAACGATGGCCGCCGCTAAGCTAGCTGGAACCCCGGCCGACATTGATCCTCCAGAAGGTCCCTTCACCCAGAAGCTGACATTGGAAAACATGAAATGGATCTTTGACACAAAATTCAAACCCCACACGGAACATCTGCGAAAGGAACTCTTCTATTGCAACGGGTGTGAAGGAAACTACAAGGCGTTTGGCTTTGAAGGGGTTATCCAGCACTACGCAGCGAAGCATACCAAAACCCTGAGTGTGGGAAGCATCATCGTGCATTGGAGAGCTGAATGGCCAGAACATCCTCCATTTAGCGCCACGCCGCGAACCGCCCAATCTCCTTTCCACCCGCTCGTTCCAAGTGGCTTTCCTCCCGTTGGGAGCGCTCCGCTTGCGATCAACTACCCCTACCCGCCATCGGAGCTTGTTCCACCACCGCCGCCGGCCCCAAGCCCTGGCTATCCGTACCCTACCGGATATGAGTTCCCGCCTCCAGTATTCAATGGGCCGTACCAACAGCCGCCCCCGCCGCATCCCCACGCTTTTCATCCTCAGCATCCCGCTCAATTTCCCGCCCCTCCTCTGCCGCCGCCTGGATATGGACAGCTACAGCCCCCGTATGCCACCCCGCCTGGACCTTATCAAGGGTTTCAGTCCACGGCCGCCCCGTATGGTCTTTTGACTGGGCCTCCTGACTCAACGTACGGCCCGCCTCAAAACGGACAATACGACTATCTCAATCAATATGCCCCGTCGATGCATCCGCCCTTCCCAGACCTGTACACCACCAAGGTAGACGACATTGCTCGAAACTCTCGTGAGGTTTGGCGGGCACTCGGGGATATCAAGGACTTCCCGGGTGATGCGAGGGTCTGGGTGACGATTCACCACACGGTCAAGAGGTTCCAGTCGCGTTTTTACGAGACCCCACTACTTTCCATGTTCATCGACGGCCTTTCCAACCACAAAGAGATGCGCCCTGTCCGCAACGTGAACGAGCTTATTTGTAAGACTTGTCATCTGGCACTCGACAGCGCCAACGGGGCCAAACAAGACCGGAAGGAGTTTTCGCTGCCGCAGCTCACCAATCATTTTCAGTTGGAGCACTCAGGCCTCACCCAAGGCTCTGCTGCTGCCTCGGACTGGGCCGTGGACATGGTTTGGGTGCGCAACCTCTCAAGGCTCCCACAATACGTCTCCTCGGCCAACGAGCCGCAGAGGGCTTTGATCTCTGCTGCGCTTCCACCCGTACCCGAGCTACCACCAGTTCCCACCGCTAGCCAAGCTTATGCCATTGAGCCCCATCATAGCGGGCCGACTCCTTCGGTCGACGGACGTGCCACTGCGGCAACCGGTGCTCTAGAGGTGCCTCAGAGAAAACGCCACCAAATGTCGAGCGGGCTACATGACCATTCGACACCTGAAACCCTATCAGAGAACGGCGGCTCGACATACACTGACGACGGGTGGCGGGCGCCGCATGCCTCACGGCCCGGCAAAAAGGGAATGCCACCAAAGGCGGAGACTTCCACGGACGGGCTGTTTGAAAAGCGATTCAAGAAACGCGAAGAAAATAGGAAGTGGGAGGAAGAAAGGAAGCGCGATGCGACTTCTCGGCTCCTCGAGGGTGCTATCGGTCGAGCGGCAACGCCCCCGGCCGCGTATCCTTCGGCCAGCACTCGGCAGCCAGGGGTAGATGTCGCGGGTCGTAATCAGGCGGGCACCCAGGGCGAGCGTCGTGCATCCCCCCAGGATGGAGCAACATTTCAAGCGGAAACTAGGGCCGAGAAATTCAGCACCGTCGCAACCACACATCAACAGCAACCTGAAGAATACGAGAAGCTGCGTCAGTTCCGCGGTCATCAAGGAATATCGGAATCAACAAGGTTTACAACAAGTCCAAGTACCACCCCGCTCGACTCTCAATCGGACCTCAGACGCGGCGAGGAGAGAACTCGAACGTCGCTCGTGGGCCTCGCCCCACCACCAGCAGACGTTCCTTATTATCCGTACCCGGCAGCAACAGAGCGGCAACTGGAACGATATCGCCACTCGCATACCCAACCCAGCTTTGTCGACCGGCCCCATGGCCACAATGGGGAGTCGTATGGCCTACTGGCCGCGCGACCCGAGAACCGCACGCATGAAGCAGCGCTGCCCGAAACGGACCGCCCCGTTCATTATGATAGCATAGGTTTACGCGGACGACCAGTTGTCGAGACATACGAGATCGTGCATGTCATTGACGAGCAAGGGGAATATTACGTCCGACGACCGCTTCGGCGTGAGCCTGAGCCCCGTTACGTGTACCAGGCACGTGGAGTCCTCCACGAGACGAGTGCCTATCCCGCTGGTGGGATTAGGTCAGCCCCTTTTCCCCCGCCTGGTTTCGTCCCAGATGCAGCCCGAGCTGGGGCGAACGGGGGGCCTGACAATCGGCCAGGCGGCCGGCGGACCGACCCCGCCTACCTAGAGGAGTACGATCCCAGGTTTCCAGCTGCTTGAAAGGATTCCATCGGTGTGTCGACATTTGCCTCTTTGCTCGCCCCCCCAGTGGCCTGTGGCGAAGGGGGCAGGTATTGTACACCTTTCTCTTCAAACACCTTGCATGAAATTGGTCGAAGGATGCTTTGAGCGTTGAGGATCGAACCGAGGGTAGAGACATGGAGCGTAAAATCACAAACAGGAAAAGAGGGGGGAGCCGTCAGAATACTAGAAGGGTTATGCTCACAGCATGTATGTACTTTGTACGGGGACATGATATCTGCTTGCTTCTGGGTTGCTTCCTGTGACGGACTGTTTTCAAAATACGGACACTGACGTCTGAATTAAGCATTCTTGGCTTTCTGGGCATGGAGCCAGCCGAGCATCACTGTTGGGCCGTACAATGTAATGCCCATACATGTCCATGTCGAGGACCCGGGCCGTCCGACACAAGTCCGGATATGCTGTCTGGCCTCTCACAGGCCCCCCACACGCATGCGAAGATCCCCCGATCCCAACCCAGCTGGGGCCCATCCGCTGGCACAGCAGGCGGCCCCACGGGGTTCGTCCGGCCCGCTGAATGGCCAAGGAGCCAAGCCCGAGACAGCCCTGTCAAGGTCCGCCGGCAGGGGGGAAAGAGCTGTCCAATCAGCGGGTATGTTTCGTGAAACATGAAACGAAAGGCATCTAGGGCCAATGAGGAACCGCAATTGCGCGCTGGTGAGATTCCTTTTCCAGTCGCCCCTGAGCTGTTTCCAGCATTTTGGACCAATCCAGGCCTTGGCATCAAACTGGGCCATCAGCCCCCTAAACTCGGCCATGTGGGTTTGAACGCCGTGAGAGAACTGGCAAACGGCCAAAGAGCCATCCTTCGTCCAAACGTTACCTCTCCCCTTGTCAGGTTTGTCAGGGGCTCACTCACGGGAATGCCGTAGCGGGTCGCAGCTGATCACAGGGGTTGATTATGCCTGACGACGTGGACAAGCTTTTGCTCACAGTCACAGGCAACCCCTATATCAGACGGCGGACCTCCTCAGTCTCTGTGACCCGTTGCCATTTCCCCACCACGCTCCTTTTCTGCTTTCATCTTGCTGGCTTGCTGGAGTGATTTCCACGCAAAATCAAGTATCTTGTTGTCTTACTCCCTGGCTGGGCCAGTTCTGCCACTCCTTTTTTTGTTTTGAACATCACGACGACGAAAAACCTGTCATCACGTACAACGCTAGGTTTAACCTTGACCAAGCCTTTCCTTCGAGAATACAACAGATCATCATGCACTTCCAACTTCTCTCGGCTCTCTTTTTCAGCGGCCTCGCCGTTGCCGGTCCGGTGGCCTGTAGGCAAGCCCCTACGCCGACACCATCGGCAGCGCCGCCGGCCGGCAGTGCAGGCACGACTTCGAGTTCCGGTGTCGACCTCGCAAAGGCCATCGCGGCCGTCATGCCGTCGGCCAACAGCTGCTCGGGCGCCGACTTCCCCGACGAGTGCCGCACCGCCGAGCAGGCCGCCCCCTTCATCTCCAAAGCCTGTGCCGACCTGAGCAACGGCGAGTGTGCCGCCACCGTCGCCGTCATGGGTCTCGAGAGCGGTGACCTCAAGTTCAAGCACAACGTGAGCCCTGGTCGCCCAGGCCAGGGTACCGCCAACATGATGCAGATTGACGTAAGTTCAGCCCCCTTCCAGCAGAAACAGCCGAGTGGGGGGCAAGTGAAAACTGACACTCTAGGACAGTTCATTACCAAGTACGCCACCGATCTGTTCGGTGCCGGCAAGGTGTCCGGCAAGGCCCCCAATGACATTCTGGCCCTTGTCACCCCGGACGCCACCAACTTTGGCTCAGCCGCCTGGTTCCTCAAGACACAATGCCCCAACGTACGGGACACCCTCAAGGCCGGCACCGACCAAGGCTGGCTCGCCTTTAACGAGTGCATTGGCGTTTCGGGAGCTTCGGGGGACCGCATGGCGTACTGGACGAGGGCGAAGCAGGCGTTCAACCTCTAGGGTTTTTAGCTACATAATCAGCACGTTCGGGGAAATGCTGGTAGGCGGGTAGATTGAGGGCAGTCGAACCGCGTCGGTTTCCTTTTTATTTTCCCTGTTGACATTTCATGAGAGATGATGATAGATGCCTTGTTTTGGTTCACAGTCGAAGCAAACATTCGAAAAGATTTGCTACACGTTTATATTCTGGTCATGATGATATATACAAGCGCCGTGCAACATCCAGTTTCATTCGGCTCCCATTCCCAACCACATCCCTTGATTCTGGTCGTCGTTCCCATGTCGAGCTTAACATCATCGTAGCGCATGGCCCGGTGCAGGCGCGGGCCAAGTCCAGCGTTGCAAGCCACTGCGCCCCTTAACCCGAGCAAATATTGCTCTCAGCCAGTGCAGACTTGGGGAACAAGACGGCCGGGAGCCCATCACCGAGGGTAATGTCCAACGAGCCATTCGAGTCCGTTGTGTATGCGGTGCAGCTCATGACCTCCACGAGTGCCAGGCCAGCCCCGAAGCCCGTGGCAGACGAGGTAAGGGTGACTTTAGCGGAAGACGAGGCGCCAACGTTGGTGAACACGCCTATGACCTGAGACCCGTCGAACCCCTTCCGCATGGCGATGGTGTGGGTGTCCGAGTAGATCGGGTAGGCGTTGTACCCGAGGTAGTTGGCGTCTTTGGCGATGGCTTGGGCTCGTATCTGGTTGAGTTTGGTAATCCATGTGTAGAACTCGGACGTGGTCGAGTAGCCCGAGGACCAGAGCGCCTCTCGCTGGTGAGGCGTCCCCCCGCCGGCGTAGAACTGTTCTTGGCCTTGATAGATGATGGGAATTCCTAGGAGTGGGGTGTCGTTAGGTCCTGTGTGTGATGCGTGAGGTAGGCTTAATGCAGTCGAGTGAACTTACCATCCTTGAGCATCGTGAACGCGATTGCCTACGACGTACGAGACACCCTATATTAGCTTCCTAGACAGAATCCCAACTTCTCCGGAGTTCGCGCTTACATTCTTCGTCAGTGCCTACGTAGCGTTGCAAGATGTCACGTTAGCTTCTAGGATAGAAATACGCAATATGGGAGGGGGGTCGGCAGTTCCATAAGAGGCATGCATACCTTGTCTTGGGTCAAGGACGGGAACCGTTCCACGTCGTGGTTCTCCAGGAAGGATCCATACAAACTGAGGTCCTTGGCGGTTCCCCGCATCGTGCCGAGGCCGGAAACAAGATCACCGATGCTGCCGCTGGCAGACTTGAACGCATTAACCACCCAGTAGTAGCTGTTTCAACGGGTCAGTATGTCCGAAGCGGAACAAACGAGGCAGCTAGGTAGAACGGGTGCTGATCTATCTCTCACCTGGGGTAGTCCATCACGCCATCAAAGTACTGCTGGTAAGCCGTCACGTATGCCGGGTCGCCGTCAAACACCTCGCCCACCATGTACACACCAGCTGCGGCCGAGAATCCAGACCAGAACGAGGTTTCAACGTGCTTTCCACTGTCAACCCGGAGACCGTCGCTATAGCCTTGCGTCAGCGCCGGTCTGGGGAGTGAGTACCGTCGACGGGCTGCGGGACTCACATTGAATATTTGGACACGAGTTGGGTAATCCAGTCGTTCCAGACCGACCGGACGTCGTCACTAAGCCAAGTTGTTAATGCCGGGGTGGTTGAGATACGGCACCTGTACCTAGCAGACTTACTCTTCGGTGCGTAAGTCGGGTAGGCTGCATCTTGGTTAGTTTTTGGTCACCGAGGGGACGACACCTATTTGGCTTGACGCAAGACACGTACCTGACGATGTCATCACCTTCCCAGCAACTAAATAGTGTCAGACGTCGTCACGTTCATGGATTTGCGATGGACACATACGTCTCGATTGAGTTCTGGTCATTGTAATTGATTTCACAGGGCGAATGGTAATACGACGCCTAGAAACACTGCATGTCAGCCGATCTTGTCCCCCTGATACGATGCCGGGCGTGTCTGGGAAGCAGCGACCTGGATTGTGGAGGGGGGGCCTACCGAATTAAAGGGGTTGAGCCCGCTGTAATCAACGCAGTCTCTGCAGCCCATATATCCCATGTGGTTGGTGACAACATCAACCATGAAATACTACCAGGAAGGGGGGCGGGGTGGTGCATTGTCAGCAAGCAAATCCATAGTTAATCGCGGATAATAACACGGCCGGGAACTTACCATGCCTCGGGAGTGAATCTCAGAGGCGAGCTGCACGAGGTCATCCTCGGTTCCAAAGGCGGGATTCAGAGCCCAGATATCCTTTGCCCAGTATCCGTGGTATGACGAGCTGTGAGAGTTTCAAGAGTAAATACGCAGCTCCCCGGGTCCTCGTCGCGCTTAATTCATTGTGCGTAAGATTAGTCCACTCACCCATCCTGCGAATTGCCCTCTATCTGCTCGACAACCGGCGAGATCCACACAGCCGTGAAGCCCATGCCCTTGATATAATCCAGCTTCGAGATCAACCCCTGCCATGTCCCTCCGCAATAGACGCCATCTGACGGTTCACAAGGGACCGTGGTCGAGAGGTCGGTACGGGCGAATCGGTCGGTGAAGACCTGGTAGATAGATTGCTGCCGCCACTCAGATGGAGAGAGAGCTGTTACCGCATTGCGTCCTCCCAGAAGGACGCCGGTCAGCACGAGGAGGGCCTGGTTCAAGGGACGAACCATCTTTGCCCGGGCGTTTCGAGGTAATGGACCTTGAACTGGTCAAGCAGAGCTACCTAGCGGGCGAGGACCAGTGACCGGGCACTCGGGAGACCAATTAATGAACTGACTGAGAACGCCGGTTGGATGACAACACAACAACTCTTAAGAGACAGACATTAGCAAGTTCCCCGTTCTTATAGTGATCGGGGGCTACGGATACTACTAGCATCCACACCCCCAATCAGAGTACGAGTGACGATGTATCATGGGCAACTAACTGCGGGGCGGTAAGCCGAAACAATCGCGCCGAGCTAGAGCTCCTCCTTCCTTCAATCGGCCCGTCCCCAGACCCAGTTCGGGTGTTTGTTCGTTCGCTCCAACATCACAGGTGTCGAGGTTACCACACGGCAAAGGGAGTTGACCTCAGGGGCAGCCTTCCAAAATAGGCAACACGGCTCCGTGTACATGTGCGGTCCCTTGCCGTCGATCCCCCGCATCCCGACGCAGGCGGCAGTATTGCAATAGTCTGGGGCTCCGCATGGGGACTGAGTTGGGGCAGAAGGGCCGAATTCACTCCTAACTTCCTTCTTTCTCTCTGATAGCAAACCAAGCATGTGCATAACGTTAATTGTTGTGAGCCATACGGAACGTATCGTGTTGCACGTGCTACGATCGAAACTGGACCGGGCCGTCAAATGGGTCAAAGAATAGTGTACGCGTTCAAAGTTGAATATATATAGCCTAATTCCTGTTCCCCGCCCCAAAGAAGCTAAACGCATGAGACCATCACAAAGGAGGGTATTCGAGTGAGTGGGGATGAGGTGGGTGTAGTACTAAACCGTTGGGTAGTACACAGTGGTAATGAACAGAATATACAACTCTAGGTCCGCGGATCAATCAGAACCCCCTTCTGCCTTTTCCGGCATTTCCAGGCTGGCCTTGGCACTGGCACTCTCCATGGTTACTAACATCACTTCAACTCCCCGTTTGTCCTCAACGGACCTAGCCACCATCTCGCCGATTTAAGTTTCAACTTGTGCCCGATAGATTCATGTTGTAAGGGTATGTATTTCCATCTTCAGAAGCTCGTTGCCGTGGTTGTTGTTGTTGTTGCTGTTGTGGTTGTTGCTGCTGTTGCTGTGATTGTTCCGTTGTAGCTGGGAAGAACTGCAAAGATTCGCCGCCCCAATTTGCCGTCTGTGTAAAAGTTTCAAACGAATCCTACGTAGTAAAAGTTTAGTACGGAAAAATGCACGGGACCGGAGACAAGCTAAAAAATGGTAAGGAAGTACTCACCCAGTCAAAATTACCCGAAAAGTCCAAGTTACTGTTTGCCATGTTATCAAACATGGACAGTGGCGACTGGATGTTCTCGAGGCCAAGCATAGGACCCGAATAGTCGAAAGTCGAGGGGGTTCCGAGGCCCAAAGTCGTACCAGAAATTGAATCGGGGCTCACCCCTGAATTCGCGGCGCCGAGCGGCAAGCCAGGAATGCCGTAGGCCGTACCTACAGAGCTTCGGGATCCATTGTAAGCCATTGATGATGGTGGCATTGGGCCACCTGAAGGCATGTCCTTCGCTGATACCCCGCCAGGAAGTTGCTCCTGGGCCAGACTAGTCGGGCCCCTGACACCCCCACCCCCATGCGATCCCGGCCCGACAGGCACCTCGGTGGAAACCCGAGGGCCATCCGCCCCGCCAAGGCTCTTGAGCTTATGGAGCATGACATCGAGAACACTAGAGGCCTTGAATGCCTCAATCGAGGTATCGGCCAGGCCCTTCCAAATATCACGTGTCAGCTCTAGTGTGTCGATCATCGCCTGGCGCTGTTCTCGAGTCCAGAAAAATAAGCTTTGCATGTCCTGCTGAGTCGCAGGGCCCTGGATCCCGTTGTCAAAGTGGAGGTCCAGGACGACAACCATGGCGGGGAGAAGAAAGTCCTTCGTTGCGACGGAAGCGAAGAACCACTTGGCTGGATGCAACAGCCCGCTCGGCTGCGACTCCCGATGAAGCGTTGCCAGGTGTTGCAACATGTCCAGCGAGGCCTCGATGGCGGTACGCCGAGAGTGGGCGTAGCGAGGATTGTTTCTCGCTCTCGGGATGTACTTTCTGTGGAGTACACACATGACTTTGAGATAGAGGATGTCCAAGTGATACCGCGCCATGACCAACGTCAGGGGCACATGTGAGCCATCGAGCGGTCGCATCTGAAGGTGGGGAGGCAACGCGGCCTTGAGATCCCGCAGCTTGGCGTCAAAACGGAGGATGTCGTCGTAATGGACCTGATTTTGCAACCGGCCCGTGGCCTGAACAATGACACCGAGAAGATTACACATCTGGACCTTGGCTACCATGTAACTAATGGGCGTGGGCTCCGTCTGCGGTCGAGACGGTGGCAACACTTTTGTGTCAGGGCCAAACTCTTCGTCGTAGATGTTATGAGGCAATTCTGTGTCGCAGTCGTTCTCCGATATCATGCTGGGCAATGACAATTGATGTGAGAAGAAAACGTCCATCATCCTGATAAACGCCCATGTCCTTCGTCTCATCTCCTATTGTCCACAAAAACGCTCTCGGTCAGAACAATGCTTGTGATAGTTAAGGAAGGGGGGCCCAATGGGCGTGAAAAAACGTACCGCCTCGAAGGGAGGAAGGGTAGGAAACCACTTGCCGTCCCGATGATAACCCATCCGCATAGCCACCCTTACCACCATCGACACGAGTATCCAAATACCTACGTCGGCGTCCCAGCGTGACGAATACTCGCAAAAGCCGTACAGCATCATGGCCTCCGCCGTATGCTGTGCAGGTTTTGTGTAGTCGCCTGCGATCAGACACTGCACCGTCCTCAGTCGATACTCATGGGCTAGCTCAAGCACTCTACCCTTCCACTCCACGGGTTCGTCTCCAACCTTGTGGTAACTTATCAACGCCAAACACATAACCGCATACAACAAGGCGAGCCACATAATCGGGGTCTTGGAGGGGTCTTGCCAGTGATTGCGGAGCTGCTGGTGAAAAGCAGGGCCGTGGAGAAAGTTGGCAGCGTTGTCCATCGAGCTGAAATACCTGGCGACCAGCGCGAGAACCGTTGACTTGGGGGGTAGCTCCGCCCGGAGTTCAACTTCGGTGGCCGGGGGCGCGCCCATGAGGAGGGTGGGTGGCTGTTTAGCGGTAGGTGATTTGGCCTTCATGATCCTTTCGTAGCCTGACTCGAGGTCCTTTTTGTGGTTCGCAAAGTAGTTTTTTACCTCAGCGATATCGTGGAGGATGGTGTGCCAGTGTTCCTCCCCGAGGTACACGTGTTTTGACCGAACCGGGTCCATCTTGAGAACTCCTAACGACTTGGCGAGTCCCTCGTCGACATCACTCTCCTCATCCTGCATCGCCCCGTCATCGTCCTGGCTGTCGTGTTTTGCCGGTAAGGAGCTACTGTCTGCGGTGGAAGGTGAGGGGTTCGAGGCCGCGCCACCAGAAGATATGGAAGAGGAGCCGCCAGGAAGGGATTGGACGTCGACGTTGGCACCCCCATGCATCAGCGACAAGACAAGCCCCTCAAGCCTATCAATGCGGTTCTGCATGTCATCTGGGGTTGGTTCACCTTGGGTCTGATTCTTCCTTCGAGATACGGGGGTAGCGTATGAGCAGGAGGTCGTGCCAGTTCCCTCCCGTTTCGTGCAATTGCTACATGGGTGAGATCTGTCACATTTCCTAGAGCGCCAATCTGTTAGTTGTCATAATGAGGAGCGCCGTGATGTAGGCTCTTACACCCAACGACACGGTGAATGCTTACAGCCTAGATGCACTGTTAGCTGCCAGTTCGAGATGAATGGTGAGGGAACGTGCATCAAGTCGGCTCACTTTCTTGTTCGGCAGGGATAACAGCTGAGCGGCACCCGGTTTCTCTTGCGCACAACACGGAACTGTGGCTCAGGCGACCGGCCGATAGATGACCCTGTCGCCGAAGGCGGTGTGGGCGTCATGATGAAAAACAGAGCGGAAACGACACGACGAATGACCAAGCCCGTTGCCGCCGTCAGACACACGGAAAATCCAACTTTGGAATACCAGAATGTACCCAAACAATGGACTGATGGCAAAATTCAGAGCACGGCTAGCCGCCGCCGGTTGGCCAGCCCCGCACCAACACACCAAGCGCTCCTCTGTCTCCTGCGCAACGGGCGCGGAAGAGTCTCAAGCTTGTCGGCGTCGGTCTTGGGGGGGTTCTTGCGACGCGTCCCGATTTGACTGCCTACGGTGATCCTAGCGATGAAGCGAAGGAACCGACTGGGATTTTGATAGCGTCGCAAGACTCAAAAAGATGGAAACAGCGTGGATATTCGGTATTGCGAAGCGAGGCAAATGATAATGCCGGTGCGCTTTGGAGTGGATTTGGATTTGGCCAGTCCAACAAGGAATCTGGCGGTGGTAAGAGGAAAGAAAGCTCAGGGTCAAGACCCAGCGGAAAGACAGCCGCGATTGTGGGCAGAAGAGGCGTGGATGCTCGCTCGAGTATCATCAGAAACAGGGCGGGGCAATCATGCAATTAGTACAGGTCTGGTGACGGTCGGGTTGTGGGCTCAACAAAAGGTGAGTGAGCAGGCGGTGTTTTACATCTGCGCAGATGATGTCGCTGGGAGATGAGAGATCACCGTGAGCTTCAAGGTCATGCATGGTTAATGGTGGCGACGGTGGGAGCCTCAAAGGGGGGTTTCGCCTGTGCACGCTACGGCCTTGGCGGGGTCGATTTGCAGCTCAGCATCCAGGTGCCGACCTAGCACTGTACGGATTCAAGACAGTGTTCAACGTCATGAAGATTCAGGTGCTGATGGCTTAAGCTTAGGTATATTACGTACCTGAGTAACCCGTCTTCCTTAAAACGGTTAATAGGTACTATGGAAGGCAAAGGGTTGGCTTTTTCTTCTTTCCTCCTTAACAAGGCCCCAAACACAACGGTTCTAAAAGGCTGTCAAGCCGAGTGTCTCGTCAAAAGGTATCTGCGAAGTACATGTGACCCGCCAAAAAGTGGACGACCTATTAATGATATAGTCGTCTCGAAGGGTCTCGTTAAGGCCCCGCATTGCAGGTGCCGTGCACCCCCCCCCCCCAAAAAAAACTACAACGGCCAGCCCGTAAAATTTACCACCTATGTATGTACCATCGGACGGGAGAGAGGACGCGGTCGGTTCTTGCCGCGGATGAATGTATAAAATCTCACGATGTTGCGGGCTACAAATAAAAACTGACGGCTTGCGGCATTAAGGTTGTCTCTCTACCTATCTCTGCACGCTCAGAGAACTTCACCTCGAGGTCGTCCCGGTTCGGCCCAAATTCCAAGATCCTGCTGTGAAGACCTAGCAAGTCAGGTCCCAAAGAAACAAAAACCAACCGTGGGCACGGCAAGTTTGCGGCTTCTTCGGCTCTCGTCCAAGCAGGATTCGATGAGTCACACGGTGAGCAAGAGGCCCACACCAGCAGGTGTTGGAGGGGTTTAATTGCACGGGTGGGCGCAGCGGCAGAGCAATTCCCAGCGCCAGGAGCTGCTGCGATGAGATTTGTTTAACCCTGCGGATAACGAAGACATGCGATGACGAGGAGCTTTTGACGGGCGAAGCACCCAAACAAATCCTAGTTTATAAATTGCGGCTCAAGATGCGGCCACAGCTGAGGCATCGCCGTTGGCCTTGACGCTGTACGCCTTCAAGAAATCTGCGTCGTTGTCCAACTCTTCCTTTACCTGTTCGTCTGTTAGCACGTGTCGTTAAATGTACTAGTCAACGAGAAGAAGCAGGGGAACGCACAATATCAAGCCCGCCAACCAATTCTCCATCCACCCAGAGCTGCGGGAAGGTTGGCCAGTCGGCAAACTCCTTCAAACCCTGCCGCACCTCGTCATCGGCCAGAATATTGAAGAAGCCGTACTTGACAGCATTGTCACGCAAGATCCCTACCAGTTGCCTCGAGAAGCCGCACTTCGGTTCACTGGGTGTGCCCTTCATGAACAGCATGACTGGCGCTGCCTTGACGAGCTCGCCAAGACGCTTGAAAAGATCTTCCTTCTTTTTCTCAGGATCCTCCACCGTTGTCGCCTCCCCACCTTCAGCAACGCCAGATGTCGCCCCGGCGCCGTTGCTGGCCAAAACCGTCGTGCTTCCAGTGTTCGCATGGCTCTCAATTGCGGCTCGTACCTTGACCGCACTGCTTCCACTCACGGTCTCGAGTACTTCGCCGTTTCGTATGAGAACGAGGAACGGGACCGCAGTAACGTTGTAGGTCTCACTGATGTCTGACAAGTCTTCGGCATTGATCGAAACCCACGAGGTCGAAAGAGGCTCGGTGACGGGGTACTCGGAGGCAAGAGTCGACAGCACGGTGGCCATTTGTGCGCATGGGGCGGCCCATGGCGCGTGGAATGATACGATTAGAAGGGTAGATGGCGGCAAGGAGGAAATGTGCTTCTCCCAGTCCGCAACCGTCGTGATCTCGGAGATGGTCGACATCGCGCGTGATATTAGTTGGTCGAGATGGCGTAATAGTAGGTACGGGCGGTCGCGGGCGAGGGTAGTTCAATTTTGAGGCTTGTCGTCGGCCTTGTCAAAGTTTCAAAGTCTGGGCTGAAGTGCCTCGGTGCTTGCGGGTCCGTTGTTGCGCAGAGTGGTTGTGTGCTGGTTACTGTACAATTATTTTTGTTGGTGCTGGCTGGAATTTGGGGAATTGAAGCCGCCGCCACTGGCTGGATTTGCCCCGCGATCAACTGAAAGTAAAATCAACAACGCCGAATGCTGGCCAGCCGATTACGGATCACCCCGCTGCGGAAGGCTGAAGGCGTTGATTGGCCAAGGTGACTTTGCGTCATCCCTCGCCTGCATCTGCGAATTCGGGGTTAAGTAACAGATTATCTATCATCGCCAGAGAATCACCGTCGCCCATCATCCGAGAGATCCAAAACCTACTCCTGAAAAGGGATGTTATTTGCAGATGTGAGCGTCACCTGAGATCAGGACACACCTAGCAGCCAGGCATCTCCGTCTTGTTTTTCTCTTGATTTTCTCGATACCGGGGGTTCTCGCTCTCTTCCCCTACGGTACGGATGCATTATAGTTAACGGGAATCTCCCTTCCCCGACGGACAGGACACAAACAAGGTTGATAAACCACATATGCGATTTCCTCTCGGCCGCCCCGGTTTTGGGGTTTCTTCCCAACGCATGCTTTAGGTTTAGGTACATACACGTGGTACACTAACTAGTACGCGCACAAAGTATAGTCGTATTGGTCGACACCACTACACGAGTTAGCAAAGTACTGTTAGTACGGAGCATACCTGTTGTTCCAAACCCTGCCCCCGACGACAACTTGGAACTGGTTGTGGAATTCAGGTGCATGTGACTGGACAGCGACGCGCGGCCGGGTTCAGCCGGGGAAGAGCCGGTTTTGACTGGTCCACTGCCTGCATCAGTGCAGGTGCAGCTGAGGTCGGGTTTCCCGCCTCCCGAACAATCCAACCACCCCTGACCGCCAACTTTCCCACTTTTCTTTTCCACGGCCACTGGCTTTTCCCCAAGCCGTTTTTTGGGGTACAAAATCAGAACGCACCCCGAGAGTCACACTCTTCGGCCAAGCTCTTGGCGTTTAACGGCCCATTTTCCGCGATCGACACCCACCCGCACGCAATCCTGCCCGACCAGGCCAGGCCCCAAATTCCGTCAACAGTCTTCACATTGCTCGACACATAGGATCACTTGGCAATGTCAGCCCAAGAATACTACCAGCAAGGCCCGCCCCACGGCTACGGCGGCGGCCCGGGACCCCACCATCAGCAGTATCCCCAGTACCCTCAGCCTGTAAGTTCTCCGCAGCGGCCAACGCACTTCCACGCAAGATTCGTTGCTCCCTTTAAACTGACACTCTTTTCTCAGGCATATGGCGGTCCACCGCCCCCACAGCAGGGCTATTATCCGCCGCAAAACCAGATGCAATACCAAGAGCAGACGCGTCACAAAAGTAGCGGTGGTGGGGGTTGCCTTAAGGGCTGTTTGGCCGCGCTCTGCTGCTGCTTCGTCTGCGAGGAGGGCTGTGAATGCTGTGCGGATTGCTGCGAATGCTGTATGGACTGCTGCTAAGCCTAACGATGTTGCACCCGTGTGAATGCGACACCTATTTGACCGCGGGCGAGAGGGACGGGAAAGGGGTCTTAATTTTTTCTTTCCTTTCATGGCGAGAAGGCTAGCCTTGTATCAGATCAGACGACAATTGTAAATATCAAGTAGCGGGGAGGTGCTTTGACATATGGCAGCGTTGAGACCTTCAAAACCCACCATGCTATTTATTACCTTATGAGCTCGGCCCACTTGTACTGTCGTGTTGCCCAGCCCAACCCGTCGCTCCAGAATGAAACTCTGAAACTCTGTAAATTCGGAATGCAGAAACATTTGCAGTCTCTCTGGCCTCGCTGTGGAACCCGCCAGGAAGTTACACATCTCACACATGAAAGAGCACTCGCGGCCACCCAAGCCCCGCTGCCAAGACCCCAGAGCTCCTCCCTGCACAGCCTCTTTTGACGTCGAGCCTCAGCGCAAGCTCACTCGTCCTTCCCCCTGTTTTTCTTGCTAACTTTGAATTGACATTCCAGGTTATCCACAGCACAACAGGCCGCGAAAGCTGGTGCAAGCCCACCGCCGTTTTAACCTGACTGATTTCAACGCCGCTTCTTCCGCAATTGCTCTCTCTCTTTTTTTCTCTCTCCCAAACCCGACCCGATCGAGCCCGCCGCAGCAATGGCGTCATTAAATCTTTCCACGAACGGCCCCTCCATCAAGAGCAGCTACCAGGGCGTCATCAATGGCCCCGCTCTCTCCTCAACGTCCTCGACCGCCTCGCGCTGGGCTCTCTTTACCGTACAAGCGCCACTTCAAAATGCCTTCCAGAACACGGGCGCGAAGGAGAGCGTCTTGAAGGTCGAAAGCACTGGTGGTGAGTACTGCAAAATACAACCCCCGCAACGCTCCGTTGCCCCCTTATTCCTAGTCACGAAAGCTGTCGGGTGGTTTACCATACCCCCTTGTCCGCACCGGGCTAACGTAGCCTTCGCTTTCCCTTACAGAGGGCGAACTCGCTGAGCTTATCGATGAGTTTAGTGAAGGCCGCGTCCAGTTCGCCTTCGCACGAGTCAAGGACCCAAACTCCGGCCTCCCCAAAAACATTCTGATCGCTTGGTGCGGTGGCGGCGTTCCCGAACGGACCAAGGGGTACTTCACAAGCCACGTTGCCGCCGTGTCCAAGGTGCTGCACGGTTACCATGTCCAGATTACTGCTCGCTCCGATGCCGACCTCGCCCCCGAAGATATTGTGCAGAAGGTGGCGGATGCGTCGGGCGCTAAATACTCAACTGGAGCTTCGGCGCCGTCCGCCGCAGCCGCACCCCCTCCGGTCGCCAAGAAACCCGTCTTTACCCCGACAAGTTCCGGATCCGGTGGGTCTTTCAACCCCCTCGTTGCCGCACGCAATCGGCGGCAAGGGCCTTCGGATAACGATGGTTGGGGTGCCGACGCCCCTCCCGTAACGCGCACACAAATCGAGAAGGTCGAGTCCGCGTACAAACCCACAAAGGTTGACATCGCCGGCCTTCGAAAGAACAATGACGATTCCCGCCTCAATGCGCCCTCGGGGCAAGACGATGGGCCGAGCGACGTTGTCAGAGGAGGTTATCAGCCAGTTGGCAAGATTGATATCGCCGCGCTGAGGGCCCAGGCCAAACAAGATGACCGCCCTACCGTGGTCAAAGGCGCGTACGAGCCTGTCGGCAAGGTAGATATCGCCGCCATCCGGGCCAAGGCACAGCGTCCATCCGAGGAGACTCAAGAATCAGCCCCGGCGCCCAAGAGCCTCGCTGAGCGTAACCAGGCCTTCACGCCGTCCGAACGACTCACCGAACTCCCAAAGCCCAAAGTTGTCAAAAACTTTGGCAGCACACCCTTCAGCGGTACCAAGGCACCGACCCCTACCGGTTTAGGGTTCGGCGGCCCGTCTGCCCCAGCACCTCCGCCTATGGGGGCTGCCAGCCGTACCTTTGCCGATCAGGGCGGTAAGACTCCGGCGCAACTTTGGGCTGAGAAAAAGGCCAAGCAAGGAGGCGCTGCTAGCGTTGCATCTCCGGCCGTAGCATCTCCCATCGCGGCCCAAAAGAGTGGCAGCGAGTGGAAGAGCGGCTATGTGGGCAAGAGTTGGGCGCCCGTTCAAACTAGCAACTACGGTCGGGGCGGTGTAGAGAAACACGCGACGGGAGGCTCGGAACAACCCGAAGCGGAAGGCGAACAGCCCGGTGACACGGGCGCTGGTGGGATTTCGGCGCTTCGCGACAGGTTTAAGGACGCTGCGCCCATGGGTGCCACGGCCCGGGCCGCTCCTAGTCCCCCCGTTCATGGGGAAGAGGAAGCGGCAGCTCCCCCTTTGCCGTCGGGGGGGACTCGGCCCGCCGGTGGTTTTGCTCTGCCTGGTTTGCCGTCCCGACCTGCAGCACATAACCAAGAGGAAACGGAGGAAGCCGACATCCCACCCTCCATCCCATCCCGCAACTACGAGGAACCGGAGCCATCTCCTCCCCCGTCCCCACCTCGGGTTGCCGTGCCGGTTGCCCGCAGCACCGCGCCCGACATTCAGCCTGCAGCCGAAACCCTTCCTCCCCGGCCCATTCCCGTACCACAGGAGGTGCCTAGGGAGGAGGACCTCCCCGCTGAGCGTGAGACGCACAACCCTCGGGCTGCCGCCGTTGCGGGTGTAGCGGGTGCGGCGGTTGCTGGGGGGGCAGTGGCCCACGCCGCCGACACCGATGATGCCGGGACGGCGGGCGGAAAGAAGGCTATAATTCAGTACGATTACGAGAAGGCCGAGGACAATGAAATCGAGCTCCGGGAGGGCGAATTTGTGACCAACATCGAGATGGTCGATGATGACTGGTGGATGGGTACAAATAGCCAAGGCGAGGTGGGCTTGTTCCCCAGCAACTACGTTGAGCTTGTCGACGAGGATGAGGCTGCACCCGCTCCGCCCGCTCCGGCCCCGGCCCCGGCTGCGGCTCCGACTCCGGCCCCCGCCCCTGTGCCACAACATGAGGAGCCAGCCGCGGCTACCGGAGGAGCGACTGCAACTGCGCAGTTTGATTATGAGGCTGCAGAAGACAACGGTATGTGCCCCCTTCCAAGTACTATTCCACGCCGGTGCGATAAAAACTAACGCAGGCAAATGTAGAATTGAGTTTCCCGGAGGGTGCTACGATCACAGATCTGGACTTCCCCGACGAGGACTGGTGGTTCGGTCACTACAACGGGGCGTCTGGCTTGTTCCCGGCCAACTACGTCCAGCTTGATTCGTGAGGTATCTTGGCTTAGCAGGGTTATGATGTGGCACGACGGTGAGTTGGTGTCGGGCACATCATGGCCAAGATAGCCTAGGGTGAATTTATTCGCCTATACCCACAAACCTTGGGCGTCCGACCAACTACACCACGGTACGAATAGAATATGTGCATTGTACTTTGATTCCGAGCGACTGCGCATTAAATTTCAACAATGAGCGAGGACATTCAGCGAGCAAGGACAAATGAACCCGAACTTGGAGAAGAACTTGCGCTGCAAAATGAAGGGGAATAAACCCAATATAAGCAACGAAAAGGCAATTCCAATTTACCTGACAATTGTAAACATCCATCTCCACATGCCTCAATACCTCGTGTAGGTATCAAAGATAGCAGCATCTTGAGCGGTTGGTTGCGGCCCCTTAAGATGTCTCGTACAGTGCGTCCCTATATTGCAACTGTGTCTGTGGGTCCTTCTGCATCGTGTCGTTGGCTCGGTATCAGCGAAGGTCCATGAATGTAAGCCACTTTCAACCACTCAAGTTCATCGTGAATACAACTATTTACACACCCGCCTTCTACCTTGTTTGATGAGCGAAATCGGACAAAACTCGAATGCGACGGCGCCTTCAGCTTCCTAACGACCACTACACAAATGTACTCCCATGCCCCGCCCGCACCCCCGCCAAAACCACCGGGCAGCCATGACGTTAGCCGGATGAGCACGCCTGCGGGTGGGCCAACCCCGCGTCCTCCACCGCTGCCCCAGGAGATTTCGATCAGACAAGGGGGCATCGAGAACTTCGAGGGCTCCGGCGGCGCGGACTACCGCGATTCACAGCCCCAAGGAATCCCAGACCCGGGAGACCAATGGCTTCCTAAATACCTAGAAGATAAATCGTACGTGCTTTGCCGGCGTCGTCCTCCCTCTGCTAGTGGGCATATCTAACAACATCACTCACCCTCCCCCCCCCTCCTCCTCATTAGAAAACAAGACCTTGCCACCATTCTCTCGGACCCTACCCTACTCTCAGCCCTCACTCACGCCCCCCAAACGGCGCATCCTTCCCTCCAACTCTCCCACGACACCCTGCAGGCGGCCCTGGCCGAGAATACAGAGCGGGCCACGCAGCTTCTCGACCTGGAGTCGCGGCTCGGACACCAGCGGTCGGCGGCACAAGCCCAGCTACTGGCCACGCACGCGCTCGAGCGTCAGTGGCGCGCCAAGCAAGGGGACATGGACCACGCGCTGGCGCCGTTTGCGCCGGCGAGTCTATACCAGCGGCTCGCGCAGGGCGTGGTGGAGCAGGAAGGAGTGTGTTATGCATTGGAAGAAAGTTTCTTGGAGGGGGGTAATGGTGGCGGTGGGAGGAGTGGTGAGAGGGAGTCCTCAGTAGGCGGAGGAGCGGACGATGGGGTATTGGCGACAGAACGGGAGTTGGGTGACTGGCTTAGGAGGTATCGGGAAGCCAAAAAGTTGTATTATTTGCGGCAGGAGAGAAAAGAGCGATGGGACGAGGGGCGCGTTGGTGGGTGGCGTTGAAAGAACCTTAAAATACTTGCTTGCTCTATGAGAGGCTCTAATTTTACGCATAGCAAGAAAATATCAGGTAAATTCGGCCGCCACCGCTCCGTCCGAGGTCAAGAAAACAAGGAGGAGAATATCCGCTAGCCGGTGGCAGCCAGCGGCATCCATGGGGTACACATTATCTCATCTATAAATTACTAAAAGGGCTCCTCTTCATCTCCGGGCTGCGCGGGCTCATCGGAAGCGCAAAAAGGTCCTCCTCAATCGCGTCCTCCCCTCCACACCCTCCTGCGCCGATCGCCGGGGCCCGGTCTGTCGGAGCCACGGCGGTCCCGACAATGGCGTCCAAAGATGCAACGCCGCCGTCGCCGCTGGACCCCGTCGCAACAGAGATACTCGTATTTGGCGGGGAAAGTGCCGTGATGAGAGGTTGCTTGGGAGGTGCTTGAGCATTTTTGGCTGCTGTTCACGGCAAATCTGGTTAGCGACAGGCTCGCACCGCCGAGTCTCTCTTTAAACCACCGCTCTCCCATATATTCCGTGCCCCCTCTTTCTGCTCAAACCGAAGAATAACAACGCGCCGAGGGCTGGGCCAAAACATACCTTGACTCGCGGCGGCCAGTTCGGCAGGGCTAGTCGCGAGCTTGAGCCCCCTGAGCTTCTCCCCCAACCTCCCGCTCACTGGGCTCCGGGGGCTGGCCGGGCCGGCCGAGCTCTGCGGTATGTGTAGCCTCGTTGGTTGGGGCAAATTGGGGTCGGGGGCAAGCCCAAAGTGGTCCACGATCCATTGCTGTTCCCGCATGGCCATCTCAAGCCCCACGCCTTCACCGTTTGCCCTCATCTCGTTCGCGATCTCCGTCTTCAGCTCGGCCAGGCGCCCTTTCGCCCAGACCGTATGGAGGACGCCACGGCGGCCGGCGTCTTGTTGGTTCGTCAGCTCGGCCGTGAAAATGGCGGGCATTGGCTTGGTCCGCAGAATGCTACTCCGTCCGTTCTCTGTCGCACCACTTCCTCGCACATGTGTGATGTCAACCAGCGCCGGGATGGGGGCGCCCGGTGGGAGGAGGAAGTACACGCGGTGTATGTCGTTGCCTGTTTCTGTTTCGGCGTCCCAGACTGGAAGCACGTCCCCCTTACCCTCCCATGATATCTTCCACTGGCTCTCGGTGTGACCGTTCTTGCTTTCACTCGGGACACCCGTGCCGGGCCGGGCCCCTTGTTCTGGAGCCGGATCGTCCCACTCGACCATGAGAATCTTGGTGCCTTCATTGCGCTTATCCGTTTCAAACTCAAAGCGCGAGCGGGCTAAGCCCGAGGTTGGCGAAGTCGGCGTCTCGACTATGTCTAGAGACTCGGGTGGCACATGTGCCGGCGGCTGCTTCGTGGGTGTGGCCATGGCGTGCGTCGGTGGGACACTATCAGTCAAATGAAGACAGTTGGATGTGACCACCGGATACTCACTGGGTGCAGGTCGTACGGGGGGCGGAGCGTTGCCACTAGACGCTGCCGGCCGCGCACTCCACGGATAGGATATTGGACCTGCAGTGGGTTTCCAGGAGCACGCGTCGCAAAAGTGTCCTGCTGCTTCCGAGAAGGAGGATGTACGACGTCTGGACAAGGCGCGAGAAAACCACTGCGCAATGGTGAACCGTCCCTGTCACGGGGTTTTGAATTTTGGGTTGCTGCGACGGGGCGCGAGCTGGAAGTATGCCCGTAGTTTGGGCCGCCTTGGAGCGCAGGCGAGCGGGCGGAGAGGGCGCTCGGGACCAGGGTAGGTGCGTCCTTGTCGTTGTGCCGGACCAAGATAGGTGAGCTGACAGAAAGAGATGAGGGCTGATGGTCTCAGATAGGTCGCCTTGTCAGAGTGCGTCAGCAAGGCGGCGGAATTATCCAAGAGGTGCGAAGAGTGGTCACTGAGCACAGTGGGCAGTTGTGGTGCCGTGCCCGTGGAAGCCCGGGTTGCAGGCTAATAGGCGCAGACACAGGTTAACTAGTCCTGCTGCAATGGCGATCCGGGACGGAAACGATGCTGGCGGGGAGGGGCTCGGAGAGGAGGGGGGAGGGCAGCCCTGGAGAGCCGCGAAACCTCGTGGCGGCCGAGGAGTTTCCGGAAGCCTCCGGGTGGGCGCAATCGGAAAATGGGAATTTAAGAGCACATTTCAACTCTCGTGCCAGACAGAGTACATCACAGACCTAGGCTGGAAAGAGTGGCATAAGAAAACAACAACTGACAACCCAGGCAGGCAGGCCGCGGGGGGAAGGGGGCGCCCAGAGCAACCCCGCGAAGATCGTCTCTGTGTGCGGTGCTTCTCCGCAATAGCGGGCGGTCACCAGGGCTGGCAGGCTGGCTCCCGAATCGGGAGGCCGACCCCCAGGCCACGGTTTTTGCTTGCAATTCGCTCCGAGCTCCTTGGGTATTGCCCTACCTAGTATGTTCGGGATCTCGCGGGTAAACCAGGAAACCCCAGGCAGCTGAGGTGCTTCAAATGGCAGTGCTGACACCCGACGAGACGGGCAATGGGCGTGAGAGAGTACATAGGACCTTACCCAGCCAGCCATCAAACGCGGCATTCAAGAATTATTTGGGCCTCGCCGGGAAACGCCCGGGCAGTCGACTCGTCCTGGCCGCCCCACCATCCACACGAGAAAAATCAAGAAACGTCCTGTGAAAAAAATCGAAACGAGGTACTTACCTGACGCAATCCATGAACAGCAAAACTGTACTGAAATCGAGATTCATGAGGTGGCGTGGGTGGATGGGCAAGGGACCTCGGGAAGAAAAGATGAGGAACCATCGGCTGGCGCTGCACTAGCGTGTTCGCGGCTGCCAAAAATAGCACAGCATCTTGTGCTGCGAAGTTGAGCCTATAAAAGTGACTTGAATAATACATAGTAAGGAAGATGATAGACGTGCGTGGGATCTGATCGTCATCTGAGATCCAAACCGTATGAGAATCCCAGGGAGGCTCTCACCAGGCGACAGGCTGAAAGATGTCGTCGTTAGAGGGGGAGGGCGCGCAGCACGCCTGGGCTAATTAGTGTATTTCCTTTGACGCCTCGAGGATACCGACTACCAAATGACCAAGAGGCGTTGATGGGTCTCGAGTCGTGTGTCGGTGGGCCTGCACACAGCGCGTCGGGTCCGTAATCCCACCGGGCTCCAGACATGCACCGCTCAACTAGAGACCATCAGATTCAAAACACCCAACAAGAGCTGGTCACTTCGGGTCCCGCCGATCTTCCCCCAACCCACTTCACACCAAGGATGATTTCCGCTCACAGACCCTCGGCGGCCGGTCCGGGCCTCTGTGTCCCGATTTCTCGGGCCGCATGCAAGAGTCCATGCCTCGCGAAACCGACTCCAAGATGACCACGAACGTGATCAGTGCCGCCTCTATACATAGTAAAGCGCGTCGGTGATAATTGTGCCGCTCTCCATATCATATCGAGCTACCCGATCGGCTTCCTTGACGCCTTTCAAGGTTCCGTTAAACAATCCGCCTGTGGTGGTTGATTCTGGTAGTCTTCTCCGCTCGAGCGTTACCTCTCACCCGAGAAGCCCGCCGGGGTGCGCGGGAACGGCTGGCCTTCCCATACTCTCCCAATTGAAGTGAGGCCATCAGATCGAACCCGGGTAAGCTGGCGATGGTGGGTGGGTGTCTATAATGCGGCGTGAAGAATGGATCGTGAACGCGCTGAAAGACAGTTTATATACCATGAAGTGCTGGTCGTCTCAGAGAACTTGTGGCTAAAAGGTGGTTGAAAGGGAAAGAGGCACACTCTCCTCCAACAGCCTAGAACTGGCTATTTGGGGAGGAGACAAGTGGAAGGTGGGAGGATTTTCCCGTCGCTTTGGACACCGTAGCTTCCTCCCCTCATCGATGACCGGGACGCTCGCTATGTTCCGACTTACGCAGTAGATCTGGAGGCACATCAGGACTCATAGCAGCCACGGACCTTCTTGACAAGCACCGGGCATCGCGGCCGACGGGAGTGAGTACATGGAAAGAACGGGGGTGGGCTAACGTTATTCCTGGTCTCGCGGCAAACGTTTTGACGTCAAAACTTCGAAGAGAAGGAAACAAAAGGAAAGGAAAAGAGATATCCGTAACGAAGGACGGCCAAAAAGAAAAGGCAAAACGGCGGGGAAGGGCCGGGGAAGGGCCGTTAAAGGCCCAGCTCGCCTCATTCGGCACGAAACTGGGGAACGGCTAAATTGAAGGATTGAAGGGAAACGGTGCTGTCGTTATTTGAAGGACCTTCTGTCGAAGAACGGGAGTGGAAAATAATGCGGTCCTTCCCGGTCGACCGCCCGATCAAGTAACTGTTAACTCCGATATCTTGCGATAGTTGTGTTCAATGGCTGGAGAGTGTGAATCGAAATTGACAGGGAGGGGGGGTGTGTGTGTGTGAGAGAGAGAGAGAGAGAGGGAGAGAGAAAGAACAGTAAATGTGATTTATTATCTATGCCTGCTTGAGGATTCTCAGAAACGGGAACGGGCGGGCCGCTTCAATGGGCGGAGAAGCGGTTCGAAATGTAGTCTCAACATCGCAATACCGATGGGTACTGAGTCTGGTGACACCGAGTAACCGGCAATCAGCAGTGAAACGGCCTGGTTACAAGAAGGACATACTAGAAAATATTGAGCTGCCAAACTGAGCGTGGCAGCTCTTGTGGCACGCTAACTCACTGGTCGCTCAAAAGAAAAGGGAGAAGACAACAATCCGTAGGTTACAATCTGTAGGTTACAACCCGGGCCGGGAGGGCAAATGCTGGGAATTTAATGATTCTAGGTTATTGGCCTCGATTGTTGTGTTATCTCACGGGAAACGGATCAAGGGCGCCCGAAGCGTGGTGGTGGAAAGTATTCCCTTTCGCTGTTTGACGTGTTCTCGAATGCTTCGTCGCATCTTTTGGCGCACAACGTTGCCCGTCTGTGAGAGCTGGCCGGCTCGTGAGGTGTGAAAAACGGATCTTTTGCCTCGCTCAGGACGGACGGTGAAATCCAACACTGACGCTCGGTGATTTTGGCGTTTAACCATTGGCTGCGGCTAAATTATGACCTCCCGGGAACCTGCAGCCAAGATAGCCTCGCAATTCAAGATGTCGGGGCCATTGATGCCTTGTGTTAAGAAACTTCCGGCACCATAGGCTATTTACAGGCAAATTTCAGATAACCCACTAGCTGCCCATAACGCATTGGGAGTAGCTTTCGTCCCCGGCCGGGGGAGCGAGCACTGAACAGGCCCGATTGAGACACACTCGATGAAACGCAAGCACTTGTCGAAGGGTCCTTCGCACGATGCCCTGCGAAGCGTTCCCCAGATGCATGATAACGGGGTACTCCACCACCTCCGCAATTGCGCCGTAGCTCCTGAGGTACCTAACTCGCAAGCACTGGCCCATCCTCGCCATCCCAGCCCCGGCCCCAGCACCTCTCCACTATTACGCCGGCGAAACCGCCGGAGCCCATCACGGGCCATGAGTGGGCCGACGAGTGCGGCCCTTTGTGGGAAATCTAGGTGACCATCCCTCAGCGAAACCTTCGCCCACACCCCCCACGCATTTCGCTCCCGACCATACACTGCTCCTCAGCATTTCACGACGGTTCTGGTGCCGTTTGCCAACTCCTCCGGCGCGCCATTGGTTTGGCCTTGCCGTGACCTTTTTTTCCCCATTCTGTTCAATTCGGCCCTTGCTTGGAGTCCCGTTCACGTTTCGCCTCTTTCTCCCCATCATTCACCCGCACACCCCACACTTGCAAAACAGGGCTTCAGATCGCACTTCTCCACGACTCGACCCCCTTTGTCCGACCAAGCTCTCTTCGGCCGACGTTGACGTTGAACCTTTCACTAGTCTCGTGTGAGCCCAGAGCGCCGCCGCCTCCCGCAATCATCAATTCTCTGGCCCGACCGCGCCGTTCCCATTTCCGAATCATTCCACTTTGTCGACGACACCCGTGTTTCTCTCAACCGTGTTGCTGGCCGCAGTCCCTCGTTGTCCTCCGCGCCCTTCTCCGCTCCAATAGTATCACCACAAACGTTACTCGATCGAAGCGCAAGCAAAACCGCCATTGCCTCGTCTATCTTTGGTTCACGGAATCTGCCCTTCACCGAGAGCGTCTATTCGAAGACACAGTCCGAGAAGTTTGCTCAACAATCTAATTGCCGATCTCTTCTGCGGTTACGCCCTTTTCGCCCCAGGCTTCTCCTTTCCATCATCAACTTATTCATTCAGTGTTATCAACCTTGTCGGTTGGCAACCCTCCTTCCTTGAGGACTGATGCTCCCACCATGATCGAGCGGCGATTATTCTTTGCAGCTAGTTTGATCCAATCTTGCTCGACAACTCCCCTTCGGTAGAGTTGGGGGAGAGCTGTTGCGCACACCCGCATGCACGTTGTTTCCTCTTGGGGCCCCCGTTTTGCGACAGGCTATCCAGCCACCTTGCCGTCGTGCAGTTAACAAATATGGAGCCCCTACACATGACCGAATTCGGCTCCGACCGGTATCTTGAGAAGTTTCACCAGTCCCAGGCGAACTCAGCGAACTCGGCACCCGCAGCCATAACGCCACCCGAATCTCCTTCATCGCAATTCATTTTACCCCTACGCGGGTCACTCTCGGAGGTGGAAGCTCTGACAACCAAACCCGGCGATCAAAAGCGCCCCGAAAGGAAGGGATTCGGCTTTCTCAGGTCTAGATTCCACAGTAGAGGCTCTCAAGCTTCAACCGCAAGCACAACCGCAGCCCCAGGCACAACTGAGGTCAAGGAACAACGGCCAGTGTCGACACACTCCATAGTTTCCCGGAAAAGGTATGCCGCACCCATCCTCATTGTCTTGCTCTCAAGTGTCTAACACTTGGACTCAGTGTCGCTTTTGATCAACTCTTTGCCGGGCTTCCCAACGAGTTACAAATCGAGATCATCGCCTCACTTCCGCTCTCAGACGTTTTAAATCTGCGGTTAGCATCTCGATCCCTCCATGCTCTGGTGTCGCTTAACGAAACACCGATCACCCGCTACCACCTCGATCATCACGTACCCGCGTACGCCAAGCGCCTTTACCCAGCACCCGATAAAACGCCTCTCAACTTTCATTACCTCTGCGGCATCTGGCATCGGCTCCATGTTGCGGCAAAGTTATCGTACCTGATTTGCGAATGGGTGTCCAACGAGATGTTCTTCAGGAACACGGTAGAGAAAAAGAGGGAATTCGCTCCTCAAAGAGAACGGATGCGACGGCGCCTAATACCCATGGTTTTTACTGTCTTCCACTTCTTTGAGACCTACCGAACTCTTCATCTCCAGTATATCGCTGAAAACGGTTATGGATTGCACCGCACTCCCTACACGGTTAACCCCATCGAGCTCAAGATTCTCAACATGTACGACAACCGAACCCTTTTTCAGGTCCACCAAATTTTCCCACTGGTGATGGCGTCTTTCGGCAGGCGTCTTCGGCCACCGTCTTATGTTGGGCGGGTCGAGCGATCGCTGAGGGGCTATCTCCGGGAGAAACCCCCGGAGGATGTCCACGTCGCGATTCTCTGCCTCGGAGGCTTGCGGGAGGTGGAGAAGCTATGGGAGGTCAAAGGCTACAACGCTCGACGTGCGGCTGTTGACGTTTGGTATTCATCCATCTCCAAGGAAGCACCAGAGCCCGAGACAAAAAAGCGTCGGGGGATGCTAGGATTAAAACGCAGGAAATCCGCGCTTGGGTTAACAAGAACGACTAGCAACGAGTCCGTTTCTGCCCCCCGGGCTTCAGATGCTTCGAGCATTGCACGAGGCAAACAGCCGGAGAGTTTGGTGTTTTGCACAAGTTTATCGGCTGGCATGCCTATGGGTTCCTTAACGAAGGAGGAGAATAAGGCACTCCTATCTGATTTGCCGGGCCTCCACAGAATTTGGCAGGAGACTGCCGAAGCCATGATCTTGGGTCGCAAGATCGTGGAACGTCCCATCGATATGCGCCAAGATGCTCGCATTTTCACCAACCTCATTAGCAGTGATATCGCCGAGGACGAAGACCAGTGGTTATATGGCATCACCGTCACAGAGTCGGTACGCCCTAATCTGGATGCAATAGAAGAGGACTCCTTGGAATGCCCCTGATCACATATTATCCTTCTTGTCCCTTCCTCTGGCCTGGCTTTTCGGCCCAAGACACGGCCCAAGGGCGTGAGGACCCCTATGCCACCACCCATTTCATTGGGTAACAACATTCGCTTCAGGCGCTCCGTTTCTTACGTCGCTGTTTAGCTTCATTATTGCTTTCTTTTTGTCAACCTTTTTTTGGGGAGGTGGAGGTAGGATAAAGAGCATTTACAGGCGTTCTCAATTGGCTTTGTATCCCGATTGCTGCGGGTGTCTCGGACGAGAAATCAGCATGGCGAACAGGTGTACCGGATGATCAATTTCGTTTGTTTGGGCTTTGTACCTTACCTTATTGTGTTTGCTAGTTCAGTTAGCGAATCAGGGGCTAGCGGCCACACTCTTCGTGTCTCAATAGTACCTCATCGAGAAATATATTCGTGTGGGGCTGGCCGTGAATTTGGATGTCGTATCCAAGAGCTTCAGGGCAAGACTCAATACGGCCTGTGAATCTCGGCGTCGCCGGAGGGCATATTTGCCAAATTCTCAACACACATTGATGTGTGAGGCCAAAAGTTTATGCGTCGCAATACGGCTGGGCCAATCGCCCCTTGCTGCTTCTTTGCCCCCAAGCATTTACCCACTGACTAAAGTACATACGTGTAGCTTGACGGCGTTGGTTGATGGTGGGGAAAAATCAAAATCTCTGATCGGTGTTATTGTCTCACAGCCGGCTGAACCCAGAAGAAAGGGGCGCGAAACTGGACACCAAATGAAGGTGACATGACGTAGAAAATAACGCAATTTAACAACGCCAATAGACCATCATAGTCATAAATCCCCGGCTCCCTTATCTACCGTATATATTGAGCCCTATCGACACGTTCTCCAAGTCGAACCTAAAGCCAAGAAATAAAAAAGAAATCATGTCAAGATCAGATAACCGCACCCTAGCCGGTTGTGATATCGCTGTGTTCATCTCCGTCCGACTCCGTAGTACCGCTCACTGTTCTCCAAGCCGGCGGGGTCAAAGGATGCTAGCCCTGCTGTAGCAAAGGCAGACCCGGCATTAGAGGTGGGTCGAACGCTGGTTGCGCCTATATGAAAGTTGGAAGTCCCCAATCCTATCGCCTCTGGCTGCGCGGGCGAGTCCAACTGGCTCGCGTCAAAAAGTCCCCATTCTGCTGCCGTGTTCCCAGTAAAGGCCTGCACGTTCATAGTTTGCATGCCCTGCGAACCCGGTTGAGTCGCGCTCCCTGTCGAACGTCGTTGTAGACCGGCATTTCCGGAGGCAAAAGGTGGTGACTGTTGCGGGATCCCGTGGGTGTTTGTAGGTCGGAACGGGGCGGAATTCGATTGGCTCCGTTGATTGTACGAAGGGTTGCTTAACGAAGTCCCGGGGCGATAACCTCCATCGGTGGTATTAAAGCCGTTGCTTGTCGACGCGCCAAACTGTGGCGATTGGGTAGTATAGGAAGGAGTCCCTGTCGAGGATGCGGGCGTCAATTGGTGCTGGTAACGCTGTTGCTGCGTGAGGTTTTGTTGGCCTCTAGGAAATTGCTGGGAGGTGGGGTATGGTTGCTGGCTAGAGCCGTACTGGTGTTGTTGTTGCTGGTGCTGGTGCTGTGGTTGCTGCTGCGGTTGCTGTTGTGGCTGCTGCTGTGGCTGCTGCTGTGGCTGCTGCTGTGGCTGCTGCTGTTGTGGTGTAGGAGCGGAGAACTGCGCGGGAGATGGGACCTGGCTGTCCTGAGAATTCTCTGCGAACCGGTGCTGCTGGGGCTGCTGGGGGTGGGGTTGATCGCCCTGTGAAGACACATAGCTTGGCTGTTTTTGCTGCTGGAATTGGATGCTCGGTGCACGGTATTGGCCGGGATGGGCTTGTGACGATCCAGCCTCCTGCTGCGAAACTGGCAAGCTGCGGCCTGCTTGTGATTGAAGTGATTGAGATTGCGAGGTTCGGAGCCGACCATGATCAGCTGGGTCATTATGCTGCTCCTGGGGTGGTTGCGAGAACGCTTGTTGGCGGCGGTGATGCTGCTGCGACTGTTGTGGTAGGCTACTCCCCATCACCTGTACCGAACTCGGGGTGGCAGCGCCTTCAGAATTCAGTGTCTGGGATCCAACCTCGCTCCCCCGGCCGAACTGGGCCTGAAGTTGCGCTTCAAAGCTTTCCATTGTGGGAGACCGGGCCTCAAACTGCCCTTGATGGGGTTCCTCCGACGTCGCCGCTGTCAGGCCTGGCTCAAGCTCGTGAGAGGTCTGTGCTGTGAGCCCAGAGCTCAGCTCCGGACTCGAATCTGGCGCTGTGTTCTGCGAAAGGGTAAAATCACCCGAACCTCGAGGAACCTTTCTCATGATCGGCTGCGTGGCCGCCCCATCCCTCCTCTTCGCTGCTCCCTTAGCTTCTTTCGTCTTTCGTGACCGTTTGGGCGGCGGGTCAATAGCGTTCGCTATCAAAGGCTGGCCCGTATTGGCCTGTAAGGCAGAGATTGCATGATCACCCCCCCCCGACACAGGCCCTAAGTCGTTCCTAGTGCCAATGGAGGCGCTTTGAGTAGCGTCGGTATTGGGCCCGGCCCGCCGTTTCCTTTTCTGCCCCACGGCTTTGGATGTCTTGGACGGCGTTGAATCGGGTGTCGGAGAAACCGACGTCGCCAAAGTCTGAGCCCGTGGGACTTGAATACTGTGTGGTGCCTCGTGACTCGCTGTTTGGTTTTCCGCATGGGCCGTTAACCCTCCTGCAACAAACCCGCCAGGTCCTCCATCATGCCCTGCTGGTACCGAAGTCTGGTTTCCTTGTCTTAGTCCTGGCGTCCCCGGTTTCCCCGGCCGTTTCCTTGACAGTACCGGCGACGCTGAGTTCACCGCGGTGAAGGTTTGTGGTCCCGTGAGTTCCAGCGTCACTTGGGGCGTATGGTCAATGTACTGCCTTTGGGGTACTTCTAAAGGGGGCTCTGACTCGTGAGAAGAGTGCGGCGCTGCTTCTACTTGTGACATTGACTCCCTGCTACCTTGTGCGGCGTTCGTGCTCCGGGCCTTTGGGCGGTTTTTCGAACCTTTTGGGCGTCCTCTCTTCTTCGTGCTGGGGCCCTCACTCGAGGGGCCTCCCGGTAACGCTGTCCTGGTCGCGCTTGGCGGTGGAACAGGCGTCACAGGTGTCATATTCGGAAGTTGAGATCGCGGAGTGGTTGTTCCAACGCCGTTAGGGGCTTCCCCATCGTCATCATCGATGTCCACCCAACTCTCCTCCCCAGCACCGGGTAACCGAGCCTGAGTTCCTAATGCCGAGTGCTTGTTCGGCCCCTTTTTTATGCCCTTATCCTTCCGTGCCTTTGTAGCCTTACTACCCTTCGGCCGACCTCGCTTCCTCTTTACGGGCTGTGCATTGTCCGGTTGATGTCCTGGATTCGGCGGTGGGGCCTCTGTATTACCACCGACCCTAGGAAATATTTCCGCAATCCAACCGACAAAAAGACTCCCAGATCCGTTTGCCTCAGCGCTTTCCGGGAAGCTGCCAACCGCCGGCGGCGGCGCTCCGGGAATCCCGCCAAAGAACGCCAACGCCTTGCATATCTGGTCCACGACCAGAACGGGATGCAGGCTCCGTAACAGCGTTAGGAGGCGGGCCTGTTCTGTTTTGGTCTCCCCCGGATCTAACGGCGCACTGCGTGGAGCTTGTGGTAGACCGGGCGTGGCCGTTGAGGATCCTGTGGCCAAAGGCCCACCCGGTGGCTCATCTGCAATATGTACAAATCGACTTTTCCGGAGAGAGACATAGCCGTTCTCAAAAGCACGTTTGGCGGCCAGTTCGGTGCTCTCGCTCGTTCGCTTCGCTTGGGCATCGCGGTCCGTGGCTTCCAGCTTGCCCGTAACGTCTATTTGCATGACGGCAAAGTTGCCTTTGGAGCCATCCGTCTTACCCTTAAGCTTGCTAGGTACAGGATTGCGAATTCGGCCGTCCCTATGTGCGTTGTTGTACGCGTCGAGCAGACCTCCTTCAGATGAGGGCAGGATGGTGTAGGGGATACCAGAGCTCGAACCGGTCGCTGATACAGACTCGCCGCCTGCTGCATGGCCTGGCGCATGGCCTGGTGCATGGCCTGGCGTCACGGCCTGGCCCAGGGCCGCGGAGGTGGGCGGCATTGGAGGAACTTCACGGGCGGCGGGAGCTTGGCCAATTTCGGTGGAATCTGCGTGGTTTGAGGCACGAGTCAGCCATCAACGACCAAACCCCTCAAAAGGCGGCGTCGCGTATCGCAGTTTTACCTGACAGCGTTGCCATTGAACTTGCAGCACGCCACCTTGATAGCCGTTAGACTAGACTTTTGCTCGGGTGTGAATCAGGGCGCGTGTGCCCGCTGCTGGATCGATTGCTACGTCGCGGCGGGCTCGCGATCAGAATCCGAACTCCATGTTTGGGGAACGTTTGGAGATATGAGGTTTGAGCGAAGCATCCGTGGGATGAGTGACAGCAAAACACTTGATGGGCGGAAACCGGGAAATCGAGATACTGTGTCGCGTTTGACTCCACCCGCTAAAGCGGCGCGACGCGGAAAGAAAAGATGGGTGGATGCTGGGTAGATGGATGACGACCGAGTGGGTTATGCGAAGGATTTCCCCAAATGAGTAGTCGACTGCCGTCAGGGCGGCGGGGATTGCGGCCTACGACTTGCTGGAGTTCAGGAGATGCCGTCGTTGACGCAGCTAAGAGCGAAGGCCCAGTTCGGCGACCGGACGGGGGGAGGTTGGTCTCGTGCAACAACTGTGGACGGCGTAGCAGAAGGATTGGAAATGGTGATACAACAGTCGCCTCGATAATGCGGGTGTGTGGTTTTTGGACCAAACCCTTGAATAAGGCTCTTCAAAGCCAATCAGCCTCTTAAAGTTACAGCCAGGCCAAAGTTTAGAAGGTATATAATAAAGACCAGACCTGTTGTGACGGTTTGCACGAGAGATCAAACACACAATAACAGATTGTGAGGCAAGAGGCACCGAGCTCACCAAAGCCTGGCACCAAGTGGGCAGTGCGTTGGCGCTGGATTGTTAGAGGTGTGCGGCGAGGTACTTGGCCAAGGGAGAACATGCAAGGCAAACGCTCGTCTTGTGTAACTGGGTATTGTAAGTTACATTCTTGTAATTCCAAGTTTCGTATCGATCGGAGGAGATACGGTATGGTACGTAAATTCCCCAACATAACAAGTACCATTGTTACACCATGCTCTGCAGTGTCCTGTCCATGTAACTATACAGTACCAGGTGTCCCTCGTCAGGAAGAGGAGCTTGCTTTCTCTGCCCCACCTTGCTCGTCGCATCGACACCAACGTTAACTTACCGATTCCCCAACTCGAACATCCGCAGTGGTCAGCGCATTCTCATCCAACCAACCCGCCCTCCCTCCTCTTCCTTACGTTTGGCTTGTTTCGAACCGTCTTTCCACACCTAAAAGAGTTCTATTTCTTGTGTCTCTTGTGCGAGCGTCTCTAGCCACTCCTAATTGGTTCCCTGACAGAATAGCTCCTCCTCACGCTCTCGACGACCGAACCTACAACGGTGGCATAAGCTGTCGAGCTCCCGTTCACTGCGTCCCGAACGGATTTCCAGTATCCGCCCATTCTCGCACGAGCTCTGCCAACGTCTTTGCCACTCCGATTGACAGAACAGCCGAACGAGCCATGCAGCCGACACAGTACATCCTCATTTCTCTACCTCTGAGGATCTTTGACGATCACCCTCTCACAGCGCTATCCGCAACGGTTGGGCGGGACAATGGCGAAACACTGGCGTTCCCGATACCTTCATTCAAGATCGGTACACTCGATGCACTCGTTCAGCATGCGGATGACCTCGCGAAGCTCAACGCCTCATGCGAGGCGGCCGTCGGCAAGGTAGCGGACTCACTCAAGGGGATCCTCGATGGTGACGATGATAAGGCCGCACAGCAGAAGATGGTCAACGACAGTACGCCGCCCACATCCCCCAAAGATACGCTCTGCGCCGGATATGGCGAGCGTGGCTGACAGTCAGTCCTAGAACCCACAGATCACTATCTCCGCACTTTTCAGTGGAACAAAGTCAGGTACCGGGCCGATCGGCCACTCGGAGATTTGATCGATAATTTGCAGAAGGAATTGCAAAACATTGACAACGATGTTAAAGCAAAATTTAACCAATACAACGGTGTCAAGACGACACTCGCAGCCCTACAGAGGAAGCAGACGTATGTGTCCTACACATGAAGCCCACCTCTTCCCAGAATATACAGAAGAAACCGCTGACATTGGAAGGAACAGTGGGAATTTAGCTACAAAATCTCTGACCCCGGTTGTCGATCCCAGCCTCCTCGTCCAGGACTCGGAGTACCTGGAGACGCATCTCATCGTAGTACCAACCAACGCACGGAAGGAGTTCCTCCGAAGCTACGAGACGCTCGCTCCCATGGTGGTGCCGCGATCATCCACTCAGGTCGCCCAAGACGATGAATTCACTTTATTTTCAGTGACGACCTTCAAGAAAACAAGCGCCGAGTTCCTGCAGAAGTGCCGGGAGCAAAAATGGACCCCCCGTCAATACAAATACGTCGAGGGGGGGAAGGAGGAGGAGCAGCGTGAGCTAGACCGCGTCGCTCGGGAAGAAAAGAAGGTCTGGGGTGAAGCCTTGAGGCTTGGTCGGACGGGATGGAGTGAGACCGTTATGATCTTAGCTCACATTATGACGCTACGAGTGTTTGTTGAGACCGTTCTGAGATACGGCCTGCCATTGGAGTTTGTTTGCGCGCTCATTAAGGTCACACTCCCCCCTCCCATGCTCACATTCTGCATTTACTAACCGCGCTTGTAGACCACACCGAAACAAGGGAAGAAAGTAAAGGCAAATCTAGACTCGGCATACTCGTACCTTGGGGGCAACGCTGTTGGTAGGGACAAGCGGGGCCGGGTCACTAAGGACGACGCGTCGTTAACGTCCGAGATGGCTGCGGTTGGGTTGGGCTCTGCCGAAGGCAGCGAGTACACGGCCTACGTGTATTATGAGGTCGACTTTCCGTGATGTTCGATTGAATTCGGGAGCGGACTACGACGGGTCAAGTCTGTCGAAATGGATGATGTAACCCTTGGGGATAATCACGTGGTTGGGTATTGAACTATCTTGCTTCCCCGGGTGTTGTTTGCGGCGGATACGTACTGAAAGACTACCCCCACCCCGCCCCGCATAGGGCCAATGGCCAGGATATGAACCTTTTTCATCTACCTTGTTTCCTGGGACGTTGTGATCAGGCCCCGTTCTACCAGGTACTCCACAATCTTGCGGACGGAATCCTCGACGCTCAACTGATCGGTCCGGATGGCGATTTCGGGTGCCTCGGGGGGCTCGTATGGTGCAGAAACACCTGTGAAGTCTTTGATCTCTCCCGCCCGTGCCTTCTTATACAGACCCTTGGGATCCCGCTTCTCAGCCTCCTCCAGGGGGATGTCCACAAACACTTCGATGAACGGAAGAGCATCATCCCCCGCCTGGGAGGCTTGGGCGTGCAGGTCACGGGCGATTTGACGGTCAGCGCGGTAAGGGGAGATAAAAGAGGTCAGGGCGATAGTCGAGGAGTCCGCGAAGAGCTTCGCGACCTGTGACGAGTCAACTGTCAGAACCTAGTAGGGAAGCAATAGCCCCATAGAATGCATTGTACGCACCTCAGCAATGCGACGAATGTTTTCGTTACGGTCTTTCTCCGAGAACCCCAAGTCCTTGTTCAACCCAAAGCGTACATTGTCACCGTCCAAACGATATGTGGCCAGACCGATGTGAAGCAGATGCTGCTCAAGAGCAGTCGCGACCGTCGACTTGCCTGAGGCAGAAAGGCCGGTAAACCAGATAGTGAATCCCCGCTGTCCGCGCAATTGGTTACGTTCGTGGCGCGTGAGCGATGGGTGCCAGGTGATGTTGCTATGGAAGAGCCCGAATAATTAGTAAGAAATATATTCCTCACCATAACATCTTAGAAGAGAATGGTACCAGGACAGGGCAAAGAAAGCACTTACGTCGCCATACTGGAAGGTCAAATTATTCAACGTGATAGATAACCGGATGGTAAGTTTGTTTTAGTCGAGAAAAAGCAATGGTGTTCTGACATTAACAGGCAAGGAATCGTGTCAGAGGGGTGGAAGAACCGTGGAGAAATCGGATCTAAAAGGACCCCACATGAGTTGCCGAAAGCGTTAGGTAACGGCATATACAATGAGTATAGGACAGAGACGGCCGCCAGGGCTACATTGGTAAAAACAACACCAGGAGGCGGGAATTTGACGTTCTCGCAGTGCGTTTAGGGAGAGGGATTGCGGCCTGGCCATATCCAAACGGGACTCCTCATATAAATACCTAGTAGTATCCATACCATTGTTCACGGCTGTTCACGACTGTCGTCCCAAGAATGATGTGATGCGGCTCGACTCAACTCGAACCCCTCCGGTTCGGCGCCGGGCAAAAAAAACACCCCACTAAACCCGTGCTGCCGAGTATGGCGTCATGCGGAATAACTCCATCCGCGCCAAGAACAATTCGAAGCAGCAGAGTACGAACAACGGCGAGTACTATAACTGGAGGAGACGACTTGCTAATGTGCGGGAAAATGGAGGGTTACCGAACACCCCTTATTGGCGCTCAATCGTTTCTAATATCATGTACGGATGTGTATTATTTACCGTGCAAATACGCTAATGGCCGTCCCGGGTTTGAACCATTGTGTGCGGTGTTATTGGCTTGTATCTTCGATCATGTGGGCATAGGAGCGTGGTCGAATAAGCACGAACCTACGGATAGTTATAGATGCAAGCACTTAGAGGGCAGCCAGGGCGGCGCAGGGTGGTGAACCCGAGGCACTCTAACACGAAATGGAATACGTTCAACCCTATTTCACTGGGTAAACCTTCGCCATCATCTATATGCAATTCCATGTTAGTAAACGGGCAGAAGAGGAAATAATGTCGGTTTCCCGGTTTCCGTTCCGTCACATACCGATGCTTGTTTAGGCGAAACGTAGAGCGCGCTCGCCGTGGCCAGTATGGTGGGCTCCTGGCCTTCCTTCTCCGGCAAAGTCTCAATGTGGCCCTCGACCCAGGCTTTCCGACCCTCCACCTTGACCGTGCTGGCGCGGAGCACCAGGTACTGGTCAGCCATGGCGGGTGCTTTGTAGTTGATTTCCAACTTTGCCGTCAAGCCCACATTGTATGGTAGCGCTGGGAAACAGCATCTCGCCAGTCCTTCGTCGAGCATAGTAGCCAGGAAACCCCCGTGGATGATACCCATGTGGCCGCACAGGTCCGTCCCAACATGTGTAATCTGTACATAGCATTTTCCCTCCCGCTGTGTCCAGCTGAACGGTGGAATGATGATCTTGCCAGGCCCCGCGAGGGTACCACCGGTCAAATTGTGTTTGCGCCATGACTCTGGTATTTTCATGTGTGGGCGGGACTCGATGAAATCCGAACTCTCTCGGAGGGCTAGTGCAAGGGGGTGTGTGTTGATGTAGTCCTGTTTCGCTCTCGCGTCGTCGTCTTGCGGCTCGAAAGCGCCTAATGTCTCGGCATCACTGGCCGGTGACAAGACCGCGGTAGCGGACTGGTAGGCGGGTGCCGCGGCCATGACGAAACCTAGTGTAGTAAAGAAAAAGATACGGGTCGCGAGCGATGCGGCTCGGCGAACAAGTGACGGTTTCTGGGTAGCTTCCGAGGGGGTGCCCTTGCCTGGGAGTTGAGCACAAATTAGCCAATTCCACCGCCAGTTTAAGAAAGCAAGTAACACGGCATGTAGTTAGTCAAGGCATCAGGACCATACCGGCCGCAGAGGTGATCCGTCGCGGACGTGGCACACGGATAAGGCGAATGGGTGCGCTTAGCAGGGTAGTTGCAGGGCGCGCCGCCGTCGAGACTATCCATGGGCGCATTTCCAGTTGAACGTCCGCGAGGCCCTCACTTCGGGGTCCCGGTTGGTTTTTCGGCGGAGTGTCGGAAGCCAGTCGGCTTTCGTCGCTCGGCGTCCACGAGAAGTGGGTCCTTCCCAGCGGGTGTACGGACATACGGATCCGCGATCCACATTTAGGTTTGGACATGCGAAGTACGTATGTGTAGTAATTAGGTGTAAGCAGGAGGCGAGTTCTCGATCTCGCTGTGCCCAAAAAAGCGGCAGCATAGAACAGATAGCTCAAGTCCAATCCGTTGATATTCGATCAAATAATAACAGATTTTGATTGATTGACTCTTTTTCGTCTTTTTTCACTTTCTGGATTTATTCTTTTTGGTTCTTTTCACCTTTGTAGGAGAGTGAATTATACAGGGACTTGATCTGCCGCTTTTTTGGCCACAGCGAGTAGATTTAGGGATTGATCACCATCCATAGCCCTAAGATACTTCTGAGAACATCGCCCATGGTGCCTCTGGCGGAGTGCATACCCGTTCATTGACGGTGATGGGTGCGATAAAAAGTACCCCACGTGTTTCAACTCGAATCGGAACCGCCAAGGCAATCCTGGCGGAACCAAGTACAAACGCCGTCTGGAGAGACACCCCTGAAAAACTGACGCAATGCCGTCATAAGGGTGGACATCCCAGACGGAACGGGGTTCTGTACACCACCGTGACCACCTACAAGAGCAACGTCCTGTCCACACTCCAACTCCATTCAAACACTAGTAGATAACATATTTGCATCGTCAACACATCATGGTAAGCCAACGTTTTCCACCTTGCCGCCTTGAACAGCCCCTTAGTGTTTATTCGCGTCGTGGGCCAGGTTAACAAGTACAAGGCCACCGTTGATACAGTCGAACTTGGTGACGCTCACGCACCCAAGCAAGAGTCCCTCCGGGTATTTGAACAGATTGAGGATGAGTTAAAGCAGACGCTCATCCACACCCGCCACGAGTACAATAGTGAGTCAGGCCACATCATCATACACAGCAATCACCAACCCCCTCTAACATCAAGCAAACAGAACACGAACCCGAATACTTTGCCGCTGTAAAGCACCTCAGCAATGCCGAACTGACCGGGTTTACCGCCGAGAACTTTCAACAGGTCCGTGTCGCCGTGTCCACCTACGGCTTACACCTGTTCGGAAAGGTGCGCATCCCAGCGCTCGACAGAGTGGGGCCGTCATACATACACTTCCGGGCCTTCACCGGCGGGCCTGACGAAAGGGCGACGCTGCATAGTATCCGTGGGTGATCTCCCTCCTGCCCCTCTTAGCCTGGACGACCATGGTATCGTTTAGTTAACCTGCATGATTTGCGGTAGATACCGAAGACAAACAAGATCCCAGCGGAGGACATACCTACCGTGCCGTCTTCACGGAGAATGACAGGTTGGAATGGTTTGACACCTGAATTAGCGAAAGGCAAAAGGTCATGCCATGGGAGCAGGGCGTACAAATGACCTTGACTCGATTTTCCTTCGGATGGACGGCATCCGTATAGTTGACCTGTCGAACCCGTAAATCAAACCACCATTTTCCCCCACAGTGATCAACGCATCTACACTAATCATCTAAGCCATACTCCGCCGCCAGCATCTCCGCGTAGTCCTCCGCCGATGCAAACGTCGGAAGACTCCTCATCTCTTTCCTGTTCAGTCTACCCCGGTTGCCTGACTTAAGTCCAGGCCCCACAAGTCGGGATTCCTCGTTTTCTTCCTCCCCACCATCCTCCAGTTCGTCCCCGTGGGTCTCTACGGCTGCATCACCACTTCCATCCGAGTCGTCGTCAAAGATACCCTCAAAATCGCCAGACCCCTCCGAATCAGATATCCAGCCATCGAAGCCCGCGTCATCGGCCTCCATTTCATTGTCTGAATAGTTGAATTCCTCCAAATCCATGTCGGCATCCTCCTCAACTCCAACCCCTTCAATTTCCGGCCGGGAGCTGACCAGGGCATCCCATATTTCCGCTTCGCCGTCTGCCTCATCATCCGGTCCGGCTTCGTTGCCTTCTTCGACCCCGCCATGAGTCGTACGAGTGACTTCGCCGGGCTTGCCGACACGAGCGAAGTACTCGTGAAAGAAAACGTCTTCAGGCGAGACTTGGTCCAGCCTAAGATTCCAGAATGACGAAACATTAACCGTTGGCTGCCGCTCAGCGCCACTCCCGCCTGGGGCCACGATGCGCGATGCGCCCCCGGACGCAAGAATTGGCTGCATGATCGAGCCCCCGCGCTTAGATTCCTCTCCCTTGGGGCTGCGGTAAACAAATCTGTCGAGGAAATGCATCAGGGTGTGATTGGCGAGGTCTGGGCGTGGTAGTCTCTTCTGCCGGGCCAAGAGGTTGTTGGCAAACACACACACCGAAGGATGGTAGTGAGAGAGGAAAGGCACCTGATTAATTTAGTTAGCTGGAAGGCTTCCCTAGTCGTCCAGTGAGAGAAAGGGGATGTGCTTACCAGCTCCCAGAGACAACTCCTATGCGCGTTGCTGTGCTTGGGGTCGCGTTTCCGACCGTCATAGGCCACCCTACGCTGCGCCTCTGCCCCAGATTGGGCTTTTGGCTGAGCATCCCCCTGGGTATCGTCGGCTTTGATGTCCTGGTATACCTCGTCTCCGTCATCGTCCCCATCCTCGGGGTCATCCAGTAGCGTGTGAAGGTCGGGGAATGTGGTGTGTAGTTCCGCAATCAAGAACAAAATTCCGCACACGAATGACGGCTGGTGCAGGCTCAGTATCTGCGTCAACCGTTTGACGAAAGCCCTTACCCGGCGGACATCCACGTCGTTCTTCATGGCCCGGAACAGAAGGTTAAGATACAGCGCATGTTTCGACGAAGTGATGAGCCTGGGGTCCAGCAATGACTCATATAGAGTCCGGTAAAATCTGTCAACGGCCAGCTGCTTAGACGTCGTAAGTTGTTGAATCAACATCAAGGCCTGTATGCTAGTATTGAAATTGGAGGAGTGTGTGACCCTGAACAGCGTGTCAAGATGCTTTTCTATTGTCGAATCTTCGGCACCGGCGAACGGGACCGCGCGGTTGACACCCGTCAGCAAGGATGAGACAAGCTTCTGTACCGTTTCTTGTTCATTGCCCTGTGCTCCGGTGGTGGGTAGCCCCTTACTCTTCGGCTTCTTTTCTGACCGGCTGGCTCTTTGACCGGCCTCGGCGTGCGCAAAGTCGCCTAAAGAACCAACCCTGAGCAAGGAGTGAAACATCTCGAAATATATCCGAAGCAAGGTGTCGGCGATGGCCGGTTCCTTCGTGCTGAGTATGATTTGGTTCAGAGTGTTGGCGCAGGTATACCTCACACGCATGCTTTGTCCTGGTTTCAACAACAGCTCCTCCTCCAATGTGTTGATAACAATTGCCTTCATCCCTGGATGGAGATTGAGTAACTGCAAGAGGAGATATGAAGCCCGTGAAGAAATTTTCCGCTCTCGGTCGCCGAGTTTGTTCACCAACAAGCGCAACAAATTAGCCTCTTGTTCTGGCTTATCTTTGAGAAGTCCAAAGACAAAGTCCAGGGCCCTAGAACGTGAGTATTCGATCTCGTCCGAGCACCAAACCTCAAGCAGCTGGATAATCCGAAAGTACGCGCCTTTGAGCCAATCCTCAAATGCCCACATCATCAAATGTTGGCTGGTCAATTTCCCGGGGAGCCTTTGGCCTTCCGACCAGAATTTTGGACTCTTCTCGCTATCCAGGGCGCCGAGAAGCAAAGGTTGCATATTGAAGACATGGAGACGGCGATCACTGGGCAGCATTGCGCCATTGCCTAGCAAGTCGACGAGGGCCCCAAGCGCGGCAATTGCCTGGCCCCGGCTCCTCTTTCCCGCCAAGGTTACGAGGCTGTCGAAACTTTTGCGATTGTGAAGTGGCGACTCCTGGATCGAGAGAGTCAGAGCAGAGATTTTGTCGGACAAAGTTCCGGACGACATGATGGTCGACATGAATTTTTGTGTCGAGCTGGAGGCCCTTCTGGCCGAGTATTCCAAGGAGTCTTGTTCGAGCAGTCGCTCTGCGTGAGTCTTAAGACTCGAGATGGAGCGCGAGTGGTGCGTGTTGTTTCCGGGGGCTCCGAGGGACAATCCCTCCACGGAGACCTTATGCCAATCGTGACGGGGTTCAAATATCTAAGCCAGAGTTATCAGTTGCCACTCCCAATCCGCACATCGGCGATTAAAGCATGGTATTGTTTACTGACCAGTTTCCCTAATGACTTGGCCCGCCCATCGGTTCTCTCTATCGATTGGGGTACTTGGTCCTCCCGACTACCTCCGACTTGCACACTGTCTCCGGCCTCCTCTGCGCCCCCTTCTTTTTCTTCGTTTTCTTCTTCATCATCGTCTTCTTCTTGCTCCCCTGCTTGCCCCTCATCCTCTCCTTCACTGCCCAGATCCTCGTCCGTTTCAGGGTCTTCGACCTCGTAAAATTTGCTAAAGCCAAGATTAGATGCAAACTGGGCCAGCTCGCTCTTCAAATTGTCCTCATCAACAGACCCTGTTGATATTGGTCGAGGTGCCCCGCCACCTTCGTCGCCTGAATCAACATTGGCCACCAGTTTCAAATCATCTTCATCCCCTCCAAGTGCTATAATCTCTCCGAGAAGGGAAGGCGTTTGCTTGGTGGAACTGCGCTCCGACGGTCGAGTCCGGGACTTCTTCGAGTTGTACTTCTCGTCGTTATCAAGTTGCCTCTTCTGGTTTGATAGCCGTCCTTCTCGGGATTGAGCGAGGGATTGATCTATTTGGTTTGTGATGTGAGCGAGAGCCGTCTCGTCAAAACTTGGGTTTGCGGCCCCCTTGCTCTTATGCCCTTGCTTTATTCTCATCGTGTGGGTGTCGCTCTCGAATTAAAATGCCCTGGCGTGGTTGCTTCAGTGAGTGGGTGAGCAATGGGAATCGAATACCACCCCACTGACCTCGAAATGTTTTGGGGAGAAAGGCAATCCCTAGATGCCGAGCAAAACGAAGAAAAAAAGAAAAAAAAGACCCTTGTTCCAAACTTGCGCCTTTGCGCCAACTAGGGTGGGGCCAAACCATCCAGAGAGCCGGCCCCACAAAACAGACAACGGCTTCGACTAAACAAAGTTCATTGTGCGGCGAAGCTCAGGTGACTTCAAGAAAAATCGGGCAGGTTATTAATGTTTGTGTTTCTCGAGTAGTTATTTATTTGTGTTGAAGCCCCGTAATCCCACGGAGAATCGGGGCGTTAGCTGTGAGTTGAATTAGACTAGGCCTTCTGGTGGGCTTGGTCCGCCTACGCCGACCTCCAGTATCCGCCTCTTTGGATTTTCTCCCCCGTCCGACGCCATCTTTAGCTTCCAGAAGCAATACACACCATAAACTGGCACAGCTTGATGCCCGCGCTGCCCCGCCATGCTCACGCCCACGGTAGCCCGCCGGTGTGCAGTTCCACCGGCGGCAACCCGCCTCTCAAATATCTGGTTCCCGAGCGGCGGGATTGCCGCTTCCGAGGTCGAAGATTCTCATGCAAGGTTGATTCGTGCCGGCTTCCTTCGCCAGTCGAATGCTGGCATGTTCCACTTACTTCCTTTGGGGCACCGGGTGCTACAGAAGATCGAGAGGATAGTCGCTCGCCACATGGAAGAGTCCTTGGGTGAGTAACTTCGCAATCCTGGGCGAAGTTTGTTCGGGAAAACGACTAATTTATGGGTACCTGGATATTCATGATTATAGGTGCGTCTCAAGTCTCATTGTCGTCCGTGTCGGCTCGGTCTCTTTGGGAGAGAAGTGGCCGTTTCAACACTGTCGAATCTGAGGTTTGTTCTTGATCTGTCCTCCCAAGCCGGTACACGTGATTCTTAGCATTGATGCGGTCTAGCTATTCAGGTTTTCCGACCGCAAAGGCGTGCCGTACTTGTTGGCCCCTACACATGAGGAGGAAATCACGTCCTTGGTGGCTGGATCAGTCCGGTCGCATAAGGAACTTCCTCTCCGACTGTACCAAATTACGCGCAAGTACCGAGATGAATTTCGTCCACGTCATGGCCTCCTTCGTGGGCGAGAGTTCGTTATGAAAGACCTGTACACCTTTGACAGCACGGCTGAGGCCGCGATAAAGACGTACGACAAAGTACGTGCCGCTTATGACCAGATTTTCGCCGACATGAAACTGCCAGTCCTATCAGCAAAGGCTCATTCTGGCGACATGGGGGGGGATCTAAGCCATGAGTACCATCTCCCGACGAGCATTGGGGAGGATCGTGTCATCAACTGCAACACCTGCAATTACATCGCCAACGAGGAGGTCGTCGACAAAGCAGTATCCGAAGAGCCTGAGCTCGACGTACCTGTTGGGGTCTGGCGAGGTATCACCAAAGACCGAAGGAGGTTGGTCAACGTGTGGTACCCCAAGCGAAAAGGGCGAGTGGACGGTGGTGAAACACGCGAATATACAGACCGGGATATTGACCTGTCTGTGGTGAAATCCATCGTACCTGACATTGACACCGCGGTAGAGGACGCCCTGCCGTTCTGGTCAGGCGCTTTGGCTGGCCAGACAAGAAACACAATTAAAGTGGTCCATATTATTGATGGCCACCTGTCGTTTTCGGTGGCTGGGGGCTTGGAGAGCTCCCTCACCATTCCCCCAGCCTGGCCCTCGGCATTGACGCCACCGGATATGCCCCTGGAGGTTTCTTATCATCGTGCGGCCCGCCCTGGAACTGAGAAGCTCAGTCTTCTACGAACCCGTACCGGCGATAAATGCCCCAAATGCCCCTCGGGGACCTTGACGGTGGAAAAGGCTATGGAGCTGGGGCATGCATTTTATCTGGGGACGAGGTACTCGCAGCCGCTAGGGGCCATGGCCACCGCACCGGCAAGTGGGCTGTCGACACCTATGCAAATGGGATGTTATGGCATTGGAATATCTCGCATAATGGGCGCTGCAGCGGCGCATTTTGCAGACGATGTTGGCTTCAACTGGCCCTTGTCAATAGCACCGTTTTCATCCGTTATCGTACCCGGGAATGGCATCGACGACGGGGATGCGATGCTTGTGCATGGCGTACTGAACAATCTGGCGGAGAACAGGAGGCAGGTACTCGACATTGCTGTTGACGACCGTCAGAAATCATTGCCATGGAAATTGAAGGACGCAGACCTCATCGGATACCCCATCATCGTGTTGCTTGGCAGAGAGTGGAAACATAAATCAGAAGTTGAGGTCCAATGCCGTAGGCTTGGTATAAAACAGACAGTTAGCCTCGACGGGCTAAATGCGACAGTGTCAGGAATATGTCAGTTATTATAAATGACACAGAGTATACAACAAACGAGATTATAAGAATGGTATAATCAAGGGTCAAGAGTGTCATCCAAAGTAATTATAAATGATAGTATATTTAGTAAGGTATATATTGTAGATTTACGTAAATAAGAGTCCTAGGGATAATAGGAGGCAGTATCACAGGTTAAACTAACAGGTACCCTCCACAGACCGGCCAGCAAAGGACAGGCCAGGCATAGGGCAACCAATAGGAAGTTACTCTATAGAGACTTTAGAAATAGTTATAGAGTAAAGGTATAAAGGTATATTATAGAGATATTAAGATACCTCCTATTAATATATAGATAAATAGATATACTTTAAAGGACTCTAGAAGCTCTCTAGTAAATAATATAACTTATTTACTATAATTTACTTAATAGATATTGAGACTAGATTATAATCTTATTATAAACCTTTAACTTTACTAGATTATAATCCTTTTATTATACCTTTAGTAAACCCTTTTAGAATATAGTTAAGAGATAATCTATTAGATATTATTTACTTCTTTCATCTCTATATAGTTTAGATAAAGGTATATTAATAATATAAT